TATTTTCGCCCCGCAATCCCCCAGAGAAATTCCTGAATTGCCCTATTTTTAAACATCATTTTCTCGCGAAAACATCACTTCATCACTGGGAATTAAAGATTAAATATCGATATTTCGTTGCGAATAGATTTGGATTTATCACATTTTGAAGAAAGTCGAGCATCACACTTATACCGTAGTCCTCTATGCTGACCCCCCCCCCTAAATCACAAGTCCCTCCTTTGGAGAAATCCGTTAAAATTGTATTTAGCATTCAAAAACTAGTTACTAAGTTTTGTATGCGTTTTTCTGGCATTAGTAGTCAATTTAGGGAGTATAAAGTGATGGACCCCCGCTATATCATAAGTTCCGCCCTTGGAGAAATCCGTCAAAATTGCATTTAGAATTCCAAAACACCTTACTAAGAGTTTTGTATATACGTTTTCCTGGCATTATTAGTAAATTTAGGCAGCTTAAATTGACGAAAACTACCGGAATTGGCCAAAAGCGATCAATTTTACCATCTATTTTCGGTATGTTGCCACGGACCAAAAATAAAATTCCTCTTCGATGAGAGGACATACCGTATGTTCAAACATTTTAAAGCTACAGGAAATAGTAGGAATCAATAATTATAATAAGCCATAGGGCTTTAAAAAATTCCATCAAATCCCCTAGACATGCTTGGGGGATGAAAATGTAAAGTGTTGAGCCAGGGGCTGAGAGAGACTAGGGAGGCATAAGTGTGGCTGGTGTGTGTATGTGTGTGTATGTGTGTGTGGGGTAAGGGTTGTGCGGGGCTGGGGAAGGAGTGGCTCCAGCCGCAGTGCAAATTTCGTAGCCGCCTGAGGATATAGAGAAAGGGTTAGAGATACGGGGGGCTAAAAAGAGCGTGAGAGACGCAGAGTGTCCCCCTCTACCCCCGACTATTCTATGTCTGCCCTCAGGCTACGAGCCTTCCCCCCTCTCTCTTTTCCCCCAAAGCCTCCCACTACCCCCGATATTGATAGAGGACGATCGAAGGCCGTTCCCCCTTCTCTCCCATTCATTCCGCCCATTCCAAATGACGCGTATAGTTTTTAGATGCGTTTTTTAAAAGTGCCTCTGGGATGGTCACTTATGAATCATGATCAACATGACCTCTCTCTCTCCCCCGTTCTCCCACACACCCATCCCTCCCTTTTCGTCTCGTTCCCTCACCCAGTTGGCCCACTTGGACCGCCGGTATCGATTCACCATCCAGCTTTGCCTCACCAACCTCCCCCACCCCCTTCCCCCCTAACCTTATCATAGCCATTTGGTCCATCCCCCAATTCCACCCTAAAACTTTTCACCACCCGTTTCCTTGACAGCTGCACTATTCGACCCGAATCCACCACGAAAAATCACAAAATCAAAAATCACCTGCCAACAATTCCGACCTGATTCCTAATTAACACTTCACTAAATTCTGTAAATAAAAATTACACCCAAAAAAACCCCGGCTGACAGTCACCAATTCCAAAAATTTCAGTCTAAATCCCCTGAATCACGCTAGAACACCTTACACCCACCTTGTTGAGTCATCCCTCTCAAACACGCATCAATACATACTAGCTTTCAAGTGAATAGTTAGACTCTAGGCTTTCTTTCCCGATTGGGAGCCATTGTAGGGCTTCCACAACGGAAAAGTCGGCCGTCTGGGGGTTCGCGAACGCTTTTCATGTGAACTTTTCAGCTCCTCTCTCTCCTGAATTTATGAGCTTCCCGTCCTGAATATATTCCAAGAAAGAATCTAATCGAATATTCGTGGGGAATTTAGCAAGCTGCATTTTTTTTCTTAAATTTAAAGAATGCTGAAGTAGGAAGGGTTACGCAAAATTTTGAAAAATTGGTTGCAAAATGTTGCGGAGCAAAATTATTTTGGAAGCTCGTTTTCTTGCGTAAATGAGTCATCCCCTGGAGAAAACATTACTTCAGAAATAACTTCAAACAGACAAGGAGTCGTTTTCAGGTGATAATGGATGTTTTCTATGTTATTTAATAGCTTGATTCTGCAAAAGTCCTATCTTTCAAAAAAAAATAGCATTTGAAGGGGCGATTTGGCCAATTTTTCATCCTGCTTCACAAAATATCAAGATTTTCAAAAATTCGACTTGTCAGAAGTTCAAGCACTACCCAATAAGCTAAATCTAATTCCAAGATGCATAATTACCTAAAACAACTCATTGTTAACCCTTGCCGATCCCCCAAACTTCTAAAGTTCCCCCAAAAGAACATCAGCCTCGTTCTTGCCCTCTTCCCCCTCCGGCCAGCCAGCGCGGCCCGTCAATCCCGGAGCTATTCCACTGGGTGCAAAATGCGGGAGGCCCCCCCTCCGTCCTCCCCCTATGGACCCTTTTTGGGGCTTGTTCTGCGCACTTCCGTGGGAGATGTCAGCCCCCCCTTCGGCGGGCGCGCGCCCCGGCTTCCGCCCTACCCTTCCTCTTTTTCCCAACGCTTTGTTCTCGCCCCCCTAATTCGATCACCAATGCCGCACAATCAATCCCATTTTTCTAACCCCTATTCCCAGCTTTTCGGAAGAACAAGCTTGATGGTTGCGGTTTTAGGGATTGATTCAAAAAATGTAACTTAAATTGATTGAGCCCATGGCTTCTTGATATATTCATTTTCAAATCCGATAAGATATCTAATTTTAGACGTAACAATCCCCCCACCAAACTTCCCAGGGTCACTTAATTCCTTCTCACCATCCGCCCCACACTTTACCTTCCCCATTTCTGTCAGCAATCAATTACCCCGCGTCAAGAGACAATCGCCTTTCCAGGAGCATGATAAGACGCCCTCAACGGAAAGACGAGACGCAGTGAAGCTAGAGGGCCTCCGCAAATCCAGCGCAAACTCTGCGTCCACATCTTCCAAGGTAACTCATTTCACAGCATTTACAGCCCTGGTTAACTCATTAGCTAGCTTTATAGCTACATACTCCAAACAACAATCTTGAAGTAGCCCCCGAAAACGTATAGCCATTTTCAGGTGGCTAGCCGACATACGGGTTCGGGGAAGCAGCTCCAACAAAACGATTCGATAGTCATGCATGCGACGAACGGCCAGCCCGCCGTGGTCCAGATGCCACCGAGTAAGCCACTAAGCAACCAAAAATCGACCTTACAAGACGAACATCCCTTTCAAACCCCCTCCTGTGGTGCTTCTCGCTTATCAGGGGGGGAGCACTTTTTATTATTATCTCAAAAACATCATAAATGGACAGGGGTATTTGAAAATGTTGCCACGTTTAATTTAAGCTTTTTCTGAAAATGGCCAAAAATTAGCAAAACCGGTTCTTTAGGATTTGTGGGGGGACGTTTTTCAGCGCAAGCCTAAATCTTTTATAAAAAGTGGATGCGTTTCGACATTGTGTTTAACTATTCCTAGGCATCACCATCGTGAAGATCTAATTAGCAATTAGATCTTATGTCGAAAAGTTGATTTTTCCGACCCAAAATGGCCAAATTTTCGACTTTTTCAAACCCTTTTCAAACTTTTTTTGAAATTATTCTACTTTAAATATAGCTGAAATTACTAACAAGAATGTAAAGTCACTTTGTATTTGACTACTAGGCCAGCTGGGATCGCCAGGAAAAAGTTTGGTCCCCCCCGCGAATCCTAAAGAGCCGGAAGACCCTACAATTTCGGAGATGCTCTATACGTTTTAGTTAGTAAAAACTGATAAAAACATAGGTAAAATACAATAATTGAAAGGTTTAGGCATAGGGTAAATGCATAGCCCAGGCTAAACAAAGATAATTTGCTGCCTCCCCCCAGCCGATAAACCGGAAGCACCCCTTCCGTAACCATATAACTAACCTACACATGGCCACATCGCTCAACCAGCCGCGCGCGAACCCACCGCTTCATGTTTATTTGCGTGCTCGGCAAACAACGGCGCCGGCGCGTTTTGTCTATGCGACGAGCGGGCGGTGCGCTGTGCCACGATTTCCTCCCTCCTCCCGTCGGTCACCGGCCTCCCATCGATCTGACAGCCCTAAATAATTGCATTTTTCAAAAACGTTTCCCCAACAAAAAAAAATTGCTCACAAATGTCGCGACCCCTGAAAAACACTCATTTCCAGGCTCCTCTTCACATCATAGCTCCAGCCACCACGGTCACCACTCCTCATCCCGCCCCCACGGCACGGCGTAAGTATTTATATACTGAAAATTTGATAAATGAGGTAAACCGCTGGTCAAGTGCATTGCGTAAGGCTAGACAACGAAGCGCTTAGATCTAATAAAAGCTTAAAGTGAAACGTCGGATAAGCCTAATAATGTTTGGCGGGTTGATTTCTTTGGTATATAAATCTATCCAACTCTACATTATCCGTAGGCATAAAGCCCTACCTCTTCCTACCCGTTATCAACTTCGTACTGTTAACTCCGGTTTTCCAACCTAAACTAGCGATTGCCCTGAATTTCCCATGCAAACTTATCTACCTTCTCTTGCTACTACAATATCTATATGTCCACATTATACTAGATTTCACAAAAGTATTACTGAAAACCATAGTGCTCAAATTTTGATCCGGCTTTCAATAAGTAATGCTTTCTACCAAAAAAACCAACCCTTTTTCAATGCGAAATCCGCTGCAGTTCCTCATTAATTCCCGTCATCGAATTCGCATTTCTTTTGACGGTATGCGTGCTGTATATGGGCAGGAAACGGCCAGTCCCCCGGCCACCCAGTTATTGATTGAAGCGGGGCAAACACAGTCACCCATCGCGCAAGAAGACCTACTGTCCTCGTAGGCTAATCACCAAAATATGCGTTTGTTCGGGTTGGTTAATTCAATGTAGATTTCTAAAACCGAAAATTACTGCAGAAAAGCAAAGATTTTGGTAGATTTATAGCTCGTAGCGTTCCGCGGCCAAAGCGTTCAGTCTTGTAGCCTTGTGAATTCTTTGAGCGAGAACTCCAGAACTTCCTTCATTTTGGCTTTTTCTTCGCCACTGACTGCCCACTCGCCTCAAAGCCCTTTACTAGCATGTGGCGCTACGACTTTGAGATTGAACGAGAGGGCGTTCCGCCCGTTTTCTATTTTAGGTGAGCGCTTAACCTTTTTTGACGGAATGTTGAAAGTAAAGCTGCGAGCCCAACGGTTTATTCTAGTAGAATTTAAAAGTTAGCTATTTTCATAGGCAAACGAAGTCTTACAGGTGTCAAACAGCCTGTTTGTGTGTGATTTTCAAAAACTCTGGAGTTTCTGGTTAATTAATCCTTTTTTTCAGCCCATCAGGCGCTCAGATTGCCGCTCGACAGGCCGCGGCCGCGGCCTCCGGTGGGCACGTCAGCAGCTCGATGAGTGGAAGTTCGCGCAATGCTGCCAGGTTTTGTGATTTCAAGCCAATTGTCATATTCTTTTTTAGGCAGCGCGCCGATGACCCACATGTCGGAAAATATAAGCTGCTCAAGACGATAGGCAAAGGAAACTTTGCCAAGGTGGGTTTTATAATCATTTTCATTTCTTTTCTTGCAGGTCAAGCTTGCAAAACACTCGCAGACGGGTCTCGAGGTCGCGATTAAGATCATCGACAAGACAGCCTTGAACCCAAGCAGTTTGCAAAAAGTTTGTCAGCTTTTTTGAGTGACATAACAGTCCCGTTTAGTTGTTTCGTGAAGTGAAAATTATGAAGCAACTTGACCACCCAAATATTGTCAAGCTTTTTCAAGTCATCGAGACAGAGACTACTTTGTACTTGGTGATGGAATACGCAAGCGGTGGCGAGGTGCGGATTGTTTTTTGATGAAATAACCCTGTTTAAGGTATTCGATTACCTTGTTGCCCACGGTCGCATGAAGGAGAAGGAAGCCCGTGCGAAATTTCGCCAGATCGTCTCTGCAGTACAATATCTACATTCCAAGAACATTATCCACCGAGACTTGAAGGCTGAAAATCTTCTTCTCGATGCCGACATGAACATCAAAATCGCCGATTTCGGGTTCAGCAATCATTTCTCCGTTGGGAACAAATTGGACACATTTTGTGGTTCACCGCCATACGCTGCGCCAGAACTGTTTCAGGTGTGCGACTAATTGCTCGGCATATTTCTCTTTTTTTTAGGGAAAGAAATATGATGGGCCAGAAGTTGACGTTTGGAGCTTGGGCGTTATTCTGTATACATTAGTTTCCGGGTCCCTCCCGTTTGATGGGAACAATCTCAAGGTTTTGATACATTCCATTCAAAACCAAATACTTTAGGAATTACGAGAACGCGTCCTTCGTGGAAAGTACCGCATACCTTTCTACATGTCGACTGATTGCGAGAACCTGTTAAAGAAATTCCTTGTTCTGAACCCTCAAAGGAGAGGAACGTTGGATTCGATAATGAAGGATAGGTGGGTTCTTTGGCATTAGCTAGTTTCCATTGGGTATTTTTATCTAAATGGAATATTCAGATGGATGAACATTGGCTATGAAGACGATGAGCTAAAGCCCTACATTGAACCGCAAAAGGATCAACGGGACGAGGCGCGGGTCGGAAAGCTAATTTCGGTAATGATTTCTCAACAGCTTTAAAATACTTTGTAATTTAGCTCGGCTATCGCAAAGAGAACATCATTGAAAGTTTGGACCGAGAGAGATTTGATGAAATCCACGCGGCATACTTGTTGCTTGGAGAGAAGAAGTCTGATGTGGGTGATAATCAAACTGCAGCGTTTACTGCATGTTTGGGAGCATGGTTAAAAAGTTTGAAATCAACGCTAGCTATTGACAAAGCTAAATTCTGACAGTGGCCCTTCTAAAAAGAGGAGCGTCCACTTTAGACGGCGGTTTTTCCCCCGAGGTTCTCTGATGGGTTGGGTGCCTGCCGAATTGTTTGCTTTCGGCTTGGTGTTTTTAGGATGGAAGCTAATCCAAGTTGTTATGAAAACCACCTCTCCCCCAAACCCCTTGTTTCCCACCGCTGATTAGCTCCCATTAATAACATGGTTAGATGGACGAGTTGGTCGCACCGCCGGCCCAGAATGTGACTGCATCAACGCATAATGTCGCCGGGGGTGGGGCGTCGGCTGGCATTCATTCCAGCCATGGCCAGTCGGTAAGAAATAAATGGCGTGTCGTGGTGATGTCTGTCATACCTTTGGCCTGTAGGGAATGGCTATTTTCCACTAATATTTCTTCCTCTGCCATGCATGCCTAAATATGGGAGTTTACTTGTCATATCTCCTATCATAAAAACTAGAATCAGGATAGAGATATACGTTTGCATGAGATATTCCGTCCTGCTCGCATTACCTTTCCTATCCGATCGAGTTTGGCTGCGTTAAATGGTTGATGAACCGCAGCATTTTTGTTAGTTGTGCATCCCCATAGATTTTGCGTAGCACGTCTACGTTTGTGCTAAATTTAATTTATAAATTTCAGCCATCGAAATATTCACAATCGGCTTCTGCACGGGTATCTAGCACGCAGGCTGGATCACAAGCTACGACCGCAACGCTTGGGGCCACCACCGCCAAGGTTTGTTGCGCTTCGTTTTTGATCTTGAAAAGATGTATCCCCTGATTTTCCGCGTAACTCTTTCAGGAAAAAGGCCGCCGTAGTTCGCACGCTGACGCGGCCGTTAGCGGCATGCAGCAACACAAGGTTGCGCGTTTTTGCGCTTGTCGTTGCGGGAGCCGTTTTGTATACTGTTTCATAAAATTAAAACTCCCACATCGGCAGCTTCCTCTGTGCAACTAGCTCTCTAGGAGACCTGGTGTCTGTTTGCGAAGATTGTCCGTTTGCGTCCCTAAAAAGGCTAGTGTGAGAAGAAATCTCTAAGGAATTCTTTTGGCCTTGGTTCATAGAAGAGTGTTTGACTGCCTGCATTTTACCCTATAAGCTCACTCCGGAGCCCTTTACGTCGATGCCAACTCTGCATTTGGAACATTTTATTTTTTCAGCCGACCGCTGGAACAGCTACATCCGGTGTCCAGATGCGCTCAACAACATCGACTCGCGGGCCAGTGTTGTCGATGCAGCCTGCACCCCAAAGCACTACAACAAAACGTATTTTTGTGGATTTTAACTTATCACTTTATTTAGGTAACACGCAATTCGATTTCGCGCCCCCGGCGGCGGGACAAGCCGGAAACCCGAGCACTGCACCTTTTGGACGGCCAGCGGCCCAAACGACTGTTGGGAGTGTTGTCAGCAGTTCGAAAAGACAGTCAACGGGTCGAGTGCCATTGATGACTCTTGCTGGACGGGTTGTTCCGGCTTCACATCACAGAGAGTGCGTTTTAGAGTTATGACTTTTTTGGAGAAGAAGCCTTTGTCAATTCTCTAGCCTGGAATTCCTTTCATATGCCTTCGTATACTTATTCATTTCAGTCCGTTGACGAATGGCTCATCTTCTGCTCGCAGCTCATCGTCAACTGGTCCAACTTCGGCAACGCTTATAGCGAAGCTACCACCTCCTATTTCGAACACTCCTGCTGTCCCGCAAGCTGCACAACTTGCTCATAAGATGATACCGCCACCTGTGACTGGACTACAGGTAGTTTCCGATGCTTTGATGACATTTTTGTTTCAGAAAAGCGGTTCTGTGTCCCACACGCCCGTGGAGCCCGTTATCCGGGAGGATGCCGAGGAGGAGGCTGCGCCCGAGGCATGCTTTCATTTTAGTGTCTTTTATTTCATTCAGATTCCCTCGCACGAATCCACACCAATGCGTGGAGATACGCCGACGGAGCTTGCTAATCAACCGCCGAAAGACACGTCTGCCCCTCTGCCCACCCCGCCGCACGATGTCGAACAGCACAAGTATTACTTTTTGCCGATACTCTTTCCCCACCAAAAGCATGAAAAGCCTTGGTTGGCTCCGTACTGGTCCCAAGCTGAAAAGTTCGCATGCACAAAGCGGGTTGCACGAGGCCACGCTCTCGCAAATGTCTCTTTCTGCCAGCCCTGCTCCTCCTTGAACAGAACGCATTTTTGGTTCCTCATTTCCGTGGTGGATGTGTTTGGTCTTCCGTTTTCCCCAGCAAGCATGTAGAAATTTGGTCCCCGGTAGCTTTCTCAGCCCAGCATCTTTATTTTGTTTAACGAGTCGACTGGAGTTTCTTTTTTCCGTCATGCAGTCAGTTGGTTTCCGTGCGTAGCAGTATAACTGGTGCGCCAATTCCATCCTGGATTAACTTGACGGTCGCGACCGGAACCGAAATACTCATTGATCCGGTTGTTCATCATCATCCTCCCTAGCTGTTGTGACATTTGCCTGTAGCGTTCCCTTGCCAGCCCTCTTTGTGTGTGTCTTTCGAGCTAACCCGTCAAATTCCGTAAAACGCGGGATATGCTCCAGGTAGTTCCCTGGACTAACAGATGTGTTTGTGCCATTTTTATAACCAAAAACGGGTGTTCCCTACAGCCCGTCGAGCCTGGCGTTGTCGCGGTTGCTGTCTGGGTTGAAGCTACCTGGCCTCGGAATGAATCCCGCATCTACCCCTGCCTCGTCACCTCCCCTTCCCCATGCCTCATCACCATCCGGCTCACCATCCATGGCATCGCAGATAGCGGCCTTCATCACATCACCCTTCCGACGCTCCAATTCCTTCCGCATGGTCATTCTTTGATTTTGTCGAACCTGGTGGTGACTATCGTAGAAATACGTCGTGCTTGAATTAGTAGTCTTTCCGTAGCTGCGTGCATTTTTTTATCAGTTTGGTTTCAAAGTTTATACACCCAGGAGCGGTTTAGTATCGAATGTTCGACTCGCTAACCGGGGGGCGTCACTCTAGTCTTAGCAGTTGAATTGACTATTTGACGAACAATCTAGCTTCCTAGACCTCGATAAATCCACCTCAGTTAATTTACAATTTCGAGCAATTGAGCCTACCCAAATTCGCAAGAAGCTTCTAGCCCCCTGCTTGGCCTCCGATTGAATCCCTTAGTTAGCATGTACATCCCCTTCGTTCTTGTGAGTAGGGCTGGCAGATAAATTTCTAAAAGTTTTTGTCTAGATTCATCCATTACTTTTAGGCCGTCGACACTTCACCCGAGTCCATCCATGCCGCCTCAGATGATAAAGGAGGTGTGTTAATTTCTATGAAGCCTACCGGACACTTTTTCAGATGGACAACCTATCACTGGAGGGAAAAATGACGAAGAGCGCGACGGGAACAGCTCTCCCCTCGCACGGTTCGACCGCTCCAGCATCACCCAACCCATCGGGCCCTCTACTATCCAGCGCCACCCGCTCGACTCCACCCCCAGCCTCCCCTTCTAATCAGGTAATGTTTGCCCCGGAATTTTATTTCCACGTCAAATATCACATGGTTGTCCTCGAAATTCGCTATAGTGCCATGTATTTCACCGATATCCGCTTTCTTCGCGCCTCCTTCTTTTTGATCATAACGTTCCTCACATTCACTTGGTTATAGCTTGTGAAAAAGACGGGCTTCCGCGGCAAAGCGTTTATTAGCATTGTAAGTTTTGGCTGGACAGCCTCCACTAGTCGGTGTGCAATCAAGGCTGGATCTAACTCTCGGCTAGTGTTCGTTAGGCGCTCCCTTCGTATTTTCTTTTCGCCTGCTCCTAGCTTCCTGTCATCTGTCGTAGTCATCAAAATCTCGCGGTACTCGGGTATTGTGGCTTGCCGTCTGCTCTTTTTTTGGTTTTTTCTTTGTATTGTCGGCGCTGGAGCGTTTGTGACGCTGTGTATTTTATTTTGTTTCGCTACTTGCTTTTTTTCGCGTTAGCAAGCTGAGCAGTAACTGGGAAGTTTTGTCGGGTACTTGCCACGGACCTTGTTTGCGTGGTTCGTTCCAGACAAGACTTCCGCATACTCGCGCAACAGCTAGGCTTCATGTTTGGTCATCTGGAAGCTGACGCGGCAATGATTAGTCTCAAAACCAAAGACTGGTATTATCGGCCCGTTAGTTGGACATCCGTGTTTTAATTCTCGCTCTACCCGTTTGACCAAACGGTGCACGTTAGCACTAACTATGTGTCTCGATCTTATCGTCAAGTTTTCAGCCAGTCACCGGTGCATCAATCGCTCCCAACACCTCTTCACCACCCGGGTCCGCTTTTCCACGCAACAGCCGCAATCGCCAGACATTCCACGGAAAAACTGAACATAACAAGGTATATCTCTTTCTTCCCTTTTTTCCTTTTTGGCTTTAATCAATCGCCCTTTTTTTCCTTTGTTGCGGGGCATCCCGCCTATACGTGATTTATTTCTCACTGTTCACTAAAGTAACATGACAGCCAGGATGGCTTTTATTAACGACTCCACGCTTTTATTTGCGAGCCGTTTTCTTCAGAACATATGTTTTATACATTTACAATATCCCAGTATGCAAAACCCATGGGTCGCTTTTCATTTTTCTTTATGAAATTGCGTCCCTCTGATCTATGTATTGGTCCCAGGTCCAACTGTTTCCTACCGCTTGAAATTTTTAGTGGGTCTGATAGCTTAGCTGGGCGGGTATAAGACTTAAGAATTGTCGTTTTCGATTTTTGGTAACCTTGGGCGGTTCAACAAGAATTTTAATTAAATTAACGAACTCTGTCATGGGTACTTCATTTTTAGGGAGGTGATGACGGCGATGATTCGGAAGCTGAAGCTACTGCAACACCTGGTACTGGCATTCAATCGGCACAAAAGGGCGGCTTCTTCCTATCGAAGCTTACCAAGCTCACGAGACGGTACGTCTTGGCATTTATGTGTTTGTCCCGTGTGGCACGCCCTCTTTTTGTTGCTTGGAAGGTAGAGCTAACCTAGAAGTATGCATGTTACGCCTCCTTTTACGCTAACCATTTGGTGTTTCTAACGGGTTTTTTTGCTTGCCAGACATTCGGGTGAAAGCGACATTATGGGCACCTTGAATGAAGTTTTTGCTGTGATGCTATTCACCCCGCTTACATTGATACCCTCGGCCCTAAATTAATGATCGCAATCCCCAGAACGCAATATTGGGTTGTTTGCTGTATGACGGGTTAGTATTACTCAGTTTTTCAAATCCTGATTTCTTTGGCAACGACGTGTGGTTCGCAACCGTCCCTAATTTGTTTTTTTTTTGTATGAAGAGGGTCTGACACTTTCTACCCCCTACTTACATCTAATGGGGGTCCTAGCCGAGGTGCCTATCGTGTCGTTTCAGCCCTTCGGCAGCCGCCGCAAGCGGTTTACCTCCACCTTATGTTTCGCAACTTCGATCCGGACAGAGGCAGGTTTTGGGTTTAGCTACAACGCACTCATTCTATTCAACTTGGTCATAGGTTTACGCTTGTTTTTTTTCTCCATCGGTATTTTAGTTTCGCTTATAGTGTTCCGCTTACCTTTAGCCGCTTTACATTCGCGTCAGCTGTTGCATGCTTCTCCTTTTATTCATCAATACGCCCTTTACTGTCGGTTTAGCATAGATCGTGTCGTTTGAGTATCCACTGGCTTTCATCATAGCATTTGGTTATTTAAGGAAAATGCTGCGATACTTATGGTCATAGACTTTTCGCCATGTTTACATCCAGATTAGGATCATTACTTTAGCCTACTCTTTTGCAAAAAGCTTAGCCATCTATCTTCGTCGTTACAGGGTTCCTGGTCATGATGGTGTGTTGAGTGCTACGGGTCCACACTCGGGACGAGCTGGAACGATTGGTCCAATCGCGGGGCAGGTATGAATTGGATCTCTTTCCGTTATTCGATCTTTTCTAGGCAGCGGCTGCACAGCTCCGCGAACTGCGTGAAAATGCTGGCCTATTGGCCAATAGCAACAACACGACGCCCGAGGGCTCTGCAGGTGGGAATCATTCTTTATCGAGCAATAATTTTTGAGGTTTAGGTCCCAATGACATCAAACCGCGATCGCTTCGGTTTACTTGGAGCATGAAAACCACGAGCAGTCTGGCACCGGATGAGATGATGAGGTAGAATAATTATTCGCGCCTCATTTTAACGCGTTGTCAGGGAAATCCGGAAAGTACTCGATGCGAATTCGTGCGATTACGAACAACGCGAACGATATCTGCTCCTTTGTGTTCACGGGGATCCCAATACGGATAGCCTGGTTCAATGGGAAATGGAGGTGAGCATTCGTAACTTCGCTGCTCATGGTGTGGCAGCTTGGCTAAATTGTCATTTTCAGGTTTGCAAGCTGCCCCGGCTGAGCTTGAACGGCGTACGGTTCAAACGCATCTCCGGGACCTCAATCGGGTTCAAGAATATCGCATCTCGGATCGCCCAGGAGCTCAACCTTTGATTGGCGAAGACGAATGCTTCAGTCGCATCCCACAACGAATCCCTGAACATGATGGACCTCTAACTAACCTGCGATTGGATCGATTGATTGGCTCTTTTCGACTAACCATTTGACGGATTTTGGTGTGTTGTCCTTCATCAACCGGTGTTACAATCGTGCTTTTCTCATGGCAGCCGATTGTAGAGACCATCATTGAGCGTTGGATGATTCCCATTTACCTAGTCTTTTCCCTTCCACCACCCCCACCCCTTCCCCTTTCGTATTCGACTCCTTATACATCTGCCGCGATCATTCACCCCCATTCGTATACGGGTTGTGCGCCCCGTCTCTTTTTTACACCACTAATTCTACTTCGGGCGAACATCTTTTTTGGCCTTTTTGGGCGTTGGGATTGACGCTTGGCCTATAGCATGTCGGCTTCGGGGTTTCGGATTTTCGGGAACTTGGTATTGGCCACTTGGGAGGTTAGCACCATAGAACCCACCAAAAAGGATGAGCCGAGCACATCCACTTTTTGGAATGTCCACTGCACGCCTTTTTAATTTAATTTTTGATTTCTTATACTTGTCGCCGGCGAGGCCGCTGGCAAGTAACATTGAAATACTGCGCCGTCGAGAAGTTTATTGACGGCCTTTCTCTTGTGCTATGCTCGTACCCTTTTTGTCCTTTTGGCGTGCTATGGTTTGTCATTTTATTGATCAACGTTTTAAATAGCTCTGAGTCATTCTTTGTGATGTCTCCATCCTCCTACCCATCCCTCCCAAAACAAGTCTCGATTCGGGCCTGCAACTTGTTTTGGTTAGCGCGTCGGTGTGCTGTGTAAAAGGAGAGACAATCCATTCTACCGACGCTTCTCAGAATAAAGGACAAGATCTACACCGTTCACAGCTACCGAGCGCTTTCCCCTCCGTTGATTATCATATTAGGTGTACTTTGTGAATTTTGTTCAGCTACCCTACATTTTATTTACTGATTTCGATGTATCAATTCCTGGTTAAATCTTTGTGGTCTGAATTCAATGCATGATTTAATAAAAATGAACGAGTTTATTGAAACGCAGCACTGGCGCAGAGTACTAGTAAACAGACAAGCCGTATTTTGCTCGAGACTTCCACCAGACGGAAAATTCACTCAAGAATTTTACGTCGGCAAAGACAAATATGGCGATGGCCTCCTCGGCACGTTCCCACGGGCCAGATAAATGACTCATCTGCCGGTGGAGAAGGTCGATTCGTCTATGTTTGTTTGTGTGTCGTGCCGAGGGCTCAAGCTAAGCAACGACTGGTTCATCCAAACGCCACTCCCTCGGCCATGTTTCCCTATAAGTGCTGAGGCCCGACCTACAACTGGCTTCGTTTTTCACGAGCATCTTCGCGATGGTATCCCAAGCAAGCCATGCATTTTAGAATTACTTGCAATTTTTTATTAGCCCCCTGACTATTCCAAATTTAGCATAATGCGTCTAATAGTCTGCTCGATGCTTATTGCCTTCACTCTGGCCGCTACGGTCCATAGGTCAAAGCGCCAGGTCTCCGTATATTACTTATGCCCTGGAATTAATGGTGGATACATCAGCCAATACCGTGAGTTTAGTTTAGTGGCGCCTTCAGTTTAGGGATAAAAATCTAAGATAACGTTAAGCCTGCTCAAATACTGGATGTTGGGGCAACGACGGTTGCAATTACAATTCAAATCCATGTGGAAGCAACAACTGCAACTACAACCAGGTAGCCTATATTTCCTTAGCCACTAACTGTTGGATTTTAGCCATCCCTGCCTTATTCTTTCTACAATAGCGGCTACAATTGCAACAACGGCTGCACCAATGTGAACTGTAACAATTACGCGGGCCAGTACATTAATGGGTGCGCAGGTTTAACTTTGGGCTTAAAACGTATAAGGAAAACCACAAAACCCTAAAATCTCAGCCAATACGTCGCCTATTCGCAAAACAACAACCAATACTCGGCCTGCGCTTCAAACTGCTGCAATAACTACTACAACCCTTATAGAACGACTTGGAATGGAGATTCTGGTATTAATATGAGAAGTTTTTCTGGGAAAGCTATTCTTTTAGCAACTACCGATACTGCCCAGATCGGACAGGGCGCTGTTGTAGCGGCAAGGTCAGCGAAAAATGCAATAAAACCTATTATTTATGTTTTAGAAGCCCCCCGGTTCCGGCTGTCGCCCCAGATCTTTCCGCTGCCATCAAAGCAAACAAGAGAGGAAACTAATTTTGAGTTGAGCCCCCCTTCAGTCCCAATCAGCGTCTCTCGCCTGCCGGTACCATAAAGCCGATGAATTGTATTGTATATATTTGTCATAATAAATCTATTCCCAACGGTGTAAAAAAGCGTGTAAAAAGATCGCACCTTCAGGAATGGCTCGGAAGCCATGACATTGCATGGAGTGAGGTAGCCGCGCCTCCGCTAAAACCTGCACAATTTTTTGAACGATCATTTAGTCTATTTGGTTTCCGTTTTTTCGATGAAACTTCGGATAAACTATTTTTTTATCACAAAACAAAACTCGGGGTTGCTGTTTGGAAGGTACGAATTATGCCGCACATGGACCGTGAATCGTGCATAGGAGCGCGGCGTAGCCGTTTCGTATATTAACCATCCGGATTTATTTTCATTTGGTTGGGGGTTTTCTCGTTACTTCTTTGATTTCCCTCATACCTGATTCTCTCAAATTACTTCCCTTTAACTATGTATTTTTTTCAGCCACCCATCGGACCTTGAAGCCAAAAAACAACCGTCGCATGGCCAATGTGAGTTTTTTGCTCGTTTTGGTTTGGCGAATTCGGGGTTTTCACGATGGTGCGTGCGGATGATGATGTTGTTTGCAAAACGAATACTTTTTGGCTTGACCTTGAAAACAAGTGGTACTTGTGCACAGAGCTCAAATCTATTGTTCGTAAGGCTCGTAAAACTAGTCGTCCCGCGCGCGGCCTTTTCTGGAGAATGAATGTCCGTTTTTAGATAACCAACCTCGACGTCAATTCCAAGCTGAAGGCCCTGTAAGTTTTACTTTTCCATGTCTGGGATCCCTTCATATCGGTGAAAATTGAAATTTCAAATTCAGTGGCGTGTCCGACTTCATTTCGACGCGCCGCGGCGCCCCGGTCAACGCACTTTCTGAAGAGTTCAGACAGCTGATCAACACCTGGGCTGACGAGAAGGCGAGTCAAATTTTTGGTTCTGTCGCATTATCGGGGGGCGGGGCAAAAGTTTTTCTAAGGATTCTACTTTTCTAATATCCATAGAAGAAGTGTTTCTCAACTATTTTTTAGTATTCCTAAGCGTAAAGACTGCAAATTTTCATGAAAAATCCAAAAATAGAGATTTTTTGATCAAAATTTCGACTAAAAAATTTTCTTCCAATTTTTTTAAATTGTTTGCCACTTGAAATATAGTTAAAATGTACTAGAAACTGTGTTAAAATAGTTACTATTAAGTTACTAAGTTTTTCTGAACTTTTAGAAAAAATTAGCCCTTCTTCCGGAAACCCCGCCCCTCCCCCCGATATTGCGAACGCACAAATTTTTTGTTAAATCGCTTTCTTTAGTTGCAGAATAACGCTACCGTCGCCCTCGACCCGCCACCGATGAAGAGACGTCGATCAACTGACGTGCCTGACGATGCCGCCCCCCGTCGTCGAAGCCTGCGGATTTTGAATCAACAAAAAGGAGAGGTATCAAGTGGTTTTGTCGATTATATTTTTTATAGGAGGCCGACCAGCCGCCAGCGGCCGCCGAGCAGGGTATGAGAAGGAAGAGCAGAGACAGATTCAATCGGGTATGAAAATATTTGTCTAACTAACTTTTCTTTATAGAAAGAGGTTAACGTCGCGCCGGCCGATATGGTGGCCGAGGAGAAGCAGGAGGAGCCGAAGCGGTAAATTTTACTTATGACGGTGGTTTTACTTATTTTACTTGCGTTGGAACTTCGTAATATCTAATCTTCTTCAGCGAGCAGCCGCCACCTACCCTCTTGGCCCGTGGCATCTTTCCCATCGTTGAGGAAGATGAGGACGATGAGCAAGAACCGGGACCTTCGTGGCGTTAGACAAGTACCCCTTTTTCGCATTTTTAATTTGGGGTTTTGATTTTTCTTTTAATGTCGTGCCCTTTTGCGTATGTGGATTGTAATCTTATCATTTTCGTTGTGAAATCATTCATCATTTATTCATTCATCATTCATCAATAATTCCGCAATCATCATTGTGACATTTTTTGTATCGTTCGTCGGTCTTGGAGAATAAATATTTTCAGAAACTGCCCGGATACCTGACTTCATTCTGCGAAATAGCGCTTATTATTCCAACTTTCTTTTTTCCACGAATGATTTGCAAACAGCTGAGCCGAGCGGACTGAAAGAATCTGTACTAATCTGGGGGTGGCGTAGGGGCTGTATTACGGAAGAATTCTTTTTTTTCTATTTCAATTCTTAAATTCTTCAATTTCTTTCGTTTCATAACGAAGACATCGTGAAATAGCCAACAATGACTGTCCTTCTTTTTGAATTCTTATTTTTCAGTCTGTTTGTGTGTAATTTTCAAAAACTCTGGGGTTGCTGGTTGGCTAATCCTTTTTTCAGCTGATCAGGCGCTCAGATTGCCGCTCGACAGGCCGCGGCCGCGGCCTCCGGTGGGCACGTCAGCAGCTCGATGAGTGGAAGTTCGCGCAATGCTGCCAGGTTTTGTGTTTTCAAAGTCAATTGTTGTATTCTTGTTTTAGGCAGCGCGCCGATGACCCACATGTCGGAAAATATAAGCTGCTCAAGACGATAGGCAAAGGAAACTTTGCCAAGGTGGGTTTTATAATCATTTTCATTTCTTTTCTTGCAGGTCAAGCTTGCAAAACACTCGCAGACGGGTCTCGAGGTCGCGATTAAGATCATCGACAAGACAGCCTTGAACCCAAGCAGTTTGCAAAAAGTTTGTCAGCTTTTTTTTTAATTGACGTAACAGTCCCGTTTAGTTGTTTCGTGAAGTGAAAATTATGAAGCAACTTGACCACCCAAATATTGTCAAGCTTTTTCAAGTCATCGAGACAGAGACTACGCTGTACTTAGTGATGGAATACGCAAGCGGGGGCGAGGTGCGGATTGTTTTTTGATGAAATAACCCTGTTTTAGGTATTCGATTACCTTGTTGCCCACGGCCGCATGAAGGAGAAGGAAGCCCGTGCGAAATTTCGCCAGATCGTCTCTGCAGTACAATATCTACATTCCAAGGAGATTATCCACCGAGACTTGAAGGATGAAAATCTCCTTCTTGATGCCGACATGAACATCAAAATCATCGATTTCGGATTCAGCAATAATTTCTCCGTTGGAAACCAGCTGGACACATTTTGTGGTTCACGGCCATACGCTGCGCCAGAGCTGTAGAACTATCATGTTATACTACATCAATGGCGTGGGGCCCCACCAACAAGGTTTGTTGCGCTTGGTTTCCCGTCTTGACAAAATGTATCCCCTGATTTTCCGCGTAACTCTTTCAGGAAAAAGGCCGCCGTAGTTCGCACGCTGACGCGGCCGTTAGCGGCATGCAGCAACAAAAGGTTGCGCGGTATTGCGCTTGTCGTTGCGGGAGTCGTTTTGTATACTGTTTCATAAAATTAAAACTCCCACATCGGCAGCTTCCTCTGTGCAACTAGCTCTCTAGGAGACCTGGTGTGTGTTTGCGAAGATTGTCCATTTGCGTCCCTAAAAAGGCTAGTGTGGGAAGAAATCTCTAAAAGAATTCTTTTGGCCTTGGTTCAATAGAAGAGTGTTTTGGTTGCCTGCATTTTACCCTATAAGCTCGCTCCGGAGCCCTTTACGTCGATGCCAATTCTGCATTTGGAACATCTTATTTTTTCAGCCGACCGCTGGAACAGCTACATCCGGTGTCCAGATGCGCTCAACAACATCGACTCGCGGGCCAGTGTTGTCGATGCAGCCTGCACCCCAAAGCACTACAACAAAACGTATTTTTGTGAATTTAAACACATTTTAACACTATTTAGGTAACACGCAATTCGATTTCGCGCCCCCGGCGGCGGGACAATCCGGTAACGCAAGCACCGCACCTTTTGGACGGCCAGCGGCTCAAACGACTGTTGGGAGTGTTGTCAGCAGTTCGAAGAGACAATCAACTGGTCGAGTGCCATTGATGACTCTTGCTGGACGGGTTATTCCGGCGTCACATCACAGAGAGTGCGTTTTACAGTTGTTACTTTTGGAGAAGAAGCCTTTGTCAATTCTCTAGCTGGAGTTTCTTTCATATGCCTTGGTATACTTATTCATTTCAGTCCGTTGACGAATGGCTCATCTTCTGCTCGCAGTTCATCGTCAACTGGTCCAACTTCGGCAACGCTCATAGCGAAGCTACCACCTCCTATTTCCAGCACTCCTGCTGTCCCGCAAGCTGCACAACTTGCTCATAAGATGATACCGCCACCTGTGACTGGACTACAGGTAGTTTCCGATGCTTTGATGACATTTTTGTTTCAGAAAAGCGGTTCTGTGTCCCACACGCCCGTGGAGCCCGTTATCCGGGAGGATGCCGAGGAGGAGGCTGCGCCCGAGGCATGCTTTCATTTGAGTGTCTTTTATTTCTTTCAGATTCCCTCGCACGAATCCACACCAATGCGTGGAGATACGCCGACGGAGCTTGCTAATCAACCGCCGAAAGACACGTCTGCCCCTCTGCCCAACCCGCCGCACGATGTCGAACAGCACAAGTATTACTTTTTGCCGATACTCTTTCCCCACCAAAAGCATGAAAAGCCTTGGTTGGCTCCGTACTGGTCCCAAGCTGAAAAGTTCGCATGCACAAAGCGGGTTGCACGAGGCCACGCTCTCGCAAATGTCTCTTTCTGCCAGCCCTGCTCCTCCTTGACAGAACGCATTTTTTTTGTTACTCCTTGCCGTGGTGGCTGTTTGGGGGATCATGACAGCTGCGCAACGACGTTTGAGCAACTGGGGAAGGCGACGTTTGAGCAACAATGATTTCGTAGTAAGCGGGGCGGGGGGGGGGAAAGGGGTTGCTCAAGCGTCCTTTGCCCCAGTTGCTCAAATGTCGTTGCGAAACTGTCATGGTCCCGTGTTTCGTCTTCCGTTTCCCCGCCAAGCATGTAGAAATTTCGATCGCTGGCAGCTCCCACATCTTTATTTTGTTTAACGAATCGACTGGAGAGATGCAATTGATTTCCGTGCGTAGCAGGATAACTGGTGCGCCGAACCTATCCTGGAGTAGATGGACGGTCGTGACCGGAACTGAAAAAATTCAATAGAAGATCGTTTTGATTGCCTGCATTTTACCCTATAAGCTCGCTCAGGAGTCCTTTACGTCGTTGCCGAACATGTTATTGTTTCAGCCGACGACTGGAACAGCTACATCCTGTGTCCAGATGTGCTCAACAACAGCGACTCGCGTTCCAGCGTTGTCGATGCAGCCTCCACCCCAAAGCACTACAACAAAACGTATTTTGTAAATTTAAACACATTTTAACACTATTTAGGTAACACGCAAATCGATTTCGCGCCCCCGGCGGCGGGACAAGCCGGAAACCCGAGCACTGCACGTTTTGGACGGCCAGCGGCTCAAACGACCGTTGGCAGTGTTGTCAGCAGTTCGAAAAGACAATCAACGGATCGAGTGCCATTGAAGACTTTTGCTGGACGGGTCGTTCCGGCTTCACATCACAGAGAGTGCGTTTTAGAGTTATGACTTTTTGGAGTAGAAGCCTTTGTCATTTCGCTAGCCGGAATAGTCTCATATGGCCCTTGTATACTTGTTAATTTTAGCCCGTTGACGAATGGCTCATCTTCCGCTCAAAGCTCAGCGTCGACTGGCCCAACTTCGGCAATGTTTATAGCGAAGCTAACACCACCCATTTCCGACACTGATAAAACAAATCATCGCGCATTTTTGAGCATGCACACGTTTTGAAAAATATTTCGGCCGTTTTAGGAGAGGAGTACTCTTTTTGGTGACACTGGTTTCTTTTCAGTTGCATGCAATTTTCGCACATTGCGAGGTGACATCAAATAGACCATTTATGTGGAATGATCTTTGGGCGAGTTTTATTACGCCGCCGCAGAATTTCTAGTTGGTAGCTGCCGGATTATGGGACGGTGGATGATGTCTAATCAGGCGTGAAAACTGGGTTTGCTTCGATGTTATTGGGCGGAGCGTCGTAGGGGCGTTTAACGAAGGGTGGCAATTTTATGATGAAGAAGCTCTTGGTAGTTTTGATACCGAAAATAACCAAAAAAAAACATGCAAAAACGGCTGCATTTCTTTTTTGAGTTTTTTATTTCAGAGGATTACCTCCTGGTTTCCCACAGTTACGAACCAATTTTAAACGTAAACCCCTACAGTTTTGCTTAGCAGTGAAGTGCAAAAATCCACAGAAATTACAAATTAATCAAAATGCTGATAGGATTTTGTCTAGATCCCAGCCGCCCGTGTGCCACCGCCCCCCCGAGAATTTCCAGCCAGTGACGGCATCTAGTCAAAAGCATGATTCATCACGGAGTAAATAGTAGTATTACGGGCAGCTTTCAACGCTTCAACAAGCTGCTTTTAGGCACTTGAGAGGGGGCGGTACGCCTTCTAGAAGGAGGCGAACATTCAGACAGACGCAATTTCGCGTCACGTCAATCCGGATCTGGAGGCCGTTTTCGCTTACAAACAGACCCCGCTCGCCCCTTATAAGCCCGGGGACCCACAATCGGGGCACAACGATGGAAATCTGGAGACTCTCGCTTTCCCTCAGCCTCGCCGGTCACATATTTTCTATAGAATCTGTATTGTATTTCTATTTTATTTTAGGTCCAGTGCCCTGACATTTACAGCCTTTATAGATGAACTTCAATTGTAAAACCCTCCTTCTCGCGCTTCTCCTACCGATCGTGTTCTCCACCATAGCCATAAAAACCCGCTCCAAGCGCCAGCTGCAAACCGTCTACATCTGCGGTGGAGGCCAAAATCAGTACATCTCCAACTATCGTAACTTAATTACAAAAGCTTTGTTGTTCTAGCCCACATTTTAGCATGCCAAAATTGGGGCTGTTTGACCGGGAATGGCGGTTGTGCCAGTGGATGTTTCACTGGAAACTGCCGATATACACCTAATACGGTAGGCAGATGCATTAGAGTCAATATTTGGCTTAGGTTGTGGGAAACAGCTATTATGACCCGTACAACAACAACAACAACATCAACAACAACAACTGCAACACGGGCTGCGCGTCGGTGAACTGCAATAATTACTATGGGCAGTACGTGAATGGGTTCGTTGCTGTAAACTAGGTATTCGATTTGCAAAAATGTCAAATTCCAGACGCTACATTGCCTATAGCCCGGTGAATAACGCCTATTCGGCATGCGCCAGCTCGTGCTGCAATCGACAGCAATATTTGCCGCTCAATAATTGTAAGGGTTTTAAAGTTTACCGTAATACTCTATTATCTAGATAACACCCCGATTGGACAAGGCGTTTCCCCAAACAACAATTGGCCCGTCATTGGCCAAGGAGCAGTACCTACCAACTACCGTAGGTTATAATGTAAAAATCGTGCCTAAAAATCCGGTAGTTATTTCGCGTAGCCATGGTGTACCTTTACTAATAACTCGGAAATGTTTGTTATGCACATAAACGAAGCTTATGAAGTAATTCCAGACAGCTGCATTAACGGCCAATGCCCTACCGGTTATCAATGCCGTGATGGCCAATGTGTCAACCTCTACAACGCCCCACTGCTCCATTGCCGCACCGGCGACATCTGCGATACAGGCTTCAAATGTGGCCCTGGAAATCTATGTTACCCGTCTCTCTAAAATTTGTGCAAGCCGCAAACTGCTATAAATTATTAGCTCATTACGTTTGCAAGCACAAAAGCAGGCATTTATTCAGGAGAACATAATTCCAATGTAAAAAGGAGCCTCCTGGCGTGCTAAGATAATTCTATAGGCATTTAGAACCAAGGAATTGTACAAATTGGAAGCGCGATAATGTAAATAAGGGTGAAGACACAGAAGATGACTCGTCTGACGAGGAAGAGTTGCTCGAGTAGGGGTGAGGAAGTTGATTTTGCGACGGATGGACCGGGAGAGGTTTCTAAAATGGGTGAATTTGGTAATGTAGCTTTATATTATCAGTTACAAACTTAAAAGCGTTAATTACCTGCGCCCTCAACCTCAAGTGATAGTTCATGATCGTCCGTTGTTGACGGTCCGGTGCTGCCCAAATCCAGTAATTGATCCGACGATTCCCCTCGAGGAGTAGCTGGTTCCTCGTCACTCAACTGCGTCAAATATTATATATGTATATAATTATATTTATTTGCGCAACTTGGGGCCATACTTCTGGGTTTTTTTTTGCTTTTTACTTACCCCCGAGCCGATCGAGATCCCGGAAGCGACTTTTGGGAGTGGCTGGTCGTATGTGGTTGTGTCCTCTTGCTCACTATTTAATATCCTAAAGACATTCCGACTATGCCTCTTTGAAAGCCTACATTTGCGGATCAAAGCTGAGACCTTTCTGCCTGAACAGCGACTTCTTCGAAAGCTTGGCGAATGTTTCTGTTAACTGAAGCAACAACATATTTTTCAAAAATCCCTCCGTCCACGTACCTTCGGCATTGGGATGGTGTATAAATGTGGCAAAATTGAGAGCAGCCACAAAGAACCGGCATGTGCAATGAGGGCTCCACCCGTCAGCGCCAAGTTAAGCGCATACAAAACCACTAAAGATATTAGCAATTGGTTTAGCTTCTTGTCAAACCAATTTTCGGGACCCCACCAGAGCCGGGTGGCAGATCACGAATCAGATCCCAGCCGAACAGTCCTGAAATTTACAAGTTTTCAGTTCTTTCCTGCACATTTTTATCTAGTTGCTTTTCTCACCTTGTAATGTCATGTTAAAAACGATAAGCCCAATGGCCATCGCCGGCGTCTCAATCCAGAATGACGCCAGTGTGATCAGGCAGGAGATTATCTAAAAAATCGTGATCGTATCCCCACGTACTCCATCTAATTTTGGCAACGTATGAGGTCACCAGCCTCTAATCAACAATTCCATCCTATTCCTGGACCACAACGCAAAAATTTGTGCTCAATTTCTATTCGCGTGGGGTCGAGAGGGCGGTGTGAGCCGATTTGCGGCGAGGCCCAGATTGAGAATGTGGAATGGAGAAGCATCTAGGGAAAAGGACGGCACCTTCCTGTGGACGATGCTCATTATGCATGATGGTGGAAGAGGGCTGTGAATTCTATTCGGCATCTCAGTGCCCCCCTTTTCGGGGTCTTTTGAAAGGAAAACCATTCTCCCCTTGGACATCCCACGTAGAGGCCAATGGGAGGGCATTCAGACCCAAAAGTTGCCGATGAGGTTGGCTAACCGGAAATAGAAGTTTTTGTCTTGGGCAGCCCAGACAGGGATTTTCTACAAAAAATAGACGTACCGTGGGGAAGAGGACGGTGAGCACGAAGTAGGGGGAATGGCGACGCAGCTTCACACCGAATTCGAGCAGCGACCAATACCATTCGGGCTGAAGTTGAGCAATATCGGATATATTGAAATCATACATTTGTGCTGGGAACTTCTTGGGTGCAGCCACCAGGACCCCAGTAGCAATGTCGACGCCATGAATCATAGACTTCCCAGCCTAAAACTAGGTGTTTAGTTTAAGACCAGGCCGCATTCTTTCACGTTTAATTTTTTTAATTTTTGTGTGGAAAACAGAATTGGACCGCCTTGACGCCATTTCGAATCCATTGACCGGCAGGCGCTGCAATCCCCTTACACCCTCAATTCTATTTGGCTGGACGAAAAGACCGCGGCTGTTGAAATACCACAAATCGACGTCTCGACTACGGTACCTAGAATGCAAAAGAGAGAAAGAGAAAAAGGGAGGTGGAGAGGTGAGGGGCGGGGCCCGATCTCTGGGACGTGAACCCATCTGGAGAAAACCGAGGGACGTCTTCTCATTTCTGCGCTCGTATCCCCGGGGCACCTTCGCATCACAGGTCGGTTTCCTTATTACAGGGACTGGGGCAGTAGGACAATCTTCATTTGTTCTCTTTAAGGATGCTCTCCACCGTTTTTTCGTGTCTATTGTTGGCGTTGGTGGCGTTTTCGGCGTTTACGACAGCAAAGCCAGCACCCGGCGAGCCAAGGTTGGTTCTGATATAAGCAAACCAGATTACCACTACCTTCATTTTAGGCCGGTTGTTTTGCAAAAGAAATGGTATAACTGGAACGGGGCCGATCTGCAGGTACAAAAGAAATGGTATAACTGGAATGGGGCTGACTTGGATATTCAGAAGAAATGGTGTGTGAATTTTATCTTTGCCAGCAATGCATATTTCTAGGTACGATTGGCAGGGTGTCTCAAATGCCGAAAAGCGGGAAGAGAAGCGCTCCAGTCACGCCTTTGAGGTTTCCACTTTGCCAACGAGTTTCCCCAAAAATATATTCCCGTATTTTCGGAATAAACCCGACAAATCCCCCTTCATCTCGTCAAAAAGAGGGGGAATTAGAATTCGCCGGCCAGGGGGCTGAGTATTGTCAACAGGCACGTCTTGTGAATTCCAAATTGTTTGTTGAAGAAGGGAGTGGGAGGTGGAGAAGGAGCAGGAAGGGTAGCGCGCATCTTTCTCGTTTTTAAAACAACCAGGCCGTAGAGATAAATGTCCTAGATCAAAAATTTGCCCAGATTTTATTACCCTTAAGTCTAAAAATCCCCAGATAGCGCGTCGCCTTCTAGATGCCTAATCATAAAAATGCATATTTCAGCGGATCCCCGTGGACCAAGAGCAAATCGTTTCCGTCTACGACCCGTTTTTGCGGCGATTGTAGACCCAGGATTCACCCATCTGGCTGCCCCATCTTGGCACCAATAGCTACCAGTCTTCCCAGCGACAGTATTTTTTGGATGAAGTGGATGGAATAAAATGTTGTCTTTACAAGGGAACTTTCGCCTACTTTGTCAGTGCCGAAAGACTTGGGAAATTACATAACACACCCACCGCCTACATGTTTCTTCTCCATTTTCTTCACGGGATCAAAATTGAGGCGGATGGCCGGCTTGTTCCAGGGTTTATCGCCCTACAAAAAGAACTCTTAAAATTGGTCGACTTTACATACCGAGGGATCCGATAGGTTAACCTTCGCCAAATCATAGACCCAGTCTGCGATCACAATAGGGCATTCCTATCTAGAAAGTCAGCAAACTTGAATGTATCGTTACCTGTTCGTCAAAAGGCCAGTCGCGGAAGTTGAAAAGACATGTAACTTGGAAGGAATAGGCGGCTGTTGCCCATATCTATATACTCATTTCTAAATATCACTTCCACAAAGAATACCTTTCCTGACGAGCTGACCATAGCCGGCATTCCATGCATGTAGAGATACCATTGATTTGCCTTAGCACTAAATAAACAGTGGATTTAGATCAACATAAATATAGTTTTAAATGAATTAGAATAAATATAATTTCCAATTAGTTTCCATGGCGTACCTGTTATACAATGAGAGGGCTGGCTGCCAGATCTTGTACGCATCGACACTGAGCCTTGTTGTACCGTTCCAATCCTAAAGGGCATATATCAAGCATCTTTTTCTATACTTTCGGTTCCCAGGTGAGATATTCATCGCTCCACGTCGTCCAGAGATTCCCATGGACCAGCATAGTCTGCTCGTTTTCATTCTACTTCGCTTGCTTCGGAATAACTAATATAATTACCACATTCTCGACGTGCGTCACTGACAGATAGACTTGCACGCCGACGGTCGTAGACTCTTTCTTCACAGGTCGGTGCTTGCGGTTGTAAGCTAAACGCGACACTATTTGGTAAAAAACTAAGGCTCACTTTTGAACAGCGTATCTTCCAAAGCCTTGTTCATGCCACTTGTCTGTGCGCCAATTTCCCAAAAAATCTGGGATAGAACAGTTAGGACGCATAATATTCGCAGGCAACCCATGGTGGGAATAGCTAGGGGAGAGCAGCCACAGGGGCCCATCTATGACTTCCATAGACTCGGCTCAGATTTCGTTCGCAGCTAATAAACTGTGCCCTTCCCACAAGCTACTGTAAACAAACTGTCAGTTGCGAAGCGCTGCCACCAAGCGCTGACGTATCGCTGTTGCAAGAAGGAAAAACGTTCTTATACCGATCAGTGCATTGAGGAATCCTTTCGAGACAAATGTTCCAAACAATTTATTTCTAACCCGTATTGACTAGCCTATACGGCTATTAACTGCGGCACTTTTTAGCTTCTAGCTGCTCCAATGAAAAGGAGTCGCTGCATCGCGTCGAGCTGCTGTCCGAAACGGATGCTGAGCTTTTTGGAGCATTTGTCTAAATTAATAGAAAATGAATGCCATATTCAAGAAATTCACCTCCGCCAAATGAGTCGGATGTCCCGGTTGAGTGCGGAATAATTCGCTCTGGGGCTGGAAATATTCTTTATCAGAGATATATTCACCAAGGTATACCTTTCCAAGAACACGAAAGTAGTACGCATTGTATGCATAAAATAGGGGAAGCATCACTGCAGGGATGATGCCAAGGGTCCATCCAACAAACTTGGTCCATGTCGGGAACGAATACATATCGGCGCCTAAATTAGGGGGTCATATGAAGTCGAAGGCTCACCGTTTCCGTATGTTGAAGTACCACTGAACATGCCGTAGATGATCAGGGCCGATGTGCACTAAGAAAAGGTTTTCAGAAAAATCATGACGGCACCATTAGGACGATGGGCGAGACGAGTAGCCAATTGTAGTCGATCATATGTCCTAGCGGGCCAAACCAACGCCCCAGCCAGGTGGATGGCTCCCGGAACATCAACCGCATATCACTCCGCCATCTCTTCAGCCCTAGAATATTCGGCAGTAACACATGAACAGATTCTTTTCAAAATAACAAAAAGTTCGAACGCTCACCATAACTAATCAAAATCATAAACACTTCGGCCAGGATCGCAGCGCACAACCCGAACGAAGCGCTGTAATCGTTGAAGAGCGTAAAGTAGTAGATCCCCGCCTATAAGATAGGGTAATATTACTAGCCAAAAGCCCACCCGAGTACACATCAAAATGCCGATCGCAAAATCAAACGCGCAGACAGCGAACACAACCAAATGCCGATGCTGACGTGCTTGAGGGAATTGATCAAAGAAGCTCGTCGCCACACCCTCAGCCATTGCTGAAAATAAGCAGGAACTGAATTTTAGCAGAATCAGAAAAAGCTTACCGTATTGACTAGAAACACCTATCAGGAAGATCATGAAGAAGAAAAGGAAACTCCACAGCCAGGGTAGTGGCAGCCGGATGATAGCTTCGGGGTACGCAATAAACGCCAGCGACTGTCCTATAAGAACATACATGATAAATGTTCAAGATTAATGCTTTACCTTCAGCCACTACTTCTGAAATTTCCTTGTCCATTTGTAGTGACATGACGCCTAACGTGGCGAACACCGTAGTCCCGCCAAACAAAGACATGAATGTGTCGATGAACGCAAAGAGACAAGCATCCTAAAAGCCATAGGCTAGAAGTAAAATAAATACCCTGTAGCAATTATGGCGTATGGAGTTGTAAGAGGCCATCGATAACAGATTACCAAAGCCCAGGCCGAGGGAATAGCAGATTTGGTTCAAAGCATCTCGCCAGGTCTGAGAAAAACGTAAAAACTAGTAAAATTGTACCGCAAACTTGAAGACATTTTCCCAGGCAGGCTCGGTAAGATAGAAGCGTATCCCGCGTTCTGATCCGGGTAATGTGATGGCTCTAATAAAGAAGGCGGCCATGATGAGATACGGGACAGTGGAGGTAATGTAGGAAAGTCGGCCCATCAACTTGACGCCGTGGAGCAACGCCAGTCCAGTGATCAGCCAAGCTAATCCCAAGCAGCCCAGCATCTGAACACAGGAACTTAGGGCAACAAAAATAGTAAAATTACCTTCCAATTCATGCCGCCGAATTCATCGATGGAAGGCGACCGTTCCAATACATAGTTTCTAAAGTTTAATAAAAAAAGTTGAGCAAAAACTGACTCAAAGAATTGTTCGGACGCTGATATGGTCAAGTGGCTGGCTACCGGCAAGCTTCCGTTGATGCAAGTACCGTTGAAATACAGCTGCAGGTTTTGTTCCTTTCGGCATTTTTCGTTATTGATGTGCGAGAAGCAATCTGGAAAAAACAAGCTTCGAATGTGACAGTTCTGCGCCGCGCTTTTTCGATCAAAAAAACTGGCAGAAAGAAAGCGTTATAACTGACATTTGACACCCACAGCGGTCGGAGGCGACGTTCCACGGATTACCGCATGATGAGATGGCCTCAGTGCGTCCGGTAACGATAAAGTAGATGTAGATCATGCACCAAGCCACAATCACATTGTAGTAGATGCAGGTCATATTCGCAACACAAGCCATCGCCCATCCGATACCTAAATTCATTTTTGAGAGAGAGCAACGTTTGACGGACACAAAAAGCTCCAATACGGAAACATGCAAGGTAGGATCCCAGTGTATCCCCGGCTACGGGTTGTAAAAGATGTACCTTGAAAGGCCGGCCGGAAAACGTAGAAAGCCTTCGAGGGCCCAAGCTTCGTAAATTGACCGATGGAGAGCTCCAGAAAGAGAAGCGGCATCCCGCACAGCAGAGAGCAGAACACATATGGGACCAGGAACGCTCCTAAATGAAGGGTGTGGTGTAGCTACTCTCGCCAATATTTCGCACTCTCAATCCATAAAAACTTACCTCCCCCATGGCGAAAAGCGAGCATCGGGAAGCGCCATAGATTGCCTAGGCCAATCACATAACCGGCGACAGTCAGCGTATACTGCAGTTGCGAGCCCCACGCGCCTCTCTCTTCCGTCATCCCCGTCCGTCAGAGCTGGCGCCTGGACACGTACAGCTATCTGCAATGCCGGGCTCGACAACCCTTCGAAGGCAAAGCGCCTGCAAAAAAATATGATCGTTGAATAATCAAGAGTAATAGAGGATGTGGAAAAATGAGGGCCACTGAGCAACTAGGCTGAAAAGTAATAGCGATGAATGACCGCTGAAACCAGTACCGAACTGTTCTGAAAAGGATGGAAAGAGGCCGCTTGCGACAGTGGCATTCGATCAATCAGTTCCCAGCCTTTTACCCGCATACTTTACGTACCACCCGCATAGAGCATGGACAGGACGAAAACCTGTATAAAGCAGACAGGGCAAAAAAATCTCCCATCACTACGAACGCCACTTATTTGATATTCGGGAATTCCAGGTGGTGAAGAGCACATAATACTGATATTATCCAAAAAGAAAGGTAGTCGGATCGCGCAAGGTCGTCGGCTGTTTATGGTGATTATCACATATCAACAGGAGAGCCATCCCCAAAAACGGATAGGACGACTCGCGCAGTTGATTTCACCCTCTCAGAGTAAAAGAGCATAAGCTATCACGCAGAGTGTGGCTTTTGCATGAGCGTCATCAAGGAATCACTGTTGTCGTCAACCTGACTGCTCGCCATGAATGTTTCGCTTGAAGAATTCATCCACCGAGAAGAGAAGCGAGACATTTCGGATGCATGAAATCATTTCTGGACAACCTATTTGAAAGTAATCCAGTATATTATGGATCTAGAAACAACGCGCGTCGAGTTTTCGATACACGCCTGTGGGAAACTCGCTGCCCTGAAGTTTGACGTTAAAGGGCTGCCGACGGCATGTGTCGAACCCCCCCTCATCAACAAATTGGCAAGTAGCCAACAGGGGAGAGAGCGCGCCCAGGGGAGAGGCGCAGAGACATTTTCTTTTCCGCGCGTAATCGATTGACTATGCCGTCGGCATCCCTTTAATGAGTCCCGCGGTGACCGGCCCGCTAAGGGAATACTGACGATATCACCAAAACAACGCCGAAGGAACCATCAATCCGGATTGTAAAATCACGATATGCCAGTCTGAGCATTACCATCGAAAAAGGAGCCGCGCGGGTCCATTCACAGGTCTTTAGAGCAACCGCAGCTATACAACCATCCATTTATACTTAATAACAGTCAATTAAACGCTCGTTAAAACGAGCTCAAACATTTATTCTGATAAATAAGTTGCAGAAACAATGGGTTAACGGTTAACGAAAAATATCGCGGTATCATCACCAGTCTTCTTCTACGGGCGCCTCCGTCCCTGGAAATCTTGATACTTGAATTGCCACTTTCGGACTGAAAGCATACAGAATATAGCAGACTCAAGGGCGCTATTTCGGAGTAGGGGGACCCACGCTGAATGTTCGAAAAACACTTTTGCTGGGGTAGTTTGCGCGCGCGGTCCGAAAACGGTATCCCAGCTCGTAAAAACTTATTTGTGCTCGAGAAATGTAGCTCGATGCCTTGTAGCCAAAAGTCAGGTGCACGGACTCATTTTCCTCGCGGCCTATTTAAAGGGATGCCGACGGCATAGTCAATCGGTTACGCGCGGAAAAGAAAATGTCTCTGCGCCTCTCCCCCTGTTGGCTACAGCCAATTTGTTGATGAGGGGGGGAGGGGGGATCGACACATGCCATCGGCAGCCCTTTAAACATAAACTTGCACATAATTTTTGTATGTGGAAATGTAAGCTTTTACCAAAATTAGTATGTTGCTTTTGGAACCAGCGAACTAATGAAGATAACATGGCACAAACCCAAGGTTTGATAAATCAAAGTGGGTCCCCTACTCCGAAATAGCGCCGACGAAAGATTCCCATGCCTCGCCTAGACTAGGCGTGACAGGGGAGTCGGACAGAAAGAAGAAAACGCCTTACCCTCAGCAGCCTCCTGCAGCTTCAACGCCGCCAAAGCGAAACCGGCCGGACGGTTGTGAATCCTGCTGACCGACCCGTCAGGAGTAATGTCGATGGCGCCGATGTCGTCCTGGTCACTTCCACCAGCGTCCTCTTCATCAGCATTGCCGTTGTTGAGAGCACTGTCTCGGCCTCCCTGGCGGGACTTGAATCCAGAGCCCTGGTTGTCGTCGGAATCGTGGATGTCATCGCCAGGAGTCAGAGGGCGAATGCGTCCCGATTGACCGACCGGTCGGTTGTCGTTCGTGCCGTCTGAGTTTGAGGCGGGTTTCGAGCCGCCGAATCCTGTGCGGGCAGCGCCACTGCCGAATTTCGGAGCATCTGCCGCCGGGCGTCCAAAACCGCCGCCGCCACTGCTGCCTCCGAAGCCGCCGCCGCCGCTGCCACGCTGTGTGAATGAAGTTCCTTCGCTTTGACGCATTCCGAATCTTTGGCGATCGTCACCGCGGCCTCCAAATCCGCCGCCACGCCCACCACGGTTGTAGCCGCCTCCGACGTAGCCACCTAAAAAAATGTATCATTGTCGCTAAAAGATCGGCCTACTGTTCTTGGCAATCTCCTGCAGCCACTCGGGAACTTCTTGTCCAACACTTTGCACCAGCTAAAAAAGGATTTTTGTAACCGGGCAAAATTATACCAAGACAATCTCCTGCAATTCACGGTTCGCGTCGGTGTCGACTTCATCAATGATCGAATAGGCTGTCCCGTGCCTCATCCGGCCGGTGCGACCGGTACGATGAGTGTAACGTGCCACCTCAGATGGCATGTCGTAATTGATAACGACGTCCAGTTGCTGGATGTCCAGACCACTAAGCTAGATATTAAGAAATCTAGTGGCAAAATATACCGTTCACAAAGATCAGTGCCAACGAGTACACGGGTGACTCCCTTCTGTATGTCAGTGATGATCCGGTGACGAGCGTCTTGTGCGTTGTCACTAAAAAGGCGGGTCAAAAATGGGAACCTTGATAGGAAGTGCTGCTGAACGCCAGCACGAGCAAGACCATTACAACGAACCCGCAAATGGAAGCAGCTTTCACTTGGTGTTCCTCGTACAGTCTCTTGGTGATATCAATGGCAAGCCGGTTGGCCCGATCCTTGCGGTTGACGAAGATCAGAATACGCGGTTGCCCACCTAAAATCAGTGATTTTAATGGAAAATAGAGTACCTTTGGCAAACTCTTCATCGACAATTTTAAACAGAGCTGCATTCTTGTCATAAACGCCGGACGCCTACATTTCGAAATGTTATAAGATCTGAAATATCTTTTCACCTTCACAAAGCGATGTTCGATCTTTTTGTTAGGAGCCGAGGCAGTTAAACGGCACAACCTGAAAACGGATGACGGAATATGAGGAATTTTACTTATGCGGGCGGACGAGCTCCTTCAATTGCGATTCAATAGCAGGAGAGGTGGTAGCGGACATCAGAATCGTTTGCCGTTGCTCAGGCTGAACAGATATTCGTAACAAAAAAAAAATGGAAATACCGCGGGGAGCACGTTTACGATGTCGAAGATGTCCCGGACCTCCCCAGGATTGATTAGGCGATCGAACTCGTCCAACACAAACATCCTGGTACTGCCGAATGTCAGCTAAATAGCTAGCTTTCAGACAATCAGGAACAAAAACTCAAAACGGAGAGGAAAATAACCTCATTCTTGGAGGCCAAATCCTTCAGCCGTCCAATACATCCGATCATCACATCCACGCCGGACGCAATATCGTGAGCAATTTGATTGCGGGCCATTTGTCCATAACTTCGCAAGACCTTCACGGAAACTTCTAAAAAACCATCAAGCAACAAAACAAAAATAACCTGCAGAAAACTTGGTGAATTGCAGATAAATTTGCTCCACGAGCTCACGCGTCGGTGCGATGATCAGAGCGTAAGGACTATCTGCGCGCTTCCGTATGTTGTCCTCTTGGTCCTTCCCCTTCCAGTAGATGATCTACAACAGGGCATTGTAATCGCTGCGATTAGGCAGCAGCAATTGCAGCCGCCGAGCCCAAAAGGATGCCACAATAAACTTGCATACCTTCTGCAAAATCGGCAGCATGAAGGCAAGTGTTTTACCAGAACCCGTCTCAGCGTTTCCAATGACGTCAAAGTCGTTGAGAATCTACAAGCACGGTTACGAGGCGATTACAGCTAACCTGAGGGATGCAATAGGCCTGCATGTTCCGGAGGTTCGGATACTGACATTTGGTGGTGCAGATCTCGATGAGGCGCTTGTCAAGCGGCGCCTGTTGCCAAGAACTAAAAAAGGACGTTGATAAAAAAACGAAATATACGGAATCTTGTCGTCGACGTAATGCCCAGCTAGCTTAATCTCGCTATCCTCATCGTACACCGTATCCGAGCGATTCTGCTGATCCTAAAAAAATCTTTAATAGCAGAATACTTCCTCACAATAGCGTAAAGCTCCTCGACTTTGACTTCATCCGGCTGCCAACCACGGGGTGCACGCTCCACATCCGCATCAAATCCGCCGCGGTCCTCCCTGTGGCCAGAACCAAAGCCCATCGATTGGACACCGTTTCCTCCAGAGCCAAAGATGCCACCGTTGCTGGGGCGCGAGGAAGTGAGTCCGACGTCTGGACGCACGAATCCGCTGCGAGGTGCATTAGAAGTAGCACGATCGGAAGCACGAAAACCACCGGGGCCACGTTCTTCACGTGCAGACTCGCCGTACTGCCGAACACTGCTAAAAACAGAGCCGACCGAGGTTGGGCCCTGCGCCCGAAAGCCTTGGAAGTCTTGGTTGTATCCGCCACCCTGACGATCCTCTACGCGATTGTCGACAGGCGCAACCTTGGTACGGGCGAAACCGCTAGTGGCATGATTATCCCTTCGGCGGCCCGCGTCTTCGTCGAAACCATTGGCGCCATTGCGATTGCGGACACCAGCATCATAATCTTCGCTGCCGTAATCGATACGATCGTTTCCACGGTGGAAGCCGCCACCGCCTCCCGGCACCGGTCTGGCGGCCGGCTGGCCGTATGGATTTCCACGGGACGTCTCAGAAGGGGGCGGGCGGCTATCGTAGCTGCTCTTGTATTCTTGGCGAACATCATTTGGCGGGCGGTTTGGCGGGCCTCCACCGGAGTAGTAACTTTCTTGGCTGCGTTGATTGACTGAAACAAATTGTGGAACAACTATACGATAAAATACCAGCAGTGCTCGAGTGCTCGTTCCTCGTGGAACCTCCGTCGTAGGGCGAACGCGTATACGTATTCGGCAACACCGAGCAAACATTTTGACCGCGCAATCCATCATCACGCGCAGTAGCTTGCGGAGCCCGAGCACCAGTGACAGGTGAGCGGTCGTGATGCTGCTGGCGCTGATCGTAGCTTGCGCTCTGGTGTTGTCCAGCGCCAGCACGAGGATCTAAAAAAATAGTTTTGAAACGAAAAGCAGAACATACTAGCATAGCTGTTGTTGTAGCCGTCTTGGCGAGGAGCCTCACTGCGTTGATACGAAGTGTTATCATAACCTAAGCCAAATATATAAACACCTGAAGATTGGCACCACCATAATCACTCTGCCTTCCGTAGTTACTGGCATAGCCCCTTGAATAGTCGTCGTGGCCAGGTGTATTGCGAGGGCCGCCGCCGTAACGTCCGGCACCATTTTCACCGTCCGCACCGCCATAATGGCCAGCACCCCTTCCTCCTTCTTGCGACGCAGGATATCGCTGTAAGCAATAATAGTAAGTAGCCACGCACAAAATCGCTTACGGAGCCCATTGACGCGCTAATCAAGATGGAGGCCTGTAGATTCCTGCAAATACACCATTGCGAATGCCCAGAAAACAATTCAATGGTAAAGAGAACATTAACATAAATGATAATATTCAGAATTCCTGCCATAGACTGCCTAAATGCGCTCATAGGCCTGAAAATGACAACTCTATGATCGTAGTCGTCTCAAATCAATTCCGTCAATGAAAGCACAATAAATAAACAACAAGATGCCCGACCCAATAGTAAAGATGACCATTTTATTAGCGTTGGCTAAAGTGGGGCTGAAGGCAGAAGCTGTGTTATTTTTGCATCCACCCAATGGCGCGGGCATTGTGCTTACGCGATCAAAAAAGGGAAATCGATTCTTAGGGACCCGCTCTCCCATTAGAAGAAACGCGGGAGATTTAGCCCATAATAACATAAAAACAAAGCTAATCTTACTTCCAAACAGAAGAACGTCTTACACTGCTTTCTAAAGCACAAATGAGCCTAAAATCAAACTGGAAAAGAAAATAGAAGCTTTACTAATTCGGAAAAAGCTGGCAAAGACTCAAACATTGACGTGCGGTTCCCAATTTCAAAAATGACGTCATGATTTCGATAAACAAAACGAAGTATGACATTTATTAGTGACTACTATAAGGCTCTAGAATTCGCATAAAAAACGCTTAATGGATGAACCGTTATGAGCGACTTTATGAATCCGCCAAAAGACACCGAAACCGCAATGTAGAACCGAAATTATCAATGACGGAGGCCATTCTGGGAATGCGTAATTTGTAAAGCGACGTAAACCCATTGGCTACGGTAGCTGATTTTCCAGCTTGTCTTATAGCAAACGGCAGATATTTTGAACCGGCAATGAATCGAGAAGATTTTGCAAATTGAAGCGTACATCCTAATGTAGTGCTGGCCGTAACTCGTTTGAAACGCCCAGGGACGGCATGAACCAAACATTTATCATGTAAAGAATAAATAAGACTCGTTTAACCGTAACTAACAGAACGTATTTGCGTCAAAGTTATGTACAAACTAGAACAGATGGTGTACCGATGGTGAAGCAGTACTTAGAGGCAAAACATCAGGACGGAAAAGACACGAACGCGAACCAGTATTTCAAACAGAGCCAAGCAATTTCCTAACGACGAAAATTCGGTTTATGTATCACAATCAAATAATGGTCTAGAATTGCGAGAAACGCAAAGTAATTCCCGTATCAAAGTTGAGGAGTTTTCTTGTTGGCGCCGTTTTCCTTGTTATTCAGAGGTGCGGTTCCTGGTACCTAAAGATCAATTTTAAAACAATTTGTAATCGTTCATCAGCTTTTGCAAAAATCCTGAATGACCATGTAATTCACCTTTACATCGGAAACATCAAGAGGTCCATTGTTGGGATCATTCGTTGAAAGGTCGTGCTCATTGGAAGGTCCCTGCGGCAGAATGGGCGCCGCAATATTGAACTGTTCCATGGCCTTCGCAATCGCCTCCGCATGGTCCTCCTTCTTCAACATTTCGATCATTGCCGTTACTTGGCCAGCTGAGAAAGGCACGTCACTATGTTTCTCCATCAACTCGATAACCTAAACAAGAACGGGTTTTCAAAAAATCTGACAAGAAAAACCTCCAAGACCAGCGCAGAATCGACGACACCATCTTTGTCCTCATCAAGGGCATTCAGGATCTTCTCAATCCGCTCCTTCTTCTCATCACCAGTAACGGCTTTGAGCTTTTGGAGGTTAGAAATTAAATCCGTAATGCGCAGCAGCCGGTCCCTAAACACCAGATAGAGTTATGACATTAATTTATACTTCTTGTCGGCAGCAGATTTTGGCACGGCCGGGTCAGCAATAGTTTCGCCAACATTCTTCTTTTCAGTTTCCAATTTCGTCACCAGATGATCAACGTTTTCTAAAAGACGTCAAAAAAACCGTACCAGAAATTTACCGATCATGGAGTTCAACTTGGTTCGAAGACGTTGAGCGACCTTCGATTCGGAAAATTCGCCATCTAGCGAGCTCACTTCCAACAAATCTTCAGTGTGCTCGATGACTTTTTCCTTGAGGCCGATGATGTCATGTCTCGCCTCATGGATTGCACCGCCATGAATAATTTTCTAGAAAACAAGAATTTAACGTTAAGAATTAAATTACCTCAATAGAGGCAAGTTCGGTAGGGTCCAGCTTCAGTTCCTCTTTGGCGTCCTTCTTTTCAGCGCCGATGTCCTTTGTGATATTCGCCAGGCCGGCCTTCACTTCCTCGACGCTTTGGTGAGCAGCATGAGCCGCCTGAGCAATAGCATCCTCCATGAGATTCTTCGTCTAAAAATAAACGCAGTGCCAACCAGTGCAAAAATACCTTAAGATCATCTGTCCATTGTTGTACTTTTTCTGCGTCACTCTTGGCCTTCTCAGCTTCTAATTCAGCCTTAGCAGCAACCTCTTTGGCTTTCTGAAAGGTTTCCATAAAGTTCTGCGCATAGTTTAGATCCAGCCATAAGCACGCACTGAATACCTAACTTCGCCGCAATATTAATAGTATTAACAAGTCACGAGATAAATAATACCTCATTTTCTTGTTTAGCTGCCAATTCCTTCTCCTTCTTGATCCCGTCTTCAATTGACTTGATGAGGGCGATCCTTTCCTTGTGATCAATCTTGCCTCCTTCGATTTCGGTCAGCTTCTGCCGGGTTTGTTCGGCGATGCCTATTTCATATGTAGGACAATAGCTAAACGCATACCCTCAGGAATATTCTGCATGATATTTTTGAGACGATCAGTGAATGATATCTCCTCGGGCAGATACATGGTACGGGAAAGAAGCAACAGAGATGGAGGAACCTTATCGTTCATCGAAAGCTCCAGCCATTGGCGCATCTAAATAAAATTCTCATTTTCCTTACGATAACAAACCTGTTCCTTCAAACGCTGCTCGGAAAGACCTTGGGCACGCATTCCACGAACCCTGCAAGCTGATTGGAGTTCGGCCACAGAGAGCACGTCGATTCCACCCTCGGCAGAGATTTGCTAAACGATAATACTCCAGAAGGATGAAAAAATGTACACGCGAGCTCCTACGAAAGGTCACAATCGTTACCTTATCGTCTGCCTTGAGCTCACGAAGTTTCATGTTAAGCTGGAAACGTAGAATTTCAGGAGTACCAAGTGGCTGGATCGAGAGCAGCTTACAAAGGGCACGCAGCTGCGACATTGACAAGTTGTCAAGTGTCAGTTCATCCTGAAAAAAGGTCACCCACCATAACCACAAAATACCTCGAACAATTTCGTATACTTGAAAAGCTCCTCGTTCGAAACATAACCTCCTTCCGTCCGAACCTAAAAGATAAACCACCATTAAGTAAAAAGACGAAGTCCTACATTTTTCAAAAAGCGGGCAAACTCCAAAGCCTTGCTTTCGCCTTGAGCACCGTCAGCGCTGCGGCCTTTTCGTTCCAGGGCAAGTTCTTCAATAGTGTCTTGCAAAAATTTGGCCATCTCGACGCGGACTTTCAGTTGTTTCGCAATTTTCTCATCCTAGGAAGATATACGAAGGCTTTCTCAATGACCAACCTCTTTCGATTTCTCCTGGAAAGTTGATGGCAACATTCCCGGGAAAAGCTTCAAGAAGATCGGCAGAGCCAATTCCATGAACGGGATGATGACGAAAATGGAGAACGGCAGCAGGCGGAACAAGTCAGAAACGGTACGAACCTAATAAAGATATAAATGTTAATAGCTAAGGAAATTCACCAGCTGCTGTCGTTCACGTCGAGTCAAGGTTTGACCGCGCATAATACGGAAGAGGTACTTGGCTCCAACGCGGGTCTCGAGCAAAAGTAGGCGAAAACCATGGTAATAATGCTTCAATTCGTGGACGATCTTCTGTCTAATCGTCAGTTTTTTGTTGTCATCTTGTGAAGCTGGCACCTAAAAAAGAATCATCATCCGCGACCAAACACGAGAAGCTCGAGAAAAAAACAAAAAATGTACCAATTTCAGACGTTTTGCCTCCTCATCTTGCTGGCGCTCGAGGTCCTCCTTCAACATTTTAAGCGTGTATTCGACCTTGCTTCTGAAAAACCCATTGCAGATCAACAACACATTGTTTAACAACCTGTCTGATGCGGCATAACGAAAGCTGCCGAGGTGGATCTGTGCACGGTGCGTGAAGATTGCATCTCTCAGATAGTAGGATCTGAATAAAAATAATTGATTTGTTACCAAGTCTCACCGTGCACTAGCCGAGAGTCCTTTGTAAGCTTGACCGCCAAGGCGAGAGAGCTGACCGCAGTGACGATACATCTCGTCAGTTGAAGAATAGCTTCAACCCACGATAATCGTACACGGCGCGATAGATTTGTTATACCTGAAACAAAAAAGCGTAATAGGTAGATAAAGATACAAGTGTGCTTGAACATTATCGGAAAGAAAAGAGAAGTAGGCATGGGAAGTGATGCAGTTCAGTGAAACCTGGGATTACATCACTGCAAAGCTATTTCCACGACGGCATACAACTAGCCCACCAATCCTCAAAAGCAAAATAGCCGAGGACGTTAGCGGAAAGCGATAAAGGCGCGGTAAAACACTAAGTGCGCGGGTAGGGACAATAATTATACTAATCTATCTCCTTACAATAGATAACTTTTAGATAACAGATTCCTACAAATGAATCGAAGGCTATAAATGATTAAATACCTAGGATTCCAAACCGAAATTTCATAACCAAGTTAGCGGGACAAGTTGATGAAATCGTGGGTTAGCACCTCTCCCCTGACCAGCTGGGTGCCCTCAACCACCCGCTCCAGGACCGCGCCGGTTACTTCCCGATACTGTTCTACGCAAACATTCTACGCATACGGGTTCAAACTAGTGAAACGCTTTAGCAAAGTAACAATAACAAGTAAGTTGAAAATGTTATGGGGACCAATGGAGAGAAAATGCTCGTGGAGAGGGAGCAGCGAAGGGCGAGCGGCGAGATAGGGTGATTGCAGACAGATGGACAAATCGACTGACCCTCTCCTGCCAGTGTCGCTATTTCTCGATTGAGACTAAAATCAGTACTGCCTCACCGGAGTGGACTCTCGGCTGGCCAGTGTCCTCTTTCCTTTCTCTTTCCTTTTCTTTCGCAGCAGCCGCCTCCCCACCCCACATCTAGCGCCTTTTAGCAGACGGGAGGCTAGACTACCGGAGAATGGATCTGCTTCTCTGATTCAACAACCTAACTGGTTGGGGGTTCGTTTCATTTTGTTGTGTTGGGAATACACTAGATAATCATAAAAATAACAAGTAAAGTTGTTATATGCTTGGGCTACGGTTCGCTGCTTTCATTGGGCTCATATTTGTGGGAAAATATGACGTTTCTCTTGCGTTTCTGATCCAAACAAGCATAGTAAACCTGGGTATCAACGTAGTAAGTACATCCGGAATATCTTTGGCGTGCCGCTGTCGTTTAGATCGAACCTGATCGGCAGAGACCCTACTTACACGGACTACGAACACCGGGTTCCAGCAGGGATTGCCTAATAAAGGCTGTGAAACTGAGTAATAGTGTTGTGATTGTAGCGTTGATTGAAGCTTCAATCCCTCACTGTTCTTGGTATCGAATGATGACCAGTGATTCAAAAGCTGGATGTGGCTCATCACCGAGACCCAGGATTGCCATAGATAGGGACTATAGGAGCTATTGATGTTGTGGCGATCTTTTTTGAAGCCTAGCTTACAAGGAGTCGTTTTTAGGTGATATTGGAGTTTTTGAGCGAGACCTAGCTAGTTCAATAGAGAAAAAAATTCTGAGCAAGATGTCGTTTTCCAAATCTGCTAACCGTGTATTGTATTCGATAAAAACTAATTTGAAAATCATTAATTTCGCCATCATTTCTCACCTGATCCGCAGTTTTGGCTCGGGTGGTGCGCGTGAACATAACCCCCTTCAGACCCTTGAACCACCGTGATCGCGTGGCATATTGGTAGTGCACTTGCCTAATAAGTTTTATCTCTTTTTTCGCCTTCGGGTTCGACTCCTAGCTAGTAAAACTCTTTTGCTTTTTGCTCTGTGATGCCAAATATGACCTCAATAGCGTTTAAAGCCAAAAAGCAAAACAGCTAATCAAAAAAAGTTCCGAACTCCGAGCATAAATTTTCAAAAGTTTGATAGGCGCCTGCACTATCCACTAGGCCATCATCTCATGCGGATGCTGGTTCGCATTGCGGCCTAGGTCCCGGGCCTGAGCCATGCGTGGCAGCGTGGCGGCACGGAATTTTTTCATTAAAATTAATTTTTATCGAATACAATACACGGTTAGCAGATTTGGAAAACGACATCTTGCTCAGAATTTTTTTCTCTATCGAACAAGCTAGGTCTCGCTCAAAAACTCCAATATCACCTAAAAACGACTCCTTGTTAGGCTTAGGCTTAGCTTTAGCTTAGCGTAGGACCGGCTTAGACATAGCGTAGGCTTAGTCTAGCCTAGCTTAGGGTTCACTAGACATAGCTTAGCTTAGCATAGGCTTGTGCTCAAGCGTAGACTCGTCTTATAGGCTTAGGCTAGGCTTGGCTTTAGCGTTTCGTCGGCTCGGCCTAGACTTAGTTTTAGCTTTGCGTAGGCTTGGCTTATATTTAGCTTAGAGTTCGCGTAAGCTTAGGCTTCGGTTTGGTTTTGGCTTAGCTTAGGCTGAGTCTAGGCCTAGCTTAGGCTTAACCGAGACCTAGCTTAGGATTATCTTAGGCTTAGGCTAAAGCTTAGACTCGTCTTAGGTTAGGCTTAGGCTAGGCTTGGCTTGGTTAGCTTAGACTTGGCGACCAGCTGAGGCCGGAAATAGCCTCAAGAACGATGCCCCCCCCCAACATCAAGATCCCCAAACTTTGTTAAGCTAGCTAATAGTCCTAATTTGGCAACGTTCCGAGAAATTCCGTATTTATTAGTTTCGCTGTCGTCTGGTAACTATTGTCCTTGTATCTTTTCGTGGACGGTCGTTTGGTCAGCGCCACACAAGAGGCCGATGCCGTGGTTGAGAAGCGGTTCAAGTACTTCCCAGCATTCCTGATTAACCTTATTTCGCCATGTCTATGAATTACCTGAACAGCTTTGGTACTCCCCGGAAAGTTAACAATCAAGGTCTGGCCACGAATCCCGGCGGTCAGGCGGGATCTAAAGTCCCCTAATTCTCTGCGGAAGCAGCTACTTACAAAGCAGCAAATGGGGTTGCCTGTAGTGAGCGCAAGTGAAGCGCTGTTTCTAGGCCTCCGCATCTTCTCTCGATGACGTCATTCGTCGCCTGAAATTTTCACAATACTGTTGAAGTGCCAACCTCAGGAGTAACGTCACGTACTGCCCATCCTGTTCCACCGGTTGTGATGACCACATCTGAAGCTTATGATTGTTTTGTAAAGGGGCAGGAGGAGTGGCGATATTTCAGTCGTCAAAAGAGTTATAAATACCGTTTGAGCCGCAAAGCTCGCGGATGGCATGGCTGATTTTTTCGCGCTCGTCGGGTATTACGGTAGTACCGGTGACCGTCGCATGTTTTACTCTAAGATATCGTGATTTTTGAGCAAGCAAAGCAACTTTTCGGACGCATTGATCAACTCCACAAGTTTTGGGCCGCTTTTGTCGATGGCAGTACCCTCACTGCAGCGGTCACTGACTAAAAATCATAAAGTTTTTCTTGAAATTGGCGCAGTGCGTACCTGTTATAATCGCCACTCGCATCGCGTTGGTGCCGGAGCGCTGATAATCTCGTGAGACGTATCGGTGATTGATTTACTGGAAATTGCGCTCTATCTCTGCCACTCGCTGCCCCCCCCCCCCCGTCACCGAGATTGGCGCAAAGCAATTATATTTAAAAATTGCAAATGCAATAAAATATGGGGCTGGAGGGTAGTATAAACAGGGTGTGGATAGAGTGGGCCAATACCACCCATTTCGAGTAATCCGAATGTTAATAGGGTTTTCGGGTTTTTTGCTTCTTTTGCCATACTATTTTATTTTACGTTATTTTCGGCTAAAATGTTTTTTAATGCTCGATCGAACCGCGTTAAAAATCACCGGAAATAACATACAACATCAAAATTTTGGGACTTTCGAGCCGGCGGTCACCTGCGCTTGTGAGTTTTCCACCATGCTCATTCTTTTGTGAAAAAGTTCTAGGGGCTCTCGCTGCCACATTGGGCTATATTTTCGGTTTGAACACTTGGGCAGTGAAAGCAAGATTTTTGAAGGGCAGGGGTTTGTCCTATTTGCACAGACACAGTGCGCCCGTGACTCGCTTGCGAACCGCCAGGCGAACAGTCGTCACCCGAATCGATCGGATCGCGCTTTGCCTAAGCAATTTCCGTGATGTTTTCAATCGAGTATTATATTATATATTTCGATACTCTTCTAAGTGTCCGATTGAATTAGCCACTCTTGTAAAAACTCCGCAGCTGTTAGTATCCTAGACTTTCTCGCTTATAGTATCGATTTTTCTAGCTGATTATTACCCCATTCATTTTATATTAACGTTACCCAGTTTATTCTAAAGAACTCAAAAGATGATCGCGAATTGATAGTACCTTATACCTATATTGACCGATACGCTGCGTTCGAGGTGAGTCACGCGATCGTTTGAAGAAAGCGTCCGCTTTCGCAACCATCCGGGCGACAGGAAAACAGCCCTTATCTTATGCTGGCCGCTACAATACCCCGAGACTTCCTGTCCCCATCTTGTCCCTGAATCAATATAACCAATCATTCCTTTTTCTGGGCCCAATTACTATAACTTGGCTACATCATTTTCATTTCAGTGGAGATGGAGCGGCCGTGCGAGCTGAAAAACTTGGAGAAGCCGTTGTTAGTTAGGGTGAGACTTTGGATTATGTGCTAATGATCTATGGGATTTGGAAAATATTATATTTACTAAATATTTTTTAGAAAGTCGGCTCGGTCAAGAAAATAGAAGGCCCGGTGACTCGGAAAAAGAGCGCCGAAATTCGTTTGAAAAAGCAGCATGTGACCGAGGACGAAATTCCACGGATTACAGGTTGGTGCTCCCGTTATAGGTGTCAAATACAATTTCTACATTGTGTGGTAATTTTCGCTTTTACATTTTTTATCCAGCACCCCCAAAAACCATGAGTTTCAGCATTTGGTGCCAATTGAACGTTAGACTCTCGGCTCCTAGAATTCTTTCCAGCTCACTAACTTTTTGCTCCAAGCAGCTCCAGGTTCTGAATCGATTCCGAATTTCACGGGGTTGCTTTCCGGCATCACGTGTGGGTTGTGTGCGCACCCGAGCATCCGATTTCTCTGCTCCATTGGCAGAACAAAATATTGGGCCCGACCCAGAGGCACAGAGAAAACATTTGACTGACGTTCCTTCGCCTGGAAATGGCGGCTCCTGTGACCCATAAACACATTGCGAAGGCGCTTCTATGTCAAGAAACCCACTAGGCTTAGGTCTTACAGCTACTGAACTACCGTAGTAAGTTCATCTTTGTAGTATAATTAAATAAATCTAATAAAATTTATGAAATATTGACGTCACTTTATAGATTTATATTGTTTTCAGAGACGAATATGGAAAGCGGTTGCACTAGACGCTCCGTACGAGAAACTCGTGGGATTAGCATGACACCGATTCGCTTGACGGATAGGGTAGGCTCAATAATTGAAACCAAATACGGCCTTTTTAGACACCTTCAACGCCCATCGTTTATTTGCCACAAAATATCGGCATCGCCAACCCCAATTCGCCGATTTCCGCTCTGCTCTAGTGAGTTTTCCCCTAAAAGTTAGATAATCAAGCTTCGCAGTTTTTCTCAGCTAATTAAAATATTCAGCTCGGACGTGAACAATTTAACCGGAAGTGCGCGAAACGTTTCCACCGATCCATTGGAGATCCGCATCTACTTCCCGGATCAACAAGGTTTTGGAAAGATTGCACAGTTTGGAACACCTCATTATAGGAATCCGCTTCGATGTCTCGAACGGACGCCAAGCAGACGCCAAGTTTCTGCTGGATGTAACTGCCGACGAAATCGACTTAAACTGCGAAATCGCTAGGCAGGCATTTGCGCTATGGATGGTTAGCCCCTTGCTCGGTAAGGTTTAGTCTCTCGAGGCAAGGCCCTTTAGAAGTACAACTGAAGCCTACGCACCCTCCATACGAAGTTCGGCGCCAATGGGCCAATTTTCTCAAGTAAGGATTGCGGTTCGGAAATTACCTGGGTGTACAGGAAGTATACTATGGCTGATGATGACGAGATTCTGCAAGATGAACCGATGTTGATGATGCGTCGTAATGTGACGCTTTCATTGGGAATGGAACGAAATGTGAGTCACTAGAATTGCTTGGAATTATAAGGAGCGAGCGAGCGAGAGAGAGAATGAGAGAGAGGGAGAGAGAGCGCGCGAGAGAGAGGGAGGGAGAGAGAGATAGAGGGAGACGGACAGAGAGAGCCAGAGGGAGAGAGCGACAGAGAGACAGGGAGAAAGATCAGAGAGAGAGAGAGAGAGAGAGAGAGAGAGAGAGAAGAGAGATATGAAAAACTGTGTAACATTTAGATTTGTATGGAAAGCCCGCTGGCATGCAGGCTTCTTTTCGAAGATGCTCGAAACCAGTTCATCCAAGGGCGATATGCATTTGATGAATGCAAGATAGCTGCCGAAATGGCTGGGCTTTCAATGGCAGCTGTATTTGGTACCTATCCTGAAGAATTGGCCACTTTAAGGTTTGTTCTCTAAAATAGGCACCAAGCCGTTCTGATATTTTAGGAATGAGCTATCCGAACACCTTCCTGAGCGTCACCTCAGCTCGGTACGCGGCCCATTGGTGTTTGGGAGAGCACTCTCCGGCACTAAAGAATTAGAAGAAACCGTTCAAAGAATGTGGCGAGAAAATGGAGGGGACCAATTGATCGCTATGCGCAACTATCTTGCCAGAGCTTCCCAATCGCCATGTTATGGGTAAGTCGGAAAATAGAGACCGAGAACGGGTTTTCAGCTGCGCTTTCTTTTCCGGCTACATCGAGCGCCCGAACTTGACCATCAAACAACTTTTCCGTCAGAACTGGTTCACCTCTTCAAACCCCAGCGACATCAAGGTAAATTTCTACGATTGGCAAACATTTTCCGCCTTTTAGGTACGGATTGGTGTCAACATGGAATGGGTTAGCGTGACCGAACAGGCGAAGGGAGAGCTACTCCTAGCCCAACCGATCGACGCTTGCTCCTGGAGTCGGATAGAGCCGTATGGAAACACAAAATTTGCATCATATGAGTTATTTTAGAAACGAACAAAGCGACTCCGAAGGCGAAACATCTTTGCTGCTCCATTTCCCAGAAAATTTCGAGGAAAGCTGTAGTAGTGATGAGGGAACTGGCGACGTAAGGAGGCCAAAGAAGAAAGTTACGAGAACAAATGATCAACGCCCACAGGAAACGAAAATATTGCAGGTATACTGTATGCCTAAAAACTTGAATGCCTTTTTTAGATTTTTGGTCCGCAAGCGGTAATGATTGATGCACTGTTGAATACGATGAAAGCACGGGCTAAGCAGACAGATCTCAAGAGTAATAATATGGTATGTCCAAAAGAAAGAATCAAATCAACAACCACCCTTCAGACATCATCCCCTGATGATGGGATTCACAATGAGAGTTATGAACCGTCGTCAGCCAGTTCAAACGACAGCAGCACGTCGCCTACAAAAAGGCCTGTAAAGCGGCAACCTAGCCTCACCAAGGTGGGTCACTCATCAGAAACACAAATAAAAACAAAGTTTTAGGTTCATAAAATGTGCCTGGCAACGTTCGACGCCCACGGAAAATTCCTGCGAGCGCAAGGAAGCTTGAAAAAGGTGCTGGCGAATTGAATATGCAAAAAAGATGGCCCCTAAAAAGTTTGCAGTGTTTGTTTTTGTTTCCGCGGGCACATCTCTGTACATATACCGCATCTTTGGACATAGCCCCCCATACAAAAAGACGATTCGTTCGCCACAGCGGTTATCGTGCACCAACACGCTCGCACGGGTACCTCTACTTCCTCCAAAAAGAACTTTAATAAAAGGCTTTATTTCCCCACGAAAACATAAACTACACAAAGAAACTTGGCTTTAAAACAGGACAATCACAGCCGTCAGGATAACATTGGCTGCTTGAAATAAGAGTAGCAATAGCAGATCGATCACATCAAACAACCGGATCCAATAAGTATAGAATTCTTCTTTTAGCTCTAGCCATGCAATATATTCACACACTTTCTAAACACCCCATGAGAGATTCATTTGCAAATTGCAACCTGCAATGAGCATTCCAGCTCCCCTAATGCTACTTTGAAATCACGATCACCGGCTGAGCGGAGGACTCGCATCCCCATTTTACAGGGCTATAAGTAAGTATTTTTTCCATAATTGTGTTTTTTTGTTGCTTACCTCACTCTTTGGGAACTTCTCAAATGTTTTCTTGGCCAGACTTTTGCTCGGAATGAACTCACGGGTGTTTATTCGTTGATGGGTGATCTGCAAATACTCGCTTTCGAGATTGTTCTAGTTTTTTTGGTCGAAAATTCCTTATTTTGTTATTTATTGGTAGTTTCTCATACATTTTTGACCAAAAAGTTCAAAATTGTCGCACATTTTAATCGGTGGTTTACATCTAAAAACGGTATAAAATACCATAAATGGTTTCTACTTCATTATGCTGCATACGGGATTGCTTGGAAAAATTCGGCTCCTCCGCTAACCCCCCTTCCCCCCGTTAAGAGACAAGTACCGAAAACTTTGATTCTTTGGTAACTCTCACTTGCAAAGCAATTGAAGCTAGGACACCCAACGAACAGATGATGATTTCACCAAGAACATAGCGGCCTAAACGTTATCGTACCAGCTGCTTTTTTCTGAATTTTCGGACATACCCAGCCTTGGCAATGGTGCCGATTTGGGCATATCCTGGCCGACGATGTCTAACATGACTGCCAGTGACAACAGTGTCGTCAGCCCCAGCGTTGCCTGATTAAAACCATTAAAATCATATTAATCCTCTAACCTTTTCCGCCCTATCCCCCTCGTTGTTCAAAGGCGTAAATAACCCGAAAATGGCCAATGTAGAGACCACAAACGTTGGCAGGAAGAGCACGTAAATGTAGTAGTTTGATTTGCGTTTTAGCTTTATCGTATAGTGGAGCTCCTGGAAGGTAAAATTTGACTACTGTAAATTACAAACTCCATAATCATTTCCGGAATCGCTGTGATCGACGTAATTGTAGGCGGTAATATTTTCCACGGTCCATTCGCTGTTTCCTTTATACTAAAGGAGATAGTAGTTTGGGGTTTCAGACAATGAATTACTTCTGCTCCAGGTTCTAAAACATAATCCTGCGCCACCAATAAGATTTCATCCAAGGTATACACCCAGGAGCCGAACCGAATTTCACATTCTTGAGAATCAAAAGGAAAAGACGAAAGCTAAAGTACGATTGTTGCGTTCACTTTTCGAGATGTACGCACCGTTAGTAAGCATCTAGTGGTGTACACGGCCGGGGCACTCAGCTGTACCGTTCCGTCACTAAAAATCACCGCGTACCGATCGCTAGCTGGAATTACGTCGTCTTCGGCGGCGCTGAAAATGGAAAAGCGTGTGGCCAAACATCATGGAATGTAAAGTTCACGAAATATTCACGGAATTGGCCCTTCAGGCGTACCCATTGACTATTGCAATATCAGGTCGCCATAAACTTCTTTCTGCGCTGAGAATCCGCGACACATTCCCGTACGCCAATGGGTTCCAAGATAGGTTCGGGTCGTACCAGCTCTAAATAATTATCAAAACTTTGGTTTTCCGAGCATACCTTTTGTACATCGGCCGAAAAGGACATCAGTTCCCCTTTTTGATCCTAAAATATCGGGTTAGCTTCTAGCCGCTGCATACCAAAGTTAATAGCACCATATAGTTCATGGTCAGCGTTACATTGGTCACGTAAGTCTGATAATTTGGGGGTATAGGCCTAAATATTTGGCTATTTTGCATGGCAAGATGTATGATAGTACCTGATATCCTGATCGTAACTGGCAAATAGAGCATTATAGACGGCTTTCTCGTTGTCAGTTGCTTGGATCCCTATAAATTTAGATGAAACTGCCGTCGCTCAATTACACAAAATCTTCGAAAATTTAAAAACTACCTTGAAAAATTGCGAAAAGCAACGCATTTAGCATGCCTCGGGAAGTGACGCTCTTTTGTGTGGTTTGCCACAGCCCCGACAGTGGGCGTGCATTTTCTATGCTTTGGTCTTTCTTGGCAAAACGATGATTTTGCAAGAAGGAGTTGTTCCAAAGCGGCGTACCACCAATAAAAGAGCATTGGCAGCTACAGTAGCCTGTGCAGAACGTGTACTCACAATAAGAGGGGCCGATCAAAAATCATAAAATGCGGGTCCGATCTAATTTCGGGCACGCAAAACCCAATTAATGTGGTCAATCTTTAGAGGAACCAAATCCAATTTTAATCGCCAGCCCCGCCTATCGTCATCCGTTGATCTATACGAATCAAGTTTCCGTTGATCTATAAACTACCAGATTCCACAATGCCTTTCTAAAGTTTCGGGGTCATCAAAACAGGCATCCTGTTGCGTCCAAGTAAAAAAAATTCACTACTAAATATTGTCACGTGCGACCCATTCACACGGTGTTCCTCAAAATTCCCCGTAGACGGTAAATTAGGCATGCCCGCCTACCCGATGAACTGCTTTTAAAAACTGGCTATTTCTGGCCGGGACGTGCTGCCTGGTGCATAAGGCCAGCACGCCGTCGGGGGTCAGCTCCATGTTGCCACTTTTCACCTGCAAATTCTTGATCTTCTCACACATTTCAGCGCAAATTGTCGTACCCGAGAAGTCTTACAACCGGAAGTGGATCATCATCATGGACGCCATCTCAATGTGGCTTCTCCCCATGGAGATCTTCACGACGATATGCCCGGCGTTCGGCCTTACCGGGAATTTGTTGATGATAATAGTGACGCTTCGCGCAAAGTAGGTGGTTCCAGTTGCTAGCGGAACTGCTGGATTCAGAAACCTGAATACGGCTTGTCATCGGCTGATAGGCACCACTTGTCTGGCCGATTTCCTGCATCAACTGGGCCAAATTCCGTTTCTTTACGGGTTGTATACGAGGACACAATGGACTACGCAAGAGCAATGTTATTTGCTGCAGGTCAGATGGATCTAAAGTAGCCTGTAAACCTAGGCGTGTTAAGCTGGTCCCAATTTTCGGGGTATTGACGGGCTGTGTACTTCATCTAAATCTAGGTGTCGATCGTCTGTTAGCCGTTTGTTGCCCAGCAATGTAGGTTGACGGAAAAACTACTTATCCACTAATAAAATTCTAGCTATCGTCAAAACCAAAGCACCACTATGTATTTCCTCATCCATCTCACCGCCCCAGTTGCCTATTTTGCCATCTTCGCCTTTTACGCAGCTCAATATCGTAATGATAGGTAAGCCCGTGGAACAAAAAAAACAGCAAACTCGTCCAGACCGGCAATGTGTGCGCCACCAGAGTTTTTTGACGGGCCGTCCAACAATTTATGGGCCGAAGTTTCGGTCGGGCTAAACGCGCTAGTCGTCGTTGCCTATATACTTGTCTACGTCAAGCTGCGCACCTCTACGTTCAGTAAGTATATCCCTCCATTACCACCAACCCCCTAATAAAGGTAACGCTGCTCGCAGCGTCTTTAAGTCGCTCTTCATCACCGTCACGATTGTCAGTTGCGGCTGGTTTGCAACAATGTTCACAAATTTCATGTCCGTCATGATCGGTGCTACCGGAAACACTCTTTTCCTGATCCAGGTTCGTCAGCGCACCGCTGGGAATGCAAACTTCAAACCTGGGAAAGTTGCGTTTTGCAAACCACGCGCCTCTGGGGAGTTTGTGGTTAATAAGCCTGGGAGCGTCTGCCATGTGGTCCATTCCTTTCGCCCAGGATCCGCGCACAAAAATAATTGTTTACCTGAAAAGATATGAGACAAGACACATTGGTTTTACAATGTGGTTCTTGGAAGGAAAAGTAATCCCCATGGACGCGAACAATGGAACGGTTCTAGAAAAACGGGTAGGGTATTGGCCGTCCCGCGTCTAGGTTGGCATAGACTTTTTGACGGAAGACACGTTCAATCAAAAAATTCAGGCATACGCCGGGATTCCCGTGAATTTCGCCGTTGCATGCAATTTCCCCGTATACTACACGATCAGGTTAGCTCTTCTCAATCTCCAATCAACAAAGCTTCTCTAGCACAGAACACCGCAATGCTATACGACAAATGCTAGGATTGGCCCAGAAGGGGCAGAATAAGGAATTGATGACCCAGACGAACGATGGGGTGAGAAAAAGAGCATGTAGTCAAAAGCTTCGAAATAGCTTCCCGGAACAAAAATTTCAGCAAAATGGATCATTCTCCTGCTGGAGCAGGTATCAACAAGTGTGGCTTTACCTTTTTTTACGGAATCGTGTGCTAGTGTGAATTGAAATTAACAATACTCACAACTTTAAAACCGATCCAAACGCGTGCATTTCAGTCTTCGCGACGATCGCAATCACTTGTCGTCACTTCCCAAGGACCCCAACAGCAATTTCGCAAGACGAGCTTCTCGGCCACTACGGTCACAATATGTTGATGCTTTGTAAATTCCTTCGCGATCAGAAATCATAATCCAAAAAAATTATTTATTGAATATAAAAAGGACAACACCGATTTTTATGTACAACACAGGTTATCGGTAGGTGTTGCCAAAACTTTCGTAGGGAAGAGCGAGCGACAATCTTGGGCGCCGTAAAGTCATCGAGCCGCATAGTAGACTGGACGTCTAGTTGCTGAAAAAAAGCCCTTTGATATCATTTTATAGACAGGTCCAAAAGCCAACACAGGTGCCACTGCATGCACTAACTATCAAACTAAACACCAAAGATATGATTTCAGCAAAGCGGAACGAATTTCGAAATAAATTCTGGCCGGTGATCCAATTGATGGCGTCACGGTTTTGATCGGTCTACGTTTCGAAAGCGCCGACGCGGGCAAACTTACTTTCTAAAACTTTCAAATAGCTCGAGCGTAAAAACAATACCCAAAGAAAAACGGAAACATACTTGCTCGATCCGAAGATCGTCAGAAGCATCCAGAAGATGTAGACGATGTCAATGAACAGTTGAATGGCGGCAAAAATGTGATCTTCAGGCGAGATTTCGAACTTGCGGCCACCCATGATCATCTAGAACAATAAAAAACTTGATCGGAACCATCAAATTCTACCTGGATATCAATGGCCAGGTACAGCATGAAGAGGAAAGCGGCGCCGATAGCATAGACCATATGCAAAAACTTTATCTATAAAGCACAATTATCCAAAAGAGTACGCAAACGTACCTTGACCCAGAAGCTCATGATCATGATCACGAGACCGAAAGCGAAGAGGCACATCCCTAGGATGAAGGCGATTCCAAGCAGTCTAGAACACAAAGATTATCAAATAAGAAAATAGAGAAACTTTGCTTTTCAAACCGCCTTGAAAAACGAACCCAGTGAGATCGTGCTTAGTCTGCATCGAAAACAGAATGATCGAACCGCAGCAGATGACACAGATGAGAAGCGATAGAAGAACCGACTCAACAGAGTACTGGACACCCAGAACCGCCGTCATATATCCCATTGAGACCGTCTAAAAACAGTAAGGCACTGTGCAAAAGTCATACCAAAAGGGCGGTCATCACCAGGTTCAAGGGGAACGAGCGCCGCACGCTCTCACAGCACATCAACATCAGATAGACGACCAGGAAGCCACCACTAAAAGGAAGGTCAGTACCAGAAATCCTAGCTTACTATGCAGTCAGATACAGAACAGGAGACGTGCGCAAGGTCTGTTTCACACCGGTGTGAAAGAAAGGAACCGCAGTCATCGTAGCCACGATACCGAGCTAAAATGTCGCAAAGCTTATTTGTCCTTGTTCAATCAAAGTCGCATAAAATGAGAAAGTTACCAACCATCACGGTGACCAGAATGAAGACTTTGCGTACGAAAGCGGCTCGAATGGTGCGATCCGAGAAGTTGAACGCGTACTTGTCACCATCCCCATTTTCCATGTTGTGGGCAGCAGCGCCCATCGGAGGCGGTGGCTGCTGAGGATATCCTAAAAGCAAAATTTAGAGGGGCCAATAAGAAGTCGCTATATTTATAAGCGCGTAACATAAAAAAAACGAAGGTCTAGTGAACTAAAGTTCAATTAAAAAGCAATTTAAGTCAAAATTCAATACCTTGCTGCTGCCATCCGGGCGGAGGCGGCGGTTGGGCCTGTTGAGCGTACGGATTGTTGTACTGGGGGTTGTAGCCGGGTTGCTGCTGCTGGTAGCTGGCCATCCCTGAAATTCACACGTTAGCGATCAATCGAAACTCGCGAACGACATAAAAGGCGGCGAAAACAACAATAAAAGAAGCCTGCGGATATCTTTACGCTACCACGGAGAGCTATGCCAAATGCTAACGAAAGGGTGTATAGTAATAGCAGTCAATCTATGCGAGGATTAGAAAAATGAAGAATGTTCGCTATTGATAGATATTGGCAGAATGAATGACTGTTTACGCAGGCAAAAAACACCAGCGATGTCGAAAGAGAACGACCTCCCACTCTCTCCCCCCGCCCCAATCTTTCGCTTGCCAGAATCGATTGCGCCCTCTTCCATCCCTCGCGGGCAAAGCCTCAGAAGCGGTTTCAATAACAAAATGGAAATCGCTATGCTGGTGACACAGATAGCGAGCGAACTGTTCGTCGAAATGAAAACCACTGCTTATGCAACCCGATTTTGATCAAAATAATCCTGCACTTTTCAAGAAGCCTGGGATTTCTAAAAAAACTGGCGAAAACTTGCGCAACAGACAGGGCGAGAGGAGAAAAGTAAAGAGAAAGCGCGATAAGAGGGCCGAATCATCGAAAGTAGGTCCCACAATACCCAAGTGCGCTCCTCTTTTCAGAGCGAATGAAAATAGGCGACAGGTGGATGGGCGGGGAGGGCGAATAATAAGTAAATTTCACAATGCCGACAGCCTCGAGGTGTTTTCCAGCTGATTCAAGAACAGAAGTGGGGCATTGGCCGTTTCCGGGGCAACAGCACCGGCTTATTTGGCCCAATTATGGGCTCCTGCGCAACCCCGAGGAACGGGCCTTTTTAGGTACCCTTCCGAAAGAAACCCTTGTGCTCACCTTTGCCGAAAGAAGCTTGGCTGCTAGTGTCGTCGTCCGACTCGTACGCTAAAAAAACTCAATAAGTAAAAACAGATGACGACAAGGGTAAAAAGGCTGAATAAAACGAAATTCTCGCTATTTTACTACGAGCAAAAAATCCCGCCCGAAAATTAAGCCACACCGGGGTTGACGATGCCCTTGTCCGCACCACGATGAGCGTTTGAAGCCATTGAGGAAGTTGACCGCGATTTGAGGAGACCGAACGGGTTAGTTTGCAAAAAAACATCAAAACAAGATCATCGCCCAAAAGTACGTTTGACAACGACAACACTCTACGATAGTACGTAGTGCCACGTACTCTCTCATCATTTTTTAATTTTTCCGACAGTTTCCCTTTCTAAAATAAATTTTCCTTGTTATCCGCGAAACCCGGCCCTTGAAAGTGCTGATATCCTTGACTTTGACGTCTTTTTATTGTAACGGTGCTGTGACATATATTCATTACCGTAGGGAAAAATCTTATTATTGTCTGGGCCGCACAGGGAATGAAAAACAATGATTTTGGACGTTAATCCGGGTGGTCACTTTTCGCTAGCAGGAAATCCAATCCGAGAGTCTGACACGTCCGCCAACATTCTTTCTGATGCTATCATAGTCGTACACTTCACTTGAGGTAAATATTGTCATCACGGAACCCGAATTTGTTAGTGCGCCCTGAAATCAACAATACGACCTGAATTTTTGTGCTTTTCCGCTTTTTTTCATTCACGACCCTAATTCGAACCTTGATGCCATTGGGCAGATTTGGATAATAGCTGGAGAGACGTCCTTCGAGCGTAGATTGATTCCAGAATTCATCATAGATCGAGAAATCGTTTCCACTCTATAATTTCACTTCGTTCATGGATTTTGCAGGAATTCCGATGACACTCCCGAAAATGGGATCCCCGAAAATTGGTTTCCCGAAACTCGGAGTCCCGAAAATCTGAGTCCCGAAAAATCTGACTCCCGAAAATCTGAGTCCCGAAAACTCCGACTCCCGAAAATCTGAGTCCCGAAAATACCCGCAGTGATTTGGGTTTTTTTTGGGGCCGGAAGCCTAAAAACCAGTAGCCAAATTTTCGGGATTCAGATTTTCGGGAGTCAGATTTTTCGGGACTCAGATTTTCGGGACTCAGATTTTCGGGAGTCAGATTTTTCGGGACTCAGATTTTTCGGGACTCCGATTTTCGGGGCTCCGAGTTTCGGGAAACCAATTTTCGGGAATCGGATTTTCGGAAGTATAAGGGAACCCCATTTTGCAGCTCAACCTACGCTGAGCAATAACTGTCTCCCGTCAATCCATCGCATCGCTCCAGAAGGTGTAAAGAAAATTTTAGCAGGTAGTCGCTTCGGATATTCGGCATCAAGGGTGAAGCCACCACGCAGGCGTGAATAATAATAGCCATAGACCTAAATACTTTTCGTAATAGCCTAAACAGGCTGTTATTGGCTTTCTATGTTTGGGAAAACTTCTCACCTGTCCGCCTGAAAACAGCATCAGTAGCCCGCTATTCGAATCAAACATTGCTGCTTGTACGTATGCAGGCGAGGATGGGAAAAGCTGTCTCAACGAGTATACCTGAGAACTTGATACGTATGATTTAATTTTTACCTTTGACACTCGGCGCCCGCTGAGTTCGTAAACTTTCGAGCCTTGAAATATGTAATTGCTGCCCGTATCGGCTAAATGTTTGTGAAAAAAATTAGGTGTAAACGTACATGACGTGATAGCATCGAGGCTTGAAGGGCAATCGCCGGAACCGCCTGACCATGCTAAAAAGTTGGGTTTAAAGAATTGAGTCGGTAGATAAGAGTATAGCCCCACCCCTAGGTAAGATGAAGCTAGATCGGGCACCAATCCGTAAGCTAGGTATCGCTGTGTCATTTTAATACCTGGCCTATTATCGTCGCTGTTTGATCGTCCACCCCAAGGCGACCGACCTCCACTGCCACTTCCGCTTCCGCCCGATGATCCCCATCTTGTTGTCGTTGTTTGTGGTCGCCATGTAGTAGTGGCCTGTCCACCATCCTCATCGTCTAAAGCAACGCTCTAATTTTTATTTGTGAGCTCGACAAGCTCGAGCCACTTTCCCTTCCTTCCCTCTCTATTAGATGCCTATTCTACGTTTCTACACTATAGATTAGTCTGCGATTGGCAACAAAAAAAATAATTTCTAAATTTATTAAAAAACGAGGGCCACTGCAAAGTATAGTCCAGGTATCTCAGTAAGCGAGGCGCGTTCAGTCTAGGAGTTCTGCAGGCATTATTAATCTTTTCTAAAGGGTTACCACCAAATAGACGATTCCACCAGTGGGATTTGCTAGTAGTCGTAGCGGGGCGTTGGGTGGCTAAAAATACGGTTGTAGAAATTGGGAAACTTACTTCCAAAGCTAGAGCCTGAACTTCCCCCAAAGCCGCTATCAAAAGAAGAACCACCACTGCTGAAGCCACCTCGCCTGGGGCCTAAGTAGGGTTATATTCAGAAGACCAGTGTCTTCGCGTCCTACCGTATATATCCTGAATTGCTTGGATGTCTCCAGGCTTTAGCTGGGGTTCTTTGTAGTTTCCCCTCGAGTCGACAGTACTCTAAATTGATCCTAACTTTTGAGAAGCTAAAAAGAAGCTGAACCTGGTAGAACGGAGCCATAATATCGTCCTTGTCGCGAGAATGCGAGAGTCCGATCGCATGCCCTCCCTCGTGAATAGCGACAGCTAACAGATCCGTATAGTCGTTCCTAAAACGCGGGACTATAACAGAATTAGTAAGGTGAGTAGAGTATATCTGTAGTGTTCGTCCTCAATTACCCAATCTTTTCAGCGTCACGATAAGCCCAGTTTTCATCATCATCGAAATGCAAAATTCCGCTTTCGGGCATCGTCGCGTGGGCCAGCACCCCACCTAGAATGATTTGATTTTGTTCTTTCAAATTGGCAGAACCCACCGTTTCCATCAAATGGCCATGGGTCGCCATGGTTGTTAGTCCCAAACCGGACCTAAAATATCAAAATTCTTGAGTCACTGTGACTACAACATTAGTTTCTGTTGTAGTGTACCATAATTCTTTTCCCACCTTAATGTCACCGCCTGAAGCAACTTCACGGAATTCCAGCGGGGTTACAGCAGCCCACTTTTGGTACGCCTCGGATAAAGCTCTCCTTGAAAATAAACGCTTTAGCTTTTTTTTCCCACCACTTACCTGACTTGGTCCTTCGGAAGATCGCTGGAATAGTTTTCAATTGAATAAGTCAATGACGTTTTCTTCCACTTGAAAGCAGCCCCTGTATGGATTGTTGCTAATTTCTGAAAATAGTCACTGACCGCCGTCGGTAACAGCTGCCACATCCATCATACCACATCGGGGCTCGGCCATTTTCTCTTTCGTTGCATCATCAAGCTCTCCGGTCTTTCTCAGACCGGCGAATTCTTGGAATTTACTAAAATCCGAATTTATTACCGATCCGATACAGTTCACTCACATAATGGCTCCCTTCAGAAAGTCTCTAGCCGATGAAAGATCGGCAGAGAAACCGGGTCGTCCTTGTAGCGAATTACCGACTCCAACATATCCAAAATTATTCAAGTATTTCTAATAAATTTATTTGTTTCTAGAGCCATAAAATACTTTTGCGTCGTCATCGCTGACCCGCTTTCGCCCTCTATTCCCTCGAAGGTTTGACGGGCTACTGGAAGAACCGCCATGTGAGGAACTTCCACCGGAAAGATCTAAGCCAAATGGTGTCCACTGCCTTTATTCCGTACTTACTACTCAAAAAATCCAAGAATCCGGCATCAGTGATGGCAGCTAATGCCACCAACAGCAATAACAACCGCATCCTAAAACGAAGCGTTCTAGACTTGAATCAACACAGCGGACAAAAGGAGATGGTTGGTATAGTCCTCGAGCTCACCGCTCAATTGTTTTCAATACTTTAGGCGCGAATTTGCCAAACTTGGTGACGCATCATTTCCGATTAGTCAGACTAGGTGAGACATCTTATCCTTGCCTTAATCCTACGGTAATCAAAGCTATTTTAGGGCTGAATTTGTGAAAGTTCAAAAAATAATACCAGGAAGGCGCAAAACAAATAGGAAAGAGAAAAACTGGCGTTTTTGGGATAATCTGCGATAGAAACAAAACAGAAATCCCTTCAAATCGCCAAGGTCATATCCCGGCCGGCAAGATTTTATTTAGTCAAAGACCTATTTTGGCTGGCACGCTCTCTCGCAAGGCTCAATTGATCTGGTGATAGCGATCCATTAGACATTGAACACGGAGATTGAGCAACAACTTCCTAGTACGGATCAGTTCATCCCGTAAAGCGTGGAAATAAGGACGACAAAATGTTTTGTATGCCCCTCTTTTGTATCTGGTGCCATGAAGCTCCAGTATGTTTTAAAAATTTTTATTATACCACAAATTCTGTGGGGATGTAATTGGAACGCCGACGCTGGCGAGCTCGACTATTTTGTGAATTTGCAGATCGTCTGGAGGCGCGAGAATGGGTCGAATCTCGTCTGCTGCTGAAATTAATGTGTATACCAGAATGCTTACAAATCCGGCACTAGGTAGCATACTAATTCAATACCATGTTGGTCGAGAGTGTTCCGGTAGGCACTCTTGATAAAATTCGTCTAAGAGAGCATCCTCGTATGAGGGAGGTGGTGAAGTGCCGCAATTTTGAGCATCACCTTCAGAATAGAGGGGTGGGGCAGTCGTCTGAAATTATACGCTAGCTACAGTTAGTCTTTGACAAACTAACGATACTTACATTGGTACCGCGTATGAATATCAGCGAAAGCTTGTGGTTACCTTAGGTTTAACTTTATCATTAGGTTGAGGCGCGACGGCTGCTTGGTTCTTCAGAGCCTGGGCCGCCAATTTTCTCGCCCTTCGCGCATCTCGTGCCCCTGGGACGAGATGATAATTGGGGTTGCAATTAGCACCTACTCTGGATAGTATTAAAGTTCTTCTCGCGCAAACGTTCTGTAATTCGCTGAACCACTCGTCTTGTTCTACGCATCTCGACGACTTTATCGAATTCCCACTGTTTGCATTTATTTATTCCGACGAGCATGGCAACTACCATGCCTAAAACTGAGATTACGTCGCCGCACTTATTTTCGGGCCAAGAAGGAAAAAGAACTCGGTTGTTGAGGATTCCCAGTAAGCGAGCATTCCCAAAAACTTACCGATGCAAAATAGAATCGTCGGAAGGACAATAGAGGTCATAATCTCCTCGGAAGGCACGACAAAATCTTGTGAACTCATCGACATAATTTTTGAGCAAATTCCAGCCAAAATAGCATGCGGTGGTCTCTTCCCCCACTTCCCTTGGCAGCTTCACCCGCGGATCGATTCTTGGCCCTCGCCGCGGGCAAAATGCGCGACGAATTACGCCCCAAGGCACCCAACTCTCATTGCCGTAAGAAAATTTATTCGATTTGGATAAGGGAAAAGGACATAAAATCAACGGTCAAATAGTATATCGCGAACCTAACCACTGTATTTCTGCTACGACTAACGATATCCTGTTCTACTAACGAATAATGTATACATTATCATATATACAGCATTTATCCGCTGGGAAAATAGTAGAAAAGAATTAACGACAAAAAGTTAGATGTTGCTAAAACAGCAAAAAGTAAATCAACGAACAACATAACCTTGAATTTGGAAACGCATGATGTAAGAATTCCTTTTCAGTGCTGCAACGAGGGCTGCGGAGGCTTCGCGGCTTGAACTGCAGCTGCGGGCCCAAGAAGCATCTGGCGCTGCTGGGCTACCTAGAAAAAAGATCAGTCTGGAAAACAAAACTAGTATTACCTGAGATTTTTCCATATCGCTGCGTTCTTTCTCAATGATGTACGGGAGGAAGAGAATCAATGATGATGTAGCTCCGATCCATAAGGCGTTACTAGCCTAAAAATAAAATAATGAATCGGCACATCATCCTATGTTGAAAGTAAACGTCAACACCAGGTCTAGTGGAACTGTAAGGGTTTTGGAATGCATCCATTTCTAACGTTTGGCCGTTTTCTACACTTCTTAAGTCTTCAAATAACTACATCAACGAAACCCAAACAGCTAATATATCAACTAAAAACGATTCTGAAAAAATTTACCAGCCAAAACCCGGAAGAGGCTCCCCAGGACGCCCAGTCAACCGCCACACCGGCGAACGAGCACATGAAGGACGGAAACATCTCGGAGAGCCCTAAAAAATACAGTTATCACTCAACCAAAGAAGAAAACCGAATGCTTCACGAAAAATTACCTTCAAGTCGCTCCCATGATGACTCTTCAATGTCGTCATCGTCAACCTCGTCCCAATCAACTTCTTCCATTTCTCGAACGAAGCCGATTTTCCTGAAAAAACAATATAAGTAAAACCAACAGTGAAGCGAACGCATGTGAGAAATTCCAAATACAGAAAATGAAAAAAATACATCGAGCTAACCGACTAAACGAAACATAGAAATCCTGTTTTTGAAATTACATTTTTGGACTAAAAAGTCTTGCCGTTTCTTTCTTTTGCTTGCTTTTCTTTTGCCGGGGGAAGTTCGCTACCGTAGTTCCTGCTATCCCGCGCCCCATCCCTGACTGCCAAGGGGCTGCTACGATCGGCGTTGGGGCGGTAGGGCGATTTTCTGATTATTACGCGTTTGATTTTTTTCTTTGAGCCTGATTTTGGAAATTCGTAATGACACTTGTGTCTCTAAACAAGCCAGCCGATAAAAGACAGCTTTTCCGAACAAAAGTGATGAATTCATCGCATGGGAGCCTCTTTGAAGTTTTTTAGCTCGGGCTTCGTTTAGGGATATTCGTGCACTCGCCGGTGTTCATTTTCTTTCTCTAATGCCTCTCTTTATTCCTTGCCTTCCTTTTTAATTACTCATTTTCCAGGGTACAATGGGACGTCGTATCAAGGTTCAGAGGAAAGGTAGCAGTACCGTCTTCAAGGCCCATACACATCACCGTAAGGGCGCCGCCAAACTTCGCGCCATCGATTATGCCGAGCGACATGGATACATCAAGGGCGTTGTGAAGGACATCATCCACGACCCTGGCCGTGGAGCACCGTTGGCCATCGTCCACTTCCGCAATCCGTATCGTTATCAAACCATCAAGAGCACGTTGATTGCTGCCGAAGGAATGCACACCGGCCAGTTTGTATACTGCGGAAAGAAAGGTAGATTTACGAGTGGGCAGCTTATTGTTCTTTTTTAGCCCAAGTCCAGATCGGAAATGTTCTCCCCGTTGGTGAACTCCCGGAAGGAACGGCCATCTGCAACGTCGAAAGCCGCAATGGAGACCGAGGTGTCCTCGCCCGCGCTTCCGGTAAACCTGCGATAGTTTATTTAATTTCGAATGTAGGTAACTACGGCACTGTCATCGCCCACAACCCCGACACTGGCAAGACCCGAATTCGTCTTCCTTCTGGAGCCAAGAAGGTCGTCGCCTCTGCCAACCGTGCAATGATCGGTGGGTATTTCGATAGTCATTTGCTCTTTCCTTTCACTGTAATGAATTTTTTCAGGAATCGTTGCTGGTGGAGGAAGGACCGACAAGCCGATGTTGAAGGCCGGAAATGCTTACCACAAGTACAAGGCGAAACGACACAGCTGGCCACGCGTGAGGGGTGTTGCTATGAACCCCGTCGAACATCCCCACGGAGGAGGTGCAATTCGTAGTTTCGATTAATACGTATTTTCTTAGGTAACCACCAGCATATTGGACATCCATCCACCGTGGGCCGTGGCGTCAGTGCCGGTAAGAAGGTCGGTCTCATTGCTGCTCGCCGGACAGGACGTATTCGCGGAGGAAAGCCCGAGAAGAAAGGAAAGGAAGAAGCCGTTTAATTTTTTTGTGCTTTGGGTTGTTATAACAATAAACTGTTATGTACGTAATTGATGCTCGCTTATTTCGACTCGAATACACTCATTTGTTCGTCGGTCGGCGGCTGTTTGCGGATTAGTTCAGGGATTTTGGTTTCAAGGTTCGACGCCAGCAGAGCGGCGCAATTCGGGAAGCAGAAACCATTCAAATCGAATTGACATTTTGGAACCCGGCTAGAAATAGCTCGAAACGGTGCGTGCACTCACCGCCCGGAAGTTTACTCGCCGCGATAGGGCCGGTAATCGCCTGTGGCCCGAACTATAGAGGGCCATTGTCCCCCCAAGGGCCGGTGGATCGGAACAAACACCGTCCAATATAAATGGAAGAGGGCCAGATTCGAAGTGCGCTTCACTCACTATACCCACTATTCCTTCCAAACGTTGGTTGATAGTGTCGGTGAATTCAGGATGCTGATATTTTTCACTGTGCTGGCTATGGCCACTGCGCTCCCACAATTTAGATTCCAGGTTCATCGGTCTTTTTGTTTTTATCGGGCATTTAGGGTGGTATGCCAGCTCCCGGTGGATTCGGAGGACCTCCTCCGAATGCGGGTGTTCCACCGGTTCCCCGGGTAATTTTTGGACGTTGTTTTGCCAACTGTTTGGTAGGAACTTCCGCCGGGCTTTGAAAATGTGCTCCCCAGTGACAAGCTTGCCGAGTTGCGAGCTATTCATGAGAGCACAACTCTATCCAACGAGGTGGGCTTTCAGAAGCGCCATAGTGAGAGGGGGAACATTCTTGCATACAGTTAGTCTAGGACAAGCACGATAGAATCGATAAACTATTGACCGCCCTCCCGAGCGAAGTCCTGGATCGGTTACCGGTTAACCCTGCACTGGAGAAGTTGCCCGAGGACGTGAAGCAGCAAATCAAGTCGATCACACGCGATAAGGTAAGAGTTGATCTTGAACACAAACTACAGTACCCTTCAGCGGTAACGCTAGAGCGCGCGAGAAGGCAATGTGGATTTCGGCTATTGTTCCCACCACCTTACTTTTCAGACCATCGACTGGCGCGCAAAGATGCAACGGGTGCAGCAGTATATACAGTCACTTCCGGATGCAATCAAGGTGTGGCTAAGGCGCAAGCGGGACGAGTTTGTCAACGAGCTCGTCTCAGTGTTGGAGAATAAAAATTTGTAGCGAACGATAGCGAACGAATGAAAGCAAAATAGTTTGCGATTGAGTGTGGTGTGGCCAGACAGCCCCTTCCCCGCCCAGCTTTGCTTTGACTAACCCATAAGCTTATAGAGACTTCTGCCGCCACCACCTCCGCCTGGATTTGAGTATCTCCCTGAAGATGCTAAGGTTGGTTAAGCCACATGACACAAAAACATATTCAGGCCGCCCTGAAAGCAATCCAAGAGAATCCGAACCTTGGTTTCCGGGAGCGCTACTACAAAGTTAAGGTAAGATGTGCTCCATAAAGAGTCGGCGATCTTTCTCTTACTTTAGTTAGGTTTAACGAGGGGCGTTATTTAGTGATTTCTTGATACAAACAAAAAAAATTTAGGAAGTGATGGACCGTCTTCCGGCGGAAGTCCGGGCTAAGCTCCCACCCCCACCCCCACCACCGCCAATGTTCTAAAGATACTCAGAGGCGCCGTGTCAGTCCAATCGGGCCTATTTGTGATAACACTGTCTCTAAATTACGGGAATCCGGTGTATGTACGATAAATGACTTTATTAACATTTGAATACTTGGCCCGGCTTAATCCATTTTTCACGTTGATTCTCAGCAGGTAGCTGAAAAAGCACAGGCTGGAAGGTGTCGATAATCTTACCTCTTTCCCGGTATCATCAAGTACCAATACTTTAAACGACGAAGCCAGTAGCCAGGATGCTTGGTTTTGGATTGTCAACTTATAATATCCATCTTCTGGCGCTTCGCAGGTTAAGCAATCAATAGCGGGTAGTCCGGCTCTTGGACAAGCCGGCACAATCAGATCCCATTCATCTTCCGGGCAGTTCTAATGCCGAGTTTCTTTCATCGAATAGAAGGCGCTACCTTATTGGAAGCAAACGAGAACCCAAAAATCAGCTCAGCGTCATTCTGCGAGTACATCTTTAGCTTGTCTCCCATCTGCACTTTGTACAGTAGGTCACGGGTTTTTGCTGTAATACGAGGTTTGTTTTAAATCGTTGGGTACAGTAACCTACATGCTGGGACGGTGATCTTGTGAAGATGTTGTGGATGTGGTTCTCCTTCTTTTGGAGCCCAGTATTTCTCCTTCGGGACTGGAACTGGGGCTTTTAGGACTTCCGAATCTTTGATAAGACCGCCATATCTAAAGGTATGTGTGAATTCTGATGATTTTGAGGTACCTCTCAGGTAATCCTTCTTTTCCGAGAAGCTGAATAAGTTCATCCTTCCAGCCTTTTCCTGAATACATATATTGTATACTTTATTCATATTATTGAATAAGCGGTTTGAAATAGCATCCATGCATAATAAAAAGAAGTGATTCGTGTTTCGCGCCGGGCGGAATATGATTGAATTACCTGGGAACATAATCTTTTGTCGACCGTCTTCTGGGATAAATGGGGCCAAAGCACTCCAGAGAAGATTCATGAACCCTGGCGCGTTGATGACCATAAACTAAAATAATTTTTTTCAGAGCTCTGAAAAAGCACCAACCTTATCGATCCATTCACGGTAATGCATTGCCATCAATTCCCATGAAATACGGAACGGACCTTGTGCCAAAGTTACCGACAAATTTCTTCAACTTACCGGTTACAGTGCCAAGCATCGTCGGATCAAAGCTGAGGCCGTCCAAATCAAAAATGTAGTAAGCATGGCATTGTCGGCCGAGTCGTGCTTCCATCTACCAAAATTTTTAATATCCTTTTCCCACTTACCTCGTTCAAAATGCCAAGTATTTTTTCCAAATTACGGTATAATTGGTGGATGTAGTCTGTTGGCTGCACGGATTTCAAAACACCACCAACGTCTAAAATCGGCTTTTGCTTTTTGTCTTCAAAACTTTCTTCACGTAATTTTAGAAAACGAACCAATTCGACCGGCCTGATCAATCACCAAAATGTGATCAGCGCTGTCGCTGGCTGGTCCAATAATACAAAGCGGCGCGTGTTCCTGCGCAATCTGAAAATTATCCCAATAGATATATTATATCGCGCGAGCCGACCTTGCAGTACTGTAGCGTCGCGCACTCGGTGTCCAGCCGTTTTTCTTTTCTCCATTTCAGGTGTTTTCGCAACATATGTGTAGCCTTGGGCAAATTGTGATTGGCTCCCTGAAAAATGCATACCATAGTCTCCTGAAAACTGATAAATTAGACTGTCTCGGTTTTCATAGTCTAGGGAGTTATTACCTGGATCCATCGCAAAATATTAAAATACGTGTTGTACTTTGGATGAATAAGGTCTTTGACGGCTTCCCGGACCTCAAATTACTGGATAAAGTGGGGAGAGCAACTTCCAACCTGTGCCACCTCAATATCCTGCGCAGTTGATGGTTCTGCTGGCATTTCTTGGGGAACTGAGAAAAATTATTTTAGGAGGAAAGAAAGCTGCGGAAATGGTAGGACTGGAAATTTGGGAAGCTTAAAGGGATAATGCCTCAAAAGCTCAAGCTACAGCACAGAATTTTGTACAAGTAAAAAAAACCCGTTTTGCGGTTTCTTAGGCAAAGGGCATTAAATTGACCAGCTGGGTGGAGCGAGCCCGTTCTCTGTATCAATTTCTCGACCAAGTGATGCCATTGTGGGGGAGCTATGCCCGATGAAAGCCGGTCGCTCAACTGTGCGCCTCCGTTTCAAAGAGGGAGGACACTCCTTTTGTCAACGGGTTGGGATTGAGCAGTTTGGGAAGAGTGCATCGGCCAAACTACTTTCGGATTGCGGCGATCTTGAAAAATCCATAGGGTGTTTTGATGGAATACGGTCACTAAAACGCCTATCAACACTTCTCAAAAACAGCGCCCGAAGAGTCAGGAACAATGGCTCCAAAGCATACCGTAGCTGAAAATGATACAAGAACTGATTGCCCCCAGGGATATTGTGTGCGAAGAAAACAAAAGAAGGGCGTGTTTGACGACACGTGAGAGCAAAACGAATCCATAGAAGGAGAGCGGAATGGGGCTGGTGATTGTGAATTGTCGAATCTCCTTCTCCGTATTCGCCAATGGATCCCAAGGTCGACCCTCTCCTGGTTGCCAGTTTCTATCTAAGCGCCCGAGTGGTGGTTTCTCAATACCGACACAGACAACAATACCAGTCGCCAGACATTTATACAAAAATGAATTTCCATGAGAAGCCGCGTGTTAGCAAACTACCTAGAAGTACCATTTAAGTTGTAGTGAAATGGCGATTAAAACCAGAGCCTGGATATCAACCCGTGACCCGACTTCAAAAAAGCCAAAAAAAACCTGGTAGCAGTGGCGAGAACTTATTTGATAGAGGCAAAGGCCAGTTATCTCTGCGCCTGTTTTCAAAAACAGGTGACATCGCCATCCGTTTGGCAAACGATCATATAGTCGGGAGGAATTTTTCATACTTTCCCTAACCTATGTCACAAAAGTAGTCGAGTTAGTGAACACCCCCAACTATGGTTCCCGAAATCCTATAAAACCGTTGTTTCTTTACTTTCCAGATGTGTGCATAAACGATAGCAAAACTAGGCAAATATTTATTAACTCGTTACCCATAAATCCGGATTTATCACGTGTGCTTTGTGTAGGTCGGCTCCTTCTGCCTCCATAGGATCTCCCTAAAGCGGACTGTCTGTATAAATAATGATAACTTACTTTGTAGCATCCGTGGGATCGTCGCCGACACGTCGCAGGCTATCTCGCTGTTGATCCTTGTCGGTATATTCGTCGTAACTGGAATAGAAATCGATCAAAATGGATTACAAGATAATGGAGGTACTTAGAAGAAGAAAAAGTTGAAGACCAGACGTTACACTACGCTACGTATCTATGCGTGTGCAAAATAAAAAAAAAACGTACACACTGACGATAGCATGTCGAACTGGCGGTTTCGTGACGTTCCTATTCAGCGCTTCGCCACTAAAAAACTATTGTGGAAAATATGAATACGAGTACCGATAGCCCAGTCCAGGGCGTTCTCTCCCAACTAGCGCATCATCTTCCATCTGTAACGCCACGGGATTGACACGGCCTTCACGGCCCTTCATTCCAAGGCCGGTACCTGGGGTCCAGCCCATTCTAAATAAAAAATTGTGTAACGTTAATAAAGCTAATAACAATGCATATACATTTTCTACGGAAGCCAGCGATATCAGATGAGAATTGACCTGGTAAGAAAGATCAATACAATTCGAAAAGGCTTACTTTCTCATCAGCGTACTGCCAATGCGCTTTGAACCCTTCTCGAAGTCGACAACATCACTACCAGAGTGCCGTCGCTGTCTGCCGCCTTGCGCCGGTCCCTTCCGCTTGCGGAACACCGATTCAGCCGGGCCTCCCTTTCTAAAACACGTTCCATGAAAATTCGAAAACAACCACCGTCGGGCCTCATCGTCCCTGATCTCCACACAATCCCTCGCATCTTTATCGCCGGCCATTTTGCCCTCATAGTAAACCGAGTAATCGACGTCCCAATCGTCCGCCCACATCCAATCACAATCTGTTCCCTAAAATAAAAAAAATAAGATCTCCAAACTAATGAACCTTTTCACGCTCATCCCAGTACTCCTTGTCCATATTCCAAACGAGTCCTGGGCCGCCCTTCTCCCAAACCACCTAAATTATCTAATTCACAAACACAAGAAAAGTTCTTGACCTCCATTTCTTGCTCAAACTTCTTCTCCTTAGTCCGGTCCTGTTCGGTAACATCGTTGTAATGGGCTTCGTGTCTAAATAAACAAACAATAGAAGGAGCGACCCGACAAACCTTTCCCATTCCTCGCACTGATCGTCATCATCTTTGGCAGGAGCGTCATCATTGTCGGGCCCTATTTGACGTACAGCCTAAAATCGAAACGTACTAGCATTTTAAAAAGACCAGAAGCAACGCGGCCAGACGCGAAAACTTACTACATCGGTCGGATCCTCATCATCTCCAGCTTCTTCTTGAATTCCTTGCACTCTGCTGGCCTCGTTTTCCATAGTTTTGCGACGATCATTGTCGTCGGACGCGTCGACTTTTTTGTAACCTAAAATATGAAAAATGCCACAAAAAGGTTGAATACCATATGTAAGCGGGCGCGATCCATTATAAACAAAGTCGACAGCCTCAAATTTGCGCTTTCGCCGCTGCCTCTTCAATCCCAGCCTTGTGATTAACGACGGGGGAAGCTTGCATTGTGAAATCTGAAAGGAACGGGTTAAACCAAACAAAAGCTCACCTGGCTCAAAAAATAAGCAGTCGGCGTGCCAACGTTTCCATTTGGCATTGCTTCAGGTGGACGAAGCTCTATCATTTCGAGCAGATCCGACGCCGACAAGTTAGCTGATCCGGCCGCTTGCCCATCAGACTAAAAACTCCTTTTAACGTTAGTGTCATTCCAAAAAGAAACTAACCAATTTGACCGCTGTCACAAAACATTTCCTCGGAAGATGCAGCCCCGATGCTTCGTCAGTCCAATTCAAACTAGAGCAAAATAGTAGCGCCAAAATAAACATACCCATTATAATCCGCTACAAAGCTAGCGCGATCATCCTCGGAAGCGAACCTCACTACACAGCAAAACGTTGAACTGCTCGTTTCAGCATTCTTATCCTAAAAAAGGTTGAATCAAGAAGAATTGGAGGACCTGGATTTCCGGTCTGTGCTTAAAATGGAAGCAATCGAAGCGGCCATTTTCTACATAGTCGGCGAAAAATATGCGTAGATTTTTCGAGTGGTAGCTTCGTGGAATATTTCGGATTAACGCAAAGTGTTTGCCTAGAAATGAATTGAAACAAAAGAAAATAAACATACCTTGTAATCGCTGGCTTGGTTCCTCGCTGCTGGTCGACGGGGCAAAATAGGCATCGAATAAGTGACGCATTGATGGCTTCTTCGGGCGATCCATTTTTTATGGAATCACGTGGTACATTCTGAAAAATAAAAACTGTATACGGTGAACTGCCTTTTCTTCCCATCCGAATGCTTCCAATGTACGCAAAGAACCTATGCCATGTAGGCGGATAGCGCACACTCAATAGGCCTTTAGCTCGGCTCATCGGGTTCGACCGGGCGATTCAGCCCGATACTTTGCTAGCAGGTGTAATTTTCAGACCAGTAATGAAAAATACTCAGCTGGCCGTATTGATTTTTCATAGCTTTGGGGCGAAGAAATCTTTCGACTTCATAACTCAGTTAAACCTATCGCTGACGAATCCTTTCCTTAGTAAAATCCTTTGCTGAGCACTTCTTCTTCCTGAGTTTCTCATGAACTCAAATTATCGTAATTATTACAGTGTATATAGGGTATGGAAGGGCTTGGGCCTGCAAACAACAGCTACGCAGAACAGATCATCAACCTGAATGTTGGCGGGCGGCGATTTTCAACGTCAAAACACACCCTAACATGGATACCAGACTCCTTTTTCACATGGTACGGTATCTAGCAAAAAACTGGGTGAATACTAAATAAATTTACAGCCTCGTCAGCGGCAGAATTCCTACAGTGAAGGATGAAATGGGCGCTGTAAGCATAAATCCACTGGCAAATCATAGATCTAGATATTTATCGACCGGGATCCGGACGTCTTTCGCGTGATTTTAAATTACTTACGAACAAAGCAGGTCGACCTAAGGTGCATTTATAGGTAGAGAAATGAACAAAATGATTACTTGCAGTTCGGTGAACGTCAGCACCTTGAAACACGAGGCTCAATTTTTCGGACTGGCGCCTTTGGTTCGCCGACTTATATTATGCGAGGAGCTTGAGGTTTGCAGGAATTGCAGCAAAAACATATACCACAGGTTTCTGCATGTGGGACTGTGCTCTTCCATGCCATCATCCCGCCCCCGCCTCTTCCCTTGACTCAAAATGAAAGTCGATCATCGGCTTCATCTAGGAGTCGGGCTCCGATAGCAGCTTTTGATGAAGATAACGGTAAGGATAGATGGGTACTGTCAACGTCAGATTCTATCTACGATATAGAATTCAAATAAAACCATTTCTTGCTCTAGGGAAAGCACGCCCTGAGACATCGCGTGCTGCTCTTCAGGATTGCCACCATGCAGCGGGCATCGTACGCGATCAAAGCTTTGATCAGGTTTTTCAATCCCCTTGAATTCACCGCTTCTTATAGTTGAGCTGCAGCGGTAACAGTACGCCGAGAAGTAGCTATGGCTGTAAACGTGCTGCCACCGGGGAGCTGGCCCGACATGTAGGGATCATTTTTGAGACTATAAAGTGTATTAGATAAAAAACGAACTGTCGCAGCTGGCTTTTCGCTGTGAAAGTGGTCGCCATAGTTCAACCTCCAATCTGGACGAGCACGGGATCGACACACTGAGAGTCAGGATTATTCGTGCGCACCACAACTCGATCGCCGTTGCTTATGCTTATTACATCTGCGTTTACACGTATGCCATTTTTGCGGGGCTTATTTGGCTTTAGAATGAAGGAATCGTTCGGATGGCAATCGACTTATACATCGCCGAAAATGGCTTCGTTTATTAAGGTGGGTCTCGAGGGTTTAAATTGAGCGAGCCACAAGGTGCTAGGTTTGGTAAGTCGCGAATGGAAATGGAAATGTCACTATCACTTTAAATTCAGCATGCGGCACTCCATACTAAATTCGGGCCCCAATCAAACGAAAAAATGCTAGCGGTTGCGCTGGAAGACGGTAATGTCTGCCTCTGGAATATTACCGAGGAGGCTGGAACGTTGATTGGTAAGAGGGCTTTTAATAAGTTATTATAGCTTTTTAGGCAAATTTACACTCGGCGTCCCTGTCGATAAATTGTTCTTTGTCGGAAGTCAAATGGTAGCGTTGAGTAGGATTGGCAAAGTCGGTATCTGGCATTCGATGACTGGAAATTGGCAAGTACAAGGTTGGTTGATCAGCATTTTGAATCCAGTTACGTACTTACTTTCAGACGTGGTCTCAATAACTTGCTATGACACCGCGGCTTCATCGTTAATTTTGGGATGCACCAATGGTTGCATGTATTATATCGATATGCAGGTGAAGCTTATACTGGCTCGCCTAAAACCTAGGTTTTCCAAAGTTTAGAAATTTCCACTCCGGATGAAAGATAACGATTTGCTAGTAACGGAGTTGTATCGTGACCCAAATGGAGACCCGATTACTGCGATTTCAGTCTATTTGACGCCAAAAACCAGTAAGCCTGCCACTCTGAATCCGGACAACTTTTAGATTTGTGCGGCAACTGGATCGAGATAGCCTACGGTACATCAACAGGGGCTGTACGCGTAGTTGTTCAACATCCCGAAACGGTTGGTGGATAGATGTAAATAGAGGTTACTAAGATTTTCCAGGTAGGCCACGGACCTCAGCTGTTCCAAACGTATACAGTCCATAATTCACCGGTTACTCGGGTTGCCCTTACTACAAATCATTTAATTAGCGGTAAGTATTCAAACATCAAGCAAAGGTAACTTCCACAGTTTGTTCGGAGTACAATCACGTACGCACCTGGGGTATGACTCGGTTTCGTGGGATGATCAGCACACAACCAGGCAGTACTAGTCTCGCATCTTTCAAGGTAATTTTAATCTTTAACAGAGTAAAAATTAACGATATTAGGTTCTTACCTTGGACAGTGCAGACGACGCGTTGGATCGAGAATATACGGACACAGGTTTAGAAAGGTTTTCAAGTAGACGCATTAATTTCTTAGGACCATACGGCGATCAAGATGGAGACCAAGTGTTTGTGCAGCGTGTTGTGCCAGATACCAATCACGTTTTTGTACGACTGGCATCTACCGGGGATAGGTATGCAAGCTACGCACGTACAATGCATGTACGCACGTTTCGGTGCTAATGCACAACGGGGTGGGGGGCACCCGGCCAAGGTTACGAGACGCTCCGCTTACCTGACTTGGCTTTAGGCTTAGGCTTAGCTTGGTGAAGCCCAAGCCTAGCTTAAGTCCCGACCGAGGCTAACCTTAAACGTGGCTTGGCCAAATTTTCCATTCAGACTCTGTACGATACGTTCCGTGGATGGTTCCGTGATTACGGCCTTTCAAGTCCATGAGTGTGAGGGGTCGAACAGGTACAGTATTAAAAGTGTTGCTTATTATCGCTGGTTTAAGAATGGGAAGCCGTCCTCGAAGATACTTATTTACTGGAACTTCCAGTGGCACCGTTCAGGTATATTTTTATGTGCAATATATCTGAGGTCCCAAATCCTTACTAAAAATAAAAAAATTCATCGATTTCAGATGTGGGACCTAACAACTGCACTGGATCAGTATCATGCATCGGCTTCCAGTAACGCTTCTTCAAGCCATTCGGTAGTGCACTATTTAGTTTTAATTTAATTTGAAATTTAGTTTACGATTAACCCTGGACAATCCATTCAACAAAACAATCTATCTAATGGTGCCTTATCCCAAAATTCATCATCCCTTCCGTCAGACAAATTTCTGCAGCAGATTCGGGTCTGGGATTCTCGAATTTGTTGACTTCAAGGTTTTTAGCTACCAAGCGGTGGCGTAGCAGGCCTAAATGGGCCGACGCCACAGGAGTTGCTATCGCTTATCGATGAATGCGAAATTTGCTGCTCCCAGGTTTTTATTTCCGGACAAAATTTGTAGAAGCTTAAGTTTAACCAGCTCAAATTTCTAATAAAAAATAACCTAATTTACCGCTATAAACTTCAAATACGATTTAGCTTCCATCTCCGCTTTCCACTCCGCATCACTCCATGGCAAACCTACCAACCTTCGAAGAGAACTACAAAAACAAATAAAATGTCTTCACCCCGCTGTTGAGCTTCGATTCTCATCTGTGATTGTATTCCGGGTAAGAGCATGTGAGCTCACGCTTTGCTTCTGTTTAACTTTTGACCATTATACGCAGAATTTCCCAAAAGCAGAAAAGCTAGTCGTTTTGTAAATATTTATCATCGCGTGATAAATTGTAAAAAATTACGACACTACATCAGATATGCATTGGGACCTTTATCGGCCCAAATCAGGCCCAAGGCAAGGGGCTTGCCGTGGGTAGGGATGACCCGACCTCAAATGGTTTGGCCTACAGCATCTTTGACACCCTATAGGTTCCTATATCCCGATTTTTTTCGTTACCACCGTGATTACTAGACCTCCCTACTCGTTCGAAAAAATGGTACTAGTGCACTTGGGGGGGGGGGAAGGGGCAGTCTGTATTTTGACTACGAGTCGCTCCAAATGCCGTTCTTTAGACTCTAAGCCTCTGGAAACGCAAACCTAAGCCTAAAGTAAGCCTAGGCTTGGCTTCATACAACCGAAGCCCGAGATTAGCTTGCGCCAAGCTAAGCTTAGCAATAAGCTAAGCCGTAAATGACCCCATTTTGACAACATAAGGAAATTTAAAGCTTGGGCTTAAAAGGGCACGTTCAGGGACGTTTTTTTGGAAAAAAGCAAAGGTTTTAGCCGCGGCCGGGGGTCGAACCCGGGCCCCCCGCTAGAGAGGCGCGGATGGATACCAGTCAGCCACAGCTACAACCTGGCAAGGGGGCGAGGGGCGCCCCAGGCCGCAAAGGAGGGGAATGGCCTGTTACAGCACGGGCAGGCTGTGCGCGCGGTCCCTACGTCCATAGGGTGTACACGTTGGGACGAGTACACGGCCCCTCCCTGAACGTGCGCTTTAAGCCTGAGCTAGACATCCCACTGGTACTCGGTTAGTAAAGCGCCAGTTGGCGCGCTACCCATTGCGCTAATAGCGCGCTAGCAGGCGCGTCAACTGGCGCTTATGCAAAAGCGCCAAGTGGCGCGCCAGAATGTCAAAAGCGTCAACTGGCGCGCTCTTTTGTTCAATTGCCCATACGGGTTCCGGCATATTAATTTTTTTTTGTTATTAAAAAAGGCTTTACATCGCTTTTTGCGATGTATTACGATATTTCGGAGCTAGAATGGCATCTGCTCTCTGGAGTATTTTCGTTCCGCGCACCTGAAACCACTTTTTTTGACTTGTAAATGGTTAGAAACCTACATTTTTGTTGTTGATGCTTGGCATACCCCATTTTTTCTGAAATAAACTGCGTGGCGTCTTACCTGCTCGGTGTAGACGACAGAAGACAGGCGAATTAGTCTGAACATGGGAAATAGATAAGTTTTATCTAAAAAAGGATTTGGACTTGGTAATTTTTGGGACCCACGAATTTGTACGGGAAGAATGTGCTCGTGAAGAAGTAAACGCGCATTCGATGATCTGAAAGTGATTCTCAGCGAAAATTTAAAAATTGAACGTTTGTCTCGGGAAAATTGAAAGGGCTTAATCTTTTAAGTCAATCGAGCTTACCGGAAATCGGGTAACCATATCTAAAAAATAATTTACAGGGTTCAGTAATCCTAGAATTTTTGATATCATGAAGTACATATAATCAAAAATACATCAGAAAAGTTAATAACAAAGACTTTTCCCTGGACTTAGTCATTTTTTCGCAGTTTTGAAAGGTGTTCGGAATTCAAATGCGCCCGATGGCGCTTTTCTTAGAAAATGGGTCCTGGAAAGACTGGAAATTCCGCGAAGTAGCGCTTTTTTTGCGCCAATAGCGCTTTTGCGCCGGTTGGCGCTTTCCTCCCGAATATTGCGCCAGTCGCGCTATCGTCTCTTGTATACGAACGTAGTAGCGCGCTACCTGGCGCTTGCATCATTTTGGCGCGCCAACTGGCGCTTTACTAACCGAGTAGTAAGAGGTTACGAGGCGCTCCGCTTACCTTCGTTTGTCCGTTAGGAGCGTCTCGTAGCCATGATCCCCCCAAGTGCATTAGCACCGGGATTTTTAGTTTTTCAGATTTTTCATCTTTCGAAACTTATTCATTTGGACGATATTTCTCTGATTATTCGTCCCGAATCCCCTGTACTGTGGCGGTTTTTGGGACAATTTTGGGTGGTTGTAGGGGCGGGGTATGGGGTAGCTAGATGAGCCAAGCCCCGCCCCCATCCTTTATAAGAAGTGGACGGCACCATTCGACAGTCTTTCTCCGCCACATATCGAATGTGTCTATTCCCGTCAACCACCTTTCTTCTTATTCTTCTTTTTCTCTGAACATTTTCATTGCATCCATTCATTTTGGATTCGACTAACCAAACCACAAAAATCTTTTTCTCGTTTCCATGGACACAAAAACTCTATGAAATTCGTTCTGTTTTCTCTAGTTGTTCAGTTCTCAATTTTTCAATCATCACTTTTCCAGTACGTGTAACATGTCTGAGCTCGCCGCTGTTGCTACTGAGGCCAAGGCCCCCAAGACCGCCAAGGCCCCCAAGGCCCCAAAGGCCCCCAAGGCCCCCAAGGCCCCCAAGGTCGCCAAGGCTAAGGGAGATAAGGTAGCTATTAAATTGGTAGATCACCAAAAATGTGTCTTAGGTCGCTGCTTCCCACCCCGCGTACGCCGCCATGGTCAAGGCTGCCATCAAGCACCAGGCGAGCAAGAAGGGCACCTCCAAGTCGGCCATCCTCAAGTATGTGCTCCAATCCTACAAGGTCGGAGACGACATCAAGAAGGTCAGTATTTTCACCAGGGTTTCTTAAGTTGATTTTGGTATTGGCGGTGGTGTCTGTGCTCTCTCCCCACTCTAGGTGATTGGCGTCGTTCAAAGGTTGGCACATGGCCAGTGGCGTCCTTTACGCTGGGGGGGGGGACGCCGAGACAGGCCAGGGAAAAACTGTGGGAGATGGGCGGGAGACCGGAAGGCGATAAGAACTAGTAGTGCTTTTTGAGGGAAAGGATCAAGAGAATCGGCTTTATAAACCCTAAATAAAATAAATTACGTGTTAATTCCAGGTCAACAGCCGTGTTGTCATCGCCCTGAAGAAGGGAGTTGAGAAGGGCGCCTTCAAGCAGGTCAAGGGAACTGGAGCCGCCGGTTCGTTCAGCCTCGGCGAGAAGGCCGTCTCCGTTGTGAAGAAGGCCGCCAAGAAGCCCGCCGCCAAGAAGACAGCCGCCAAGAAGACGACCACCAAGAAGCCGGCCGCCGCTGGCGCCGCCAAGAAGGCCGCCTCCCCGAAGAAGGCCAAGGTAATTTTTGAAAACCATTTTCGAGTCCCGATTTCATCGATCTAGACTTTTATTAATTTCTTATTTCCAGAAGGCACCTGCCGCCAAGAAGACGAAGGCCACCAAGCCCAAGTCGCCGAAGAAGGCCAAGACCGCCGCCAAGCCCAAGGTGAAGAAGGCCAAGGCCACAAAGAAGGCGGCGCCCGCCGCCACCGCATAAAACATCAAATGAATCAAAATAGACTATTCTTCTATTCATTGTCGATGCTCACCCCCACTCCCTACCTCGCTTTATTTCCACTGGCTTTGCAAATTATTCTAATGAATATAACCCTTATCCCCGATCTCTATTGCCCGATGGATACATTCATTGCCCTATTGACGCCTTGGTTTTTCATGACGCGGTTTTCAAATAAATATATTTCATTCTAGACAGCTTGCTAAGAAATCTGCACATCGAAGAAAATTCACTCTGACATGACAATTTTCGGTCTTTACAGAGATATTGAAATCGGCTTGAGACTTGGAAGTGCCGTATCGAGGGAAATCGACGTGTTCGCGGTGTATTCGTTAGTTGTGCCCCACCAACTTCGAGGGTTTTTGAGAGAGCAGCCACGTCACATCCGACGCTACGCTGTAAACTACGTTTTAAACTAAGCTCTACGCTTATGGAAAGGTTAAGCCAATGGCTAAGCAGAATCTAAGCTTGATTTTTAGCTAGCTAAGCGTTCGTTATGGAGGTACCAGGAAACATTAAGGCTAACCCAAGCTATGCATGGTTATAGGCTTAAGTCTAGACTTAAGCTAAGCATGGCTAAAGCCAATTCAAGCCTAGGCTTAAGTTAAAAAGCAAGAAACTTAGTCGACGAAACGTCTCTTTAAAAACCTCGTACCGGAAGTCAAGGCGTATATTCCACTCGATTGTACTCCCTCACTGCCTTTTTTTCGCACCACCACTAGATGCCTATAGGTTATTTCAGTGAGGCCCAACCCGGTCGATAGTGACAGGTGATATTTGAATATACCCCCAAGCTGTTCATTCTATGTGAGGAAGGGTCTCGTTGGTGGATTGGTGGGGGTGGGTAGACATGGTATTTGGCCGGTGTGGTGACCCCGGATAGTGTATTTTGGCGCGAAAGGATGGCGTCCCCCCTAGGGCTCTGGCTCGGCGCCAAGCCCCCCTGATTCGGGTCAACCCCCCCCAAGCCAAGCATCCCTTCAGCAAGAGTCTTCGATTAATTGGGATATTGTCTGGGACCAATTGGGGGAATGGGGGGTTTTGGGAGGAAAAGAATATCTAAATGTGAAGGCCAGGGTAATCCGGGTTCAAAATCGGGAGAAGTTTTTTTACATAGTGTAGACGATGCTGATCATTTTCATATATCTAAAAAAATTTGACAAACTTCTAAACCACATATTTAAGTTCTAGCGTCTTTTAACTTATTTAAATTAAAAAATCTCGATGGGCAATGATGTATAAAAATGGCCGGTTCTTTGGCATTATCGGTGGGACCAACTTTTTTCTTAGGATATAATTTTACAAAGATAAATAGTGGAGATGTGCCTAAACGGTTTTTTTACTATTCCTAAACGTGGGAACTTTACAAATTTTTGGCAAAAACAATCAACAATATTGATTTTTCGATAAAAGCTGGCCGCTTTTCAACCAAAATCTTGGCTTTTCCCAAACGTTGTGAAACTTTTTAGATAGTTTTCTATTTGAAATACAGTTTTATCTTACCCCGGATAAATTCCCTCCCCCGATAATGGAAAAGAACTAAATTTTCAGGCGCTTTTTAGGTACGTTTCCTTGACCTTATCTAGTAAGCAGATGCCTGAATTTGTATGAATTTTCGTTGTCTTGTTCTGAAACGCCACAATTAAAATAAGTAAAGTAGTATTTATTTGTATTTTCATAAATAAATAAGGCCGCCTTCCGACCGTCGCCCGTGCAAGTTATCACAAACCACCCGGTGGAAAATTTGGTGTGAAAATCCCAAAAATGCGCAAATTTCAGGCAATAAGTTACGAAAATGAGGAAGCGGGACTAGCTGCCCAGTCCTTTGGTGTATGGAGAAAAGAAACTGATGTTTGTATTGGTACATATGGCTGTAATTCAGGGGAGACTGTGGGAATATGGAGGGGATAGAATATAGATTAGTTTTTAAGTAAGCCAATAATTTAATGGTGACGTTGCTGGGGTACCCCGTGCCATCGGACGCGTCCAGTCTCCATCTCAATCACACGATCATATGCCTCGAGGCCGGATAGGTTGTGGACGATAGAAAGTAAGGTACATGTCGGGAGCTCCTCCTAAAGAGTAATAAGTAAATACCGACAGACGTTAAAATACCTTGATCATCTGAAGGATTCTCTGGTGAGAGACAGAATCAAGATGTGCTGTCGCCTCATCGATCAACACGATCTGCAATTAGGCACATTGAATAAACGCGTGGATGTGAAGTTGATTCCGGTTGCCTTGACCGGATTCCACATAACAGCACCGCAAAAGGTTTGGTACTGGACTGTTTGCGGGGGGGGGCGGGCTAATTTTGGTCATTCCGCCGCTTTCTTTCGATATAATAACTCATAAAAGGTACTAAATACATTTTTGGTAACGGGTAATGGCGTCGAGAGGAGTCCCGAATAAGATTTTCCAAATGCTACTCCTTCCATATTTATTTAGGTTGGTTCGGCCATCCCTATTTTTACGGGAAATAGTTTTCGAACCCTAGTGTGCTTGAACTATTTTTGAATTTACTAACCTTTGGTTTCCGAATCAATACCCGGCACAAAGCCACAATCTGCTTCTCGCCATGAGAGAGATTTGAGCCTGACTCCGAGATTTCGCCGTCCAAACCTCCCACACGCTCTAGCAAATTGTCTGAAAGGGCAATAGACCTGTCTCTGCTTCTGAAACATACCTAGACCCGCTTTTCTTGCTAATCGAGCAACGGATCCCCGTTCGGAATGCTCTTCCGAATCAACCGTCAAGTTTTGCCATAAACTACCAGAGAAAAGGAACGGATGTTGTGGTACCAACCCAAATGCCTATCAAAAATATGCATCTGAAAATTTCGTACAAACCCACCTTTCTCAAGGCTCCCAGCTCACACTCTTCAATATCTAAATCCCCAACCAGAATCGTTCCAGATTCTAGGGAAATACCTCGAAGTAGAGCCTAAAAAATTTCTAGCATGTGCAGAGCTCTCACTTGAAATAAGCTGCTTTTGCCACTGCCTGTTCGTCCGATAATCGCCACTTTTTCTCCGGATTTTATGCTAAAACAACTATTTTGACGCTTGAGTTGAGGTATATTCCTACGTAAGGTCAACTCGATCCAATGCCAATTGTAGTCCACGCTCATAGCGGAGGGATGCTTGGCGGAAGCGGATTTCCAGGTGGCCGTTTGGCATCTGACATGCGGTAATACGGAGTGAGTTTTTGCGACATACCGTCGATTTTTTTTTCATTAGCTTCTTCAGGTACTTCTGTAGAGTATTCGTCAATGCGTTCCACTGACACCTATAACGAAATAAAGCAAATCAGTACGAAAAACAGGGTACTGGACTTTTAGCGGGGCAGCTATTTCTGCGGGCATTTATCGCAAATTCAAAAAGTTTTTATGAAGTTTTTATATCTAAAAACCGGGTAAAATTGCTATAAAAATGATTTGTTTTTGCTATAGAACCGCACAGGATTACTGGGCAAAATTAGCCCCCCCCCCCGCTAAGAATCCAGCACCAAAAATAATTCATTACGGTCAAAAAGACCAAACAAATCACCATTTCTTTTTCCGTTTCGATAAACGATCCAAGCAGACCGTTGAGAAGCCCGGTCAACGATAAAGCATATGTAATAGCCAGTCCGACAAGTCCTAAGATTTTAACGTAAGCTTGATCGAAAGCCCTTAAAATACATACCTGACTCCACCGGTTGAATTTGATGTTGTATGATGGCGCCAAGCGCTACAGCGCTTACCACGGTTACTAAGAATACATTATTAATTCATATGCTATCCAAAAACCGGCAATCAATGAGAGTCTTATAGACAACCATTTCCCAGCTGCCAACGAACTGAATTGCGCTCGCTGCGAAGCGGTCAATTTTTCACGTAGCTTGGTTGTCATTCTAAAACACACTTGGATACCGTATACTGGGCGATACCTTGTGACGAATCGATGGGCTCTGATTGTGGCCAACCCATTTACCGTATCCGAAAGGTGCGAGTATAAAGGTGACAACGCTACGGAGGACAAACGCTTTAGCTCTACAGTAGTTCGCCTGAAAATAACGCAGGTGGAAGTCGGAAATGCGTTAACAGGACCCACCGATAGTAGCGTTGCGTAAAAAAGTAGACAACGAAGAGGATTAGGATGACTGGGATCAGAATCGGAAGGCCGATTAGTGTCACCACCAATGTGCCAACCAGGTTGAACAATGAGGCAAGAACGATGTTCAACTAAAGGACTGTTGAAGGAAGAAAAATGCCGTATATTATGCGCTTTAATGTATATTTTAGGTCAAAATTTCAACTTCAATTGCGTTTAAGATAACTAGGGTACCTGGAATGGTAGATTATCATCACAAGTGTAAACATCAGAGCACATCCGATTTATCACGCGGCCGGAGGGTGTATTATCCCACCATTGTAATGATGCCTAAAAGTTAACGCCTTGTTTTTAATATTTGTAAGAATTATTATTGGTTTAAAACTGACTTTGAGCAGCTTGGAAAGCAAATTTTCGTGTAGCACCTTCGCTGCCACCACTCCACCGTAGGCAAATAGGAAAGCTCTGAAATCTACGTCAAAGACCACCCCCGATAAACTACCGTATCAATGTAAAAATTGTGTTTGTTGCGGCAATAATTGCGTAGACACAGAGGAAATATAAACTGCGATCCCATTCGGAACTTTCGAGAGGCCTGAAAAATTTAATTTTGCAATGACTGAATAAGCTGCGGCTTACTCGACGTTCCGCGGCCCCGCCAAAAGCTGCTTGGCTTCCTCGAACGAAGAGGATCTCGGAAATTCACGCTCCATCCCAGTCAGGTTCGAATCTTTCGTCCAAGCCGTCCATTCCGCCAACCACATATCAGCCAAATTTTTCGAAATTTGCATAGCCAGTAGCGCCACGATAATGGCTGACGTCAAAAAATAGCCGGTAGCTTTTGTGTAAGCCTGATAAACCGAAGCGCGAACACTTCCTTTCTAAAGCAGAATCGGCATTTTGATTTCAGAAATCTTGGTACCTGTTTCTCCTCCTCTTGAGTACCGACGAATTCTATCTCATCGTCATCATCTTTGGCTAGTTCTGAACTTTCGATCTCGATTTCACTTGAGCCGATTAGGTTTTGGTCAAGCACTTCGGATGGGGGACCTAAATCCGAAGCGTATTTTCCAAGGGGAAGTATAAGCTTACCCTGTTTGATGACGGTGCCTGATTTGTTGAATACAAGCACGTTATCGGCTTTATTCAAAAGGCGTGCGTTGTGGCAACTGACGATCACCAATTTTCCGCGATTCTGAAGGGAATGCTAGATTTTTGGGGTGAGGGTTACCTTCAGCATTTTAACAATGGCTTCATCCCAAATTGTATGGGCTACAGGCTTATCGAGGGAAGCAAATGGGTCATCAAGGAGATAGACAGTTGTGTCCTGCAAAATAAGGATTATTGAGATAGCCTGTAATATTGCGATATATCCTGATAAAACCCTGAAATAAAAAGATACCTGATACAATGCCCTGGCTAATGAGATCCTAGCCCTCTGACCTCCACTCAAAGTAGCTCCATTGTCGCTAATCTCATATTTGTCGCCATGAGGCATATTCTGTAATAGAGAATCGTATATCATACGGAAATCCTAACATTAATATCCTTTCTCAAGCAACAAGCAGCAATCACACTTTCGTAAAGTTCCGGATTATACTCCTTCCCGCACAGAATGTTCTCCCGGACGGTACCTAGTAATTTTATTATTCAGAACTCCCGGAAAAGCCGACCTCTCACAAGCCAATGGCTTTGGCTAACATAAGATATTCCGTTAGATACGCTGTCTTGTCTAAAGGTACTGTAAAACTAAGAAAACAACCCTACCGTAGTCCGATAGCTGAAGCCTGCCCTCGCGTTTCCCCGAGAAGACCCAATAAAAACGTTGTTTTTCCCGAGCCGACTTCACCGTAAATTCCAATGATGCTACCCTGTAATAATCAGCAGTAAAATTAGCTTCACAAAAATTTTTCTTACCATTTCTCCAGTCAAAGACACGTCGCTGACGCGCGTTTCCGAGGAGTCCTTCCAGAAAAACGACCCCTTCCGCACATGAAGAAGTTCTTTTGGATCTAAACAATATTTATAATTTGATCAATAATCGATAAATTTAAATTATATAATATACACAAATTTAATAATCCCGCCGTACCTTCAGTTAGCCGATAAAATTCTTGTAGGTCGAATTCTTTGATTGCGAAGAACCACTCGAGCCGCTGCAATGGTCATTAGAAATTTTATAAAAATATTAAATACGGTACTATTAAGGTTGTGATGATGATAAAATGACCTTGACGGATACAAGCGCTTCCACCAGTCCATTCAACACCCATGGGAAGGCGTTCAGCGGCATTATGAGGATATTCACCAGTGCCAACGCCGTGAAAATCTGTTACAAAAGTCGAAATAAAGAAGTTTTTGGCTGGGTATACCTTTGCGGCGGTTAGTTTCTCGTGTAGAACGAGTGTATAAGTTGCGATAATAGAGATAGTGATCAAGAGAGGTGCTGAAGCCCATAAATACACGCACACAGCGTCGAGGTATTTCCTTCCCTTTAGGTACTTTAGCTCTTTTTCTCTGAAATTTGGGGTTATATATCATAACGCCAAATGGCACCTCAGTTTTCCAATTTTCTCTTGAAAATAGTCCTCCCAGGCGCAGAGCTTGACGGTTCTAATACCATGCATTGCCTCGGTTATCATCTAAAAACAATAAATAAGTTACTGATTCCGTCTTAAAACTACCTTAACACGCTGATCCTTTGCAGTCATCATTTTCTCGCTGAGCCTGCCGATTCTGGTGGTGATCACCTTGTTGATGGGGATGAGAACAAGGGCAGCGACAAGGCCCGACAGGAATGCCATGCCCACCTGAAAATCGTATTTCACCTCACGGTTTGTAATAACCTCTCGGTACAGAAGATACAGGGTGACGATGAGTTCGAGGGGTAGATTCCAGAAGGCATGGAAAGAATTGCAGAAGTTGACGATACGGTCGACATCCGTTGATATGAAGTTCAGGATTTGACCTGAAAATAAGAATTTAATGGACTAGAAAAATCGGAATCTGCACGCAGGGAGGTGCTAATCCACTCCTTTCTGATCCCTTTAAACGATGGAAAATTGAACAGCACATCGTAATTACCATAATAACAAAAACCCTGCACTCACCGGAAGAAAAAGAAGACATCTCGGCTAAGGGAACCCTCAGCATTTTGTCGTATATAGCCATCACGGTTGCGGTCCGTACTTTAAGGGAGATCTAACACGAATTACGTAGCATTACACATGCCAACCTTTTCCACGTAATACATAAAATGCGTCTGCACCATCGATCCAAAGAAGCAACATAGAATTAGCAGCCCAGCGTAAATGTAGGAGTCTTTCTGAAATTTAAATTGGATATATGATTTTAGTTTAAAATCTACCCTGGGTAAAGGATCTTCTAATGCATTGACGAGGAGGTGGAGGAGGATTGGAGTTGCAAAATTAAAGGCATCGGCAATGATCCGCAAGATAGCCAGTGAGAAGTATTGGAAGCCAAAAGTAGAGAGGAGAGACCTGGAAACACTTAATTGATACGCGTCGATTGACACCTACCTGGCAATAGAATATTGCTGTGCATCCGAATAAAACGTAGGCGAATTTTCAACAAACTGCCGTTCGATAGTATTCACTCGGAGCGTGGGTGGTAGATTGAAGACGTCGTCCAGCTCATTCAACTGCCGTCTGTAGCCCTTTTTGACGAGGTCGTTCGTCCAACAGAAGAATAGCTGAATTTGGGGTCTATGCATCCAGGCAGAGACAAACTTTTGAAAAAATTCCGGCTCCTTCATCGGCATCTTGGTCCAGCCGGACATAGTCGTCTGGCCGGCCGTCCAGAGGACTAAACGGACGTGCGCGGAACCTAAAAATATATGAATTTCGGAATTAAATCCACTTTTTCCATCGCCATTCCAAGACGCCCAGCACTGAATAGCTGATTTGGACGAGAGAACCGACAAATGGAAGCATCGTGCGAAGGTCGGTAAATCCGAACATTATCCATCTGAATTTTAAGCTTATTAGAGTCTCTGTCACTACCTGTTTGCCGTAATTAAGAAAATACACTTGGAGGCGAAAAACGCTGAAATGATGAGGCCGCGAGAACGTGTCCAACTAAAGATACAAAGCTTTAAGTGTATCGTTAATTTAAATATACCTCATTGAATGTGCGGAATAACCCCACGCCACAGCCGCCACGATCCAGGACAGCCCCAGCACACCGTATTCAACAAGAACGATAGATTTTACTCTAAAACCCGGAATCGGTGATTAACCACAAAGAGCTATACCTGTAATGCGTGAAGACGCCGGTGATTAACATCAGGAAAAGGAGAATGATCGTAAGGGTGGATGCGAAGAGCTTCAGGAGGAACAGCCAGTAAACCCTCTTTTCTGTGATTGGTGGGAATTGACGCTGAAAAGTTGGCACTTATCGATCTATATTATGTTTTCTATTTTCGACATTGTATGTATGATATAAATCTTATTAATGTAACACTTACGGGTATCATCAAGATATTAACGACAAGGAAGAAGAGGAATGGAACGGCCTGAAGGCTGATCATCCCGAATTCAGCGCATGGTGTCAATGTCATGAAGCGCTCATCCAAGAAATATCTAAAATTATTTAGTGTAGATACATAATTAAAAGTTGTTTGGTGTGTTTGGTAAACTCACTTCGTTCTGAAGTCCGAACCATTTGGGTTAAACCCGCAAAACTTTATAACTTCCGGTGGTAATGGGTCGTTGAAGGCCATCTCGGCCTAAAATCAATATTGCTTTTATGATTAGACCGGCTTTCAAGATTCCCAAGAATCCTTCAATTTAAAAACCAAATTTCCATCGAAAGACTGTGGACGAATTATCGGAATAATAGCAAAAAGCGAAGAAAATACGTAAATCCCAGAATTTCCTTGACAAGACCAGAAAAACAGTGTGTGTCATCTAAGTGGACGCAAGAAAAAACGGTTGTTTATTCAATTGTTATTTTGTTTCATCGAGGGAGAGAGTGACCAGGCAACGAAAGGGGGGAAAGGCAGTGGTGATGTGTTGAGGAGGAGGCAGTATGGAGAGAGGTCATTTGTAACCCTGCGGAAATGGCGAGCAAGTTACCGTAGTATCGGAGCCTTAAAGGATCGGAGAAGGTGAGGGTATCTCTCAAAGTTCTAGGTGTTTTAGGTGTTCAACGTAGCATTCATAGAATTTATTTCATCGAAGAATTTAGGATGTCACTATCGGAGAATCTTCATTTTGTCTCTTCAGCGTAGTCGGGTACTTTGAAAATAGTTTTTTTTTGTTAAAAATAAGCATACTTCCACAGCGGCCATCTGTAATTTCTTGCCCCACAGGACATACGCAATCATAACCCCCAGGAAAGTTTTTGCATGTCTAAAACTTACCGATATAAACTTTAGTTTAAACTTACCGATCCACGTACGCCTTCACAAGGGGCCTCCATCGTTACACATTCATCAACATCTAAATATATTTACCATAGAATCTCTCCTTCTCGCGCTCTCTCCCCCTCTCTCTCTCACATTCCCTCTCTCTCGCTCGCCCTCTCTCGCTTTCTCTCTCTCTCTCTCTCACGTTCCCTCTATCACACTCTCTCTCGCCCTCTCTCCCCTCTCTCTCTCTCTCTCTCTCTCTCTTTCTCTCTCACGTTCCCTCTATCGCTCTCTCTCACTAGGTCTCTCTCTCCTTCGCTCTCTCTCTCTATCTCCATTCTCTCTCTCTCCCACCAATACAACTCCCATCTGGCCCGGTCTTGTAAGTATTAGCACATTGACACATCGGTGGCACGTCCGGACCAACGATCAAGCATTGTTGACCTCCACAGTAACGAACATTACACCGATTAACGGCTTAAAAAATTGCGATGACGTAAGACCTAGAATACTCACAAATACACTCGTTGTTAATTCGATACGTCGCCCCCGGGCATGAATTTGGATCGTTTTGCCCTGTTTAAAAAAAATTGTTAAATCCAGGAGGTGCCTTACGTTTTTGTAAGTGTCTCGCTAGGAGAATATTGATATGAAAACTTATAAAAACTAGATAAAGAAGTTTCTGCATAGCTGAAGTGTAAATTTCGTTATTCTAGTGCTTAAATATCTACAATAACATTAATCATAATTTTACCACGGCCTTTGGGAAGGGAATGAATGACCCTCATTTTTCATTGTTCCCCTTAATCGATACCCGGAATGCAACAATTTATGATGGACTGCTGTACCGTGTCTTCTCTTTTTGTTCGTCACAAGATACCCAACATATTATTTGGGGGGTCGATGGAATGAGGGTGGATGGGGGAAGGATGCAATAATATTTTTTTTGAATCACAAGAATTATTGGGTGCAAGCTTGGTAGAAATCAATATTTAATGTTTTCCCTTTTGCCATGAATATGGGTTTCGGATGATGCCGCGTTTGTTGGTGTACTGCCAGCTGGAATTGGGCCTTTAAAGAGTTATGCTTTTTCAAAATCACCTGTACGGATTGCGGGGCACGTAAAAGTTACGTAAACTTCCGCGCAACGAACCCATGGCACGCTTGGCATTCTGTAAAAATAGAAATTACATTTGGCTAAATTTACGTACATATCTGGCCATGTTATATCGAGCGTTTAGGGGCTCGTCATCCTTTCGTTGTGCCATCCAGGAATATGGGTTCCGGATCGCGCTAAAAATGTAATTAGGAGCAGTCATGTAAAGTATAATTTAAGCTGACTTGGGATGTATAAAAATTTTTAGAGCTCGTACCGGCGATCCCGAGTGCCTCGATCGCGCTGGGCCATCCATGAATATGGGTTTCTCACGACTCGCTTTTCACGATCGGATTCGCTGACTTCACCAAGCGATGAGTCTGATGTTCTTTCTGCAATTCCAAGTATATCATGGTCAAAAACTGCTTCGCGGCGTTTGGGCCATAGCCTCGTCTATGAGTGCCACAACAGGACAATTTCATTCAAGTAAGTAAGCGGTCTAGGTAATTTTTAGACAAAAAAACATCTTCTCTAAACTCAGATAAGTCCGTCGTGAGCTTGAGTCCATTACACATCTAATTACGCAGTATGGATACTCTAAGCCCTTTCTTAGGGCCGCCATATAAGTATAAATGGTCACGGATTTTCACTCAAATGCACACACGTACATACACGTCATTGGTTTTATAGATAATAGGCTTTCAAAAGGAATACTTCTATTAGCTGTATCTTCCGAGTTTTTACAGGCCTACCAACCAGGCTGTTCATAATCCGGAAACACATTCTCAGGAACAGCCGGATTCGCCGAATCCTCGACGGCCATCACCCCAGCTAGCAGGCACAGCAGCAGTCCCGCTTCCAAGTGCATCATCTAAAAAATATCCAAAAATGAATTAATGCATAATAAAAATGGTTTCAGAGAGAAAACATCCGATAAGACATCCGTTCACGTCATGGAAGTTATTTTTAAACTTAAAAAACACCCTTAAATAACCATTTTACCCCTTTATAAACGGCCCCACGAAAAACACCTCCGGTCTTTCTCGTTAAATGGCTGTCACTAACCCCATTCCGACGACATCCAGGAACTTTGCTCATTTTGTTTCGCGTCAAGACCTGCTTGAAATGGGGTAAACATCCCTTTTTTAAAGGGAACAGGAAGCCAAAGACAGACGTTGACGTTCTGGTTTCAGGATTATTTCCTGGTCGTCAATGGCTTCGTGATTCCAAAATTTTGAAAGGTATCAAGAAAACGGTGTTTTTATGCACTAGGGGTTGCAGGGTCCGGGGAGGGGGGGGGGGTAAAAGCAGAAAACAGCTGATTTCTAGTGACCCGGCCATTCCTATCACCATTATCCAGCTGGATTTACGATGATTGAACAGCTGGCATGTCAAGCATGTCGTCGGGGTCAATATTTGCCCTCGGGAAATTGAAATGTTGATTGAAACAAGAAAATAAGTGAGGGATCCTTGTTGAAGAACTCGTCGTGAGGGAGTTTGAAATTAGTAAGAAAGGGTTGGTTGGGCACTAGCGAATAATTAATTGGAGTGGGGGGAGGAAGAATAGGAGCCGGAGTCTTCTACATCTAGCACGAAGTTCCGCTCCAACTTAATGAATGCGATGAATAAAGGAAATACGTTTTAAGGCGTTTTAAAGAGGAAAAGAAACCCGAAAAACCAATAAATTTATGTCTAAGGTTAGGCTAAAAATATTTACAAGGAATTTTGTAAATTTTAAAGGGACTAGAAAGTGTAGTAGCCTAGAAAAGCCCGGAAAACCGGTGAATTCTAATTCTAAATATTTACCAATTAGCTTGTGCTAAATATTAAAGGGATTAGAAAGTCTATTAACTCAGGAAAATCCGAAAACCAAAAAATTCGAAGCCTAGAAGGCTGCGTCAAAATATCTACCAAGGAGAGGTAGCTCAGAAAAGCCCGGAGAATCAAAAGGTCCACGTCAAAATATTTACCAAGAACGCTACCGTAGTTTCTGGATTGCCAGTTGCCAGGGGAGAGAAAAAACCCGCGTGAAAACCTTTTGAATCGAAAACCTGCGGGGTTCACCCCCCACCCAACCAGCGCCCTCATAATGAGAATATCTGACGAGTTTTTCAAGATCTGGGGGGGGGGCAGGCCAAACTTCAGAACTGGGCGAATATTTGATGGGCTCAAGGGGCAGCCATCTAAAAAAAGGGATGGGTGGTGGTTGAAGGGGGCAAAGGATAAACAGGGCCCTTAGGTGCCGAGAGACGGAACCCATTCAGTTTGTGGGCCCCATCTTAAAGCCCCCACACCCAAATCACTCATTCCGCCACACAACTCCTTCCCAAGCGCGTCTAAAAGAATCGGCGGCAAAAAATTTCGAGGATTAAAAGGAGAGGGGGAAGAAGAGAATGGGAGCTCGCGAGCTTCTCTTTTGGGGTGTAGCCCATATATAGCCGTAGGGCATGGGTCCCGATAAATTTAAAGGGGGGTGACGCAGGGCCCATTTGCCCTCCAGATGTCCCCCTCTCACACCACGAATTTTATGGGACGACGGCGACGGATTGGGTATCTGTGTCTGTCTGTTTTTTGGAGATGAAAAGTATAGAGAACGGATTAGGGAAGTGGTAAGTGTCCTTTTAAGGATCTTCCCTCATTTCCTCAAAATTGGGGAAAAGCTAACCGGAAACCGGATGCAAAAAAGTTTATGCTAATTGATATGGGCCTTCCGGATCCCTTTAAAGAGACGCACTAGAGATGCTTATGGATTTTTCCGACTGTGGATTCACTACATTTTTATAGAATCAGCAACAAGCAACAACCGAGCACGGTTTTACATTGCGTAACAGATCACCGCGGTACGATGCTACCGCCTCGCGTGTGCGATGCGTATTGCGCATGCGCTCACGCTTGAATATGCGCCGAAAAAACCATAGCTTCCCCTTGCCAACCCCTTTAAATTTACATCTAAACCCTAAATCTTTAAAAATACCCCGGCCCACGAACACATTTTGCCCTCGAATCCAGAAATCAGCAAACACTGTGATGGGGTGGGATTTGCCTCCGGGGTTCCGCCCATCAAATCTAATTTGCCGGACGCGGCCGGGTGATGGCCGGAATGTTCCGGGGTCGACGCCAAAAGCGGAGTCATTTTAGAAAATGGGTAGACTGGCACAATTAGGGAGAAGCTTTTTCGAGAGGGCTTTTGGGTCTTGTGCTTTAGAAATCGGAGGGTGGTTGGGTTTAAAAGGATACAAAAGGTATCGCTAGTTAAGGATACGTCATAGCTTTAAGCCTAAGCGTAAGCTTCCTCGACCCTTTAAAGGGATAGTTCCAGAAAATTTACGCAGTTACGTGAAGGTATAGCCCTTTTCAGGCCCTACGTCAGTTCCTTACCCAAGAAGAACAAGAAGGAAATGTGAGGGACACTTGTCCGTCAAAGAACTCTGGTCATCGGCGAGCACTAAGCAGCCTTAAAAGGCTATCGCCCCCTAACCACTTTTCCCCCATAAATTCCTAGGTGACAGGCTAACCAACGGGCGGATGGGGAGCGAGTTCGGCTAAATGCATTGGCCCCAAGGCCCCAAAGGCGATGCAACGAATTGTATAACCTTTAAAACGGTTAAAAAGAAGTACGGAAAAATTAAGCTTTATGAAGTACTGTATTTATTACATTATAAGCCAACGCGCTAATAAAATCTGCCTTCAGGGAGGTTGAAGAAAAATAGAAGACCCGATTTCATACAAAAAAAAATGATAAAATGGTACCTAGCCAATTACAAATGTGAATAAAAGCTCTCTTTATGTGTTGTCTTCATATGATTAAGGGTTTCGTACAGCTTAAAGTCGAAAAACGGAAGGTGTTGGTCCAAATCCGTCAATTTTAATGCCAAATTTCGGTATTTCGGTCGATCAAAATATGTAAAAGCACCTTGATTAGTATCACCCATCATGCTCATTCTAAAAAAACAGAACCTAGAAATTATATTGTAGATGAAATCCTGTAAGCCGCATACCCTAAAAAGTCGGCACAGTTTGAACTACTACACCCACATCATTTCCGCCCGAACTCAACCACACTTGAAACTCTCAGAAAAAACTTTCAAAATTGCAGTCCAGTGATGTTCGGATGGCGTGCGTGGGCGCAGAAATTTGAGGCTTCACCCCCCGCCGGCTACTTCTCCTTCACCCCTTTTTGCCTAGGGTGTTCAGGGGCACTGAATTCAGGAGGGCAGGCGCGGTGGAATTCGAAGAGAATATTCGAGGGGTGCCCTCCGTTTTCCATGGGGTCAATCGGCCATTCAACCCTTCCTTCACCCCCCAACTGGCAGAGACCGAGGTGAATAATCCAGTCAAATGTCGTCGAAGAAAGAAAAATACGGCACGAACACACATCAACAGCCACCTTCCCTCCAACGTTCGAATTCAGAAAGAAAAGCGTCGCCTGAAATGCTGTGAAAGTAAAACAGTGTAAAATTTGATTGAATTGAAGCAACAAAAGTCATCCTTAGTAGTATAAACTTACAAAAATATAGAAAAGGCCCCATTTCTTAAATTCCTTCTAATGAAACGGCAGAAATCAAATTGGTACGAGGCGCATCTATGCGGGGTACGAGCCGTACTATCGACGAATCAGGTAAACCGCCTTTTATCAGCGGCAAAAGATCCAAATTTGGCGATAAAACACGTTTTTGGCTCGAAAGTAACAATTATCTAATTAAATATACAATATCTTATAAAAAACTAAAGATTTACTGGCGCTAGCCTCTGATTGTCGACTCGATAGTGTCAAAATCAACAGACCATCGCTTCTCTCATCCATCTAAAAATAAAACCTGGCAACCAATAGATAAGAAAAACGCGCCCGCGGGTCGAACCAGCGACCCCCGCTCGGAAAGCGCGTGCACTAACCAGCAGACCATAAAACTAATAAAAAACGTAATTTTCAGGGCACTTCTTCCTTCCGACATCCGACCCCTGATCCTCTGCCGATATGTATGGCCAACTTCCGGAAATAGACCTGCTTTGCATAAAAAAAACACACTCCGGGCTCGGTGCCCGAAAATCCAGTGGGAGTGTCAATCGCAATTTCTTTCATGTACCTTTTTAATTCTTTTGTTTTCAGATGGGCCGCTCCTGCTCCCGTTCCCGCTCCCGCTCGCCCTCCCGCCGAAGCGCGCGGCCGTCTACCAGCCGGCCGTCGTCCTCGCGTCCCCGCGCCCATGGCTCGCCTCGCCGTTCTTCAAACCGTCGCGCCTACGCGCCGGTAAAGCTGCTTACAATAGCCTCACGTTTTGTCCTAAGGAAATCTATGCCCTAAGTTCGGCTTGATATTTTCGGAATCATTCGGCTACTGCATTTATTTACGTTCTTCTTCAGCACTATCTTCCGTCTCGCCCGGCACCAGCAACACGCCGTGCCGCTCCTCCACCTCAACCGCCTGATCTGCTCGAGATGGTGGAATGCCATCATCGTCTTTCAAAAAACTTATAGGCGCGCGAAAGTGGCGTGGAGATGGCGACCGACATCGCAGTCGGCATCACCTCTACGGCTCCACCCGCTCGCTTTGGGGATCTTGTATAAAACTTTCGTTTACACTGTAATTGAGAATCCTAGGAAGTTGAACGGCTCGGTGCTACCGACCAGGAGCGTCGAGCGGTATCATATCCCTCTTGGCTATTATTATTTGTTATTAGGCTCTTGAGGCGATCGTTGAGCGCAAGAAGCGGGCATTGCCGAAGAAGGAATAGGTGTGTGCTGTTATCATTGGTCCGATAATCTAGCTAGCAGGCATTTTGACCTAGGGGCCTATCTAAAACAGTTTATGTATTGAAATACAAACAGTTCTCTTTCAGGACAGTGGAGGCGGTGGCGGCGGCTTCGGCGTTTTCGGCTCGTTCGGCTTTTCTTCGCCTCTTTTTTTGTTCCGTTGTTTCCGATTGTTTTTTGTTTTGTAAATTAAAATTGGGCGGGTATACAAGGAATCAAATAGCGCAATAGCGCGCAATGAACTCACGGGGACTAGGCGTCGTTAGGAATGAATCGGAGGGTGTTGATTGGCCCGATCGAATGAGAAAGTTCTTGTGGATGTTCGCCTCCCGGAAGGATGTCAAAACCGTCTAGACTGAAAAAAAATCGACGCAACAAAAAGGGAGCAAGCACTTGACGGAATCGTTTGTAAATTGAAGCTCAACGGGTCTCCTAATGATGATTTTTGTAGGTATTGGTTCAATGACTGTAGTTCAATATTCCAGATCAGTTAGTTTTGTAGGTGTTTTTGTAGTTTTGCTGCTTGTGGCGGGTTTGACACGGTTTTTTTTAAAGCGACGAGGCCTTTATTATCGTTCTCCGGCTTCAGTAGCGGTTTTCTTTATTGGGTTCGATTACCTGGAAGGATAAAATTGCGATTTTGTAGGCCGAAATCTAAATTTCTAGTTATTCGATTAGTTTTTCCTCATCCCGTGCGTCTTCAACCCTATAATTTGGCGCTGCGCTCATAAAAGCAATAGGTTTTTTACGCGACGAAGGCCTGGGGTGGGGGTGGTGGTTCGATTCTTCAATTCGTTTTTGGCTTAGCTTTGTTTTTAAAGCTTCTTATTCCTAATATGGCCTACATTCAAGCGCTTACCGAGGGTACTTTATCTAGTGGGATGGAAAAATACGTGTTGTCTTATTTCAATTATCGAGGTATTCTTTTGTGCTTTTGTTTTAGGGGTTTTTGCCCAATTTTGATGACTATTTTCGTCAAGGGAGAGCCGAGGCGATTCGTTTGATGTTGATCGATCATACAATTCCATTTGCGGAACATACAATTCATGAAAAGGAATGGGCTTCGTTGCGAACAAGCTATGTAAACGGGATTGCGTGTTTTGAGAGTGATATTTTCCAGCCTTTCTTACAAGTACCAACCCTTCGCATCGATGGTCACACAACCATCGCCCAAACGGGCGCTATAATGCGATATTTTGGGCGAAAATTAGGTATTTCAGCGGGCGGTTCTAATGATTAGGTCTCTACGGAACTACAAACGAAGCAGCCACAATGGTCGACGTATTATTTGAAGCAACGAGAGACTGGAGGAATCGATATCAAAGGCTGATCTATGAAGAATATGTAATTAGTATCCCTGGGTCGTTATTTAAGCGGATTTTAGGAAGAACAAAAAACCAATTATATTGATCACTATTTACCAAAACAAATCGCGAATTTTGAGAAGATTTTTGCGACTCGTGGCTATGAGGGGCCATATCTTTTGGGGAAAAAGGTATCATTTTCGCGCTTTAAAAACTTTTTATTCCGCTTTTTTTAGTTATCGATCGCCGACTATGCTCTTTTTGAAGAGCTTTGTGTTTCGAAATTATTAGCACCGGATTGTATGGTGGAGGCGTTTCACTTGAAAACTTTATATACTACTATGTTAGGGAGGTCTAGGATTAAGGTATAATGCTTTTTTTATTTTCCATGCGTGTTGCGGTGCGTACCCCAGCCCGTAGCATTAAAATTATAAGCCCGCGCCTTGAAAAACCCAAAATTGACGTTGTATCATTTTCGAGTTGTGTATATTTTCAGGAATACATCAATCGCCGTTCGATTCGCAGCCTGCCAGTCAACGGCAATGGCAAACAATGACAACTAAAAACAAAAAACGTTTATTACCAAGATGCCGATTTGATTAAAATATTTTTTACAGTAGAACGACGAGAAGTGACGGTGTATTTTTGTTGTTTAGCGGCCTAGCAGCATGCCGGTCAGGAGTCCCGGACCGTAGTCTAAAAGTTAATTGTAATTTCGTTTTTTTAATTATAGAGCTTAATAAAAATCACTCACTTCCACCGTATCGGTCGTAGACATTCTGGGACGGGAGGACGATGTGCTGCGACGTCATCATTTGCCCGTTACCGTAGCCAAAGGGCCGGGCGGCGATTGCCGGATACCGTATCCGTCGTACATAAGGGGCAGCTGTAATTTTATGAATTCAAGTATTAATGAGAGTTGGTTACCATCCGATCCCTGCACCAGCTGGGCGAGTGAGCTGGCAACTAGGGCCAAGGCGAGGAGCAATAGTCGGACCAACATCCTGAAAGTACACTATAATACTAAAAATCAATGAAAATGAAAAAATACGTCATTATGGAGCAATATGGAATATTGGCAGGGTGCCCATCCTTAGGGCCCAATCGTAAACTGGAGCCGCGTGGAAAAGTTATGACTTCCCCCGATGTCATTTTGGGCATAAATTAGGCAGGAACGTGCGCTTGTAAGGCTAGTCCCAATGACGAACTAACGCTCAGGGTGACCAATTTTTGAAATAATGAACGTAAAATGAAGCGTAATAAAACGGGGCGCTGCAGGTGACAGCTGTAGTATTTCGGAAGAGCAACAGAGAAGGGGAATTTGGAAATATTAAAGGTACAAACATTAACGAGCTGGTTGTTGTCTTCTCTCTCTCTCGCTCTCTCTCTCTCTCTCTCTCTCTCTCTCTCTCTAACCTTCTGACGCTCAGGGAATTCCAATAAAAAAACCATAACTGCAAAACTAATCGAATCTTCGCATCCGATAAAAACTAAACGTTGCCCTCAAGGCCAAAGGCTGACTAATACTAAAAACGGGAAGCAACCTTGGGCTTATGCCCCCGGGCCCTAAGCTTCGCGCCTCCCCCCTAACCCAGATTGTGCCAATTTTCCCAGGCCCAAGGACGTCATTCCCCTCAACACTCATGTGCAAATGCAAAATAACTAGGGTAACTAGACAACGTGGGGCCGAAAGCGCCGTTTGCCAATCTCAGAATGTTGGATTCTAAAGTATCGAGGATATTCCGGAAATTATATCCCAAGTGGAAACAAATAACGGTCGGAGAAGCTCAAAACAATCTGCATCAGCACGCGACGATTGTGAGCGGAAATTTCGGCGAACCCGTGCTCCGGAAATAGGCATTTTTCGGCGTCACTCCGGAGCCCTACTGTAGCCCGCGGGGTGCCAAAGAACAAAAATGAGCGTTGTACTGAAGCCCCGCTTGAAAAATCCCGGAAATCCGGGGCGGATTGTGGGGGTTTCAATCAGATTTGGCAACGCGAGAAGGTTTTGAGGAGAATTTGCCCCTGAAAACAACCTAAACCTAGGACAGTGATGGCATTTTTGGGTAGGTAGAAAATGTTCGAAAAATTTAAAATAATGGTCAATAATTTTAATGAAAAATTTAAAGGGATTGGCAAGGCGCGGCAATCGATTTTGTAGGCGATGGATTCCGTATGAATTTCTGGATGCCGCGACACGCAACGCAAGAAACGCGACGCCAAGCTAAGTGAAACTCTATCTAAATAAAAATCCATAGTAACGGCCTGATTTTTCTTTAGTAATTAAATAAGTTAAAATTTAGCTTTTTATGCATGAAAGTACCCATTTTTAACCTAGTGAACACCTCCAAAAACCTTCTCAGAACGAAGAACAATTCCCTCTCTGTGATGTTTCCATTGAAAGCCAGAAGCAAAATAGACTAGGCCAAAACGGAAGTCCACTTGTGGCCTGAGACGCGCCCAATCTTCTGTCCCAATCTACTAATTGCTTTTTCAGACAAAAAGAAGTGAAGGAAACGGGAGGAGGCTGGCAGAAGATGTGTACTGGGAATAGATTCTAAAGGAAATGACGAGAATATATCCTACGACTCGGGTTTATGTGTCAGATCTGTGTTCGTTCACCACATGGTCGATTAGTTCAAAACTAAAGGGGGTGCATTCAGTTATATTGCTCGTTGTACGTTCATTCAGAAGGGGAGCGACTTATTATGATAACCTTTGAAGGACGAATTGGTGGGAGGCTAGTCAAAGCCTCTTAAGGCGCTGCACTCAGAGGATGGTGGGAATGAAATGCATAGAAAGCGGAAGTTCTTCACCGGAAGTGGGATCTGAACGTCACCTACATTCGTCGCAACAGGCCGTGAAGTGCAGAAATGTTGCAATGCATTGGGAAGGGTGTTTTCGGTTAATTTTTGGGGTAATTGGTGGAACTGCTCAATGAAGTGCATTAATAGGATGTGTAGTTTTGAACGATGTACCGGAAGCCGTTACAAAGAAGCTCTCTCCTAAAGGATTAACGCAAGCAGGCGTTTGTTTTGCTTTCTCTCTCTCTCTCTGTCCCCTGTTCACAAGTCCTAACCCCCAAAATCTAGCGTTCCGGAATTCTAACAGATATGCATCTCTCGAATTCTTTCTTTTACCTTTGTATTTGACACTATATCACACTCTATGTCTCTCCCTCTACCTCTCTACCTCTCTCTATCTCGCTCTCTCTCTCACTCTCACTCTCGCCCTCTCTCTGTCTCTCTCTCACTATCGCCCTCTTTCTCACTCTCGCCCTCTCTCTCACTCTCGCCCTCTATCTCTCACTCACTCTCGCCCTCTCTCCCTCTCTCTCTCCCTCCCTCTCTCTCTCTCTCTCTCTCTCTCTCTCTTTCTCTTCGCTCTCGGTTCCGCCGATCCGAACCGCTAAAATCACATTGCCCTGACCAACACACCGACAATTCGTCCTCCGATCCCTGGTGTTCTCAACGATTTGCCGATGCATCGCGGTCCGAGCTGCGCCGGAGGACGGGTTTGCCTAAAAAACGTCGAAAAGCGGAAAAAAGGGACAGGAAGGATTGGATGTGCTAGTGGGGTCCAAGGTCAAACCAGCCGATGGATACTTCCCCCTATACTCTCACATCCTCATCTCACAAGATCACTTTCGACGGCACAAGATTTTCCCGTTAATGGATGAAAAATTTGGTCATTGTCGACTGGGATTGGCACGTAAAATATGCTTTTTTTCGAAGAATCTTTAGCCTGTTCTGAGGTTTTGGCTAAAATTGCTAGTTTTCAGCTGTCACTGGCGCTTTAATTTAATCTTTTAAGTTTTTGTCTTCCTTAGGACCCAATAATACTCATAAGGCCATCCTTCGGGGGCCCTGGGGTCAGGCCCCAAACTACATCTTTCATCTTTTCGCTCTTTCTCAGCCCTCACTCTCCCTCCGGCTCACTGGACCGAGCTAATAGCCCCCAGCTGCGGCCAAGTTCCGCGTTCCAATCCAATATTGTTTCCAGAAATATACAGTTTTCTCAACTTCAATTTCAGGATAAAAAAGTATTTAAGCATGTATATGTATTCTAGTAATGGCACAACAGATGCAAGTGTTCAATACCCAACCCGGGATGCCGCCAGCACCACCGGGGGCTCGTGAGTTTTTTTAAAGGGTCCGACAAGGCATGATTAGCTAGGGATTTGGCGTGCGGGGCGGACGTATGGCGTGGATTTTAGGCTTATATATGTAATTTTAAGCCTGAAAAATTATCTGACAGCGTTCTTGTAGCCGTTCAATGGATGCAACCTCCCCCGACCATCCCCAATTGCCCGCCTGGACTCGAATATCTCACCCAGGTCGATCGCATCTTCATCAAACAGGTCCGTTTTACCCCAAAATTTGACGATACGGTAGCTGAATAATCCTAAATCAAGAATTACTTCCGCTTTCCAGAAGAAAAGTCTCACCGAGGCTTTCACCAATTGGGAAATTTCCAACAAATATGTACTTCTCAATTCGGCAAATCAACAGGTAGAACTACCATTTTACCTTCCTACAATAAGCGTCATTAGGTGTACTACGCATTCGAGGAATCCGGGTGCTGCGAGCGGCAATGCTGCGGGAGCGCGCGTGGATTTGTCATGCACATCGTCGATAACTTCCAGCGAGTATGTGCTCAAAAATTACTGTCATCCTCCCTTTGAAAATCATACCGCAATTAAATAACTAATGTTAAATTTTAGGAAGTCCTGACGATTAGACGCCCGTTTAAATATTTCACGGGTGGCAGCTGTGCGTGCTGCCGTGCTTGCAGCGTTGAGGCTCACATCGAGACCCCACAAGGCGAGCAGGTAAAGTCGCCACCATTTTTTGCGATTGCGGGGGACGGGTCCCGATGCGGATCCGGGGGTTTATGAGCCCCTTACCTCGTCCTCACCCCGACCCAACCATAGCTCAGTTGGTAGAGCGGAGGACTGTAGAGTCGGCAGCTATCCTTAGGTCACTGGTTCGAATCCGGTTGGTTGGAATTCTTTTGCTTTTTGCTTTTGGAGCAAGGGAATGCTTTTAAAAATAATGGCATAGCTTTAAAAAGTTATTTACAAGCTTTAAACCCTCCAAAAATGACGTTTTTCACGTTTTTAGAGGTTTGTCTCGAAAAGCTCTGGAATAACGGCGTGAAATGCGTTTATTATTGCTTCTAGATCATGTCTATGCTTTTCAGATTTTTTAAACTTTACAAAGCCCAGAATGAGCCGAATTATCACGCTTAAGCAAATTAGTCTGATTCCAGATATTTTAAAGGCGTTAAAATAATGTATACAACGGCATTTTGCAAAAACCTGATAAGCATGCATTTAACCACCACGACCTCGATCACCCCTAACTACCTTACTATGTGGATCATAAAATCCCTTCCTCTTCGACTTATAGCTGGTCGGGTTTTTATGTAAAGTATCCACACACAAACACTACTTTTTCAATATATAGTATGATCCATTCTCAGCTCGGCCACGTCATCCAAAAATTCGGCTGGTGCTCCAACAACTTTGCCGTTGTCAATGGGGACGAGAGCAAGGAGATCTTCAAGTATACCTTAAAATAACCCGTTTTTTTTACCACAATCTTAGCGTCCTTGGTCCAAACTTGTGCGGCTGCTCGTACAATTGCGATATCTGTGCGGACAAGGTTTTTGAGGTATCGCGAGGGTTCGGCATGGATTTTGAATGAAATTCAGATCCAAAGTACGGATGGTCAGCCGGTGGGGGCGATTCGGAAGAAGTGGGGTGGAATGGCAAGGGAGGCATTTACTACGGCTGATATATTCCACGTGGAATGTATGTTCGGAATGTTAAAATGGAATTAATGTTTCAATTTAGTCCCGTACGACCTTGACGTTCGCTACAAGGCAACATTGCTGGGGGCTGCCTTTCTTATTGTAGGTTTGGGGAGAGAGAGACAGATAGAGACAGAGAGTGAGGGAGACAGAGAGAGAGAGCGATAGAGAGGGAGAGAGGGAAAGAGAGGGAAAGAGAGAGCGAGAGAGAGTGAGAGATGGAGAGCGATAGAGAAATAGATAGAGAGTGAGAGAGGGTGAAAGAGAGAGAGAGAGAGAGAGCGAGAGAGAGAGCGAGAGAGAGGTAAAGAGATGAGAAATACAAAAAACGACCCATTTCAGGACTTCATGCAATTCGAGCAGAAGCAAAACAACACCCAAAACATCAACATCGACTGAACCTACAATCGCACCTTGCAAAAACTCTGCACATCAAGCTCAAATAAACTGCTACATTGCCTCGCTATTCCGCGTTTTTTCGTTTTTTTCCCTTTTCTGCCCATTGTTGTGAGCCAATTTGATGAAAAATCTGGAACGAACGGGGATATTTCACTCTCCCGATCCACCATTGTTCCCGATCTCAAAATGAGGGAGGGCAGGGAATAGCCCCCAACGGCCATTTTGGCGACATTTTTGAGAATGTCTGAATTGTCTCCTTCTTAGCTTCTGATTCCACACTCGCGTCTGTATGCGTAACACCACTACCCTAAGCCCCTAAACGATTCATTCCCCACGTGCCACCTTGTGTTTTCTGACAACCATTTCATAGAACATACATCAAAAGCACCGGTCTCCCCCTCCTCCTCTTCCTTTCCCCTTTAACCCATCTGGTCAGTAACGGCCGCGAGGCTACTATTTGCGCACACAACCCCCCACCGGCCCGCCGCAGCAGCAGCCGCCGCCCGATTTTACACCAAAAAGCATTCCGGGCCCCTATTTTTAGGGAGTCGACGTCAAAAAAACCTGAGGGACGCCGATGAGGTTCCTCCGGTCAGCACCTAGCACCGGCCAAAAAGATGCTACTTGTCGCCCGGCGGTTTTTTGTGATTTTTGGGAAAAGGGAAGGGGTGGGGTGTGGGAATTTGGGGTGGGTTTTAGAAGTTCACGTGGTGGCGGTGGTGGGGGATGCCCTGCGGATCGTCTATTAGGTCGATTCGTCGACTTGCCGCGCTTTTTAGAATTTGAGGATTGTTCAGCCACGCATTAATAGGGTGGACATTTGTCTCTTCTGGTTTTAATTTCACCTCTTTTTATTTGGCCGTTTTTATCTTCACTTTTTTATTTTGCTGATTTACAGTTATGCATGCTAATTAGGCGGTGTTAGAGAGGGTTAGAACAGAATTAAAAGAGGGGAATTGCTCGATAAGTTGCCGTCTACATTAAGATAATTTTAAAAGTTCTTTAGGTAAAAAAATCTATTGAATTAATATGCATAAAAAAAGCGGCGAACTCGAAATGGACCAAATAAAATCGCCGAAATAAACGCAAAGCCAATAATAACCAGCCTGCAACGCCCGACGACAATGCCCAACCCTCTTTTTTAGTTGTAGTTTAAAGTTGGTAGCCACCCTTCCTTGTCATCCACCCATTTCTAAAAACCTATCCAATCGTCTACCCTCGATCGGTGACAGTTCAGCTTGCAACGGAGAAGATCAGGTTGCAGCACGGGGCAAATACAGGCGGAAGGTCGGCCACCAGGTGGCTGTCTCTATTTTGATCATTTCCCCACTTTGCACCCGCGCTCAATTTAGAATCTGCGTTGGTCTTAAGTTTTGCAGGTTAAAGATCGATTTGGTATTGAAAAGCGGTATTCTGTAAAAAGCGAAGAAACGCTAGATTTCTAATTTATTTTGCTCATTATCCTGCCGCTCCTTCAAAAGTACCCTCCCCCACTTTTTGCCCCTTTGCACTCACTTTCCTCACACTCACCTTTCCACTTTCACTGCCAGTTTCAGAATTTGCATGTCACAACCATCAACCAGTGCCGAACCTGGTAATTTTCTAAATCAATTTTCCATCCATTATTTTTCTGGAGACTGCGAACTCTGCTTGGTATGCAACGATCAGGCCTCAGGCTTCCACTATGGTATCCCATCATGTAATGGATGGTAGGTAATTCAAATCTTCAAGAAACCAACTTTCTAGCAAAACCTTCTTTCGGCGCGCCATCGTCCAAAATCTCAAATTCGATTGCAAGCGTGGCGGCCAATGCCGTGTCGACAAAAGTATGCTGAACAAAATATATACAATTTAATTTGTAGGTGAAAGATGCGCATGCCGTCATTGCCGCTTGAAAAAGTGCATTGATATGGGGATGGATCGCTACTGTAATGCATCAATAAAATTATAATCCAAAGGCTTAGTTATCCAAAATAGCCGAGAGCCGATCGGATACACCAAGCGATCGAAAAAGAAGAAAGAAAATAGTTTAGATGGATCGAGGCCCGGTACATCAAAACAGGTGGGTGGTGTAGTGTTTCGTACTTATCTACCGTACTCATGGTTTAGGATGGATCACCGGGCTCCGATTCAAACTGGAGCGAGCTTGATAATTTGCTGATATTGGAGAGAAAGCTACAAATGGCTAGGGTTTGTCCAAATTTTAAAAGACAATTTATAAGCTGTTTAGTTAAAAAGTTACAAGATTCCGGCCAGCCTGCGGGCGGGGCTTCTACAGCCGGAAGATTTTGATACAGAATTGGATGATGTAGATGAAAAAGAACGGCCAGGGGTTGGTTTTGTGAAATTTGTTTTGAAGGGACGGGCGCATAAGAAATGATTTCAACATAAATCTGAATATTTTTAGACCTCCAAACGAAAGCCGCTCCCTGCTACAGGAACCGAAATGTCGAATAGATTAGACACAGACTGTTATTCATTGTTAAAATGGGCCCTCGGAATGCCTGGGTTTAAAGACCTAACTTTTGAGCAGCAGGTGAGTCCGTGTCAAATTGCTGCGAAAAATACGGTTAGGTGTAGGTGGGATTGGTTCATGCGGGTGTGATCTATCAGTTGGCGCTCAATTGGACGTATTATTCGGATCCAGAATGGGAGAATTGCATAACCCTGCCAGATGGCGTATGGTTTGATTGTGGGCAAGATGAGGTAAGTAGAAGGTCATAAAAAAAGCACAACGTCGTAATACCACTATAGAAAGACCCAGTCTTCGTGACGGAACGTCAACACTTAATCAACGGAATTCGTACCGATATTCATGGAGCAGGTCTTGATGAGATGGAATTTGTAGCATTCAAAGCTTTGTTATTTTATGACCCAGGTGGGATTCAATCTAGAAAAATTAAATAAATATTTTAGCGTTGTCAGAAATCGATAAAAAGGCAAAAGAGATGATTGGAAAGCATCATCAGAATATTTCGGATAGCTTACATACCTATTTATCCTCGAAGCATGGAGGGACGACTGAAGCGGGGCAAAGGTAAGTGTTTAAAGGGACGCACAAGGCATGGCTATGGACTTGACGATAGCCCCACGCAATGCGTACGCATAATGACCGAATACCAGAGCAGGCGCGTCGTGTGTAGTGCTTCGGAATTCATAGAAATACATGGCATGGACCGTTAAAGAGACAGTAACAACAGTAATCACTTCTTAAAAAGTCATCCTTTTTTATTTAGATTTTGTGAAATCCTATTCCTCGGTCCCCGACTTGCAGCTGTTGAGACCGAATTCCGTGAAGCCTGTTTTGCCGTCGACCTCTTTGGCCAGGTATCTATCTAAAATTTTCTGAATTTTCTAATATTCTTATTTCCAGATAAAATTGTCTCCCTTTACCCGGGAGTTGCTGTTCAGGCCGCAATAGCCCAAAAAATGTAGATACATGCAAAATAAAGTGTTTTCGAGGATTTTTCAAGTTGTACAATGTAAAATACACCAAATGTCAGTACCATTTATTGTTGATATGACAAAAAATCTTTGCATATGATTCGATTTAGATAGATTTAGTTTAGAAATCGGAAGCTGGGCGTTCCTTGATCCACTTGGCGATCTGGGGAAGGGCTTCGATTTTCTTGTGGTGTTTCAGGACCTAAATATATAGATATTATTGTTACTAAAGTACTAGTAGTTAATTCATAATATCTATAAAACGCAGTGTACCTCCGGAAACTGGTCGAGCTCGTGGGCGTTAAGTGCCAACACGGAGTGAACATGATCAGCCACTTGAAGATCAACATAGGTGGCATTGGATCCAACCTAAATTCAAAATCAAATGTAACTTTAATTTTACAAACCAAGAATCCAGAATCGTTGTTCTTCAGCTGCTTCTCGAGGGCCCCGAAGAACTTGTCGCGGGCGGGCACGTATTCCTTCTCGTGGGCCTCTTCCTGGAAAATGTACAATTATTATTGTTTTGCAATAATGATTACGAAACCATTTATATAGACATTCCCTTAAAAACTAACCTTGTTGCCCTCGCGCATACCGCGGGCAATGTAGAAGAAGTTGCGGGCCTCCGAAACGTAGTCCTTGTACAGCTCGAAGAACGAGTCGACGAGGGCTTGCTCAATGTGGTCCTTGCCTCCAAGATCTGAAATTTTACGATCAATCGATTCCTCAAAAAATATCTGCTAGCTTGCCCCTAAAACTCACGGAACTCCTTGGCCAAGTAGCGGAAGATGGCGCCGGATTGGGCGATCTTGTGGCCGTTCACCTCGAGGACGGGCAGCTGTCCGAAGGGCTGCTCTAGAGATAAAACATGTATTTATCAATTTATATACTTTACATATGATATATTACATTTTAGAGCTGAACTTACCGGACTTGTGGGCTGGCCAGGTGTCGTGCGTGTATCGCACATCCTCGAATTCCTTGCCGGCGAGCTTGAACAGCTGTCTGGCCGGCTCGGCGACGCCGCGGCCGTTGAAGTAGTAGAGTTTGTAGGTCATTGTATAAGTTTCTAAAATAGTTATATTTTAGAGAGATCAGTAATTTTGCAAGAAAGATGCAAGAAAACGGGAAAGTAAAATCTTAATACGCTGTAGATCATATCCGATTTGTTTTTAGAGGCAAGAATTTTTGGATAATTTCAAAGTTTCAAAACTATTTTTAATAAAATCATTAATTAAGTAATTTTCCAAAAAAAGCCAGTATATATTCCAGGCAATTCTGCTTTTATGGTGAGCAAACTAGGCGGAGCCAAGCAGAGCGAAATGTGTGCCGAATTGACCCTGGCGATTCGGGGATTATATTCGAGGACTCTAGTCTCTAGTATTTCTAGTTTGTGCCCCAGTCCCGCCTCAATTTATTCGCCAGCTAACCCGCAGCACACTTAGCACATCTAAAAAAAAGTATGACAAGAAGCTCAGAAGTTTCTGGAACGGTACATCATTATCCAATGGTATTTGTAGTTGTGCTAATTGTGGTTGGTTTTTAATTCAATCTTTCGGTGATTTAGCTCATTTGAAAGTTGATAGGAATTTTTTCATTAAGCAAATTAACGAATTAAAGCCTTTTTAGAAGTTTAAAAAGTTTAACAAGTTTTATATAACTTTGAAGCGGTCCGAGCCATCCTAGCAAACGCAAAAAATGCTGGCGTGCAGAGGTGTCTTGCGTAAATATTGACTTGAGCAGCTACTCATTTTCCGAATTCCCGGAGAGCCCTAACCTTTTTTTGTGATTTTTATTTATTCTAGAAAACAGCTAAAATTCTATTCAATATTTCTCTGAACATTCCAGAAAACACCTAAAATATTTTTCTTATCTCTCTCTACTTTCTGCTCACCTACCAAAAACCCAAAGCCACCCCTAAAGCTCAAAAACTCTCAAAAACTGTTCCACTGGGGTTTGTGCTATTCGTATTGAATTCACGGTGCCGTATCAGTTTATTTGTAGCAGCAGAGCCCGTGTTTGCGTGGTTATGTGGCCCGAGAAGGGGGCTTATCGTAGAATGGGCGCTGAATAGCCCACGGAAAGTTCTGGAATATAGAGTGGCCGTTATCACATTTCATAGCAGAGAGAAGATGGGAGAGATAGCGAGTAGTAAAATTCAGGGTTGTTATGATGGGAATTTTTCGTTATTCTAAAGGGAGGTTGAAGCGGAGATTTTGTGCAAAGAAATAATAGGCTAAATAACCAATTCTGAGGTCAAAAATTGAGACAGGGTGATGACTTGTTGTTCATACTGTACATTGAAGGGTTGTCGTAGACACTGGCCACACATTTCAGTCGGTTCCGCGCATTGAGGGCAACGAAAGCGGCCGGGTAATGGTCAGGATGAAAGTATGGGATCATACCTTGAAAGCATTTAGTTATAGTTATCGATATTACAAAAATAAATTAAAACTTACCTCCATAACCAGCCGGCGCACAATCACACGGTTCTTCCTTCCAAGTGTTTGTCCAGTTCGGCTGCCATGAGAGCGGATGCGGTCCGATTTGCTCGAGCCAAACCGGCATATCTAAAGTATGTCAGGTACCCTATTTAGGGTTTTTACTTACTTTTACAGGACAACAACTTGTCGGCACCCGCCGGCACCCCAAAATGCCGACAAAACCACTTGAACGCCTTGATCCGACGAGACTCCCCGGGGCCTGATTTGAGCTTAATTTTTTTTCCTGCTTACACTCACCTCCCGGCTCTTCACGATCCTCTCCATTACATTCGTTGTTAATAATTAATGATGTTGGTCCAAAGATTGGGCCCGTGTAGCCAGCCTCTGCATTTTTTGTGCCACTATTCCAAGTGCCTGGAAAAACGGAGGTAAAAATGTAATGAGTTGTAGAATGTATTTTCTCAAATTCTTAGTATACTCTTAACATACCCATAACAATATCGTGCATCGCTGGCTTTGGTGGCTGTGGTGTCATGTAAAACCAGAGGGATGCCAAAATCGCGAGTGGTGGATCCATCTGAATCTCCAAGCTCTTCCTCCTGGTAGTAGCCCTACTTTCGTGATCACCAGATTTGGCTCCGCCATCAAATCCACGGTGATATTTCTTGATAGTAACCATTCATTAAATTGACCGTAGTTGTAGTTATACGAAATCTAAAATTATCTTTCAAAATTACCTTTTTCTACAGTTTTACAGTACCTGGATCGCTCCACGTCCAAAATAACATCCGGTATGCCAGGTAACATTACCATCCCTCTGTTGCCGACCACCACACGGGAACCAATACGTCAATTCGTCACTTTCAGCGCAGTATCTTGATTTTGTATATATTTTTTGGTAATAAAAACTCACTTTCCGCTCTCATGACAATAATTACCGTCTTTTGGCTCATAGCCAGGACTCGTTGGGTCGAGGAATGAGCTGGACGGGCCACCCTGAACATGAAAAACGTCATCCAAACACTGGTACCTCGAACCAGTTGTAGAAACCGCCACGGTAGAAGCAATTATGGGCTTGATCATCTGTCATTGAGCCGCTAAAATAATGCGATGATACTTTAATCTACAATCTTGGGCCTCTACCCGTAAAGCGCGATGTTATTCTCCCCGGTTTCTTGAATTGCATGGGCGAAAAAGGCAGCCAGATCACGGCGATAGTTTTCTTCGGGTGTGTATATCTATAGAAAATCTACTAGATATCTAGCAGGCCCTACTTTATTCGGGGATACAGTAGCGAATTCCGGGAAATAGCGAGCGGCGATGACAAATGCCTCGTAGGAATACGGTAAGCACGGGTTTGGACCCAAGCCAAGATTGGCAAACGGAAACAGATCCTGGAAGGTGGCAGGCATGATCCCTCAAAGCCGGAAACGCCACCTGGAACATCTCCTTTGTGAACCATTTCTCTAGTGCACTTCGAGGGGTGTTATTAGGATCGGTAGGTAGTCGACAGTCTGTTGGTGGAGGTTTACCGTAGACACTAGCTTTAGGGCACCCCATAGCCGATCCGGTTCCACCTTTTCTCGTTGGTGATTCCGTTATTGCTTAAAACAAGGCTAGTGTTTTTAAGGTTACGGTTACACTTACAGTTATCAATTGGTGTTGAGGTAAAGAAATGTGAATTCTTCATAATTAGCTCGGAAATGTTTTGAAATCTGAAAATAATAGTGCTGGGAGCATCAGCTTTCGCGCCACCTTGGGTGATGAGCAACAGCTCCGGCATCCGGCATATTATTTGTGGCAGCTGATTCATTTTCCAGGTTGTGTAGGATTGTTAATGCATTTAGAAGGTTGACGATCTTCTCAAGCAACATTTCTAAAGGCCTTTTGTAGGTAAGACGCAAGAAGATCAAACGAGAGAGAGAGTGGGAGAGAGGGAGAGAGAGGGAGAGGGAGAAAGCGAAAGAGAGAAAGAGAGAGAGAGCGAGAGAGATAGTGGGAGAGAGAGCGAGTCCGAGAGAGAAAGAGAGAAAGAAAGAGCGTGAGAGGGAGAGAAGCGAGAACATTTTTAGCTGTTTTTAGAGTCTCAAAACATTTCTAACGTTGTGCCCGAGCCTCAATTACAATATTCAGAACGTTTCGCCGAGCACAGTTAGCGACAACACGAAAAATCAAGAGTTTACGGAACGCCCAGACCCTTTTCCAAACCCGAAAAACATCGATCAAATAAAATCGGACAAAGGATCGGACGCGGAAATCTGTGTGCAAAGACGGTTCAGGCGGGGCGCTACGCGCGGTGTCTATGGGTGCGTATGTCGGTCCGGCTCCGAGGGTCCTTAACGCCGAGCCGGACAAACAACCAAGGGACCGCAACCAACAGCCCCCCTCTAATGGTATACCAAAACGGGACAGGACCCACCTCTCTCCCTCTTTCTCTCGACGCCTTCTTCTGACTCTCCAAATACGGGGACTCCGACATCAGTCCACTGGTCAGCTTGGCCATACAGGAGACACTGACATAGCACATTTCTGAAAACAGTTTTCAGTTTTCGATGCAGATGGGGAAATGCGCGGAAAATAGCCGAGCTTCGGCGGTGGTCTTGCAAACATCGACCCACGAAGCGGATGTTGTTGTATATTACAGAGCTCTATTATTTGAAAATTCAATTCCGCAATTCCGGAAGCCTCAGTCGTAAGTAGCATAGCTCATGCTCCTGGTTAGCTTAAGACTTCAAATTTTCTCAACCTCGTCGTATTTTGACATGATCCAACAAAAAAATGTCTCAAGTTTTTGGCTGTTTAGACTCCCCTAGTCGGAATTTCCATGACGAGCGGTTTCCGAAATTACACCAAGAATCTCGGGTCCGCTTTTTCTGCTCACGCTGCTTCCGTAACAATTGCTTGCCACTGAAAAGCCCGTATATTGAAGCCAAACAACTTAGCGCCTCTTCTTTATTTAGCCCACCCTTCTGCGTCTAGCCAACAATCACTTTCGAATCGCCCTCCCAAAACGTCATCCCCAACCGCCCGGAATATTTTGAATAGACACCCTTTCGGGCAGCTCCTCCGCGTACCCTCGACATTTGTGCAAACATTTCCGCGTCCAGCCAAGTACTGGCCGCAAAGTCTCAATTGCGTGAAATTTTGGGCTTGGACGGTGAGGGCAGATCTGCCGCCTGACGAGCATCGGAGAGTTGCAATGTTGGATTGTGTATCACATTGAGAGACCACGGGTTGCAATTATCGGCAAAATCCAACCAAGAGTGAGGATAAAAAAGCTAAAAAATTTTTATGATACCAACAAAAAGTCAATTTTAGCTTTCCGGCTTCTTAGACCGAAAAACTAGGTCATCAGAAGATCAAATGATATGGTAACCGGCTGACACGGAGTATCTGATGACTCTGAATCAACTTATAAATATTATAGAGTTGTATTCGCCATCTTTTATTTTATTTTCACCCATTTTTACGTAGATTTCGATGGCTAGTTAGTCTTTCTTTGAGAGATTGCTTAGCACAGGGAAGGCGCCCGGGTCCCGCCACGGCCGAGTTGGCCAGTTGCCAATTACGATGCCGGCCGTCTTCGATTTTCTTTTCAGATCATTTTCATTTTCCATCCGAAGTTCAGCCATCACCGAGAATGATTAGGTTCATTCTTATCCAAAACCGAGCCGGGAAGACTCGTTTGGCCAAATGGTTGGTTGTTTTCCCTCCTTTTACGCCCTCCACTTTAGGTATATGCATTTTGACGACGATGAAAAGCAGAAGCTCATTGAAGAAGTGCATGCCTGTGTCACTGTTCGCGACGCGAAGCACACTAATTTTGTTGAGGTATATTGTTATTGCTTATCTTAGTCGAGTGTCTTTTAGTTCCGGAATTTCAAAATCGTATACCGAAGATACGCCGGGCTCTACTTCTGCATATGTGTCGATATTATGGATAACAACTTGTACTATCTGGAGGCAATCCACAATTTTGTTGAGGTACCGGATTGTCAAAGCTTGTATTCTGTTGTTTAGGTTCTCAACGAATACTTCCATAATGTTTGCGAATTGGACCTGGTTTTCAACTTTTACAAGGTATACATTCGTATCCTTTTTGATCAAGTGCATTAGGTGTATTCTGTTGTCGACGAGATGTTCCTGGCCGGTGAAGTGCGCGAAACTTCCCAAACGAAGGTGCTGAAGCAACTCTTGATGCTGACTTCCCTGGAATAGAAATCACTTACTGTTCTGGTTTTGTTTTCACTTTCATCGTCCGTAACGATAGTTTGTGTATGTAGGTAGTAATTTATTTCTCCCGGACGATGCTCATTTTTTTGTTTCTTGAACTGAGAAAGAGCTCTCACTGGACCCAGGCCCCGGAAAGAAACTTAGTTGGGCACAAGGAAACTGTTACATTTCGGCTAAAAGTGTTAGACGACGGAACAGCCTGCCCTTCAGAAATCCCTGCTAGCATCCCCCACCCCATTGGCCCCCGATACTTTAATCTTTGTAGCATGCCGCCATTCCCACCTACCCCGATTTGTTATAGTTTTACTGCCGATACCTCCGCTTGATACTGAGACTGTTCTGCTGCGTTCGGTACTCGAAGCCATTCAAGAGTACCAACGCGTCGTTCGCCAAAGAGATGCCCAGGAGTTGACAAAATTGCGCTCTCACCTCAACACGGCTCAGTTTCAATTGCGTGTGGACCAGCGTGCGAATATTGGACTGGCAACAGCCCAATATTCGGCGCTGACGGCTACTAAATATGCGGCTTGATTTTTAAAGTATTTGTTTCAAATAAAGCTTAACACTCTTAATTTTTCCCTTAGCTTTGTAGCATGTCCTTTCCACACCTACCCCTTTTATATGCTTGTAGATTTCCCACCTTTAACATTGTGTATATTCTTGTAGATTGATTTCCCACCTATAACATTATATTCTTGTAGATTGATTTCCCACCTTTAACATTTATACGAATCTGAAGGGCACGGCTAGCTTCCAGTAAAAAGAGAATTGAAAAACTCCATATATACTAAAAATATCAGCCCAATGACCTTTCTTTCCGGCTCCGTCTCCAATCACTGCCTTTTTCGGTGCAAGTCCTGCACACAGTTTGTGAATTTATTTTCTTTAAGATTTTTACGCTGATCCTCCCAAAATGCATAATTTGGTAGAGAAATAAATAATGCATTCCTGTTTTGAGCACGATATACATCCATTGCAATAGTTGTCACTTATCTCGAACAATAAACGCAATAATCTTCATTCATTGGGTTTAGAACTTCATGTCGCATAGTGGATCGGATTGGGCTAAAGATAAAAACGTTGGTTGCGATGTTTTGTTCTAACTTGAGTATAGGAGGAGGATCGCGTTGAAAAGTTGATCAAGAAGTCTGGTTGCTGGGACGGCCATATTGCCGTTGTTGATTGTATGGGAGATAAGCGTGACTGGAGACAGTGCCAAGAACAGGTCGGTTTAGGTCTATAGTTCATTGTAACTTGAATCCCTTTAGCTTACCAACTTCCGTACCTGCATGACCAAGAACTACTTGGACAAGAAGCGTGCTGAAGACGAATTCTTGGCTCAACTTGAAGGAAAGAAGAAATAGATCGCCTTCCCGCTTCATCAACATGTTCGTAGAATTTAATAGTTTTGATTTTGAGGCACCTGAGGAGAAGGTAAACTTCCTTTGACGCTTGATCTTTTTGTTCAGGTCAAACCTCAATGGTGCCTACCTGAAGAATACCAAGTTTTACAACAACCCGCTGGATGGTTTATGCGCCACGAGGAATCCAGCTACCCGTACCCTCCGTAAGGAATGGCGTCCCTCCCGTAATTGATTTAGTGAACTCTCCTATTTTCGCTCGATCTACCTGCAACCGGATTTGACTACCGACAGGAATAATGTTACAAAGTAAGAATTCATTGGATTTTTAAGGTCTTTTTTTAGAAAAGTTGACTCTGCTTCTACTATTTCTCGCATAGTCGATGCCGATGAGGTGCATTGTCTTTTCTGTTATTTTGAAAATGGATTTTAGCAACTTCGGCTTTGGTGTACATCCGGACACAAAGGCCATTCTCGTTTTCAAGCCAACATGATGACCGCTCAGCTGGCATTGAATGTATCCTTTATCCTGTAGCAATAGTTTTTCTTTAGAAACCCACCATAACAACGGCTGAAATGGATTTGCTAATTGCGGCTGCGGAGGCCACAATGGTTTTGCCGGGTGATCAAATGCAAGTCTGGGAGCTTCAAATGGTTGGCTTAGACCTTTGCTAGTCACTAACCCTATTTCTAGAAAGTAGCTATGCGGTTTGAGAAAAGCTTGTCAGAGCTTCTCACTACAGCCATACTACTCATTACAAAGCACCCGGCCGATGCGGACCGTTGGTTCGATATTGCACGGTGTGGACGCAAGGTGAGATCTCTCTTAGTTCTGCATTGCGATACGACTTGTTTTAGTTACCGCTGCATCTTTCTCTATATGCTATTGCCCGTGCTGTCAATCTGCTCGATTACGAGATCGACAACGGTTATGGGGCTGGCTTTGCGCGGGAATCTCTCGAAGTACAAGCTCGTCATTGGAAGGAATATTTAGCTGCGGAATACGCGGCAGATATGGTCAGTTCTATGGCTGTTATATGTGTTCGTTTCGTAACAAAACCGGATTAATGCGACGTCGGTGACTGATTGGGCATTTTCAGGTCCGCCTTGCCCTTGAAGATATGTCGCTCAAGAAAGAACGTGTTTACGCGCGGTCAAGCGACAAGGAGGAGATGGACAGTCGGCCGGTTCATGATCGCCGGTATTTATCTACAACCAAAAGCAACCCCTGCTTTAGTGATAAGGATTCGGGAATCGTTCCACCAGAAGACTACCAACGGATCGTTGCCGATTTCAAAGCCCGGTTCCCTGTGATGTTTCGCGATGACCAATTACAGAATTAGCCCCCAATGCCTTCTCATAGTGTCTGATTCCCCGCGAGTCGTTCGCTATTAGAATATAGTTGCTCATTTTTGTTTCTAGTTCTAGTGGTTTCGGGTCACCCAACAGCAAAAAGGGTTCTTATTTTCTGTCTGTTTGTTTTCATAAATTGTTTTTCGATATGACAATTAGGACGCCACACACACGCAATAGTTTTATATATGGTGTTGGCTATCTTTCTCTGGTTTAATGGTGCGCATCCATTATGTGATCAAAAACGAAAGTTTATAGTTTATTGACACGCCAGCCAGTTTATTTGTTGACTCGCTTCTAGGGACCCGTACGGACATGGAATTGTTTTGATCACCGCTTAATCAAAGATTCGCTGGAACGGCATAGCCGTTTTTCAAGATGCTGGTTTCGCCGGCGTTTAAGCAAGTGAGCGAAATGTTTTCAGACGATCCAGTCGGGGACCTGATCGAGTAGCGTCGCTAAAATTTTTTTGTGCTATTTACGAGCTCCCTTTACCTCGACGCAAAGGAGATTTGTCCGCAAGTGGATTGCCATCGATTCACTGCTCTTTGAGTTGGGCCATTTCATTGTCTGAATTATGTTGGTTATTCCTAGGGTTTGGATGCACCGTCGTTGAATAACGTCGATCCGAGACAAAAGAATGGTCGCCACCATCAAAATCACGACTCCGCGTATTTGCTGAAATTGGTTGGGTTACTTCTTGCCACTGGAGCCTTCAGATCTTAGTTATCGTTGCCCAGACTTACCAAATGATTTATGCTGGCTAATTGATTTGGATCCCAGGAATCGTTTCCTCGGGTTGCAACAAGCGATTCTAGGATACTCGTATCTTTGACGGATTCCCACTAACCTCCGGAACTCTGTCATCCGAAAATAGCAAAGCGGCTGGCAGACTGCATGCACGCCAATCAAAATCTGAACTTTTGCGATATTGCGGGTCTCTTTTCATGAATTACCTGAAAACCCCAACGAGCCAGATTCGAGACCTGGGATAGCCCGATTAATTTGTGCAGATGAAGAAATGATACTAACTGGATTCCTATAGAGAATATTTCTTTTACAGTTTTAGGATAACTTACCAGAATAAGGAAAGAGGAATAGAACATCGACGAATAGTACAGAGCCGATCACCAAAAGATACTTGTGCCGGGATACAGTTGGCGATCGAGTACGGCGACCGGAATCGACTCGACTTAATAGAAATTATTTTGATGGAAATAACTAATAGCAGCTCACCTTGAACAATCGGAGCGCGTTGTGCAATAGCTCGGCTCGCCGGAAGTCAACATTTCTCGAAAGCTTCCGTTTCTAAGGAGCGACATTAGTTTTTCAAGGGTTTGGAGGCCTTCAAAAGTTTTTCAACTCACCGCATTATTTTCTTGCTTTCTTCGCCGCCAAATGCTTCGTTTTTCCCATCAAGCCCGTGAAATTCTCGAATTGTCCGCAGGATTTTACCGTAACAGATCTAGAAAATTTTGCTGGAAAACGTTAGTTACTTACCAAAACAATGGCTAGACAAACATAACAAAGAGTGATGGCCGTCACTTGGGCGATCGTGGAGATTTGGATTTCTTAAAATTTAATTTAGAGTTAGAATAGGGTTGTTAAATGCAACTCACTTGCAAATATGCTATTTTCATTCTTGGTGATAGGTGCTGATATGGCAGAAGCGATCCCGAAAAAGATAGATACGAACCAGCTGAAATCTCGTTAGAGGTTTTTAGAAAAACGTTACCAGACGATGATCACCAGAATAGCAGTACGCCTCCGTATATAGCGTCTATAATGTAGAGGATAGCGCACAACAACAAATTCATTTGTAGTAAAGACAAGCAGATTGAAGATGGTCAATAAATTACAGGCTCGCAGTACAACCAGTGTATGTCGGTTCATCTAGAAAATAGGGTATTGTGATTATATTACTTTTCTCACCTTTAACAATAAAATCTTGTTTCCTATCGAGAAATACGGTGATAGCATGACCGGCACACCGTGTAGAACCAAGCAGATGCCTCTAATTACGTCGAGAATGGCACAGTGAAGGACTAAAAGGAGAATTTCATAGAATTTTTAATAGAGTTTTACAGAGTTTTTTATAGATTTTTGACGGACGACTAAATCTTACTTACCAATCACATAAAAAACATTCTTCAGGACACGTCTCCGATTTTTTAGAAGGGCGGCAACGACAAAGAGGTTCAACAGCAGGCTCAATGACCCGAGGATTGAGCACAGTGAGATGCCCCATGTTGCCATCTGAAAAGTATTTCATGAAGGTTTTTCTATAAGGCTTGATTGGGCTTTATATTTTCTTATCTTAGTTAGCAATAAGGTTCACGGGTGAGATAAAAACAGTAGGTTGGCTGTAGCCTTTTGGGACAAACGGTGCTTCTCGTTTATCGAGGGGGGATTTATGGTCAACTTTTCCTTTTTGTCTATTGATAAAACGCAAAGTATTTCTCGTAGTTTTCGATAGGAAAAATCATGAAAACAGTTACACGACATTTCTATATATTAAGTTTTGGCTGATTTTGCAGCATTTTCCATGGAGTTTAAACCTAAAAGTAATAGTTTTGCCTGGCGTTTTGTTGTGCTACGTTTTTTTTTATTCCGTAACGGCATAAAATTTATGAAAACGGTCTATGTCTCTTTATTGGTCCCCGATGAGATCAAAGTAAGAGCGGGAACCCCCCCTCTCCTTATAAACGATAAGCTTCGAAAACCATGAAAACCACAGATAGCATGTAAAAGGTCGACAGAGCGAAATCATATTGAAAAAGATGAATCATGAATTGTATTTCGCTAGAGGTAAGTGGTTCGTCGGCTGCCCTGGGACCTCCTAGGAGGGGATTAGCCGCAGCCGCAAAAAACGGCTCAACTCGGCTGTAGGCATGCCTCTGACGGGTTGCCGTCATTTTTCAGATTCCCCATATGTTTTGGTGGTTTCAAGGGCTGATGAGATGCCGGGAAAGGTTTCAGACCAATAACGCGAATTAGCACACGTCCAAGAAGTGTAAAAAAAGGCGGACGGACGCGCGGGGTGGGTGGCATATCAGAAGACACGAACGAGTTCTCGCCCCGGGAGGAGGAGCAATTACGTGGTTCCTCCGTTCGACGGGCCACCCGCGAAGCCTCCCGGGAGACCGTCGTTTTTTGGAGCGTTCCTTTTCGGGTCGGCAAAACCGCAGCTAGAAGCGACAAGTCTCGCGACGACCAGATTAAGCAACGTCACGTAGATAAGCTGGGAAAGGCATTAAACTAGATATTTATTCCAAATTAACAATTTAGAGATCGTTCTAGCGTTTGGAACTTGGTTTTTAGTAGAACTTCGAAATAAGTACGTTAAATCGCCTTTTTCATTAATTGATACCCTATATATTTGGTAAAATTTACAATTTGGAGACGTGGTTTATCCTTTAGGCCTTGGGGTTACGGTATGCCAAACAAAGGTAAATAACAGATGTGAATCTTGGTGAAATGTCTTTATTTTCCTGCACATATTTGCAAGTCTACAACCTGAAAATAACTGTGGAAACGCGCCACCATTGTCTTACGATTGTGAGGGGATCGGCCCGGACGCGGGTCCGTTGGTTTATGAGCCCCTTACCTCACCCTCACCCCGACCCAACCATAGCTCAGTTGGTAGAGCGGAGGACTGTAGAGTCGGCAGCTATCCTTAGGTCACTGGTTCGAATCCGGTTGGTTGGAATTCTTTTGCTTTTTGCTTTTGGAGCAGGGGAATGCTTTTAAAAACAACGGAATAGCTTTAAAAAGTTATTTATAGGCTTTAAACTAAAAATTATAATCAAGTCAGAAATAAAGCGATATAAAGCTTAGAAAAAATCCCAGACACACCAGCCGCCGTACCCAAATGATCAAACCGCAGACCACCTCCCTAATTCCAAACGCCACCCTCAAGACCTCCGTGCCAAAACTCAAATGCGGCAGTTCCGGACCACTACGTCGAACGCATATGCAATTGACAGCTGAATCGCCGGTCCCTTTTTTGCCTAAATGAGAACTGCGAGCCCCCAGATGATAAATGGGCCGCCCCGAACGATGAGCATGGCCTTCGTATTTGTTTGTCTTCATCCCCCACCCATTTCCTTTCACATCCGCTGCTCCCGGCTAATCCTCGCCTACAGCTGATTTTCCCCGAATTGCAGCGTCGCCACAACAATCGAATCCCAATAATTTTAAAGGGGATCAGGAAGGCAGTTAAAATGCTGCAAGTATCAGAGGGGGATACTTCGAAAAATAGAATGAGGGTAGAAAGAATCTGCAAGTCATCTGATCTTACTTGTTTTCAATGGGCCACTCGGCGAGACAGGGAAAATTGAATTTTAGGTGGAATGGCAACAAGAGACATCGCATAGATTTTGTATTTTGCGAAACGGAGCTGTTCAGAATGTCGTACTTATTTTCGGAGGTTATATTAATGGAAAAAAGAAAGCGAGAAAGAGAGAGAGAGAGAGAGAGAGAGAGAGAGAGAGAGAGAGAGAGCTCGACTGTTTTAAAGAAACCGTGCCCCATGAGACTTTTACGTTTGAAAAACCCCAAATACAATTGAACGTTGGGCTGAATTTTTGGGACGATGGAGGGTTGCTCTCCCAACCCACGCTCCTATCCTGATTCTCAGAATAGAGGAGAACGAATTGGATTTGACCGATGAGATGGCAACATGATGGCAGATGACGAGAATAGGGGAGATTTCTCACTGGATGCGAGGGGGAAATTGGTTGAATGGAGCGAACATTAACGCGCGGCAGGATTGCAAGTCAAAAAGTGTATAGCTTGTGTAACCATTAATAATATAGAGTAATCTTTACGTACCTTAAAAATAGCAGAAAATTATTTAAAAAGACCGTCAAGAGCTAGAGGATGGATATGTGACAAGAGTTAAGAAACGGAACGGAAGGTAGAAGACGTGAACACGGATACACATCTCGTTATCGAAGAGGGTGCGAAGCACAAAACTGAAGAAGCCCCGTTCCCTGCCTACCCTCTATCCTTTCCGCCAATGCAATTTCTCAACACACGTCCGAAACCTACACAAGGAGGGGGTTGGCGCTCTGAAAGCACAGGTATTTCCGGATCTTTTCGAGCTTCAGGTTCAAAAAGCCGAAGCTTTACATGGAGATGTTAGACATAAAATTCGATAAGAGATAAGCTTTTTACGTTTTGGCGTCTTCATTTTCTAAATTATTATTAAGCTCCTAGTTTTCGTCCCGTCAATCAGATCAAAAATTATAAAACACAAGATGCAACCACGTCAATTCTAGTGCGGAAGCTACAAATTAAAAATTAAAAAACAATACCACGACAGAAACCGGCACAAAATGCAAACACCCATGCGCCACCCGGCAATCGGTTAACGAACCGCTACTGTCAATTTCCAGAAAACATTCCGGGACAATAGCCCGGCTCTCCAGCCCCAAATATGCAAAACAAAAACCGGTAAGCAACCCACCGTGCTCATTAGCAGCTATTAAGGCCACCGGATGGACCGGGGGAAAGAGGAAGAAGAGCGGAAGATGTCAGCCCATTCCGGAATTTCCTAGCACAAAATGGGTTTTTTTCTGTGTCGGTCGGTGTGTTTGCGTCTCTGTTTGTTGGTAGTGGTGGGCTATCGGGGGATCCCGTGGTGGGGGCCTAAAATGTGGATCTCCAGGGGCGGGGTGTGCGGATGGGGTAATGAAGTAGAAAACCTGAAATTTATGAGATTTAAGGGGAGTAAGGGAGGGGGTCGAAAACCTTAGATACAAGCGGTGATGGGCTGCAAGATTAGGGAATGGTTAGAGGCGGATTTTGGAGGGTTTCAGTGATAATTTTGTTTAATTTAACTGCTTAATTTTTTAAGTAAATTAATACATACATTAGGTGGGAAATGGCACACAATACATCAAAAGTTTCAATTTTCAATATTTAAAGCATGAAGCCACAACGATCACTGACATCCCCGTTTAAAACCCGAAAACCCTCCCGAAATTCATGAATCACAATTTTGGCTTTACCACCACCAATCCACCCATAATTCGTACCTGGGAACCAGGCCAGCTATAAAACAACTACAATTTAACGAGATTTTACAAACAAAAACTCTGAGAGCGCACACACAACAAAAACGACTTCCCGACAGCGTGTGATCTGCTGACGGCAAACAACCGCAATTTAGTGGGTTTGTTTTAGGGAAATTCCCGGAAAATAGCTTTCTACCGGGAAAAATGGCAAAATGCCAACATGGCAAAATGCCAACATAGTAAAATGCCGACATATTAAAATACCGACAACAAAGTCCCAGCATTTTCCTCGATGCTGGCCAGGATTATAATTTTCGAAATCTGACCTTTCATGACTTGACTGTCGGGATTTTTGCATGCCAACATTTTGATATGTCGGTATTATGACCTTTTTTTGCTTGCAATAAATTCCTTTCCTGCAGTAAATCACCAAAATTGGACAACCGCCAGCAGCCGCAGCACCAGAAACTGCACCCAAAACCAAATATAGCACCTCTAAAGGAGAAATATTACCATGGTATTGCCCTGGGCGATAGATCAGCCACGCGCGCAATTTCTCTGCTCATTTTCTCGCTTTTCATCGGGGGACCCCCATATTGGGCGCTTTCCAAGAAATATCGGTGTATAGAGGAAGGAAGCGTTCATCTGATTAAGAAGGGGAGGGGGAGGGTGTCACATCTCCAACAACACATCACCCAGCCAGCTCTACCCCTCGTATTGTTGGCAGAGTAGCAAAACGGAATGAATAGATGACGGACGCCTTGTCTACTTCCCCCTCTTTTTTCATCTGTTCAAAAGGGCTTCTGCTATTTATTACCAAGGTTTGCTGGAGTTACGGGAGAAACAAACCTGCGTAGTATGTAGAAATACCGAATTTTCGAAAGCCAACACCCAAATTCAGGGGGCGAATTTCGGATGCTCCACAAGAGGAACGAGATAATTGGGGCCGACGGCTGAAGAAAAATGCGCTCAGCAATTCGGATGCGCTTTTTTCGTTGGCGGGTGCTAATTTCGTTTTTGAATTTGGACCCGACGACGGTGGAAGGAGGAAGAATTCGCAAAGTCAGGAGTTAAACAGCAGATCTTGGAAAGCCAGCTAGCAGAGTGACTTTGAAGAAAATCTTTTTGGGGGTAGGCTGGATTAGATGAATTTTGAGCGCGCACGATATTTTAATGGTTGTCGTAAAATCGTAAAATTCGGAATTGAATTCTTCGAGCAAAATAAGACACGGAAGAACAAAACTTGCCGTGAACGGGGCACTCCGTATCGCGGCCATGGAGATTCCTAAAAAGCTTTTAAGGTAGTTGAGAAAATCATTTTCAAGGAGGTGTGGTGAAGGGAAAAATTATATGGAATTTTCAAGGATAAATTGAAAGAATATATCCTTCAAAAGCGAGGTACTTTTGCATAACATTGGCGGTACCAAGGGTGGGAAAGGCGTTCCCCCACCCGCCCTTCCGCAATAAAAAACCGAAAGTAATTTGGGGAGAACTAATGGGATACACCTTTTAGTCAGCTACTCCAGTTTCCGGCCTTGTAAAGGTTATAAAGAAAGATACGCCCAGGAAATGAAGATGAAAATTAGGGTAGCAACGGTCGCGTCAATTTTTAACAAAACCAACATTTTTCAGGATTTTTAAATCATTCGCCATATGGCTTTCGGTGTTTTTCGGCGTAATGAAAAACTAACTCTCATATGTCAAACCCAAGTTCAGGAGCAAATAAGTAAAATGTTCCGGGGAAGGATGGGATAAGTTGTTGCCAAATATCGGCATCTCTTATGCATTCATCAGAAGGGCCCACTTTTGAGGGCCTCGATATCTTTTACCCGGAGCCCCAGCCAGTGACGTTCATTCCGCTCGGCTCTTACTCCCCCCTCCTCCTCCGAATCTCATCTAAAACACTTCATTCCACGCTCAAAACTTTTTGGTGCAGCAAATTGCAGAGATAATGAGAGCATGTTGAAGAGTGAGTGTGGTATTTGGTGGTGGTTCGGTTGGTTTCTGCGTAGCGTAGCTCGTAGCGACTTTTCATCCCTGGTTTAGAAGTTTTAAAAATTTTAAAAAAGGATAGGCATGATCTAGGAGCAATAATAAACGCATTTCACGCGGTTATTCCAGCGCTTTTCGATGCAAACCTCTACAAACCGGCAAACACATACATTTTTTGAGCGTTTAAAGCTTAGAAATAAATTTTTAAAGCTATGCCAATTGTTTCAAAAGCATTCCCTTGCTCCAAAAGCAAAAAGCAAAAGATTCCAACCAACCGGATTCGAACCAGTGACCTAAGGATAGCTGCCGACTCTACAGTCCTCCGCTCTACCAACTGAGCTATGGTTGGGCCGGGGTGGGAAGGGGGTAAGGGGCTCATAAAGCCCCCGGACCCTCGTCCGGACCCGTCTCCTCGCACTCGCAAAAAATGGTGGTGCGTTTGGACAGCGACTGCCGGTCTATTACACGGTTTGCTATCCTAATGTTTATTAGTTTTTTCAAGTTGTACACTTGCAAATATGTGCAGGAAAAAAGAGGGAATTCACTCCTTTACCGAGATTTCCTTTGTAAATTTCAATTTTTAATTGCCTGTTGTTTATACGTGAAAAGGACAATTTCTCAAAAGTCGTTCTTCAGAAAACAATTTTACAAACCAACTTTAAAGTTTTTAAAGTTTTAGCTGGTTGTGCCTGAATTCATAAAGCTTTTTCCAAAAATTCCTTTCTTTCCTCATCGTCCTATAATGTACTTTTCCACACTCCGATTTACGCATCTTTTATTAAACACAAAAACCTGCTGATAAAGCAAGGTCCACTTCATCATTAACGTACGATCAAAGGTTTAGAAAAACACTTGCGATGATAGTTTGAATCGTTTCATAAGGCCGCCCTTGCGGGAAAAAGTTAAGTGAAAGGTGGTTGGGGGGTGATTGAGGGGGCCCTGGAGTATTAGAATAAAAAATTCTAATTTTGAAGGGCCTCTTTAAAATCCAGGTCTAGCGCCAAGGACCCCATGTAAAAAGAAATGATACAAAAAAAGAATATGAAAAATTGACCTCGTGTTTCCTAAAGAACATCACTGTGGCAATTGGGGCGAATGCGGGGGTAGTCTAATGGAAGTTGGTCATTTAGGTCATGTTCTGTAGTTTAGTACTAAAGCGACCAAATTCCAAAAAAAAATCCAAAACTGAAAAAACAAACCCTGATTGAAATGGTAAAGGGGAAGGGAAGGGGAGGGGGATAATTGATGGCAAGGGCAAGATTTAGAAAGCCAGCCAAAAAACGGGAGTTATGGGGGAGCACTAGCGAAAAATGGCGTTCTGCCTAGGAGCTTTGAGGAAGGGGGAGGGAAATAAGGCAGGAATCGCTACGATTTGTGTCGTGATACGTACATGGATTTTCAAAAACTGAAAAGCGATGAATTTAAAGGCGGTCTCCGTTGAGGATCACAGAAAGATTGGGGGGAGTAGAGATATCATTGTGGTATTGAATTTGTTAAGGGGTATGTTCAGAGGAGCGTTGTGTAGCTGTGCGGATTTATAATCGTGGGGTGGTGGCTTCTTGTCCGACGGCCATTCCGGAAGTCATGGAGCTTTTCAGCTGGTTCCACCAGCGAGAGAGTGAGGGAGATGAGGAAGCGTCAGAGGTGGATGAACTAAAACAGAATTGTAAATTAGAAAGAAGTTATTTCGAGCTAGTTCGCTCTCAATTAAAACTCTTTTAAAACATTTAAAAACGATGAAGATCTAGTAGATGTTAAATAACCTTAAAATAGGAAATTTGTTTTTCCCTGTTTCATGAGCTTTCGAATCAAATAAAAATGGCCAGCTTTCTATTAGCCAGCTAAATTTTCTACCCACCTTCCCGAAGAATCGGTCCCCCTCCCGGCATACCCGTTCAACATCGTAGTCTTTGAATCTAAAATGTCCTTTATTTAATTTTTCGACAATTTATAACCATTCAACTGCCGGCGAATCGATGCCTCTGTAGCTTCCACCGCGTTCTCGACAACCTCTTTCCTTCGCTGCTCGTCCAAGCTCTAGAAAAATCCTATATAAATAATATATATTCAACGCATGAGGGATGTAGCAAAATTTGGTGATGACCACGACACGAACGATACCGAGAAACAATTATTTTTTTACATTACCGACTACACAACAACAAATTTCCTACTAACCATTCTCCGGTGTAATTCCTGGAATGTAAATAAAGTAACTGGTGGGAGTAAAAGTGGATGGAAGTCTAAAATAAGACTAACCTGCTGAAGTGCCACCGGGGTCAACCATTCTTGTGGCAACATCCGCTCGAGGAAGGGGATAGATCCGGAAATGGCCGCCAGACGATTGATCCAACCCGGAATCTCTTTACCCGTCAATTCCTATACAATCGTTTACTTGAAAATATTTATATACGCCCACCTTAGCAAAAGAAGCGGAAAAGTGGTTGCAATTGCGCGAGATCAGATGATATCTAAAAATAGGGAATTATACAGTGATGTTAATGTAAGGTATCTCTGAAAAAATGCTCACTTGTCACCCCTGTACTCCTTGCCAATCTCCTTGATTAAGGTTCGCACTTCGACTGGGGAGAAATCTGTTTCGCCGATGATAATCGATTCTCTGAAAAGCATAGTGGTAGATTTTTAAATATGTTTATATGTTTAAATATTCCTTAAACAAAAATGAGTCTTTTGAAAAGCAAAAACTAACCGAAACTTGAAATTCTCTCCCAATTCCTCTGCATCCTGGGGCTGATTCTCGAAGACACCTGAGAATGTGAAGGGATGACCGCCATAGGCGTATTCTGGAATTATAAATTCATTTTTGTATATTGTACTTTGTATTCCAGTCTTTCAAAGATTTTTTAAACTTACCAACTCCATAGACCTCGATTCCAGAGTGGAAAATCCCGACACCAACGTTCGACGCGTATTCGTTCAACCAATACTAAAAACAGAATTTGTTATTTTTACTGCTCAATTTTCTAACTATTTTTTATTTCTAATTTTTCTCCCCTAAAAACAATTTCCATCCTCTAAGCGCCGCCGCCGTCCCGCAGAAAATTACGTCCGCCGTTTATCAACCTCCCCATTTTTCCACCCCGTTCCCTATTCCCTACCCCCAATTTTGCACCCAAATCGAGACAAATACACCCAATATTATACACAATAAATCTATTTTTAAATTTATAACACGCACCATATCGTAGACATTTAATCGAACGGCAGCCCTCGCCATCTTTTTTCGATGCGACGCGGCGATGTTGGTAGACGGGGGCGCCTAATAGAAAAATGTAAGGTTGAACGGAGGCGGTGGAGTCGAATGAATGAGGGAAAAATGAAAAATGAGCACCACGTGTCAACAGGCTGTAAGGTGGAACTCGGCGGAAATGAGGAACTGATTGGGCGGGGGGGCTCCCCGGAAATTAGTGGTTGGTTGCGTTTTTAGAAAAATTCTGGACCGCCTACCTTTTCAGGTGGGTATGAATTTCCGGAGAAACGTTGATTCCCACGCTTTTTGAAAATTTTGTAAAAAAAATGGTACATATCGAATAACGGGGGGGGGGGGGGTGGTAAATACCGGGATGGGATGGTGAATAGAGTGAGGGAGGCCTAGGCTAAAGCCTAGGCTTGCCTAGGCTTCCTCATGCTTTTCTAATTTGCATCGCCTAGGCTGAGCCTGGGCTATGCAAAGGGGTTATGTTCATTTTTCCTAAAAATCATTTTTCCTAAATTCATTTTTCCTAAATTCATTTTTCCTAAAAATCATTTTTCCTAAAAATCATTTTTCCTAAAAGTCATTTTTCCTAAAAATCATTTTTCCTAAAGTTCATTTTTCCTAAAATTTTTCATTCAATAGGGATGCGTAAAAATATCAAGAAATTCCAAATGCTATCATTTTTTAGCAGTATTTGTTTGGTTTGGTTATTAGTAGGCTTTTATCGAAAATCTTTCTTATTATCATTGATCCTTTTCACTTCCAATCACCCAAATCTAGGCTAAACGCGCAACTAAAATACTTCCTATGATCACTCTAGGCAGATCTGACCTTATTCTAAAAAATTTTCTATTTTCTCATGCATAGTACTAAAGAACTAGGCCTTTACGGTATCTAACCGGTTTTAGGAAAAATGAACTTTAGGAAAAATGATTTTTAGGAAAAATGAGTTTTAGGAAAAATGATTTTTAGGAAAAATGACTTTTAGGAAAAATGATTTTTAGGAAAAATGATTTTTAGGAAAAATGAATTTAGGAAAAATGAATTTAGGAAAAATGATTTTTAGGAAAAATGACTGGAATTCTATGCAAAGTACGCCTGACCTCTAATTAATCAGGCTTTATCCGGAAATTTTATGTAAAGTCGTAGAATATTCGAAGTTTTGCCGAACAAAAAAGTATTTTTTTGAAACTTCCGAGGGGTCGAAGAGCTGTATTGGGTCCAAGAATATTCTACAAAGTCAGGGTACTGTTTTTGACAAACCTTACGGCACGATACGTTAATAGCACGCGGATACACAAAAGTCAAGAGTCGGTGCGAACCGGCGGGGGATGCAATTGGCTCTCCTGACATCCCGCCTATATTTTTCCCACCTTCGGCATCCTTTTAATTTGTTATTGATACGAACGTTTTAGATGTAGTAACCAGATTAACATGTTTTTGCGCATTGCATAAAAAGCCTGCGTAAATCTTTAGGCTTCCGCCAGGCGTCGGCAGGCGCGGAAATGCAATTCGGCCCAAGAAAGCCTGAGGAGGCCTGCCGCTCCCTCACTTTAATGGTGAATAGTGCCAATATTCAAATTATGCGCGGATTTGGGAAATGCTAATAATTATAATACTTATTAAAAAATTACAAAATCCACTTGGCTAATTAATTACAGCCCAATAAATGTATATTAAGAATTAAATGCATAAAAAAATTTCGAAATTTATAGACACGACAAAGGATAATAATGGCTAAAAGTCGGCTAATGAGATTTTCAGTGCTTTTAACTGAAATTAATTAGAAATAAGTTTAGAAAATTCGCGTGTCGATAAGTACGTTACGTTTTTTAAAGCATGATAAAGTATACTTAAACTAATTGCACATAAACATCGATTGTTTCCACGATTTTATATGAGCAAACAAAATATCTAGAATTCAATCGTGCGATACTCCCCAAAAACAATTTAGAGATTAAATAAAGAATTAAATCCAATGCCCGCTCATAAAAAATGGACACTGTCCGCCTGACGAGTACGTTGTGCAAAGAAACGGCAGAGGGTGGAGAGGGCAGAGAAATAGAGAGAATTTGCACGCTGGGACGGGCGGGTGGTCGGAGAAATGGCAGAAGGAACCAGTTCCTGCCATAGCCCCCCCACTACGACGCCACACAATGACACTGGTCCAACCCGGGCCATCGATTGATTTCAAGAAATAACCAGCGGAATATCATCTACATCAAAGATTTTTGCATTCAGATGAGATTATAACTCGGATAAAATTCTTTGTCTAAATTTGACGTATATAGAGAGTTTTCAAGAAGAAATCTCGCCTTCTATCCGATCGGATCCAAATTTTTACTAGTGATGGGAGCCCTTAAAAACCAGATTCATCCGAGTTTTCTAAGCAAAATAACGTAAAATACAAAGGTTAGAGCTAAAATAAGGCGTATTTCCGATTTCAGTGGGATTTCGATGGATTTCGAAGTCGGCATTCTCTATGTCGGATAATTTTTTGATCTACGAAAATATTGTTTAAAGCGGCAGTTTTAATAAAGTTTTATCCTAAAAATTGTCAGAAACTGGTCGCAAATGACCACATTTCGGGAAATTACTCAAAATCGGCATGTTAATTGCGAAATACTAATAGAACGGCGTACCAACATCTCCATAAACCAGTTTTTAGCGATACCTCTTTATTATTTGATTATTTTCCTCGAAAAATTCGGCTGCAAATAGTTTTTATGGGTACGATCGGAGGGAGGCGGACAAGATGGATAGAATCTTAACAAAAACCTCTCTAAAATCCACAAAATCTAACCCCACAAAACCAATCAGCAACCACAAAAACTGCTTCCGAGATAAAGCCATACTTGCGAAAAAAAAGAGGATTAACCCCGTCGTGAAAATGTGGTCCCGCCTTCAAAGAAACCCTATAAAATGCCACCACGCGACATTAATTCCGCCCCGACCCCCGATTCGAACCACGCAACGTGGAAACGGATTAAAAACTTTGCCAAATCCAAAAATTCTTCGAGAAATAAATGGGAATAGTGGGGTCGATCGAAGTGACTGAAATTGACTGAAATGGCAGAAGGATGACACAGAGAAAGTGTGAGTCAGCGCGTGTCAACAGCATTTTATTATGATGGGGCCGGGGAAAATGGAATCTTTGGGATCAAGTGGATCAGCTGGAGAAGAGAGAGATAGAGAGAGAGAGAGAGAGAGAGAGAGAGAAAGAGAAAAGCTTCTTCACGTTGTTATTGAATGTTATTTTTATTTTTGTTTTAGCGGGTTGTGAAGAAACCAAAGCATTTTAATGGCTTTCGAAATCGCTAGCTTGAAAGAGAGCAAAATATAGAGAGAAAAATAAAGAGATAGAAATAGAGAGAGAGAGAGAGAGAGAGAGAGAGATAGGAGAGGAGAAAGTGAGACCAAGAGAGAACAACGTAAAACGTATGCCTTATGGAAAAATCTTGCCAAACTCTAGAGTACTGTTGCATCACAAAAATTGTGAACACTGTAAAACCCTTTAAATCAAGTTACAATATGAATAATGTAAATGAAATACAAGGTTCAAACAATAAAAATAGAAAATTTCAGATTATTAATTATGATTTCTTAGAGGCTATAGGCAATGCCAAAGTTTCAAAAGCCAGCAAGGGTTCCATTTCCGGTGCGATTCGTATAGTTAATGATTCCTAGGATTCCCAAGCCAAAGCCGTGGGATTCGGCGCGCGTTTTTTCAAAGGGCTCTGGGGCACTGGTGGGCAAAATGCTAGGCAAAAATTAGAAGCAATTCCGTTGAGTGACCCGGGTGTGGATGGCTGAACGGGGTGGAAAGAGGGAGAAAGAGAAAGAGAGGAAGAGAGAGGGCGAGAGAGAAAGAGAGGGAAGAGAGGCTTTGGCGCTGACGCGTCCGCGACGCGTCTCTCAGGCATAAGACGTCACAACTAGGAAAGGACAGATGGCAAAGGCGGGGAACGCGGGAAAGCGGCAATGGATAGCGAATGGCGTACATCAAAGGCGCTTCTCTGTCTGTCTGTATTCTTACAGAACGAATGGATGTAAGCCTGGATTGGAACGTCATTTGCTTATGGGAATGGGGTAGAGCGGGAATTTCAGAAGGCTTACGACATGAAATTGGAAAAGCGAATTTAGGTGTTGAAATTTGAGAAATTTTATTTCGAAATTATTGAATTAACTTACCAGGAGCTACTCAAAATATCATTTAAGCAGACTTTAAAGATATAGACGATATTGGGCTATAAATACAATACGAAACTACAAAAGTAAAGATCACCATGCAAGGAAAGCTTCATTCCTAATTTTTCGCTGTAAACCCGTAAGAAGGAAAATTTCATCTAAAAAACCTAAAAATCCTATCGAAGCAAAAATGCCACACCATTTTAGAACCAAGATAACTAAATAAAACCTCAAACAAATATCGGACTGGGAATCCTAAAGAATCTAAGGAAAGGAAATCTAAAGAAAACCTTGCAAACTGGGAACTTTGGATAGAATGAAACATCCGAACATCTCAAAGCCCGACCCCTCATCGATAAGCCACATCTGGCCTGGAATATGCCGCAACATCTGCCTGGACGCCCCAAACTAAATTTGAAAAATGGCGTATCTGCTGCTCTGTCTGCTCCCAGACCGCTAAAAATACCGTAATCCAGGCAGGGACGACATTTATTCTGCACTGGCGGCACATGTCCCCCGACCGGATAATCCAGAATAAATTGTTTTTGACTGTCTGCACCGGTTGTCACGCAGAGTTTAGGAAGCTGATTGTGAGAAATTGTGAGAAAGATTTGGGAAGGGTCGACTCACAGGGATTTTTGAGAAAATAAACGCAATTTTTTGCAGTTTAGCACGAATTTTTAAAGAGGAGATCAGCATCAGATTCCTGGAAGCAAAAAATACGCTTTTTGAGGAAAACTTGTGCTAGGCAAACAAGCAAAGATGTGCGAAAATACGTTTTTAGCCGTTTATTACTCTTAAACAATGTTATTTTTTGCGTCATGGTACAAAATTAACCGACTCGACTTGCTGTTACTGATTTTTAAGGACATAGTTGATTGACCAACTAGCGGAGATCACGAAGGATTTTTGGACACCCATGTTTAGTCAAGCTGGAACATGATAGTTGTAAAACCAAAAAAACCTAGCGTAAATAACTGTCCCGCGTCCACTAAACCCATCGAATTGCCGCTTTTTCGGGTTTAATCCGGCGTGCGCCCAAAAACGGCGCCACGATATTTGCACAAATTTGCGCTCCCGGTTGGCATTCCATTGTTTCGTGGTGTAGCGGCTGGCTATTGCCTGGAACTTTATTATTGATCACTATATAACAATTGTTGATATCCCTTTAAGAGTTAGATGTTTCTTTTAGACTTTCAGAACTCTAAAAAAAAGCCGTAAAATCCTCAGACCCTTATTCCTTGGCTATCTGTCATTTCGACTCTAAACCTGTCCGGTCGTTTCCAGCCCACCCCCAAAATAGGAGAATTTACGGCTGATAAGGCAGCATTGTCCAGGCCCACTTTTCAAAGGCCATAATCTTCACGGGGCGACCACAAGAAACTGCGGTCCACAATTTGCAGCTGCTCGGAATTTTTGACTTTGCTGAGAGGCTGGAAATTGGCTAATTTTTGTGGTGGTCGGCGTTCGGTCCTTAAAAACACCTTGCTAATGGTAAAATCAGCTGCGATTTGGGGGTGGAGGTATAAGGGAGGTCCGGAAAGATTTTTGGAAAAGAAAGTCCTGAAAGATTTTCTTTGTTCTTTGGTTTCTAAATTCCAATTTATAACAATATTTACATTCAGCTATTGCTTTCACGCTGCAGAATGACGAATCCAATGTCCTCACGCCAAAAAAAATCGACCACCCGGTCCATCCAGCCGAGCCATTCCTCTGCTCGGGCTATTTATTACTGCTCTAGATCCTTGTCCTAAACCTAGCATCCCACATGTACATTTAATTCTTAATTTATGCCAAATCCCAAAATCACCAACCCCTGAAAATTAGTTCCATGAACCTACGCGTGACTTAATGGCAGGTGTTGAATCGGGCGCGTAACCAGGGCAACTTCTAGGAAACGAATGAAACTTACGGATAGCAAAGTATTTATTTTCTATACTATGGAATGAGGCTTTAATTCCTAAAAACTATGCAAACATTCCCGGGATGCCTATCCCCTTTTCCGAGACCCAACCCCGCGCGTGTGTATTAATGGTTCTTTGTGTTTCTCAGTGGGTGCGATCTTTGTAAGAAGGGCATTTCCAGTACCACTCCGAATGGGCTTTCCCCCCGTTTCCCTCTTTTTTTTGGTCGGATGATTCGTGGAATCGTCCTCTTTCCGGTGTCGTATAGTCTGCCCTCCCGTTTCTCTTCCCCCCTTTTTCACTCACACCTTTTTTGGTCAAATATTTCGAGTCTCGCTGGCTGTGCCTCCCCCCTATGTGTGTATGTCGTATAAGCGGGCCCGGGCTTTTGTGCACATTTGGCATCGGCAGGGGCTTTGCTTTGTAAACTTAAAAAAATGCTTTTTTTTATTGCCGTTAAAAGGCCTTGTGTGTCCCATTGAAATTTCTAAAATAACATTTTTTTGTTAATTTAATTTAACGATTAAATTTACTTGCCTTTTTTCAGCCCGCCCGGCTCAGTCTCGGGACTAGAATGGCCAAGGTATGCATCTGAATGTCATACCGTAATTTATTCCTAGGACGCCAAATTACTGGAGGGCGGGCTGACCGAGCGGAGTGACGCCCCTTTAAACCCGAAAGGCGGTGTCAAAAAGTCTCAGAAGTCAGTTCATCATTTTTTTTAAGAAAGCTGACTGAATTTTAGAAAGAAGTCACTGGGGCAGAAGATTGGGGACAGTATTTATGGGCTGGTGCCGATTTTGTACTGGTTGCCAAGGTGGGGAGGTTTTAAAGGGACAGTGACAGTAAAAACTTGATATTTCCAGGTATAAGTGGAAAGAATGGATCCACGGCGATGTGATCGCAGGATTAACTGTTGGTATTATGCATGTACCACAAGGTGAGAACCAAAATATCGTTTTTACTCAATTAGTGAATTTTAGGAATGGCCTACGCTTCTTTGGCGTCCGTGCCACCAGTGGTCGGCATGTATTCTTCATTTTTCACCTCATTTGTATATATGTTCTTTGGAACGGCTCGTCATATATCTATTGGTAGACTTTAGTCATGTTTTAAAGTTCGGAACTTTTCTTCAGGTGTGTTTGCCGTGGCCTCAATGATGGTGGGTGCCTGTCGACTCCGTTTTGTACCTCATCTTGATGAATTTGGTATTTTTTAAATTCTAAAAGCAAATGGGTATTTTAGGTAATCGCATCAACGGGTCCGAGACTGGGCCTTTCGGCGATTTGGGACCGGTGGAATTGACGAGCACTTTGGCTTTAGCTGTTGGAATTGCACAAGTCAGTTCGCATTTGATTTTCAAGGGCTTCTGCTTTTTTCCAGCTAGCAATGGGAATCTTCCGACTCGGTTTTTTAACAACCTACCTCTCCGATCCGCTGGTCTCCGGTTTCACCACAGGATCCGCCGCGCACGTCTTCATGTCGCAACTCAACAAAGTCTTCGGGGTCAAACTGCCTCGGCATGAGGGCATTGGTATGCTCGTCTTTGTAAGTCCTGTCGAACCTGACTTTGAAATGCACCGCTTCAGATGATGCGTGACATTGTGTTGTCCCTCGGTAAGACGAACCTGGTGGTACTTGGCGTATCCGTCTTCGGACTTGTATTCTTGCACCTCGGACGTGAATATGTTAACCCAAGGGTGAAGAAGGTGTCCAAGATTCCAGTCCCGCTAGAGTTAATTCTGGTATGTCGATTAGGCTCCAAAAAAACTCTCAATCTAGGTGATAATCGGTGTTATCGTATCCTGGAGCTTGGGTCTTGCTGACAATTATGATGTGAAGATTGTAAACAAGATTCCAAGAGGGTAAATTAAAAACACAAAAAATTAAGATTTGACAGTTTCCCACCGCCAAAGTTGCCCCGCTTCGACATCGTTCCCGCTCTAATGAAAGACGCTATTCCGACAGCCATCGTCTGTTACATGTTTGTGGTATCCATGGGGAAGCTGTTCGCCAAGAAGCACAAATATACAATTGATTCTACACAGGTAAAATTGAAGTATGATCCCTGTAATAAATTAAGTATAGGAATTCATTGCAACGGGTCTGATGTCAACTCTATCTTCATTTTTCCCAGTATACCCAGTTGGTGCATCATTGTCCCGCTCGGCAGTGTGCGAAATGTCTGGAGCTCATACTATGGTATTACCAAGCCTTCTACAAATAACTCGAAAATACTTCCAGCTCTACGTCGTCTTCTCGTCTTCTCTGCTATTAACCGTGATTTTATTCCTCGGTCCATTCTTGGAACCCCTACCAATGGTATGCAAATTTGCGAATCCCAGTTTGCATCCCTTTAGTGCATTCTTGCCTGCATTGTCATCATCTCACTGAAAAGCCTTTTCGAACAGGCAAAAATTCTGCCTTATCTGTGGAAAGTGTCCCGGCTCGACTTTGTAGGGATTCTCAGGAAAATTAACATAAAACATAAGTGTTTAGGCCGTGTGGCTAGTCTCCTGCCTGGCTACCGTATTCACTGATGTCACCACCGGACTTATCATATCGATTGTCTTCACTTTGCTGACAGTGGTCTTTAGAGAGCAATGGTAAGTGGGAGGATCGGAACATAATATACCACAATAAATTAGGCCTCGTGATGAGACCAGCCAAGCCTTACTTGAGACGGGAAAACAAGAGGATACCCCAGAGACACTTGGCCAAGTCCCCGACGACATTGCTGTCTATCGTTTTGAATGCCCTCTTCACTTTGTCAACGTTGTCCGCTTCACCGACAAGCTCACCGAGCTTATCGAAGATGAAGATGTCAGTTTATGTGGTGAATCGTGTGATGTACTTTTCAGGTGAACGCCGTGGTGGTTGACTGCTCTGCTATGGCTTATACCGACTCCATGGGACTAGACGCTTTCAAAGACGTAGGTTACTAACGCTATGTTAATTTTTCCAAATAAATATACAATGCAAACCGTTATTTCAGGGCTACCAGGATGCCAAGAAGATCAACAAGCCGGTGTACTATGCAGGACTTAATGGTAAGAAAAAAATATCGAGCCAAACCCCTAAATTCAGGCTCAATCCACGCGATTCTGAAAAGTGTCGATTTCTACTCAAAGGTGCCTGAAGCCCAATTCACCTCTTCCATCTCTGAAGCCGTCCACAAAATCGTATCCAAACGGGTCCTCGTATCTTAAAACCTCTTCTTCAAATAGTCAGCTAATCTCCTTAAACCGCTAGCATAATTTCCAGTTCCATCTGTTCCATTTGCCTGTGATATTGCAACATTGATTTTCACTTCCACGACAGTACGGTATTTGAATAAATTCTACTTATGCGTGAGGGCAATTTTTTAAGCAAACTTTATAACTTTATTGAGAAATATCGAATCATAGTTTGCTTAATTTAGCCAATCGTCTTCTGTTGGGTTATTGCAAAATTCGGCGGTCGTCGCCTAAAATAATGAAAATTACGATTTAGGATGCCTTTGAGAAATAGAGAGGAAATAAAAACTTTCTATTGTTTTCTCGCATAACGCAAACAGTAAGCGACTCTGGCAGTCGACCTCGTACCAATCACCCGCCATCCAGGTGACTCCTCTTTTCAAAGGATGCTTAAAGTAGGGTAGATATTGAGATTACATGCAAAGTGCATTACCAACACACAACCACCGCCATGTCGTGGCTGATCGTCACCCCAATACCTGAATTGATTTAAATTTTAAAAAAGGCTATTTGACAAACCGATAATCCGAAGCTGAACCGCCCATCCAAATCCCGCCGGTGTCCTTCTTCACGTTGTACAACCCAATCCACATCTCAAAATTCCCTATTATATGTAAAAAAATCACTATACCGAGTAAGTCATATCATCTGGATCTATGACTTGGCCTGTGAAATAAGTATTTCGTTGGATGTAGTCTACAAGAAGGAAATAATTTTATCAATCGTTTTCGCTCACTCAATATCCCCTTTCGCTCCTTCAAACAGCGGATCGTTGCCAATTGTCCACAAGTGCCCAGCGTCTTCCGGCACATCGCTTCCGCATCGGCAAATGTTGAATTGACTTGTACAATCGTGTAGCAACTCCCTCCAGCTGATATCCAACCAGCTGGGCATGTTGTATCCTAATAGTCTCTTTCGTTAACCCTGTCGGCTACATACCAATACGCAGCTTTCCGGTTTTAGCTTGACTTCATTTGCCGATTTCATCACTAGATCAGGTTACTTGCACAATCTTTTTAAATTCTACTTACGCCTGACCACCTTTGGCGCTCCAGCAGCGTTTTTTTCGACCAACTGTAGTGGAGCTACACTTTCTGCCGATTTCTGGTTCACACAACCATGTTGCGAGGTTAACTAAAAGGCAATAACTGATTTTCTAGCGAGACAATACCACTGGCACTTCACACAACGCGGCAAACACGTTGGTTGAGCAGTTTAAGTCGTTCCAAGTGCCTTGTCGTAGGTCGTTCCAGTCATCGATATACATCTGAAGTAAACCGTCGCAGATCAAGCAGTTCAGACCTGTCCGCAACGCTCCTGACCACGATCGTTTGGTTCGCCGGGTGCCCAGTTTCTAAAAAAACAGGACGTCAGGTTTAGCAGCACCGGGGGCTCGGTCCTACGTATAATTTGAAGAATTCCTGGTGGTGGTGAACATTCCATTCTCCACATCATAGATCCCGACCCACATTTGCTAAATACGCATAATAAGCCAACGAACAACCAAATGGACCCTTTGCCAGAAGTCTTCTCCATAACTCCAGTGTTGATCCCAGAAATCAGCGCCTTGGATGAGTTCTAAAAAAAGTTTAGTCAACAAGTACATATGCGTACCAAGAACGTCAAGGTTTTGCGTCCGACACTGTACCACTCCAAGAATTGCACACGTGCCTGCTTCCTGGCCGCAACGGTCTCTTGCCTCGCTGTATGTTCCCTCCACTTGGATGACCTACAAATGTTGTTGAGGAGAGCCTGTGTTACAACCTTGAAACAAGATCCGTAGTACTCCTTGAAACCATTTCCGACCTCCGCGCAGGAAGCTAACTAAAAATATCATGAATATGTATTGCTCCAGGGGCCTACCGGCCGACAAAAATCAAGCGTTGTGGTTCCAAGGCTTGTGGGGGTGGTGGATACATAAGACGTCGTGGTGTTCGCATAAGTTGTAGTGGTTTGTTTGGACTTGTTTTCAGTCGACTCGGTCCCTCTGGTCGTAGAGGGGCGAGAGGTAGTTGATGTGCTTGCCTCGGTCTTTGCATGTGTTGTTGAGGTGATACTCGTAGTGGAACTCTTTGTTGTGGGCTTCGTTGATGTGCTGATGCTGGTAGATTTGGTTGACGTAGTCGTGTTGCTACCGTTAGTTGATTTCGAACTGCTGGACGTGTTCGTAGGCCTTGTTGATGTAGTATGAATAGATGAGGAAATAGCTGGCTTTGTCGAGGTGGTCACACTTGAGCTGGATGACGCGGTCATCGTCGTTTTGGTTGTTGTTGTTGTAGGCTTTATAGTAGTAGTATGAATCGTTGACGAGCTCGGTAGATTTGTCGTGGCGGTCACAGTTGTGCTTTTAATTGTTGTCCTCGTCGTTGTTGATGGTGTTGTCGTCGTCGTTGTTGGTTTTGTACTATGAGTTGAGGTTCGGCCTTCCGTGCTGTGGCTTGCGCTTGTCGTACTTGTACCTCGCTTCGTCTCGCTAGAAGCCCGAGTTGCCGTCTGGCTGCCGGTGGTTAAAGAGCTTGATCGAGTGAAAGATTGTGTGGTTGCTGTTGTCGTCGTACTCCTCGTCTCAGTTGATGCGCTGGCAGGTATCTTCGACGGGTCGCCAGAAAATTCCGAGCTGCAACTGTTAGTGTTTTGAATACTTTGCATTTTTAAGGATCATTATAACAAAAATTTATTAGACTCACGATGTGTTGTGACGATTGGACAGAGGACATTCTGAAACAGTTTTTAGAGTTGCCCTACTGAAGCTTGCCAACCTTTGGTGGGAATTGTGGCCAAGCACTCGTTGTCGTTGGGGTAGGGGTCGGGAAATCTGGCAGCGTCATCCCAGTCACTAACATCCTCAGGAAGGCATTGCGGTTTGCGCTAAAATTTTTCGTGGAGCGTTTGCTTATGGTTCGCTACCAATTGCCAGTTGTAACGTAGATAAATATGTCCGGTGTTGTTGCAACAACGAGATAGCGGAGCTAGGCAGGCATCACGTCCACAAGGAACTTCTCGGGTGGCAGCACCACTGAAAAATATATGAAGTGTCACCTGACCTTTAGAATATTTCCGGGTAAATTCGTTGAAGGGCTGAGCATATGCTGCTGTTAAAGGGATAGCGCAAGCAGAAATCCAGGCGCTACTTGGATTCCAGGAACTTTGCCAGTTTTGGCTGGATGAGCGCACCAAAGCGCCCTTATCAGTAAATCAGCGCAGTAATGAAAGAATTCGAAGCGAGCAGATGTGATAACGCGCGCCCTAAGGCTATGTTTTTGGCGGGAAAGGGGCCTTTTTGGAGCCCCGCGTGCGAAACATCTGCGAATTGGGGTGACGGACCTCCGTGTGGCAACTATCGACGCGTTAGTTGACCTCGGTGCTTCTTTTAGGGGCATCGTTGCAGTAACGGGAGGTCTTATCACATCCCCGACCAATACTTCCACCCATTAGTGCGCAACTTTAGACTGCCGCAGGTGTGCAACCTATCATAAGTAGGACAAGCATCCCCCAAAATGCCCGGAGGGCATAAGTCCGTTAACCCCGCGGACCGAATGCCCATCTGTCCCCATCCCTTTAACGCCGTGGATTAGCACCACCCCCTTGAGACATTAGTGCGTGATTGCGCTGAACCTCGCACATCTGCGCCCTTGACCTCTTTCCCGCCCCTTTTCAGTTGCATTTCTTATCGCAGCTTTCTATCCGACACGCTACCCATTAAATACTTAAATACTGTAATACTGGTTGGTATAATTTAATACTGGTTAGTGTAGCCTAATAGGGTTGCCGAGTGCATTTTTACCTGCATGGACATCCTCGCCTTTCCGATAGGCAAGTGCGTGTCTGCCAGATTTTGTGGCAACTACCACAAGCCTGGTGCGGCTCATACTGATCTCCTGAAGCCTCTCGGTACATCATGGGTGCAGCAGGACATTTGCTTGCATTTCTCCATGAGCTCCAGGCGCCTAAATAAACCATGTTATCTCAATATATTTCTTCACCATTCTTTGGGCACGGACATCTCCGGTGCTCAGTAATTTGTGTCACGTCAGACTGACAGTTGGCATCGGCGAACGGATCCGTGTACACCGGTTCGTCGCTAGGCTCTTCGATTGGCTCGCATGCCGTGCCACATTCACCAAGGCTGCGTAAAACCCGTCACACAGGCAACAAGTGATAACTTACATGGCGCCGGCGCAGCATGGTTGATTCGGGAACACTTTCCGATCATCAACACCTTTGCAGACATTTTTCCCACATGGTATTAAACGAACAGAGGCCCCGCTGAAAATATCCTTTTCTAGTTGATTCAAAATGTCGCGTCAGTTGCCGACTCACTCCATACCTGCAAAAGCATGCCCTTGCCGCAGATGCACATGTTCGCCGCTGCATTTGAAGTCCACAAAGACCGCAAGTGTAATTGTGTTGATTCCAAGCGGATGCTCCAGTGGCAAGGAATGTTGACCCCGGCAAGCATGTTCCGACGTCTTCCCACGCGGTCCAGTAACCACCTAAGATTATTCGATACGTTTTCCAAAAGCCAAATCGCTCCAAGGATCAATCAATATGGCAATGTCAACATATGCTAGCATGCTCCAAACCTTTTGCGCAAGGACATTTCCTCGTGCTGTTCGTCGTCGGTGGGTCCGTGTTTTCCGTGGTGGTGGTATCGTCTTTCGGAGGTCGTCCCGCTGTGCTGTCATCCGGCTCGGACGACTCCGTTTCGTCGGTCTCTCCTGTCGTATACTCTTCCGTGCCTGTGGAGCCAGTGTGTGATGTCGTGGACCTGGATGTTGTAGTCGGTCCCGACGTTGTAGACCTGGAGGTTGTGCTTGAACCAGACGTTGTTCGTCGTCGTGACGTTGTGCTGTCATCCGGCTCGGACGACTCCGTTCCGTCGGTCTCTCCTGTCGTATAATCTTCCGTGCCTGTCGAGCCAGTGTGTGATGTCGTGGATCTGGATGTTGTAGTCGGTCCCGACGTTGTGGGCCTGGAGGTTGTGCTTGAACCAGACGTTGTTCGTCGTCGTGACGTTGTGCTGTCATCCGGCTCGGACGACTCCGTTTCGTCGGTCTCTCCTGTCGTATACTCTTCCGTGCCTGTGGAGCCAGTGTGTGATGTCGTGGACCTGGATGTTGTAGTCGCTCCCGACGTTGTAGACCTGGAGGTTGTGCTTGAACCAGACGTTGTTCGTCGTCGTGACGTTGTGCTGTCATCCGGCTCGGACGACTCCGTTTCGTCGGTCTCTCCTGTCGTATACTCTTCCGTGCCTGTGGAGCCAGTGTGTGATGTCGTGGATCTGGATGTTGTAGTCGGTCCCGACGTTGTGGACCTGGAGGTTGTGCTTGAACCAGACGTTGTTCGTCGTCGTGACGTTGTGCTGTCATCCGGCCCGGACGACTCCGTTTCGTCGGTCTCTCCTGTCGTATACTCTTCCGTGCCTGTGGAGCCAGTGTGTGATGTCGTGGATCTGGATGTTGTAGTCGGTCCCGACGTTGTGGACCTGGAGGTTGTGCTTGAACCAGACGTTGTTCGTCGTCGTGACGTTGTGCTGTCATCCGGCTCGGACGACTCCGTTTCCTCGGTCTCTCCTGTCGTATAATCTTCCGTGCCTGTGGAGCCAGTGTGTGATGTCGTGGATCTGGATGTTGTAGTCGGTCCCGACGTTGTGGACCTGGAGGTTGTGCTTGAACCAGACGTTGTTCGTCGTCGTGACGTTGTGCTGTCATCCGGCTCGGACGACTCCGTTTCGTCGGTCTCTCCTGTCGTATAATCTTCCGTGCCTGTGGAGCCAGTGTGTGATGTCGTGGACCTGGATGTTGTAGTCGCTCCCGACGTTGTAGACCTGGAGGTTGTGCTTGAACCAGACGTTGTTCGTCGTCGTGACGTTGTGCTGTCATCCGGCTCGGACGACTCCGTTTCGTCGGTCTCTCCTGTCGTATAATCTTCCGTGCCTGTGGAGCCAGTGTGTGATGTCGTGGATCTGGATGTTGTAGTCGGTCCCGACGTTGTGGACCTGGAGGTTGTGCTTGAACCAGACGTTGTTCGTCGTCGTGACGTTGTGCTGTCATCCGGCTCGGACGACTCCGTTTCGTCGGTCTCTCCTGTCGTATAATCTTCCGTGCCTGTGGAGCCAGTGTGTGATGTCGTGGACCTGGATGTTGTAGTCGCTCCCGACGTTGTAGACCTGGAGGTTGTGCTTGAACCAGACGTTGTTCGTCGTCGTGACGTTGTGCTGTCATCCGGCTCGGACGACTCCGTTTCGTCGGTCTCTCCTGTCGTATAATCTTCCGTGCCTGTGGAGCCAGTGTGTGATGTCGTGGATCTGGATGTTGTAGTCGGTCCCGACATTGTAGACCTGGAGGTTGTGCTTGAACCAGACGTTGTTTGTCGTCTTGACGTTGGCTGGGTCGACTCCGTTTCGTCGGTCTCTCCTGTCGTATAATCTTCCGTGCCTGTGGAGCCAGTGTGTGATTTCGTGGACCTGGATGTTGTAGTCGGTCCCGACGTTGTAGACCTGGAGGTTGTGCTTGAACCAGATGTTGTTCGTCGTCGTGACGTTGTGCTGTCATCCGGCTCGGACGACTCCGTTTCGTCGGTCTCTCCTGTCGTATACTCTTCCGTGCCTGTGGAGCCAGTGTGTGATGTCGTGGACCTGGATGTTGTAGTCGCTCCCGACGTTGTAGACCTGGAGGTTGTGCTTGAACCAGACGTTGTTCGTCGTCGTGACGTTGTGCTGTCATCCGGCTCGGACGACTCCGTTTCGTCGGTCTCTCCTGTCGTATACTCTTCCGTGCCTGTGGAGCCAGTGTGTGATGTCGTGGATCTGGATGTTGTAGTCGGTCCCGACGTTGTGGACCTGGAGGTTGTGCTTGAACCAGACGTTGTTCGTCGTCGTGACGTTGTGCTGTCATCCGGCTCGGACGACTCCGTTTCGTCGGTCTCTCCTGTCGTATACTCTTCCGTGCCTGTGGAGCCAGTGTGTGATGTCGTGGACCTGGATGTTGTAGTCGCTCCCGACGTTGTAGACCTGGAGGTTGTGCTTGACCCAGACGTTGTTCGTCGTCGTGGCGTTGTGCTATCATCCGGCTCGGACGACTCCGTTTCGTCGGTCTCTCCTGTCGTATACTCTTCAGTATCCGTGGAGCCAGTGTGGGATGTCGTGGACCTGGACGTCGTACTCGGTCCCGAGGTGGTGGACCTGGAGGTTGTGCATGACCCGGATGTTGTTCGTAGTCGTGGTGTTGTGCTATCGTCCGGCTGGGTCGACTCCGTTTCGTCGGTCTGTTCCGTCGTACACTCTTCAGTGCCCGTCGAGCCAGTGTGTGATGTCGTAGACTTGAACGCGGTACTCAATCCAGATATAGTTCGGGATGTTGTGCTTGACCCAGATGTTGTGTTTTGTCGTGACGTTGTGCTCTCATCCGGCCGGGTCCAATCCGTTTCGTCGGTCTCTCCAGTTCCGTTCTCTTCTGTCGTACACTCTTCAGTACCTGTCGAGCGAGTGTGCGATATCGTGGACTTGGAGGTTGTACTCGGTCCTGATGTCGTCGAACTGGTTTTGGAGCTCGAACTAGATGACGTTCTTCGCTGAGTGGTTGTGCTAACGTCGTCAATGGTTGGCTCTGTCTCGTCGGTTTCTCCAGTTTGATTCTGGTCCGTTGTCCACTCCTCAGTACTAGAAGAACCTGTCTGTGAGAATGTGCTCGCTCGCGTAGTCGAGCTAAGTCTCGATGTGGTGCTCGAGCCGGATGAAGCGCGTTGACTGGTCGTGGATACCGTGCTGAATGAAGTACTAGAGGCCGTTTTAGTCGAACTGCTGACAACGCTGCTAAGATCGCAGCACGCCTCTCCGGTAGATTGCTAAAGCAAAATAGAACAGTAGGCAACACTTGCAATAGGTATCTCGCAAAGAGCATATTTGACCAGAGCGTCGCAATTTATATCATTCCAATGTCCAGGTTGGGATGAAAAGAGCATCTAAACTGACGAAGATGCATTTGACAGATGTTAAAAAGCTATTAGTTTTGACAAACCTCGGTGCATTGCTCATCATTCGACGTATTGTCAGGTTGATCTGTCGCCCAGTTACTAAATACTATGCACACATTTGATGCATCCTCACCGATATTGCCAATCCAGTTGGTCCCTCCACATACTGGGGTCGGGCGATGTCTTACCTTCATTATCATAAAGGCCAATCCATAGTTGCTACGATTATTACTTTGCCATCTTTTCTGTCTAACTTACAGATAGGATCGGGTCAGCATTCTCAGCATTTCGAGCTCGTTTTGCATCCTGATGGAAAAGATCTATAATGTTTTGGTGGATCGGGCTTGGTCAGGAGTTGATACCGACGACATTTTGATTTTCGGCTTCACATCTTATGCTACCTAGCCGGGCACGGCAACTGTCTTGTTTGCATAGTTGGTCCGCTTCCCAGAAAGTGCTGTTGACTTCGAGTATCTGAATTATCAAGGGTGTGGTGAATGGCTAGACGTGTCTCACTTTGTAGCATGATCCGTTCATCAGTCTGTACCCAGCCTTCTCATCGCAGATTATTGTTGGATCACAGGGTTTCCGGGTTGTAACTATAAACGTTTGCAAGACGGACGTTAAGTCATACCGATGGGGCTTGGTGTGGTGCGCTCATCAACGCAGACTTGCCCGCTGGTTTGCTAAAATACAACTACCCAACAATGATGTTACAGTACCAGTGGCAGTTCGCAAAGCGCTGCATACATTTTCAGTTCACACGAAACATCGAGCCAATCAGCAGGGTCAAAACACGGCGTTTCAACTAGCATCGCCTGACTCAGTGGGTTAGAGCAAGCGCTAGGGATTCTGTACCTCTGTACACTGTTCGTTGGCGCCATTCGGTTCTGAGCCTCCCCAATATCTGAAATACACACAGTATTCTTTTTGCATTTTGCTGATATTTTAATCCAAAAATCCTTACGTGAAGCCAGTATCCGGATAGCCATCTGCCCATTTTGGAACTTTTTCATGGACATCGTACAGCCCGATCCACATTTGCTAAGCAACCCTGAATCAAAAGCACCGAATCAAAATACCTGCGTAAAGAGATCGTAGGTCTTGTTGATCCGGGATGTCAATTGTTTTGCGTTTCTGATCAGGTCTGAACCAAGCTACTTCGAATTTGGGAGCCTAACCGATTATTCCGATCGCCTCCTCATTACAGCGCATCCGACCCAACGTTGCACACGGATCTAGGGCAGCACATTGCTTCTGCGCGTCCGTGAACGTAGCGTTCACCACGATAATCTTGTAGCAAGATCCGCCGACGTTTGTGAACCCATTCTCCTCACAGCTTTTGGTTGACAGCTAGAAGCCGAAGACTATTCTTTCAGGGAGACAATGGCCTACCGGCTGACATGTTGGGTGTGGCACAGGGTGAGTCGCTAAATATGCATATTTTTTGGTTATTAATTGATTTTGCCTTTTGTTGTAGAAGAAATTGGTGTCGTTGTTGAGATCGAAACTGGAGGCACTGTTGTCGAATCCGTCTTATTACAAGCAGAGCCGCTCGTGGGCTAAATTGGAAAAAGTAAGTGCTCCCCCATTGTGATCTTGGCGTCTATGCAAATTTCACATTACCAAAATCACTTCACACAACGTGGTCAACATCTTCTGATCACAAGAATAATCGTTCCATTGTCCAGCCTTCTGGCACTCGCTATGCAGGAACATCGGGACCATGTCATTTTATTATATCTGATGTCAAAAATACCTCGGTACAGTATTCAGGCCCTCTAAAGTCTGGCTGATTCCGATTCCAGTTCCGAAAACCGTTGCTTTTCCCTGCGCTAACCCAGCTGACCGATGGGGTATGAACGTCTTTCAGACCAATCCACATTTGCTTTAAAATATATATGAATTGTCAGGAGTATGATCACCTTTTGATAGCAATCTGCCAGGGAGGAGTTGTACTTAGCTTGGATAACACTCGAGTTCCGGGCAAACCCTGAATCGAGGTGGTATAAATAGACGCTAAAAACTTACTCAAAATATTCATATTCTCGGCGAGGCACCTTATCTGGCCAATGTGTGAACTGCAGTGATCCCTCTTGCAAATCTCATTCGAGTCCCAGTAATTAGCTTCAGTGACAACAATCTGAAAATCGGTGTTTCTCGATCGGATAAGCCACCACCTTATAGCAAGATCCTGCAATTTCTGTGTAGCCTTGATCCGCCAGTTCTGAGCAGGAATTGATCTGAATCTAATTGATGTATATGATAGGTGAATTACAGCCGGGCAGTTGTGAGCTGTTGTTATAGGTCCCATAGGAGTCGTTGAGGAGGCTCTTTGCTTGGTAGATTGCTGAATTGAGTTTTGTTCGTCCAGGCCTGTTGGCTTACCGACGAAGTTGGCATTCCCGGTGGAGTGGGTGGTGGTCCGCGACTCGCAGTCGAAAATAGGCCATTTGTGATCTTTACTAAAGCGATTTCTCAGATATGCCTAAGATTTTACACGAGGTTGAGTCTCAAAGCTCATCATTTATATCTTATCTTTTTTCCTATTACCTGATGACGTCGGCGGTCGGTGTGTAACGGTGCTTGACGCGGTGCCTTCAAAGAAATGTCGCGAGTTAAGGAAATCCTACAGTTTGCATATGGATCTGGTGGGCTACCGGTGTCGTTCCAGCCATGTTGAATACATGCATACCCCTTCTAAAAAGGCTTGGGCCGGAAATGAAGGAAGATAATCCAGAGAACTAAGGATGATCACCGTGCTAATTACCTCAACCTTCTCTTTCTTGGTCCCATTTCCACATGTCGTCACCGGAAACGGGCAAATATCGCCACCGCAAGGTTTCCAACGATATTCATCTCCGCTAAATCGAATCAGAAAGTTGTAAAAACATTAGAAAGCTCGTTGCAAAAATCACCCACTCGCAGGGGCAATTTCTAGCAGCCGATAGGCAGGTCCGTTGTTGCACTTGCTGCTCATAAAATCCGCATGAGGGAATGACTTTCCATGCCGGTGCACCGTCGGGAACGTAGTAGACGACTCTCGGACAGTCGCCGACATCGGTCCAGTTGCTCCATGTGCCTAATCAAAGCGTCAAACGTCACTTTCAAAAGCGGGTCAGGGATCAACCAACAAAGATCCCCTAGAGATTTTTTCAAGTTTAAAATCTTACCTCCCACTGGACATGGACAGCTTGGACTTCGAACTAAATAACCCTGTCATCTCATACGGAGTTGCGACCTACCGCACTCTGCATCATTGGCGTACGGATCAGTTACCGGAACCGGGTCAGGCTGAGGATCCGGGCCGCAACTATCGCCTTGTAGACTAAAATATTCAATTTATAGGTCATAAAATGAGCTAGCGGCTAGAATATTTTATTTCAAAGCTTAGAACCTGAACGGGGCACAGCAAACGGCTGTGCCAATGCCAGAACACATTGTCTTGTTGCACGGCACTTGTCTAACCGCATCGCTGAACGACAATATTGAGTAGATCCTTAGGACTCAAACCCGATGCAGGGACAACCCCGATCAATCGACAGACATCGCCGAAGTTGCACTTGACGCCCACAGTAACCACACGTGTATTTGTTTTCCAGCACACGCGACAACTCGGTGATTGGAGCCGAAGTGATATTGTACCAGGAGCGAGCCGTACAGTCTCCAACATCCTCCCAGGCACCCCAATACCCGGCATTATCAGGCCCACAGTTGCAACGAGTGCCTAGAAAGATGCCTTACTTTATTCCACTCGAGACCTAAGCGCATAGTTAGCTCTCTTGGTTCTGGACTGTTAGCGGGGGGGTTAGCAGGGGGAAACGACTTTTTGTTTTTCTGCCTATAGCTATACCTGTTGATGATATTTTAGGTATTTTTAACGTTTTTAGTAGTTTTTGATTGCTAGAAAGTTACTAAAAATATTTTGAAAATTAACATTTTTGACCTTTTTGGTGATTTTTGATAATTTTTGACATTTTTCATACATTAATGAAGTATGAAAAATAATAGAAATGAAGAATAATAGAAAAGTGATAACAGCAGAAAATTTGGTTCCCTCCCCCGCTAACAGTCCAGAACCGCTCTCTTTAACACAAACGCATGAGAACGGCCAAATCAAGCAGAGATTCATATCCCAACGAGCTCCCACCTTCAGTTTGTGCAAATCCCGCCACAACCAGCACAGAAAATACGATCCATTTTCTGAGCATGTATCCTTGAATCGCCAGGCGTTCAGGGAAATATGGAATGGAGAGCAAAGGCCCCCAAAATCTTCCAGCCAGCCGGCCACTTCCGGTCCGCAAAACGGGTGCATCTGAATCCCCGATCGGCTATTGTGACGCTCTTCGGCCCGATTTCGTGGAATTTCCGGAAAACCTCGATGCTGCTAGCGCAGTAGTCGTTTTATTTCCCAGCGGGATTGGCTTATTGATTGAAAGCGAGAGATGTTGGCGGGAACAAGTATCAAAATAATTTATCCAAAAATGCATATGAAATTTTCCTAAACCCGTAAAACAACATAAAATTCAAAAACAATAAGAAATACGAAAAAAAATCAGGCCTTTATTCGCGATTGCGGCTGTCTAGGGTGATCGTCACGGGCCCGTCGTTATCCATGTTGACCATCATGTAGGCGGCAAATTTGCCGTCCTTAAAAAACGAGTGTGTATTAAATAGTATGAAACAACCGAACCTGAATGCGCTCTGTTTTATACGATCGACCGAGATGAGCCAAGAACTTCTCGTAGAACTGCGCGGCATCGGCGGGGCTCATCGAATTGTGGAAGTCGACCTTGTTTCCTTTTAACTGGCTATGTAGTGTGAATTGGCTGACGGATAGGATCTTAAAAAGGTATTTTCTTTGTCAATGAATAAACCTCCAGATCCAAGTCCTTGACCGACTTATCCCATTTTTTGCCGTCCTCTGCGTCGAAAAGCCGAAGGTTGACGATCTTGCGTGCGATGAATTCCATGTCTTCTATTTTATCATCACGATGGATGCCGACGAGGACGCAAAGTCCTTTTCCGATCGAGCTGATCTTAAAATCAATGAATCAGCATTTTTACACGGTACTCACCACCTCGCCACCGACAGTAACGCTGGCCTTTGTGACTCGTTGAATTATCGCTTTCATTGCTAAACTGAATATTTTTTGGGCTTAAAATCAGTGAATAGCTGGAAAATTAGATAAGCCCAAGATTAAAAGGTCTTTATAAAACGCTTTCGACGGGTTCGCGGTCACAATAAAAATTTTACAATAAACTCGATCTATCGCCAAACGTCAAAAACGCAAAACTAGCGGAAATTCCTTCTCGTTATTTTTGAAAAAAGAAAAATCCTTCTTTTCAAACATTTTATAAATTGGTACGGGCAGTACTAGTTACGCCCTTGACTCGCGCGGGCGTTACATTCGAACGCCCAGTCCCCATGTCTTCCGGCAAGTTTTCTTTTTCGGTAATTAATATTTTGGGCTACTTTTCCATTTCTGTATAGATTCTTCTATTTTCTATTTGCTATTGAATATATTTTACATTTTCAGGTGTATCATGCCGCGTTCCGTAAAGCGAGGTGGTAAGAAGATCAAGCGGGTCACTAAGAATCTTGGAAATATCGCTAACAAGAAAAAGAAGGCTGAAAAGAATAAGAAAAAGCTGCGTTCCGCCTGGTCAGTTGGTATTTAACTATTGGTTTATTTTTATTTTAGTCATCAGCTAGTGAATGTATGGGACAAGAAGCGAACGTTGGTGCAAAATATTGAAGATTCGGGTTTGGCCTTCGATGTGAATAAGTCGATTCCTCTAAAACAAGATTTTGTGAGTTACTTTAATATTTTGGTGGTGCTAATGCAGTTAGGGGGGGGGGGGCAGTCCGAAATTGGTAGTAAGGGGTTACGAAACGCTCCGCTTAAGCCTAGGCTTAACTTAGCTTTAACTAAGCTTAGCTTAGGCTTAGGCTTAAGCTTAAGCCCAAGCTAAGCTTAACTTGAGCTTTAAATTGCCTTAGGTGGTCAAAATGGGGTCATTTAGGACTAAGCTTAGAGCTAAGCTTAGCTTGGCTCAAGCTAAGCTTAAGCTTCGTTTATAAGAAGCTAAGCCTAGGCTTAGGCTTGGCTTAGCTTTTCCAGAGGCTTCGAGTTTAAAAAACGGCATTTGGAGCGTCTTGTAGTCAAAATCGGGACTGCCCCCCCAAGTGCATTAGCACCATTTTGGTTTATGGTTCTTCGTTTAGAAGCTTGTATTTATGGATTGTTTTTTTTTCAGCGCGTCGGCATTGACCAACTTCCGATGGAGCTTGGAGACGTAGATGAAGCGAAGCAAAAGGGAACTGTCAAAAAACAGCGTGATAGCAAGGTATAGCGGCTTTCTTTTTCTACAACGATCTTTAGAAAATTGCGAAAGTGATTGGTGGCCTGGAAATAGAACGACAGCAACTTGAAAAGAAGCAAGAAGGAAGAAAGCGAACGCTTCTTGACCGGGATGTCCAGTTCTGTATCTATATGTTGGAGCGACATGGTGATGATTATGAGGTGAGTTGTGGAGAGTATTCGTGTCTAGTTTCTTTGGTGTTTAATTCCAAATTTTGGGCATTTTGATACAACTGACGGGTGGCATTTGATTTTTTCTTTTTATATGACCTTCTTTTTTTCAGGCAATGAGTCGCGACAAGAAGAACCTTTTCCAAGAGACGCCCAAGCAGATCCAGAAGAAGCTCAGAATTTACAAGGGGTCGCCATATTACCAGGCACTTGAGACGGTGGATTCGTGATTTTTACAGCAGGTTGTTTCGCTTACTTTGTTGATCGTTGTTTGCATACTTGTTCTGTTTGTACTTCGCATAAAAATTTATTGCCTGAACGTATTGCTAAAAACGGTTTTTAAATATATCGGCGCGCAAAATGACTCGTTCCATGATGATCAATGGAGCTGTATGGGGGGGTGGTAAATTGATTCACAACAACTGAAATCCTCCAGTTTTCTTCGGCACGCAGAGAAAACGGAAAATGCGAGAGAGTGGAATGATAGCGATATGCAGGATCATAGGAGCACCGTCATACGGCCTCTCGAGGGGACCGAACGATTTTATTTTATCTCCACAATGGGCGTGTAATATCATAAGGCAGAGCAAAGGAAAGGAAGGTCGACTAAACCGTGCTCCGACGCACCATATCTCGCTTCTCTCCTAGCTAGCCGAACTTTTGGACCGGAGTCTTGAACTTTTATGGGGGTACTAAATTTGAAAACGATGTTATAAAGAAAATACTGATCTTCATCGAGACCTATACGGCATTAATACGGGGGCGAATCGTGCATGATCACACCTGAGCAAGGTTTTCAGAGATTTGCGGCTGCCCGGCGGTCTTCACATCATTCCGGCCTTCTGTAGATTCTTTTGAATAATAGTATCGATGACGCTCGAAATGACGAGTTGCACCTGGAATGCGACAAAAATGATGCTTATGCGACTGAGCGTGCCTGATTCGTATCAGTAGCGCAGGTCTCGTGCATGTAGATCGTTTTCTTATCGGGATTCAAGTTCAGCTCCGCGAACTTTTGTTTGATGAAATTCACAGCTTCTTCATAATTTTGCCCTCCTAAATTGGTTTTTGATAGTAGTTTAGTTAGTTGGTAGTCTTTTTAGGAGCGGGTTTTCACTTTTTACTAAAACGCGCTGGGGCTCACCTTCATAATCCGGGAAAGCGGTAGTAATGTTGACGCGTTGAATTTTTTCCATGAACAAATCTTTCTTGTTCATGAACAAAATCATGGCGGTGTTGATGAACCATGTCGAATTACAAATGGAGTTGAAGAGTTGCATCGATTCGATCATACGATTCTGGGAAAGGATTTGTGCGACTATTTCTTCTTACCGTGGTCTCGTCTTCGAAAAGCACTTGATCGTATTCGGAGATGGCAGTAATGAAGATGATCGATTCGACGTTGTCAAAAGCGTGAATCCACTTTCTGCGCTCGGAACGTTGACCACCGACGTCGAATACGCTAAAGGATTGTGCTTTTTATTTGAAAGTAATATGTCTATCGTTCTTTCTTTATAGAAAACATCTCTGCTTCGCTTACCGGAAGTCGAGATCCTTGATTTTGAACTTCACTTCAACGACACCAGTCGTCGCCACTCGAGAGAAAAGAATGTCCTGATCGTTCGGCCGGAAACCAGGCTCCACGATCCTCTGGCAATTGTCCAAGAAACTAAACATCAACAATTCCTTTAAATTTCAATCAATACTCACTATTTGGCAGAATCGACGAGCTGGTACTCGGCTCGCATCTCGTATGCCTTTTTCACTTTCGGATCATCCCACAGTTGCTGAAAATTCGGTTTTTTAATTCAAACTACGGGCCTACTTGGATTGCGGCTGCCACATCGTCCGTTGGTAGATCATTTTCCTGACCCATTTCTTGAACTTTTAGGATCCGCGCTTTTAGCTCCTAAAAAGAATTAATACACTAATTCTTAGACCTACTTCTTTCTCCGGATCATCTAGCGGTATATGGAGTACATTATCCATAGCTTTTAATATTGTACACATGGACGATACAAGATTATTATAAATAATTGCTTTCTTTTCATTAATTTCTTCTTCCGTGAAGCCATTACTATGTAAAATCCTGAAAAATCGGATAATTTCCGGATTTTCCTGGCTTTACTTACTGCATCTGTTTCAGCACGGTTGATTTGCCACATTCTCCAGCGCCTGAAAAAAGGTAATTGGTTGTTTTTAATGTAATAACTTACCGAGGAGTAAAAGTTTAACGATACTACTTCCAGCGCGTTTATCTTGATTTAATTGGCGCTCGATTTCGCGATTTCGTTGCGATTGCTCTTTTTGCTCCTGACTTTGGCAGGAGCCCATCTAAAAAGGCGGTTTTTAGGACACGCTACGCTCACCTGGACGGTTTTGCCTCTCGTCTAAAGTAGATGAATCGATAGAGGTGGAGCGATAGGCTCGAATTGAAGAAGTCTACTGAAAGCAGCCGCTGACACGCCAGTCCGTTCAGAAGCTGTAATCCATCCAACACAATTGACCGCACCGGGCCCTGTACCTGAAAGCGAGGTGTCTGATACTCGGGCTATACATCCGATTCATTAACGGATTATCGCAGAAATTGGCACGATGAGGTTCGGATCGGCTGAAAGCCAAAGGGGCCGGGGATAATGAGTGATTTTGAACAATTGAATGGTGCTCTGACTGGACCTTGCCGACTGACGGACACCCCCATTTTAATTAAAGGCGTTAGGAACGCACACCAAGCTCTACCCCCTACCCTAGACACCCATCTCTCTACGAAATGTTGCAAAGCGAAATTGCGAATCAAGCTGATCCAAGATTGTGAAACAAACGGGGATCCGCAAAGGGCGGATTTAATTGAAAAAGTCGTATTTTGACTCTCTACGGTTGGCCCCCCCCCCCCCGGGCGCGCGCGTGAGGTCTCTTTTTTACCCTGGCTGTGCCGGTGAAGGGGATAATTGGCCGGTGAAAACTCATTAAGCCCTCCGTCGGCCCGGGGTGTGGCCATAGCCAAAGGAGGTGTGCCGAGGGTCGGGCAATCGAGGCGCAAAGAAATCGCCGCCGTCGCGCCACACTTTTAATTTCTAAAACGGGGAAACGGAAGTGGGATACGTCAGTTTTTATGGGGTAGGAAATTAAGGCGGGGCTTGTGGAGCTGTAGAAAGACTTAACGCTCCGTTATATTGCTACGTATACACCTATTTACACCGAGACGTTAGAGCGAAGAGAGAGATCAAAATGTTGATAGGTTCTACGTACCAATGCCTAATCTTTCTCTTTAAAGGGCCCCTAAAGGGTAAATAGTTCCTTAACCTGTAGGATTGATCAGGGTGAACAAAAATGAATGAAGATCGCAAAGAGATATGGAGGTGTTTTCGTGCTAGGAGCGCGTGTGTGGTGGCCCGTTGGGAATTTCCCTCGCCTTCAAATTGGCTCATTATGATTTTTCGAGCTTTGGCATCGATACGAGTCGAGGTGGGGGCGAGTTGGCTAATGAGTTGGGTGGGGGCCATTCACGGGGGCTCGGTGGACGAGTTGGGATTGTTGGGGGTTAATGGTTAGTTTGGTAATGTTGGATAGGATTAGTTTTTATGGTTTTAAAAAATGCGAATCAGCAAGCAGAGATTGAGGTAAAGTATGAAATTTCCAGCAGCATACTGGAAGCTTTTTAGTTATTAAAAGAGCGCATAATCCGATTGGTGATTTTAATCGCATCAGAAAATTAAGAGATGTCACTATGTCAAAAGTCACAGCTCGGAAAAAATGAAGGATACATTTAACCGTAAATTGCAATTTTTTATCTGCTCATGTGACCGGCAACTTATTTTGAAATAATGACTTTTCCAAGTTCGTAAAATCAAAAAACAAATCCCTTCATCCCCTTATTTTTGCGATCGGCACTGACGGTTTTGCGTGGGCGCCCAGCTTTACGGAATCCATGTCGAAAGATCCCCCATCGGCTCCCACCAAGCCCCCCGGACACCCCTCGGAGGCGAGGCCCAGCTACAATTTTCTTGGCAACCGTTTTTGGTGTGGGAATTTCCCCTCCTCGTCGTCCACCAACCACCCACCCCGACCGTCAGTATCCGTTGTTAGGGGGATCGTGGGGGGCAAACAATTTCAGGGCGGCTCCGCCCGAATAAATTTGATTCGAACGAGCGGTCGGTTTTCAGGGGTTGGAAATCTTTGTGGAAATCGGGGATCGATCAACGGGGTTGAATTTGGTGGAAGTGCGGGGATGACGTGAATGGGCTCGGTGGTAGTGACGGAAAACCGAAAAAGTTGTTGTGGTTTTTGAAGAGTTGTATGTTGGCGTGAAAGTATGAGTCAAGTCGATTTTTGGGTGGGGCTTAGAAAGGGATTGTGAAGTTCAGAAGAAGTGAACTCAACCTACTTGAATTGGAGCCTATATGAAAAGCCAAGAGAAAGTTTCGATCAGAATGGGGCACGTTATCTAATAGTAAGGTACAGACCCCGTTCTCGATCATCTCGTTTACAAATTTCTCAAAATTTTGTAAATCCTTACAGGGCGACGGTTAAGATTAAAATAGAGCTTTGCGATTTGAAATAGCTAGTTCGATAAAACATGAGATGCTTAGCGTTCCATCTTTCAAGTTGCTGTACGTATACAATAACGGTCTTCGATAAAATTCACTTTTGCAGCGATTTTTCCCATTTTTCGCTTGGGTTAACGAAAAATGAATTTTCTCAAACACAGATATCCTTCGAAGTTTTCGAAAATTAGGTTTTGTTTAAAATTTCAAATTCTGGCGATGAGCTGTGTAGAATCGTAAACTCCATCTTCACGTATAACCATAACAGTTAAGGCAACTTTGAAGACTAAACAATCAATAGTACTTAAAGAAATCAGCAAGCAAAAAAACTCCAAGAAGTTGTTTTTATGACTAGCCAGCATCACGGGGGAAAACCCACGAAGCCGGTTACACCGTAATTGGCAAGTCGGTCTTTCCCCCCACCGGTGAGCAACCTGTAATTTCCAGGCGGTCACATCATTTTTTGGCGCAAGACGAGCTTATTCTTGAGAACAGTGAATGAAACAAATCGGGGATATGGTATTTGAAGGTATGTGGATGGGGTGCGTCGTGGTAGGTAGGGCTGATTGAGGTAAGGGATAGGGGACGGGGGGGGTTGGGTTTCCGGGTAAGTTGCCAAGAGTAACACCACGGCCATTCGCTGGGTCCTAATTGGAGCGACTACAGGCAATGGAGGGGGGACTGGGGCGGGTTGTGAGAAGGCCCGATATGTGTGGGTATGGGCCAAGCGGCGCTCGGTGTAATTGTGAAAATAAGTCAGGGAGTCAGAAGGGATCGATTGCTGGGGCTTTACTTTTTCCTGGGATTGTGGAGTGAGGTGTGGAGGCTTCAGGGACCCAGGTGACGATGATTGGAGCAGGTGACTTGAAGGGCTTTGGGGGGTTGAAATGGATTATTGTGTTGATGGTCACGGGGCTGGTTGACATGCAAGGTTGTATACAAAACCGGGTTGTTTTAAATGGATGGGTAAGTTGAGGAAAAATAGCTGACGACCGTATCAAACTGCCAAAAATATTGGGTTTCGACCCAAAAATGGCCGGTTTGTTCTACGAATTTTCGACTTTTTCAAAACGTTTTAGATAGTTTTTTGCTGATATATATATTTTTTTTGCGAAAATTAGGGTTATCGAAAACTTGCTATTAAATTTACTAGAGCTTTCTAGCCTTATACAATGCATAAAATGATATTACTAAATTTCAAAGATAATATCATGGTAGCTGAGGATCCGGGTAATTTAAAGTGCGTTTTTAATTTTATAAAATTCAGGATGACCGTTTTGTAAAAAATAAGCCTGGTCTACAATACAGCTTTTTATCGAATGAGCCTGTGTATCTCCGTGTGACTCGAAAAAGCACTTATGCTGAGAATTGAATTTCAGCTTGGATCTTCTAATCGATACGGCTACGACTTGCTCCTATAAACGTCACAAAAATCTTAATGATCGGCCCCATTCGTAGAATAGGCGACTTCAGAACTAATAAACGAGAACCCCCTCTAGAGAAGGCATGTGGTCCTGGAGGATCAGCGATAATCCAACCCACCTCCCTTTTGATCCATTTTCAATGGGCCCTATAGAATAGAGGAATATACAATAGGGCAGACCACAAGCAAGAAGAAGAGGGGCCCCTGAAGTCAGCCTGGCCATGATTTCCGGCGCTGCGGCCACGGATTTTCCGGTGACTGACTAACAACGAAAACGCATTAAAATCAGCCAACAGGACGCGTTGCACAGGTTGTACGGGGAAAGGGTTTTTCAAAACTACCAAATTTGATGTGTCCACCTTTTCGCATCACTTTCATAATAACCCCCTATCCAAAAGCGTTGCCGCTAAATTAAAAACCCCCTAAAATACCTGGGACTACAGAAAAATGATCGGGGACCCCGGGTAATTAGCGTAGCGGCTAATAATATGGTATTGCAGGGGGTAGTGGAAAAAGTAGCAGGGTCCGATTGGGCAGTGTATCTTAAGGCCTCGGCGCGTACATTATAGATGGGGATTTGTAAAATGGGGAATGCTGTGGAAAGGGGGAGGGGGTGTATTTCGGAAAGCACCTGTTCTCAGGGCAATGACGTCCGTGGCAATGCTTTCTTAAAATTCGATTAAGTGGCCGTATGATTGGATCTAGTTGGGGAGGGGGTTGTGGTGGTTAGGATTTCGGTTAAGATACATTGAATATATACAATAGAGGTATCGATCTGGTGTTAATCACCAAGAATTAAAGGGACGGAGAAGGGTGTCCGCGAATCGCAACACTGAAGAAATTGTCAATTTTTAATTATTTTTCCTTGATTGCCATGCCTTGCCAGACCCATTAAAAAAATAATCTAGAAATCACTTTGTTGACTTGCACGAAATTCCTAACATCAACGAATGAATGAAATTGAAGAGCACCAGACGTTTTTGAGACCCCGCACACAAATTGGTGCTACGGTATCTCCCTAATGAAACCGACTGCTGACCGTCTAAGGCCGACCTCTCCGTTAATTAATACCCCAGGGATTTTTCGACCAACTTTTTCGCCTACACGGTTTTTTGATCGGGGCGAAGTTCGCGAAAATACGGCCCCCCGAAATGACGGTATGGCACGTAGCCGAGAGACTGAAGTGCGAAATGTTTTTTTTTTGCTTCGAAACTGTTCAGTCTAGGGGCAGAACAAGAGTTAGTCTTCTAGGATAGCAAGATGATCTAGAAGCCTAGCAGTAAGCTTCGCCCCCGTGCCCCTAGGCCAAGCGGTACAAAGGGGAAGTGCCGATTTCACACAGGTTAATTGGCATTTCGCCACCGGCCCGCTTCGGGCCCTGCCGCTACCAGCACCCCCAGCCCGAAATTGGCACATACGACCGAAATCCATATCCCCAATGCCTGGGCCGATGGGGAGGAAGGATGGTGGGAAAACACGAGTAAGGTAGTCGGTGCAGAATTTGCGAGCAAAGGTTTTGAAATAGAAATAGAGTAAAAAGGGTGGGTGTCGAGTAATTATTACAAGAAATCGTGGAGTGGGCCCTGGCTATCCTGGGAAAACAGGAAAGTCCGGGATAAGCCTATTGACAGTGAGGGAAATAAAAAAATCGTTAATTTAGGGCGGGATCTATCAAACTGCCACTTACAAGTGCAGTTAAAGTCCAAGCACCTCTGCCAACTAGCCCGATCCACAATAATTTATCACGTACATAAATCATTCATAACATTTTGTATGAAATTGCATCAAAAACAAATCGTTTATATTGCCATTTGGAAAGTTGTGTAGCTCTGCGTCCAGTTGCGGGTGTATCCCTGAAAAAGAGCTCTCCGTACTTGTCGTCCATTTGCTTTAAGGTACATTTTTACAAGCTTTTTCGGTCGTAATTTTCTTCGAAATCGCCGTCCCCGGGGATAATTGTGCGCCGGCGGCTGGGTGGATTGTAGTTTTTCCCCGTCGAAATCAAAAAATCAGCTTTTTAATCTGGATTCTGGGTAAATTTTGCGTCTCTCGGTTCTCGTGTTCTTGTGGGGGGTCCTTGGGGGGTTTTCAAGAAATTCAGGGATGTGGTCGCGTCGCGGAGGGAATGGCTACGGTGAAGGCATGGGAAGGGAGCAGGGAGGCATAACCTAGGAGCACCGGTTGTCATGAGCACCAGCAAGACAGGACAGCAATCAAGACACCACAACCCGGGAGAAGGGAGAACCTGGAAAACGGGGTAGGGGCGTTATGGTTAAAGGGACTAGAAATTTTTTTCTAAAGAAATTATTAGGTTTCTAGGCTTGTAATTGTGTTTAGACTTAGGCTTAGACTTAAGTTTAGGCTTAAGATTAGGCTTAAGCTTGCGTTTAGGCGTCGGCTTAGGCCTATGTTAGGCCTTGGCTTAGGCTTTGGCTCAGCCTTAGGCTTGATTTTTCGAACGATCGTTTTTAATGGATTTTTTCAACATGAGTTTCGGACAAATTTAACGGATCGTGAAGTTTTGCTACTCTAATGGCTTACCAAATTCACATCATGCCAGCTTTCTGCAAATTTTTTTGTATAATCGTGTCAATGACGCTGGAGATGACGAGTTGCACCTAAAAACGAGTTCAGCATGTCAGTGTCTCAGACCTGATTGGTATCCGTAGCGCACGTCTCGTGCATATACACATTTTTCTTTTCTGGATTCTGATTCAGCTCCCCAAAGCGCAGCTTGATGTAGTGGATGGCTTCTTCGTAGTTTTGACCACCTGGAATTTTTAAGAACTTAAAAAAATACATCTTCTCACCATCATAGTCCGGAAAGGCTGTGGTGATGTTGACGCGCTTGATTTTTTGCGCAAATAAATCCTTCTTGTTCATGAACAAGATCATCGAGGTGTTCATGAACCAGGTGGAGTTGCACACCGAATTGAATAGTTGCATTGATTCAATCATACGGTTCTAGAAACGAAGTGGGTTATAGAGAAAAATATACTATGGATACCGTTTGATCATCTTCAAATAAAACTTGATCGTATTCTGATATAGCTGTGATAAAAATGATGGCCTCGACGTTGTCAAAGCAGTGAATCCATTTTCGGCGTTCGGAACGTTGACCTCCAACATCGAAAACTCTAAACGAATTTTTGGATTGGAAGATCGAATTTTCAGCATTTTGAGTGGATTTTATTTGAATAAGAACAGCTATATTTAAACTGACAAGCCTATATACACTAAATTCCCGTTTTTAGCACCAATTCCAACTAGGAAACCACGTTTTTCACTTCCATAAATCTCTCATATCGCCTTGTCGCCATCAATTTTTTTATCTGGCAGCCGGGCGATGTGTGTTGTGAATGTGGACCACCCCCCACGGCGTCTCAATTTGATCAACGCGAAATACGGGGGGCACCCGCAGCCCTGGCCCGGGTAATTGAGCCACGCGAAACAATAGAAGGCAACGGGGCAAATGGTGAGGTATAGCACACAAAACCCATTGAAAATGGGGGGATTAGCTTTTCACGCGAATGGGGCGAGACGCAGATCCCAGGAGCCGTCGCCACCTTTTAGACTACGGAAATTTGAGGATGGGGGGTCGGGGTCGAAGAGATCGCAAAAGATGGTACTGGGTTGTTAGCGGGGGGCTATATCGGGCCTATTTTATTGTTTCAGCAATTTTTAGCAAATTCCTGGTTTTCCTACTAGTGTTTGATTGTTAAAAAAAGGCACAAAACGATTTTTAGCAACCGTTAAAAGTTGCAAAATTTGGATTAGCTTCACATTGTTCAGTTAAATTCAAGATTTTCAAAAAAGTTTAAGCCATTTCCAAAATTCTATAGATTTTAAAACAGCGTAGATAGCTATATCAATGGTTTTGCTTTTAATATTAAGACGCTACGGGACCAGAAGTCATGGTTAAAACCCCGACCCCCCGTAACAGTCTAGTACCTTCAGGATCACGGAATTCAAATACGGCTGGTCAAAAATGGCAAGCTAGCAGAGTCTTTTGAGGAATTACCTAAAATCCAAATCCTTGATCTTAAATTTGACTTCAACCACTCCGGTGGTGGCCGCCCGGGAGAAGAGAATATCCTGCTCTGTAGGTCGATAGCCCGGCTCGGCTATCCGTTCTATATTATCGAGAAAACTAAAAAATGGTAAGTCTCGTCGAATATAAAATACTATTTCGATGATTCAACCAGCTGATATTCGGCTCGCTGATCATATCCCTGCTGAACTGCTTGATCGGCCCATAATCGCTGGAAAAATGAATTTTATACAATTGAAAACGGTTGCCATTCTTTTCCGAAGAAGAGACTCAAACCTGTAGTGCTTCCGAGAGCTCTGGAGTTATTGGATCAGCTTCTTGCCCCATCTCTTGAATCTTCAAAACCATCAACCGGTCTGCCTAAAGCTAATTTTCAAAATTATGAATCCGCCGATACCTCCAATTCCGGCTTAACATGCAACTTCAAAAGCGCATCCATAGCCTTCAGAATTGTACACATCGACGCGACAGTATTCCCATAGATGATCGACTTTTTCTCATTAATTTCGTCCTCTGTGAAGCCGTTGCTGTGTAGAATTTGCATCTGCTTGAGTACGGTGGATTTTCCACATTCGCCGGCACCTAAGAGATAGGGGTAGATGGTAAAATAGGTAAACCCAACCTAATAGGAGAAGTTTTATCATATTGGCTTTTGCACGACGGTCGGCATTTAGCTGCTTTTCGATTTGGCGATTCCGATCTGCTTGTTCTTTGCCTTCTTTGCTTCCACATCCACCCATTTTCTAAAGATTTTCTGTTTTGTAGAATTTGTATTGTACTAAATTGCGGAATATAGTGATCACGAAATCTTTACTTTCCTTTAAAATCGAATTTTAGCTAAAACTCGCGATAATCATTGCAATAAAATTTGAGAACAAATTGACCATGCGTCGTCAAGAAATTCTGATGCGAAACGTATGTGTGATGGTGGGACTTTCTAGACCAGCTCACCCGCTGCCTTCCTAAACCAACTCCGCGGAATACAAATGAATACAATTCCCAACAGCCTGTGGGGGTGGGTGAATTTCGGAAACTAATGCCTTACTTGCCCATTGCCCGGCTAAACCATGACGATGCCCCTAGTTTAAAATTCTAATTCTGTAAGATAATTTCAAGACAAAGGTCAAATCTGTAGGGAACAGCTTGAAATATGAACGTAGCGTTGTGAGGGCAGGAATGGAAGCGAGGAACCGAGAACAGAGAATGCTAATCAGGGCTCTATTATTCGTCTTATAAGACCGGGGGAGAAGCGTGCGTAAGCTTGAATTTCGAAAGAAAATGAGAACACAAAAAGCGTCCACTAGTCAAAACCTATTTCCGGTGCAAATTTGCATAAACTAGCCTTAAATATTTAAAAATTTATCATTAAACAAATCAGAGAGGCAAAGACACTGAATTATCGGGTGCATTCGCCCTCGAATCTCGAGTTCTTTGGCTGAACTTTGAAGAACTGGTCCCAGAAAATGCCGAGGCGAGACCTGAAATAGAGGTGATTCACAGTAACAAAAAAGGCTCATTTCCTGTGTCTGCTCCAATGCCTTACCTCCAGCCGGTGCCCTTTTGCCGCAAAAAAATCGTGCCCAATATGCTCGATACGGATCGTATAGCCAAAGAATACACAGGTTGCTGCCAATGCCGTGGGATGAAAATATTGTTTCGACCAGACTTATCGAATCTGTAAGATGGCAACGTTATCGAAAATTTTTACAATAGCATCCGATAACATTGGTCAAACGTTGGAACCAAAATATACAGTCACTTTTAACATAAATATTGGATGGAAATTACTCATAGACTACGTCTATTACATAAAAAGCAAAAAACTTGATGAGAGTGGGATTCGAACCCACGCCCCCGGAGGGACTGGTGCCTAAAACCAGCGCCTTAGACCACTCGGCCATCTCACCACCAGTAGGATGGGGGTGTGCCGGGATGAAGAGGCCTCCCCCAATAATCCCCCCGACCGCTCGCACCTGGGTCCAGGTACAAATTGCCGGTTATGAGGAAATATAGCAAAAGAGAGAAGGGCGGCATGAACATCAATGAAACGGCCGTTGTTATCTGGAATTGGAAATGAGAATGAGATGCAAATAAGGCATGAAGATAATTATGTTTTTACCTGGACATTCATCGACATAAAGACACGTTTTTGGAGTTCACGTGCACGTTGGCTTAGGTGGGAGGATTTTAAGTATAGAACATAAGCGGTTGAGCCGAGTACGACAGCTTAAAACGTTTTATGATAAAATTTAAGGTATCATCTGGAGTTGATTAAGCTCAAATACCTTACCCGAGTTAAACGCTGCCGTGAGAAATTGAAAACTCAGCCCGATCAACGCCGTTTTCAACCCATCTATATCTAGTAAAAAACATTCACGATATAGACATATTTCGATGAGGTCTTCAGAATAAATATCCCTAAGTGAGAGACTTTTGAGGAAATCATCTACCTTTCATACCTATAATACTGAATTAATTGGTTTTGCTCTCTATGTGCGTAAAATACTGTCGCTTGCAATACCAAATTAGGCACAATAAAATTGTAGATAATTATCGCATAAAAAGTCCGGTTGGTTACCTAAGATTCAAATTCTTTTGAGGTATTATTGCGTGCAACACCTTCATCCAATAATCCGGCGGAAGGACAGCTTGTTGCCTATACATTATTAATGGCATTACGGTGCATAAATACAATACCATAACAAATAAGCACACATGCTAAACGTATCAAAAATTAAGTAAGAGTTATTTTGCATACCACTTGTGCCCGAATTGGGATTCCTAAAATGCTAAATAAACCGCTGCTCCATAGTCCGACAACGGGCAAAATTGGCACCGGGCCAAGTCCAACACCAAATATTGCCGAAAACGTCATTTCTAATATCTAAATTTTACTGCTTAATTCCCATTGAAATTTTTTCACATTTCGGCTCTATAAATCGTTTAGAATTTTTTTAGAATGGCCACAAAAACGAAATCACAAAAGCGCGGGATTAACAGCTGCTCCTTGCAGGTGAGTTTTTTTGCAACCAAAAATCGTCAATTCCGTAATTTTTCCAAAGCCAATCATAGTCTCTAATGGGGCAAAAGCCAAACATATTATGCGTCATTCACAATCCTTTTAAAACTCACTAAATATAATAATAACCATCGGCTGTATGGTCTCATCGCTATTGGCGTATGCTTGACAATGACGATAATTGAGAGAACGCTAAGAGCCATTGAAACTACTAAAAAAATGCTTTTTACGGTGTAAATACGTCATACTACCTGACGTGATCAAAATTAAAAGCTGATATTTCGGCATCATCGCTTGAAATGCCATTTTCGCGACAATTCCCAGCAGCAGCAGCCTCCGGCATAATCGAATGAAAATTCAGAGTTTTGTGCTTCTTGTTTTGGTGGATCCCATGGGGCGGCTAAAACACAAAAGAAATTGTGAAAAAAGGTTAGGAAAAGGTTGAAAAATAGAAAACAGAGGTTTTCATGAAAATAGAGAAAAATGTTTCTGGGTTGCAAGATTTCAAACACTCAAATTCATTTTAAAGGATCTCGAAAACTGAAAAAAAAAATAATTTTTCGAGCAACCTTTTGCTTACGAAAAAAATTAAAATAATCCTTAGAAAGCTGATGGGGACAATAAATAATTTTTCGAACTATTTAATCAACAAATCCTAACCTCAAAGTCAATTAAATCCTTCCAACGTCGAAGACCCACTCCCGCTATCCTTGATTACACCCCATCTCTGACCCCTTTAAAATGCCCAGCCCTCTTCCCTATAATTAAGCCAAAAAAATCTTTCTAAAGCCCCCGATCTGTACAAACACCCCTGCCATTTCAGCTGCCCACTTGTTGTCATTTCTGCGCCATTCCCGGGGGTCTCTATAATTACAGGACGATGGTTCAACACCGCGGGCCACAATCGTGACTTGTTGCAACTTTTTTAGGGGCCAACTAGCTCGCAAAAATTTATTGAAAGGGTGTGGGATGCTGAGAGTGGGGTACAGATGGATAATTCAGCTTGAACGTAATCGATCTTCTTCGTCGAAACGTTTGTAGTGCATTCGGGTGGCGTTTTCTCTTCCTGGGCCAACGCATTCGGAGAATGGAAGCTTGGCAAAGCCGCTGGCGTAGGTAGGTGGGTCTCTAAAGGTATTCTGGTAAAACCGCAGATACAACCCCTCTTCCCCCCCCCCACACCGACCATCACCGTATCTCGGTCCCTGTCGGTCTACAGGTGTGTAAAGTTGACCAAAATGTTCTTTGAGCCCTGGCGAGTATTTTGATATATTTTTCAAATTTGTACGACAGCGCGTAGTCGAGATACGGTGGTCCGACTGGGGTTTAGCAGTTTTGCTGGTAATCTATTCGTTAAAGAATTGGCATACCTATAGTGATGAATCCACTTCTCGAAGATGGCTTCGAAGCATGTCTCAGTGTCGGAATTCAAGAGGAGTACCTGAAGTCTGGTGAATTACTAAGAATTTTGATGGCCCAGACCCAATCGACGCACCACTGCTGGGACAAGGAAAAGCCGGGCCACCAGAAGAGACCGATGTTGATGACGTCACGCTGTCGGAATCGTAGTTTGAAGTGGTCACGGGCGCCTCGCTCGAAATCATTTCTAAGATATCATTAATACAGAAATATTAAGGCGGTTTTTATATAGCTGTGACTTTAAATTCGTCTGACTAGCAATTTATTAGAATAAAACTTAACCTTCCCGGATTGTCCAACTGAAATGTCTCGCCGTCATGGTGCTGTTCATAGTATAACTAGATTCACGTTTTAATAAATACTATTTAGTTACTACCTTTAAATAAGCAGCAGCATCCGTTCCCGAGCCGATCGCATCACAAGTTTTAATAATTACATCCCACAGCCGAGCGGTCGCTAAAATTATTGGGTTTTTTTTTGCAAAAACTTATAATTGCAAGAATATTACTGGCAATCAAAAACCATTTAGATGACCAATAATCCCGATAGACCGGAAACCAAAAACTCACACAATGTCGTTACAGTACTGTCAACAGTAGCCGGTGTAGTCACTGTAGCAACAGCAACAACAAAATGGAGCCCAAAGAACAGTAGTCGTCTCATTTCGGCGGATTCCCATTCGGAAATGGCGAGGGCTGTGCGTCGGGAGCGCGGCTCCTATTTCCAACGACATCAAAACATATCGCTCCCAGGGGTGCTGTCAATCCGGAGAATGTGACGGATTCGCGGGGTGCAGACTTCGAATATAAAGGGAAGTCGAGGGGTGTTTTGGTTTTGGGAAAAGGTAAGGAAGGGGATAATGGTGGAATGTAATCATTGATGTTTAAAATTGCTTCGAGACTTCTGCAAATCACAGAATTCCGTTTCGATACTTAATTTTTCCGGTATCTTAAATCGGCATAGACTAAAATTGCCGTTAAAACCACAATTTTATCATCCCCCTCCTTCTGCCAGCCTGTCCTCACACTCCCCGACCCCCAAATGCCCTGAGGCTATACCGCAAATCAACTTACCCCATTAGCTGTTTACCTAGCCCGTATTTACCCCTCGGCTTATCCCCCCAACTGCTCAAGGGCGGCTCCGCCTACGGTCAGCTCCCCCCACCCCCCATTTTTTAGCAATCGCGCCCGCCAGCAAAGCGGCCGCTTTGCGAGCGGAAGTCGGCGATCTGGGCGCTTATTTGGGATGTTGAGTATGTTTGCTGATCACTTGTAAGGGTGGGCAGGTAAGCGATATGTGCTCATCGATGTAGAGCAAGAGAACGGAGAGAGAGAGAGAGAGAGCGAGAGAGAAAGAGACGAGGAGAGATCATTTGAGGCAAGCCGCCTTTACCGGATCGTTTACCGGCTACCGTCTACAGCTTGGCTTGTAAAAAGCTCAAAAACGGTATCATTCTCCGGTACACGATTTTTACACCGGAAATAATTATATGAAAAAAATTTATCCCGAATTTTTTATTTTCGCTGAAAATGAGTATGTTTTAAACTAAAACCTGTGTATTTTATCTTCTAAAAACTTATCAAGATGACCAAAATGTCGTCAACCACTGCCCCAAAAAGCAAAAGTTTGATGAGAGTGGGGTTCGAACCCACGCCCCCGGAGGGACTGGTGCCTAAAACCAGCGCCTTAGACCACTCGGCCATCTCACCGTCAAGATCGGGGGCTGTGCGGCGGTGATCCCGCGGGCTTGGGCGGACCGCCGCTTCAGCACCAGAATTCTAAAAATTTATTCATATTTGATTTAAGCTAATTTTTTAGCTTATTTATTTCTTTCGCTTGACATACTATCAGAGCGTGAAATACATAATGTCGGTGTCAAATTTTAACCTAAAAACTGCTCCGTAAAATGTCGACTTTATGAAATTTGGGCATTATGAAGTTACTTTAAGTAATGCAAGTTAGTAATAACAGTAATATGAGTTATCTAAGTTTCGAGATTCTGGTTTTTCCCATCTTCTTCCGCATCCATTTAGCAGTAACCCATCTTCCCGCAAAACCCAATTATCACCAACCCACTCGAAATGTTTTGCGGTCCGACAAATTGGAATCGAAGGGCAACACCAATTCAAATGATGTCCACCAGGCTGCCTAGGGCCTCCCGGGATATTAATTCGATGATCGTCTCCTGGGGGTGAAGATCTTCAGCCTCTTGAAGAGCCCGGCAATCCACTTGAAGGCAGCTGTCCCTGCGGCCAGGGGGATCGGGGGATGTGGAGTCGAACCTTGGCCATCCGTTCTTCACAGCAGACACCTGCCGATTGCGCCACGGTCATCCTATGGCTTCTGAAGGAGGGAAAGGGGGATTGGGATTGATTGGGCGAGGATGGCTTTGATAAGCCGATGGTTACGGTGGCTAAGGAGTGGAGGGTACTGTAGGCTGGTTTGGATTTTAAGGTATGTGAGTCCGTTATTAGGTTTGGAATGGATTTGATATGCATCTTGGGTTTTAAAAAGCTGCGATTTCGATTTCTTTTATAGACCGGACAAACTTAATTTCAATAAAAGAGTTATTTTAGCTATTTTTTAATCGCGGCATCAAAATTCGGAAGAACCGTTGAAATCGAATTTTATATATTACCGTACCCCTAGAAGTATTTTCCATATGTTAACGGATGACGATTGTTCGACGTGTCGGAATCAGAAATGGCCTCGGGGCGGGAATGGCGGCTGATGGCTGAAGGGTTCTCGACTTTTCCCTCAAGGTGTTCACAAGTGCCCTGATCCGATTTGTTCCCCGCGCCCCCCTTCCCCCCCCTTCCCCTCAGGCGACAAACCACCGGCTTCTCCGGTTTCTAATCCTTTTAGCAACCAGATTGTCGGCGATTTCGGGGAGGTGGGAAAACATGGGAGCTCTTAAATTTGGAAGGTAAGTTAAAAATTGTGGATTTTTAAGAGAATTGGAGTTAACCGCCTATAGACAAGAAGATCCTATACTTTTAACTATCTTAAAGGGACCGGCAAGGCAGATTATGGATAGGAGCGCCTAGATACTAAACTGTTAGCGAGGGGGGGGGTGGGATTTTTAGCGGCGGACATCCTAATTTTTCCCAGTAATCCCGTACGGTTCTGTAACGGAATATAAATTTCCTATAAAATTTTCGATAGTTTTATATATCAAAAGTTTATAAAAATGATACATTTTTGAGTTTTGGGTGAAAAATTCATGAAAATAGCAAAAAATCAAAATTTTCGAATTTTCCCAAATTTTTTGGATCTTTTTATAAATTTCTGGAAATCATAAAACTATTAAAACAAAAACAAAAAACACTATGTATTTTTCAGGAGGTATAGGTGGTACTGCGGAAGTCCCCCTCCCCCCCGGCTAACGGTCCAGTACCTACAGGTTTGCTATGGAATGCGATGAGTCTGTTTTTTATCTATTTCTAAAGTGTCGTAATCAATTAAGAAAGAACCATAAATGACTAAATTCATATAGAATGTATAATAAGGCCATAATAATCCCTTTAAACCCCCTTGTACCGATCCAGGTATCAATCAGAAAACGATCGTTCTCATGCCAGACGCTCATTAACTACCTAACACCATCCCGTCAATAAGCGGCAACTTTTCACCTTTACACCACCCTCACAATGCCAATATTATTTTTGACAGATTATTATCGAATTGAGAGGGGGGATAATTGGAGGGCCATCCTGCCCCTCCTTACAGTTCACAAATCCCCCCTTCTCTTCTTCTTCTATCCAATACACTGCACTGCAGGGTGCCAAGCTGACGCCACGATTGCCTCCGGGCACAAAATCGGGGCCCCGTGGCTCAACATTTCGGTTTTTGAAGGAGTTTTTTTTATAGATTTTTTACAAATTAACCACATTCATATTAAGACTTCTAAATACAATTTTCGTATTTACGTAAATGTTATTTTCGAAGCGTCTGAAAATGGTACCAACAAATATTATTTGCTTACTAACGAGAAGTGGTCGCCAAGCGTTGCAAAAATTGTTCTAGAAATTATCAAGACTTGCGCGTTAAGATGCAAATTCAACGCCAAAAACCAATTTCAATTTTATTTCATTAATAGCTAGTTGGAATATTTTACAGCATTTTATTAGGAGCTAATTAGAATAACATTAATAGCTATTTTGACTGTTGATCTGCCTTAATAGGAAAACGTCAAATGTTTGTATAGTAGGTTTTTGTTCTCAAATTTCTAAAAAAATTCTGTATGCTAATTTTTGAGAATTTAATAGTCATTTAGCATAGCATTTTTAATCCTTCAAGGTATCGACACGTTTACTAAATCACCCATTTCCTACTGTGCACACGAATAGCCTCCCCGCTGCGCCATTGACACCCCTATAAATATACACAACACACGATATGACACCTTGTCAACCCTCGATCAATTGGCATCGATACAAAACAGGTATCAGCGCTCTAAAAATCATATAGTTTCTCGGTTAAGAAATCACGAAACACGAGAAGGCGAAATATCGGCAACCCCAAAGCGTGTGACAGCCATTGTTCTCGGCTTCCTGTCATTGCCCGGGGAATTTTGGCAATTGGCTACTACAAATATCCGATCCGTACTTCAGAAATGCCGACATGCCTCGGGCACTTTCCCGGTTGACTCCCGGATTTGCCAGCCTTGCCGGAGGAAAAATTGGACAGGTGGTCGAGGTATCCTTGTTCATTGTTAGAACATCTTAAAATTAGCATTTTGATTTCTTTCTCCGAACTATTTAAATAAATAAACACACTTATTTAATAGAAATGTTGTGATATTTGTTTGGGATTAATGTGGTCTTAGTTTAAAAAAATTGGCATAGAATTGTGAATTTCTGGAAAGTCCTTAATTGTGATCCCTCATTCTGTTTAATTTTCTGGCGGTAAAAGAACTGGGGTAGTGGTAGTGAAAATTACAAAAATTAGCTTTCTAGTTTTAGCTATATTTTGTGCATCATCTTGATTGGAGAATTTGCATAAACGTATCACGTATTTACGGTTTTCGAGCTCCTCATAGCGCAAAATGCTTGCAACCTAATCAACTATCGAATTTTTTAAGTTAAAACTCCGGAGTTTTCACCTAGTGGAGCTAGCGGAACGCCGATATCTCCTCCCAAAAAGCGTAAAGGTGCGAATGCCCATATGCAAATAAACCTCTGAAATCCCCAAAAGCACCGCCACCTGCCCGGGGCAAAACCACCCTCGAGATGACCGGATTCAATTTGTCACATTGAGATGAAGAACGGTAAGGGTAGGATGGAATGGAGAGGGCAGATGGACGAATGGCCATCGGCACTTCCGGGGAGGGGTCCATCCGCTCTTCGGTTAAAAGACACCGAAAAGACACCGACAGCCATAGAAAACAATAGGGAGATGAGGCCGGGGGATGTGACCCTTGGAGGCAACTGTCGAATCAAGTACCTTTACAATCCCTTTAATGGAGTTGTGTTGGGGTGGAGGAGGTGTTTTTGTAAGGAGAGTAGACTAGTTGAGGTGGGTGTAAGGGTATACAAAATGTTATTTGTTATTTTTCGGATTTCTGTAGAATTTTTGACCTTCTTGCACTTGATGCTATTGTCAGGGCTGCTAAACGTTTAGAGAAGCCTATCGTACTGAGTATCAATTCAAGGCGTCTTTTTATAAGTGGTTTATACACAATTCTAACCAGTTCCGTTAGTCGAAATTTGCTTTCTTGATTCTGTAGTTTAGATGTTGAGCAAGAGGCCATAAAAATACCGAATTTTCGTTTCATCGATTTTTCAAGACGTCCGAACCGTTTGGAAAAGCACCTATTGAGCATCAGCTTAAAATACCCTAAGCCCATTTCCAAAACCCAACCGTTTCTCTAAAACGGGATATCTACCACCCCGAAGGCTAATTTGAAGTACCCCCCACCCGTGGCACGTTGTCTTGAAAAGAAGAACCAGTCCCTCTGCCTCTGTTCTTCTCCCCATCCTCACCTCACACTCCTCTTCACGTGAGAATTTCGGCAAGGTGCATAATAGAGAAGACAGCAGCCCCAGCAAACTGCCGGCCCGCCCGAGCTGTGCCCTAGACGAATCCACACGCTTTCGATTTCGAAGCGGTGGGGGCATTGAAAAAAAGAGGCAAACAAACCTTGTCGATCGAGGAAGTGCTCGACGAGGTGTGGAGGCTGTACTTCAACGGAACAAAGGCATAATGTTGTATGCACTATTTTGTAAGGTATTAATTCGGCTTTTAAATCATATACTAAACGGAAAAGATGGGTGGAATTGAAATTCACAGCCGCAATCGAAATCCGAGTATTTTCAGAAAAATCGGGCTCCAGCGCCTTTTAGCGCGTGGTCGTTTTGGTAATAATGGAGTTTTGCTGACAGAATTGATTAGATAGAGCTTGAAATTTTGGGCACGACCTATTAAAAAACATTGTTGAACGAATCTGGGTTGACCGGAAAAATCCCGCAGGAAAAGCCAATTTTGGCAGTTTTTTGCCGACATTTAACAAAATATCAGCGGCTAAAAGTTATTTCTGTAAAGCCGATATCGTCCAACAGTTTTTAAATCTGGTATTGTTTTAAGAATTCCAACCTCTATTTAATGAGCTTTGCTACAGCGTAAAACCGGCTAAAAAATCGCGATTTCTTGGAAACGAGTCCCTGTCATATCAGGCTTTTTTAGCTTAAACCTCATCATTCCCTTTTATCTAAGCTTCAGACGTGTCATTAGTGCGTACTCGTAACTATGAATTTTTTAAAAATAAGTTACCACCTCGAAATCAATCATTTTAACACCTCCTCCACTTCCGGTCAGCTGTCACAAAACCCTTCCCCCTTCATGCCCTTCCTCCCCCATAAGTACCAATCCACTTCCGATGCTTGCCACCTCATTCCGAAGCTCATTTCAGGGGTGCTTAAAGGGAGAAGGGTGTGATTACCCCTCTCTTCCCCCTGATTCTCCCTCTACCGTCTCTCCCCCTCCACTGGGCGTGTCCCCGCTCCACCATTGGCCACAACCCCCCTATCGTGTGGGCGGGGCTTGTTCGTGGTGGGCGGTCTAGGGTCTATGTTCTAGAGGTTGGAGTGATCTACAGTCCCGGGTCGAGGGCCCTTCTGCTCAAGGCCCTCCTCTCCTGCTGCTCCTTGTCCTCTTCTGGTTGGTGCCCTTCTCCACATCCTCACTCACATCTTCAACCACCCCAGCTAACGGCCGTACGGCCCAGGGCCCAGCTACGATCTGTGCGTATCCCTTTAAAGGATAGGTGTGGAGATTGCTGAATGGTAGTTGGAAGTGGTGATTGAGATTTTTGTGAGATGGCACCAATGAGGACCGGAGTGGCAGGTGGGTTGATTTTTGTATATTTTGCTTCGTTCTCGGTTTCCGCTTTTTAGCGTTTAATCAGTGGCTTAGGATTTGTTAAAATACGTCTTTTTCTTATTTGGTTTCTACTTTTAAAACTCATGCTCAAAATGTCTACAATGAATTTTGCAGCACCAGTTAATTTTGAGCCGATCTTCACGATCGTGATCAAGCCCTCATGCGCTTAGCTATCAATTTTTCCTAAAACTGTTGCTCATACTCCTCTTGAACAACAACCCCTTCAGCTTGCTCAAAATGTCCACACCTCCGACGACGACAACCCTCGGCGAAGAAGCGACCCCCTCGAATCCAGCTGGCTCGTTTCCGATTTCCGCTCAAAGCCAGCTGAACCCATATTTTTCCACGTTTCCCTATGGCTACCAGACCGCGCCTGAATTTTCTACGTAAGTTGAGGATTTTAGGGAATTGGTTATAACTAAATTATTTTTGGAAATTTTTAATGCAAATTTTGTAGATTCGGTTACCTCCCGGGGACTGCCACCTCTACAGCCGCTTGGCATACACCTCAAAACCCCCATGTTGCATGTAAGTTTTTGTAAAAGTTGAGCCAGTTACCGTAAGGTTGCGGATATAGCTCATGTTCACGCTCATGCTCATTATGTGTACAGTTCGTAAATTGACGAATCTGGTTTTTCGGTTTTTGCAAAAGCCCGGTACACCTTTTCGCGTATGATTTCTAGCAGTACGACATCAATAATCCCAAAACCATAGCGAACTCTCACGCTAACGTACCCTCTTCAATCCCAAAAATACCCATCCCCAAAGCCAGACACGCGTTGTTTTTACCACCAGCTTTTTACCCGTCATGGATACCGTGGTAGTGGTCTTCTTTCTGGTGTGCACGCGTAAATTGGCGTTGGCTGCTGGGATGTGCGTATGGGCGCAATTTTGCGGACAATTTGGGCTCGAAGACGGGACGGTGCCTGCCCGACACACACGCGTGTTTTCTCCTTGCGCCTCTTGCTCACCCCCCTCTTGCTCACCAACAAAATTGGCGACGGTTTGCCGGGGGTTTCGTGGGATTTTTGACGGGAGACTGGTGAGAGGATTGAGGCAAGTTTTAGGGGATTTTTGGTGAATTATCGATGGGCTGCTCGTTTTTTGACGCCCTTTAAAACAAAGAAACCCTTGATTTTGAATCACAGAGTATTTTTTTTCTAGCGGATTTTCCAAGATTTTAATGGCTTCAAAAATCAAATAGTACTTTGAATTTTGCAAAAAAATGTGTTTATAGAGCTACTGTAGTTTTTTTACTTTGACGTATCTACGCTAGTTTTGCTTATTTTTAAAAGGACATAAATCACAAAGGTTTGGTGGCGATATCGATTTTTTCGAAAATTTTTATGGTTAAAATACGCGCCTTAAAGAATGATTTTTAATGTAAGAAAGCCGAATGATTTTATAGCCTGAATTTATAAGTTTTTAAACATTTTTCGGATGACACCACTCCCTTAACTTCCCTAAAACCACCCAAAATCCACACATTCCATTTTCTAGACCTCCTAGGTCTTAGAGAAGATCCATTTGTAGTTGTGGCTGTGGGTGTTTGGAGGAAGACTGGGTTGGCGTGTGAAGTGGGTGAGACGTGGGACCGTTGGGCATCAGGGATTGGATTGGGAAGGAGGGGGCTGTGGGTACGAAGGGCCACAGATGACGATTTCTATTGTCTTTGCACATGGCCCATCTTAACTATGGCATCGGATACGGTAGTGTGGAATTAGGATGGAAAGAACAAGAAATAGAGTTATAATGGAACACTAAAGCACTACGATACGCCCCAAAATACGTTTTACGAAACTTTAAGCGTATGCAAAAGTTAAGTCAAACCGAATTTTAAGCTAATTTTTATTCAAGCCAACGAAGCTTAAGTTAGGCCAAGTTAGGCTTCTTGTAAGATAAGCCTGAAATCACCCGTCCTTTGGGTTTTTAGCGATGATTCAAGCTAATACAAACCACTCTTGAGCTTAGGCATAAGTCGAAGCTTAAGCGAAGCATACTTGCTAGACTAAGCTTAACCAAAAACCCAAGTACCTTAAACGGAGCGTCTCGTAGTGTTTTACCTCTAACTCAAGTCGTAGCATCAACTTAGCATCCCTAACCCTATTACTCTACAGTATCCATTATCACCCACCCACCGAGATCTATGATATGGAAATTCAACCTCCCCTCTACCTCGTCACCCGATCCCATTCTCCCACTTCAGCTTATGCCCCCCGGATATTGAAGTGGTTATGGGTAGAATCGAGAGACAGGGCAGCTCCCGTTGCGCAATCCATGATCGTCTCCAACCATTACGCCACCCAAATATACCTGGTAGACTACTGACAAACAATAGGGGGTGTTGTCCCTAGACCGGATGTTCATACCTCGGATAGGTGATAATCCGGGGTGGGGAAACAAGGGGGGGGAGACACTTGGAGGGGAAGTAGAGGCGGATGGATTAGAGGATTAGCATATTGGATTGGGAGAGTGATAGCTTTCAGGAGTTTGTGGGAAAGACAGGGTGGTTAGCAGAGATTTTTGCCGGAACAAAAGTTTTATTGGAGCTACGCGCATTAACGATAGAGTTAGCCAGCGAGAGAGAGAGGGATATAGAGCGAGAGAGAGAGCGAGATAGACAGAGAGAGCGAGCGAGTGACAGCGACAGAGAGAAGGGAGACCCTAGTCGGGACCACCATGTAAAAGTTTAAAAAGCGCGTTAAAGGCGTTAATGATACCTTACAGTAGTCTACAGCGCATACAATCAGGGTTTTTCTAGGAATTCTAGGAATCTATGCAAAATGCCATTTTTAATGATTTTTGCTCCCCTAAGTGCAAAACCGTGACTTCCTATTACTATTTCATAGTAGAAAAATCGATACCTCCACTGTTTAACCCCATTTTCCCCAAATTGTCTCTGCCACCCAGCCTCTCCACTCCCAAAAATTGCGGTAAATATTAGTGACTGATCAAGTGGCACCCTTCCTCCTCCTCCTCCTCCTCCTCCTCCTCTGCCTTACTATTAGACCTACCCCCTGGGGTGTATCCACAAACAGGAGGCACACGTTAAAAAATCGACTTGTACTATGCACAAACATTGGCCACTGGAGAGATGGTGGGTGACAAGTGTCCCCAAACATTTGGTGGCTATAACTGGTGCCAAACATTCGACTCTAGGGGGACGAGGGCGGATATGGAACGATCAAGTCGAACAATCGGCTATTTCCGGGGGTATTGTTATTAAACGGGATTGGATTGGAGGGTAAATATTTGGGGGAATTGATATGCAAATTTGCGGGATTTTAGGGGTTTTAGGCTTGGTTTAAGGGTTTTTAACCTATTTAAGCTTTTTTTAGTCAGTCGCACCTTCAACTCGATGGGGCTAGGCCTGGATCAAACGCGAAGCTTCCAAACAATGACCACGAACCTTGGAAAGCGGAAGCGTCGGGTTCTCTTCACGCAGCAACAGGTAATTCTTATACTTTTAATCTGAATTTCTCACTTCCGGTACATGCTAATTTATTTAAAAAAGGGTGATCAAGATTTGCATAAAAACCTCATTTTAGTATCAAAATTTAATAGTTTTTTGCTATTTTAATTTGAAGTAGCCATAATATAACCTATTTTCTTAAAGGTAATCATGCTCGAACGCCGCTTTGCAACCCAACGATACCTCAACGCCACCGACCGCGACACCCTCGCCCGCAGTATCGGTCTTGCCCCCAATCAGGTAAGCTTGAACATCATTCTCCATCTTCCTAAAGCTCTTCCTCCCTAAAACAACCCCATTACATGTCCTTTCATCAATCCCATATACCGACCATCTGTCTAAGATCACCCATTTTCTTCCCACCCTTTCCGGCTTTCCCGCCCGCCCTTCATTTGCCGCCATTTTGCGTGCCCTCACCCACGCTTCCCTAAAATTGGACCCAATTACCGTACCCGCGGCTGCCTCATCCTCCCCCCTCTCTCTCTGTTGTGCACTTACGCGCCCCCGCGCCCAGCTCGTTCAGGGTCGAAATCGCGGGGATCGGCTTGTTTTGAAATAACAAGATTCAAAAGGGATATTTTGCGAAAATGACGTGATTTTGGAGTTTGGTCTGTAGCGGGAAATTGTCAATACCTCGAAACTGTCATCTCTCTTTTTTTCCCAGGTGAAAATCTGGTTCCAAAATGCGCGCTACAAGCAGAAGCGCCAGGAGAAGGAGAAGAAGATGGGAGGGAGGATGAGCGGATCGGGAGGAAGCTGTAAGGATGGAGATGATAGGGACAGCAGAGATTGCGAGAGCCCGGACAGTCATACGACGAGCAGTGGAAGTCCGAATGGGTAGGGAAAAGCTTGTGTTACTTAGAGGCTTTTTAGGATGGTGAAAATCGAGGAGAAGGAGATCAAGCCGGAGCTGTTGAAGGGCGACTCACAGGTGCCGCTTGCGGGTACTGTATTGGATTGTTCGCTGTATGAAAATCCCTTCTACCATCAAATGCCGACAGCCACTGGGGGATATAATCCGCAAGGTTGGTTTTTGTTTTCATTAAAGGCGCATATTTGAATAATCAGCTTTTATGTAATTTAATAGGTTTTCTAGGCTTTTTAAAATTGAATAATATCTGTCGATAAAAAATTAATAATACTTTTCCAGGTCTCGCCTTTGGCCCCTTCGCCCAAAGCTACCCCTACCCCTATGGACAAACTTTTATGAATCCGCATAGATTGTAAATTCATTTTTTCTTTTTTTTTTGATCTACTTCCGAGCTGTTTTAATCTAAACGACTTATCTCACTCTCTCTTTCTCTCCTCTCTCTCTCTTGCTCTCTCTCTCTCTCTCTCTCTCTCTCTCTCTCTCTCTTCCCGAATGTGATTCCGAAACCCGCGATTCTCCACCCACGCAAAAGAGCTTTTCCTGTATATTTGTCGTGCATTTTTTCCATACCTAATTACCATATTTTCTGCCCCTCCCTCCGCAACCGAACGTGTCATCTCACCCCCACCGTATTTGGCCTATTTCAGCATTTTTGTAAAACACGCATCATATTAAATTATATATTTCTTGCAGTGTACAGAGTATCTGAATTTTTGGTTGTGAATTTCGCCCATTTTTCGTTCTATTGTAAGTTATGGTTTTTGTCAAAATGAAATAAAAATATAAAACTACTGGAAGAATTTAATTGCACCGGATTAAAAAATGCAATTATCAAATGGATTAAATTAAATTAAGGCATCTGGTAGTGTTTAAATTTTTGGCTCTTTGGTTTTTAGCCTCTTTTGGCCTTTAGGAGCTTAATTTTTTGTAATAAACCGACAAAATCTTAATTTAATATTTTCCATGTCACACCAATTTACACCCCACCCATCATCAATTTGCGCCCATTTTAGAGTGGTTAAATGAATGATGTTGAATGCATTAGTCTATCCATTGTTATTTCAAGTAGTGGCCGGGCATTGAATGTGCGATGTCCACTTCAATCCCCCCTCTACTCCCTCCCTATCCATCGACCCTTCCACACCCGTCTTTTTCTATTCTGTGCCCCGTTTTTAGGCACGTGTCCCCAGATGTGAGGCTCGGTAACAGGGAGATGGTATTGATTTTTGAGCGTGAAATTGGGTGGGTTCGGAGGAATGGATTAAAAAAATACTGACTTTAGACTTTCTTTAAGCTTTTGTAGGGAATATTTTTTTAATTTTCTTGGCTATAGGTTTCATATGGATTTTGCGGGAATTTTCTACTCAACGCTCCTACCGGTTTTCGATAGAAGCTAGTCGATTACTCAACCAAAATAAACGCGTGCGTTGCGTGTCGCGGGTACAGCTAACGAAATTCTAGCCAAGCTTTGCCAAAACCCTGTAAAGCGATGAAAAACGCAAATTAGGAATTTTAAAAGCTATATTTAAAAACGAGGTCCGGAATTGGTTACGCAATGGAAATTCGCCAGCTGCACTGCGTGTCGCGTTCGCGGCACAATCCATAAACGAAACCATACCAAAAAAACCCATAACCCTACCTTCCACGCCCCTTTAAATCCCCAAAAAGTTGCCGATGCGCATCCCCTTGTTGCCCTCTCTAATTAATAGGCACAAATGTGCAAATTAGGGGCTAGGATCGACACCCTTTAATTTACCCCTCTGTACGCGCTGATCCTCTGTACACCTCTGTACAATCCCGAAAAGGAATCCCCGATGACCCTGTTGCGCAATTCGGATATAGACAGTGGCGCGGTCACTTGGGGTTCTGGTTTTTTTGTGGAAAACAATTGGTAATACTACTAAAAGGGATTGAATTTTTGTGATGAATGAAAAACCGCTTCGCGTTTTTTGAACACAGGCCTGTTTCGGAGCTATGCTTTTAGGAAATTTGGCTAGTTGCCACGGAATGGAGTATGCTAATTGTTGCCTAACAAACAGACACCAAAAAACCAAAATCAAATATAAAAAAAATTATTTAAAAAATCTAATATATGTGTCGAGACGGAATGCAAAAAAACAACCTATAAAAATGCAAAATATACCTTTAAGTTTTACTATGTGATTATTGGACGAAACTTACATGCAAAAATACCCCTACAATCTACGCTAATTTTCTAAGGTAAAAACTACTAGGATTTATTGCTTTAGGTATTGGTAGATCTGTGCAGTAATGACAGTATGCCTTGATCTGTTATGCGAACCACTGGCATTGTTTTTCTATCCACTTCAAACGACCGGCTGACGCTTCAACCTATTTGACATCTGACCCAAAGATTACAGTATCCTCCGGATAATCCTTATTGGATGAGAGCCTACCTGTCCGCCCCACCATCAATCATCTATCCATCCTTACCTTCTCTGGATAAAACCCCTCCTTCCTAGCCCTCCTCTCAAAACCATCAAGACTCGGATCTCATAAGTGTCCCCTTCAGACGATACACACACTTCCATCTCCGATTACATACTATTTACGCTGCCGATGCAGAACGAGGTAAATATGGCTTCCGGTTAAGGGTGGAAAGACAACTGCGGAATGGCTCGAGAATCAATTAAAATGCATTTAATGAAGTATTCATCGCCAGGCAACGTCTTGCGTTCACGCCGTTTTTAAAAGATAATTTTTGTGCAAAAACCCTAAAAAAAAGTCCAAATGATTGGTTCTCAATGGTTCGCATGTACAATGAGTTAACGAAATGAAATTTCAATAGGTTAAGATAACATTCAATTAAATAAGCACATATGAAAAGCTTTCAATCGAACCCTAGCTTATTTCGACTTCAAAATCCGCCGCTGCAATCCGCTGAAAAACTTAAATACTTAAATCCCACTATTTTCTATGAATTTAACCATGACTCTGCGAGCTTTTTAACTTCACAATCCCTTTAAAACGACAGCTAAAACAATTCAAGTTAAATTTATTAATGACCAAGCTTCTCGCGGTCTTCCCAATCTTTAATCATTCGTTCCAGACAAATATGCATATAAGAAGAACCGCCAAACGCCGCGGGAGCAAACGGTTCCACCCAGCCATATCGAGTCGCGATGTGTGCTGCGAAGGGTTACGGTACATTCCCTCCACCCTCAATGCCTAGATCACAAGGCCTCCCGCCCGAGCAGCCCATGCAGCCCATGCAAAAAGAAAATATTGACAGCTTACCCCCGGCTAGCAGCCACCACCTTCACGCCCCAAAACGCCCACACACCTCAAATAGCGAGTCATGGGAATTGATTGAAATGCAAGAACTGCTATAGGGAATTCGGAAATTCTGAATTTGTAGCGTTTCCACTGCCTTTAGAGCTCCTTTGAGATAGGTTTGTTCGGTTTTTGGATAATTTGAGAGTAGAGTGAGTGTGTGTGAGAATGAGAGACGGAGAAAGCGAGAGAGAAAGAGTGCGAGAGAGATAGAGAAAGAAAGAGAGCGAGAGAGTTAGAGATAGGCAGAGAGAGCTTAGAACGACAGCGTGACACAGCGCTAGAACAAATTTGAAGACAAATTCAGGAAATTCGTGTTCTAGGTTCTTTAAAGAGACAAATCAAGGAAAACTTAAGAATTTCACCCTGCTCCCGATTCTTACCTGCGAAACGGCAGCGTGCGTGTTGCGTACTCTGCTACATAATTACGTCACATCTAAGGGATCATCAAAATCCATAGCCATGACTTTGCCGTCCCTTTAAAGAGCTTTAAAACGTCTTAAATTATCGAGTTTATGTTAGTTGCTCAGTATACCAAGAATACCGCTGTCTTACGGCGTTATATAGCAAAACTGAAAGAATCTATAAAAGTAATTGCCAACCCTGTAAAAAATGTCGAGTTTCTACGGTATGCTTTCCTACTCCACTTTCCATAAAAAGATTGATTCGACTCCCGGCCCAACTTCCTGCTATGAACTGCTCGCGAGGGAGGGCTCACCACCCACCCGTGCATGCAAACGGTCGGCCGTGTGAACAATGCACACACTTGATGCGTGGGAATCGCGCAAATACCGTAACCCATTCATCCATCGCAGCCAGCCACGATTTCTGTGCGGCGGCGATTGTCACCGCTTGACACCTATGGACGGATGGATGGGGGGGGGTACGGTAGTTCGAAAGATTGGAGTTACAGTTACAATGAAAGTGGAGGGAGGTTTTAGGCAGAGGCTGGAGCTTAGGATTAGGCTTAGGCTTAGGCTTGGGCTTAGGCTTGGGCTTGGGCTTAGGTTTCGACTCTGGCATGTCCTTGGGTTTAGGCTTAGGAGTGGGCGCCGACCACTTTAGTTAGGTTTAGGTTGGCCTTAGGGTTAGGCCTGGGCTTAGGCTTAGGCTTAGGCTTATGGTTGGCTCAGCCTCGAGTTAGCTTAAGCTCGGACCTCCGGTAGCAGAGCTTAGCTAGGCCTTAAGCTTAGGGCTAGCCTAGCTTACAAGGCTCGGCTGAAGCTTAGCGTTAGGCCTAATCTTCAAATCCCGTTGTTTTTCCAATCCACCACAATCTCCCAATTTTCACAAGTACATGGGGCTATTGTGAAGGCCAAGTAGACCTTCTTTTCCTCGTCCTTTTATTTGCTCAAGACTGCCCGCATTTTTCGGTGATGTGCGAGAAAAATATGGGCATACGGGAGGAGGGCGAGGTGGTGAGTGTGTGGCACAGCGGGGGCAACTGTCTCTAAAAATCACGCAACAATAACAACCATCACCTCCCCGGAGGGGGGATTGGCCCATAATCGCATGCTGGGGGCAATCTGGTGGTATTTAAATGGAAACCACCTGTGGAGAGGCAAGAAAAAGGGAAATTCATATTTTGAGACGTTCAATTCTACCGTAGATCCGGAAAATATGTATTAACTTTTCTTCCAGGTTTCAAACGTGACGGCCAACTAGCAGAGATTATTTTGGAATCCAAAATGGCATACGCCCTTTTTTGCACACTTTACTATTCCTTTAATTCAGATTCCAGCTAGCAACCCCATTCCGCACGAATACATCCTTTGTTTTCCCAATTTACAGCCGTTTTTATCGCTGAGGCGAGTCCTCGACCTGCTGAATGTGTATGGAAATTATGATTCCGCCGAGCAACCATTACAGCGTGCTGTAAAAAAATGGCTGGCTAGTGGGGCTAACCATCTTCTAAAAAATATGCGTATTTTGGTGGTTAAAAGCTGCTGAAAGGGAAGCATGCAGAAATACTTTGAGGAAATTAAAATTTAGGTGTAAACATGATAACCTGACGTCTCACTCTTTCTCTCTCTCTCTCTCTCTCTCTCTCTCTCTCGTTTTCTATCTCTCACTCTTTCTCCCTCTCTCTCTCTCTCTCTCTCTCGTTCTCTCGCTATCGCTCTCTCCCTCGTTCACTATCTTTTCTCTCTCACTCTCTCTCCCTCTCTCTCTTGTCCTCTCCGACTCTCTCTCTCTCTCTTTCGTTCTCTCGTTCGCTCGCTCTCTCTCTCTGTCTCTCTTTCTCTCTCTCTCGTTCCCTATCTTTTTCTCGCTCGCGTTCTCTCACCCTCTCTCTTTCCTCTCTCGCTCTCTCACCATCTCTCTCCCTCGTTCTCTATCTTTTTCTCTCTCACGCTCCCTCACCCTCTCTCTTTCTCTCTCGCTCTCTCTCTCTCTTTCTTTTTCTCTGGCTCTCTCTCCTTCTCTCCGTTACATGTCCACCATCACCACCACAACCCGCCGGAGGGTGTGAAGAAGAGAAGAAGGCGAAGTGGTTCACAGATGGCTGAGAATAATGGGGAGAGGTTGGACATGTTCAGCACCCCCAAAAAGGAAAGAATAGGCGATAAGGGCCCTCCAAAATCCGCGCACACCACTAAATGGAGGCAGATAGATAGACAGACACATCGACACACGGACATACATGGTTTTGGTCTGTCTATTATTCGACTCATGACATGAGTACCGTATACCTTCGGGAAAAGGAAAAAGAAAGGCTGGGAGAGTCAGAAAAGTGAAAAACAACTATTTAGTTGGTACCGAAAAAGCTTCTGAATTTTTACTGCGCGATAATCATATGCCCATTATTTGGTCATCCGGACCTAAATAATGAATATCCCTTTAAAGTCCATTAATTATATCTAAAGAATTACAGTAAATTATGCGGTGTAATGGGAAAAATACTAATATTTAAATTCAAAATTCAAAATTAAATAATTACCTCAGGACGACTATGTAAGTGACAGGATTTTGTAAAAATCACTATCAAGACGTCTAACAACAACAACGAGATTCCACCGAGAATTTTAATAAATTTTAAAATAACGAGTGAATTACAAGAAGATTACAAGAAACTTATCATCCTTTCTCCAGATCGTCAACGGCACATGCACAAATCTAACTTAACAAGGCCTTTAAAATAAAACAACTAGGTGAAGCAACTATTCCACGCCATCACCACTACTTACATTTTGACATGGCAATATCTAACTCTCTTCCAAAAGAAAACATGTAAATAGCAACATTTACACTACTTCAAAAATAGAACCAAAAAGATGTAGGGTGTATTGCAATGTAATTTTTACTTAAAACATCTAGAAGTTACAAAATCTTTCGGTCTTTCCTGAGTTTAGTGTTTTTTTGGAAGCCCATTGTTTGGCGGCGTGTTGGGAAGCTGGGTGGCTGAGGCGAAAAAGGGTCTATGGAGCGGCCGCGTCGGGACCACCCTAGTCGATCAACATGGTGGTCCTGGCACGTAGGTCCGATTTAGGAACCCTGCGAGGGCATTGAAGGCTTTGAAAAATGGTTCAAAGTGGTAAAATATATGGTTCTGAAGCCAAAATATCAAACGAAACCAGAAAACTACTTACATTTACTTGATACATCAATAAATCGCACTTCACGTCGTTATTCCAGAGCTTTTCGAGACAAAACTCTGATAGCGGGAAAAACAGCCATTTTTCGAGGGTTTAAAGCTTAGAAATCGTTTTTTAAAGCTTTGCCATTATTTTTAAAAGCCGTAGCCTGCTCTGAAAGCAAAAAGCAAAAGAGTTCCAACCAACCGGATTCGAACCAGTGACCTAAGGATAGCTGCCGACTCTACAGTCCTCCGCTCTACCAACTGAGCTATGGTTGGGTCGGGATCGGGCGGCGGTAAGGGGCTCATAAACCCCCGGACGCGCATCCGGACCCCTCCCCTCGCCATCGTAAGACAATGGTGGCGCGTTTCCACAGCGTTGACCGTTGATTACACGGTTTTCCATTCTGATGTTTATTGGTTAGTTTCAGATTGTAGACGTGCAAATATATGCAGGAAAAAGAAAGAAAAAGACCTTTACACGGAGATTTCTTGCAATAATTTCTGAGATTTTAATTGCCTCTTGTCTTTAATATATAACGTTTTAACCAACAGCGCCCTTATAACTATCTACAGGGTGTCCCAAAAAAAAAACACAGCCCCAAAAATTTGAGCCAGAGGGCACCTACGGAGCTGAAAATTTGCACAGAGGTAGCGAAGCCAATTTTCTATGAACAAGGAAAGTTTGAGCCCTATCGGCCCGCGGGTTTTAAAGTTATAGCGAAAATACTTTTAATTTTTACTTAATATGGGGATCTTTGATATTTGCATCAAAGATATGCGTTATTCTTGCATTTACGAGCCGATTTTGCATAAATTTTGCCGAAAAACGCCATTTTCGTTGTGGAGCCGGGCGCGAACGAATTGTTTTATCGATCCAAACGACATCTTATTGCGCATCTTGGCAAGCTGCTTCGCGCTAGCCCCGAAACTAAGCGAAGTTCAGGCGCTGAACGATGGTTTCAGCCAAGATCTCTTGTACTCGGCGGTCTTGCTGATCATTTTTTCACCATATGAGCAAGCGGATTTACCTACATAATGCCGATTCACAGAATGCCGATTTACAGAATGCCGATTTACAGAATGCCGATTTTACAAAATGCCGATTTACAGAATGCCGATTTTACAAAATGCCGATTTACAGAATGCCGATTTACAGAATGCCGATTTTACATAATTTGGGTTTTACATCTGACCGGATCCCCCATAAAAACATTATCCGGCTTGGCTAGGGCAAATTTTTACGAATTCTTTTTTTTTCACGTAGAGATCGGGGATTACAAGGAAATCGCAAGCATCGCGACAAGTTTCAACGCGTGCCCCTTTTCGCTGGTCGCCGACACTTCCAACGTGCTCAGCCGCAGCGACAAAACGCAACGACTCATTATTATTTCTTGGTTGAGAATGCCCGGCCTCACGTCGAGAGGAAGGGAAAACTGGTTGATAGAAGAATTTAATTTAGTAAGCCAAGCCCCTTGGTAACGTGGAACTGAGGTTTCTCTGAAAAAAGAAAATAGTAAAGCTAGGCCTCAGGTCTGGCGGTTTCGCCATGTCCAAGTCGGATAATGTTTTTTCTGGGGATCCGGTTTGTATTTTTGGATGTTGAACCCAAATTATGTAAAATCGGCATTCTGTAAATCGGCATTCTGTAAATCGGCATTCTGTGCATCGGCATTTTATAAAATCGGCATTCTGTAAATCGACATTCTGTAAAATCGGCATTCTGTATATCGGCATTCTTTAAATCGGCATTCTGTGAATCGGCATTATCAGCCTATACCGAGCAAGCGTTCTCGCCCGGCTCCACAACGAAAATGGCATTTTTCGGCAAAATTTATGCAAAATCGGCTTGTAAATGCAAGAATAACGCATATCTTTGGTGCAAATATCAAGGATCCCCATATTAAATTCAAAATGAAAAGTATTTTTGCTATAACTTTAAAACCCGCGGGCCGATAGGAATCAAATTTTTCTTGTTCGTAGAAAATTGGTTTCTCTACCTCCGTGCAAATTTTCGGCTCCGTAGCTGCCCTCTGGCTCAAATTTTTTTTGGGGGTCTTTTTTGGGACACCCTGTATATAACTATTGATTAAAACCTTTCAAAGCACATTTCTTTGAAGTTTATGTGCGTCTTGGAGGCCTTTAAAAACCACTTAATACGTCTAAAGCCTGCTGTTTTTTAATTTTTTAAATTATCGATAAAGCCAAAGATAAACTCTCAGCATCCAATACACAATTTCCCAAACCCCCCAAAGTGTTCACGATCCATTTTCAGCATGTGTTTGTCCCGAAAACGCAGGAAATTGCCCCAGACGCATGTAGTCAGCCCCTACAGTACCCCGCGAATTTCCGGTAATTACGCAAAAACGAGCCGGTTGGGCCGATGAAAGTAATAATGCCCTAACTGAACGGAAATCGGGGTTCATTTTTGGGTTTCAGATAACTCCCGCGGGGTTCTTGAGGAGTTTTGGAGGTTACTGTATTTGTACGTTGCTCTTTCTTGTATAGCTTAACAAAATTTTATTTCTAGAGCAAGGTTATTGTGTTTAAGGTTACGTTTAGCTTAGGTTTAGGCATAGGCTAACAAGGAGTGCTTTTTCGAGTCATCGGTGAAACGTTACGAGACCTAGCTCATTCGATAGAGAATTTGATTCTGAACAAGACCCGGTTGGCCTTTTTTGCGGAATGGCTATTCCTGATTTTTTTAAAGTTAAAAAACTCGTGGCTGTCCCTTACCATGAGTGCCCTTCGAGCAAAAAGAGAGGCTCTCGAGTGCAGTAAAATCAGGAATAGCCATTCCGCAAAAAAGGACAACGGGGTCTTGTTCAGTTTCTAATTCTCTATCGAATGAGCCAGGTCTTGTAAGGTTTTGCCGATGACTCAAAAAAAGCACTCCTTGTTAGGAAGCTTGGGCATAAGTTTATTATATTTTTAAGGTGGTCATCTTTAACCTCAACAGCAGCTTTTGATGAAGCCGCCTGGGGGCTACGCGCAGCTGCTATGGACGGTCATCTGGATGGCGCTTCTTGGACTTTGCAGTGCGGGAGATATCATGCTGCTATCCAGGAGCAATTGTATCAACGTTGGTGATTGTGGCGATTTGCCGCTCGCCCCTGTCGCCTTTTACATGGGTGTGTTTTAGGGATCTAAAGGGATCTTAGGGCGTAAAAACGTGCCTGCAGAAAACCGAGAAGTCCCTTAATTTTTGAAGGAATGAAAGACGGTGGCGGATCGGCTGCCGGCGAGCTTGACATGGGCACCGGAAAAGCGGCGCTGAACCTTTTTGACATCCGCCAAAATGGCAGCTTCACCAGCTTATTCGAGTACGGTATTTTGGGCCTGGTTTAGGAGTCATTGAGCGTAAATTGGTGCTTTTTCCAGAGCCGCACTTTCCACCTATCTCCAGCAGGTGCGAGAACCCGATGAATTGGTTAATAATGGAACGTGTAAGTTGTTCAATAATGAAAATTTAGCAAAATATAAGGTATCATAATCCATATTCCGCCTTATTTTTAGCCCAAATGTCAACGACTGCCTTTGTTGGAATGGAGGCCGACTGCGAAAAAGTGGCATCACTCGCCATCGCCACCCGAGTTCCAATAATTTCCTATGTACGTTGCTGTATTCACTAAATTTCATTAAGTCTGATCCTAGGTCTGCGATGGAAATCTGGGAGAAGGGGATGCCGTCAACGACTTTACCATCCAAACCGCAACGAATCCGTAGTGAGTAAAGAATCGGAAAATCCCTGCTAGCCTGCCCTTTGAGCGCGAAATACCGTGCCCTCACCTCCTACCTGAAGTTTATGAACTGGACTACGGTCGGTGTGCTGTTTTCGTCAAGAAGGGCAGATGATCCGGCCCGCAGTGCCCTGACCAATACATTGAAGGACAATGGGGTACGGTAGCTCTGATATTTTTAGAATACACTCTCGATTTTTGCTCTCACTCTCTCTCTCTCCCGTTCCCCCTCTCTCTCACTCTAATCCCAATTCAGATTACTATCTCAATGGATGGTCTTGTACTCGATTATGGTGATGGCAGAAACAGTCGTTCCGAAAAATACATCAGCAGTCTAATGGATTTACATCTGAAATCGAGAAGTTCTTTATTCCTTTTACTCACCAGCCCAATTATTTAGTCATCGTTGCCGACATCTCCGACAGCACCTCAATAAAATATTTGATTATGGCCTTGTCCAGGTACAATTCCCGGAAACTAAACCCCCGAATTAATTTAGGCTAAATTTCATGTTCGCTGGGGATCATATGGTAATCATCATGTCCGAGGGGTTGAAATATTCGTTGCTTGGCAACTTTCTAGGTTTGTTCCAGATTAAACTAAACCTCAAATTAGATTTAATTTAATATATTTAATCTTATAATCTTATTCTTTTTAATTCAGAAATTAAATGTAAATTGCTGAAATTTAACTCTAAAAATTTAGATTACTGGAGTGACATTTCTGGAACTTACTACCTGCCAAAAGTTGATATTGTCAATACGCTGCGCGGCGTCATCTTCCTCACCGACCTGGAGACGGTCACTGATGATACGGTATTTGCAGCGTATTGTACTTTAATATCTAGTACTTTAGTATATGCGTTTCCCGAACTTCACGGCAGCGCTGAAAGACCTGGTGCTGAACAAGCCGCTCCCCTGCCCGCCGTTTTGCAATTATGTGGTGAACGCCACGGAGTTCTACGGGACCGAGGGTGCTGAACGATTTGTTGATGGAGTCAGTGATCTTATAATGCTTAAAAAATAGTTTAGAACCAATACAAAGACATTTCAATCGAAGTGATTAGCGCTTATCATTCTGGGAAGCTGTTGGCCGAGACGTTGACGCGGGTCGGTCAGGTATCTGATGGAAGGGCATTGGCAGCTGCGCTAAGAAATTCGACCTTTGAAGGTGATTTATCCCTGCTGTTGAAATACATGCGACACGCCGCGTGCACACCAAAATCCCTAGAAAATTTGCGCCTTGCTTGTCCAATTAAATCCATCCCCCAGGCCTGATGGACTATCGCGGCACCTTCGACAAGTACGGCGTACTCCGCAAGGCCTACAACCTTTACACCACCACCGCGCCACACATCGCAAGCTCCAGCTACTCTCCGATCCAAGTACTCGCCACGCAACGCGGTCGCATCGTGCCCGATCTGGCGGATGCCTGGGTGGGTACGGTAGATGGGGCGCGGTTTGGCATAAGATAGACAAGGTATTTAGTAGGTAGCTTGGCAAGCTTTCATGATTTTTTGTAAAAGGCTTCGCTCATTCAAGCGTGCTAAATCGCAAAATTCCGGGACCGTTCGATCTTTTCAAAACCGTCGAACTATATTAGTAGTGGCAGTGGTAGTACTCCTTCGAATTACTCGATTTTTCCATTTTTAGAGGGTTGAACAGGATCCAGTCGCAGATTGGAACTTACCTGGCGGCCCCACCTGGCCGGCTGCTGTGCCAAAATGTGGATTTGAAAATGAGAAGTGCCCACAGGCTTTGCGTAAGCACTTTTCATCTTGCCCTCATACTAAAAATTAAATTTCAGAACTGTTCAGTCAAACTGAGGTGATCCTCATTGCTGCCTCTGGAGCTGCCGCACTGGTGATGTTGATTGTTATCGCCATTATCATAAGGTAACCAGTTTAATTAGATGCATAACAAAATGTAACTCTGAGCATGATCTTTCAGATGGATAATGTACGAGCGTCGACTTGAGTCCTGCTACTGGCTGATCGATCGGGGACAAGTCATACTTCTTGAGCACTCTTTCGCTGCCAGCATTGGACGTTCGAACATGAAGAGTGCTGCCAGTTTCCAAGTCTGTACTCTCTGCAAGTAAAATTAAAAACGCGAAGATCTCTTCAATCCCCTTTAAATCCAAATAATTTTAGTCAAGCGGTGGCCTGCAAGACCTCGAACAACATGGTCCATCGCTGGGTACCTTGCAGTTCTATGAACAAAATTTGCGGGAGGAGCGCCGGAATCATGCCCGCCCAAGAAATCCGAAGAAGAAAACGGTACTTAAAATTCTACATACCAAATAGATAATTTCTTGCAGGCCTTTTCCACAGAAGAGGATGATCGTTGGTACGAGATTATCGGGTGGAAGCTGGCCAAGTTTGATGGGCAACTGGTTACGGTATCAAAGCTACGCGAGAGCTGCTTAACGAGCTCTTTAGGTCCGGAGGATCGAAAAGCAAACACTGAAGCTGACGCGTGAGATGAAACTTGAGTTGGATCAAGTAGGTGTATTTTTGTAGTCTATTGTGACCATCGTACTCTGTTTTTACCGTACTTTTTAGCTGATGCACATCAACTGCGAGAACCTTAACAAGGTCTATGGTCTCATCAACGATCGCTCTCACATTTTCACCATCCATGCATTTGGCCCTCGAATGGCACTTGACGTGACCACCAAATTACATCCTTATTTTACTATCTATTTTTAGGATCTGCTGCGTAATCCGGCGCTTCGGCTTGATCGCATGTTCAAAGTTTCATTTGTGGAGGATGTGATGAGGGTGAGTCTAAACTTACTATGGGGTAAAGGGTTCAGGGCCTAACCTATCTACACAACAAATCGAAAATCGGCTGCCATGGAAACCTAAAAAGCACTAACTGCGTGGTTGATGCTTATTGGCGAATCCGACTCAGCAACTTTGGCATGTTCCATTTAAGAGAAGGCGAACCGACTGCGAAGCCGGACGGTAAGCTTTATTGAATTTATTACGATATAATCAAATTGTAGCTCTTCTCTGGGCTGCTCCCGAACTTCTACGCAGTGGCATGAACAAGGTATAACGCCTTGGTTAACTAATAACTACAAAAATCACATTGCCAGCTGGAAATGGGACCTCAAGCGCTGGCCAAAGCCGACCTCTACTCATTCTCCATCGTACTCTACGAGATTTTTGGCCGCCTAGGACCCTGGGGAGACGAAATGTTGGATTCGATCGGTCCTCAGGCTTCCTAGAAAAATTACTAGAATTTTAGAAATTATTGAACAGCTGAAGTTCCCTCGCGACAACGAGCCGGCGCGCCCTGATCTGAATATCATTTCCAAGGCACCACAACAGATTTTGGACACGATTAAATGGTAGAATATACACAATTTTTGACCAAGTAATCATCAGTAAAATACCTACTCTAAGCTGAATGGAATCTATATGTTTTAGCTGCTGGGCTGAAAATCCTGAAGACCGTCCCGGCATCAAGAAAGTTCGAGGAAAACTGCGTGTCCTTAGTAAAGGAATGTAAGTATCAAAAATCCGAGATTATTCCATAATCTCCAAGGCGTTCGAACATTGCCGACAACATCATGGCCCTCTTGGATCGGTACCGCTTCAATCTGGAAGACGTCATCAAGGAGCGCACCGAAGAGCTATCAGATGAGAAGCGAAGAAATGAACAGCTTTTGCTGCAATTGTTGCCAAGGTATGGCAATGGTTTTTTAATACCTTTTTAAGAACTGTGGCCGAGAACCTGAAAGATGGGCGTCAAGTTGAAGCCGAACACTTTGCGGCTGTGAGCATCTACTTTTCGGATATTGTCGGATTCACGTCGCTTTCATCGAAAAGTACTCCGCTACAGGTTTTTCATGCTGGCTTAATCGCTAAATTATCTAAAATAGATTGTGGACATGTTGAATGATTTATACACACAGTTCGACACGATTATTGATATGTTTGATTGCTATAAGGTATGGTTTTTAGGCTAAGCTAGAAGCAAAAAAGAAGGCTATTTTAAAAAAATGCTTATATAGGTCGAGACGATTGGTGATGCTTACATGTTCGTTTCTGGGCTGCCATTGCTTAATGGTGATTTGCACGCTGGTGAGGTGGCTGGAGCGGCTTTTGAACTCCTTGAACGAATCAAGGTTGATCAGCTACAGCGTCAGAAATTTTTTTGATTTTTAGATTTTCACCGTTAAGCACTATCCGGAAGAGAAACTACGGCTTCGTATCGGGATTCACACCGGTAAATAGGATTTTTTTTGCGTAATGAGATTTACACAATCTCGTTTTTATAATTAGGTTTTTAAAATATCATTATTACGTAATTTGCGTTTAAGGAAAAAGAACTCGAAAGTAAATATATGTGAACTTGAGACAACTTAATTGAATATCCTGATCCGATTAAAACAATTTTTCAGGCCCAGTACTGACCGGTGTTGTTGGAGTTCGTATGCCGCGCTACTGTCTTTTTGGAGATACTGTAATCACCGCCAGCAATATGGAAAGCTCTGGAGAACGTTAGTTTCAAACATTAACCATGTTATACCTTCTACGCTCCCAATTTTCAGCAATGAAAATCCAAATCTCGGAGCCAACCTTCAAAGTATTGGACCGATTGGCTGGGTACAACATCATTCCCCGAGGCGTTTTTGAATTAAAGGTACGATACTCGGCTTTTTTAGACTGTACTCAATAGAACAAAGTCCAAATGAAAACTTATTGGCTGCTGGATTACGACCGAAAAATGCGGAACGCCCGTGTCGCCGAATCCATCGAAAATCACCCCCATTTGAAGAAGCTGGGCGCACACTAAATGACCTTCCGGGCCAAAATAAACTTGTTAACAGAACGAGCATATAACATTTATATATCACGAAATTAAGGCACGAGGAGGTAAATGGAATCGAGATTCAAGATCACCGAAAAGCACCGTATTCTTTGGTCACTGTAATGTAACGTAGTCTAGCGTAGTGTAGCGTTGCGGAGCATGTCGTAACTTAGCATTATTTAGGGTCTAGACAACCATTTCCGCTGGTTGAACCTTAGGTTTTTCGGTCATCTAAACTTTGTTAAATTAAAATTCGAAATATTGGACCTGAAACTGGGTAGAGGCTTGGCTTCGCTTCCGCTTCACTTCCACTACCGTACGCCCAAACTTCCGGCCACCAAAGTGCAGGAAAATATAGATTAATTCCATTAACGAAATTAGCGAGGCGCCAAGGAATAAACCTAGAGAGCCGCCGACATCACCTAAAAAGTCTCTTATTGCACGTTTCCTTTAAAAAAACTCACTTAATAAACTCCAAACCGAATATGTAGGCTCTTGACTCCATTTTTCGACGGCCATCTTGTTGATGTAAATGTTGACAAGGGCAAAATTTTCCCTAAATGAATTCAGTTTTGCCTAAATTAATTATTTTTAAAGATATTTTTGCAAAAAATGAGTTGGAACTTCAAAACACCCACCGCTCAAAATCGTCATTAAATTCAAATTTGTCCAGTACTTTTCCAAGCTCGGTTTTGAAAAGAGCCGTGTAGGCTGACTAAAAATAAATGGAAACAAATTACGGTATCCTAAAAATTAGCATACATTCCACTTTTTATAGAGCGTCTTGAATTCGGACAGTATTTGCACGCCGCTGATATTTACCTAAAAGTAGGCTTGGTTTTCAAGAGATGATGGGACTCTTAGCAACAAAATTTATTTTATTTAAAGCCCGACCTCTTTCATACAAATATCCATTTCCTCGTAAAATCTACGCACATATGTTTTGTTCTGTTCACTGTCTTCTCCAGCCAAAATTAGAATGGTAGCTGTCTAAAAATTATTCTTTCGAAAGTGCACCCCTTCTACAGTACCCTCAAGTAACTCGTCGTCTCGGCCATCATCTTTTTATGTTTGGGCCACAAGTTCTTCATCACATTCCGCAGCGTTTTCACAAGTTTAGTGTCCAAGTTGTCGAAAATTGTTTTGTACCATCCCTTAAAAAATAACAAGAAAAATAATTAAATTTTAAAGATACTAACCGAGTTGAATTCTTCGTTAACAAAAAATTGCATATCTGGAGAGTTCATTTCTTCAGCCCATTCTTTGATGCCGGCCGCGTTTTCGAGCTTAAAAGTGGGATTAACTCCGTAATTAAATTAATTAAATTATCATTTAAAGTACATAAACCTAAGCTAAAATAGATTTATACCTTTTCCGCATTCGCCAAAATCCGATCCATTTCCGTCAAATCAGCCACAATCGTTTTTGCGTAGGTAACCTATAAAAAAGACGTAAACAAATATCCAATTTTACTGAAATACCTCATTAAACGCCGTCCACAACTCTTTACTCATCCGGAGAACATGTAGCAACTCTTGACGCTGGGGCTAGAGAGTTGATTTTAGTTTAAGAGGTTTTGAGAAAACATACCTCCATCTTCTCACCATAGGCATTCCTGACCTGGGCCAGCGATTTATAGCGTTTCGGATCGATTTTATGAGTTTCCGGATCGACAATCTATAGAAAGGACTTGGATTCGTACCTTAACTGTACCTTTAAAAGGAGCTGGGCTCGATATTCTTCTGGTCGATTCGATGGTAGGGCAAAGTACATGACAATGTCCTAAAAATAAAAAATAAACATAAGAATCTAGTCATCTATATATCTATAGAAATCATTATATCAAGGGCAAAATATTTATTAAAAATAAACTTTTAACTACGGTACTTTTAAAAATCAAACATACCTTGTACCCATTCGTAATATTCTTAATACATGGATGACGTTCCGTAATCCGTTGATACACACCAGTGAAAGCTTGTGGATTCCAGCCCCACTTGGCCGCAAATAGCCTATAACGCATCAAATACAATAACCCACACCGCCCATACCGTAGCTTTGCATTTTGAACATTTTTGATCAGCCGGTGGAATCGCTCGGCAATGTCGACCTGGTATTTTTGTTGGGCTTCGTAGGCTACCGTAGCGCGTGACTTGATTGATTCGGCCTGGAGTACGATATTTTTAAAGAAATGAGGATGAGAAACTGACATGCTCCTCATCAATCGTATCATAGATATTTGGGCGTGATTTGTGTTCACTGGGTTCGTCGAGTTCTTCCTAGGAATATGTGGTTTGTAGTTTTTAAGGAGCTTTTCATGGTAAGTCTACGCTGATCCTACGGCTAAGCCAAGCCTAATCAAAGCCTAAGCCAGATAAGCCTAGGCTAGACAAAGTTCAAGCCAAGCATCATTCACGCATAAAGCTAAGTTAAATATAAGCCTAAGCCTAACCCTAATTTTGTTTACATCCAGATCGATAGACGCGGCAGTTGTCGTAGTAGTGCTGGGAGTGGAAGTGGAGAATACTTCCGCAGAATCACGGCGTATTCGGCGTAACTAAAATTTGCAAAACATAGGCCAAAATTAGCTACTACTTTACAAGGAAGCTTGACATACCTCATCTTCTGTCAAAATATCCTCTTTGCCACTTGGCATCAAGTCAGTCGGCAACCGATTTAAATCCTAAATCTTCGTTAATTTGCACTGATGGTATGTACCTGGCTTCCGGTATATTCCTTCGACTCACAGGCCGGCGCGCAATCCGTCAAAGCCCCAGATTCGGAAACCGGAAATAAAAATGTCCGAAACGTCAAGACTACGGTACCTCGATGATCACTTCTCGGGCACAACCGAAGAAATCGGCTACCGTACAGTTGCGTATTTCTAAAAGTTCGGGATATTAAGATTTTATTAGAAGTTTACTTACCTGGTGCTTTAAAAGCATTCCTCAAAAAGTCAGCATGCAACCCCCTCATGGAACAATCACATTTTCGTTCGACTCGCTCAGCGATGCGCCTGGCTTTGCAACCCCTATATTCTGAGATTATGAAAATCCGAGTGCCTACCGGAACTTATCCGGTATTTTAATATACTTATCTTATAAACCATTCTATTCTTAATCATTATGCTAGATTAAAAAAATATTTACTTGGCATTTTGGGGTGAGAAATAGTCTCCCTCACGCGCTGCTATCTCAGCATCGCCCTCAGCGCGACAGCCAGTGCTTTCCAGCTTGGAATACTGGAAAATTGGAAAACTTATAAATAGCTACTTTGTTGAAATTACCTCTTGCAACGATAACGGCAGATATGTAGTAAATCCAGGTGGAACGTTCATAGCATCAGAGGTACTGATCGGGAAATCCGTTTGATTGAAGGCAAGGATCTAACGTAGATTTAATTCCGGGCTCTGGATTGGAGGTACCTTGAAGCCAGGAAGAGCCGTGGAATGGAAGTAAAGATGGGGCGAATTGATCCGTTCGTAGCTCTCTACATTTAGCAAAAGCTGGAGGCCATAAAGTGGACCTGAAATAATGTTGCTACCTAATGGGAAGAATAATAAATCAATAATATGAATAAAACCACAATAAAAAACGTATCACGACGTGTAAAGTTATAAATAAAGGAACTTTAAAAGTTAATACAACTAGTAAAAGGAATAAAACCAATTTATGGTAGTTTTTACTCACCTGCTCCATTTACAGAAATCGGTTTCTGTGCATCGATGTTTATCGCCCAACACAACCCCTCTACCGTCCACATTGGATAGAAATCGGATGAAGAACATAATGTACCATTAGGGAGCACACATCTGTAAATATTTTTATACAATTAAAACTCTCTATTTTCTTATTATCTTATTAATTAAAATTTATATTTCTTACGTTCATTCTATTTCCTTGGATCTATTAGTATTCGCAGATATGTAGACTTTGGTGCGAGAATAAAGAAATAAAACAAATAAATAACTAGTCCGAAAAAAACCGTAATTTTCGATGCAACAGCTTCCGCAAGCCGGGAATGACAACGAAACAAAAAGCGCATAAATAAATGCATAAACAAGATGCGAAAAGGCTTTTATCACCATTATTTACTTAGCTTACTTTAATTAATAAGACTTTCCTTAATAATAAATTATTAGAGTTAGAAATGCCACAACCGTCCAAAAAGACGTCTGGCAGCACTTCAGCCCCTGGCTCTTTCGGCCACCCGTTTCCGAGTGGCGCTTCCAAAAATTGGCACGAATTTGCTTGGCCTGGGGCCCATGGCGTGCTTCAAACCTGAGAGGGAGGGAAAGGAGCGGCAGGTCAAGAAGAGGGGAGGACCAGGTGGGGGGCGAGCCGACGAAAGGGAGGGAGCAACAGGCTAGACTCCAATCTGTAGGTAAAGCCCGGCGGGGCTTCCCGAAAAGATCTTAGAGGCTTAGTAAATCGTTTATATTAATAAAACTTTCTTATTTTAATAGTAATATAACTAAAGCATAATGATCAGGTGGGTAACGTCAGGATGCCCCAAAATCAAAATCTAAGCTAACAATCGAGCAGTTATAGGTCGTTAAACCCTTTCAAAAAGCTTATAACAATCCAGGAAAAGTTTTTATAAAGTTATAAAATAGTTTTAAATGCTAAAACAGCATTACTTTATTGTAATTTACCAAAGACAACAAAGCCTAGCAAGTAAGTTCATGATAATGTCAAAGAATTATGATTTTTACGCCTGTAAAACGTAGATAGATAAAAAAAAACATAAAATATGATGAAAAACAATCAAAAATAATATTTTCAAACCTACTTGACGAGTATATCGTCGATATGGTGGCTGGCCTGGTTCAAAAATGTTACAGCATCGGCGTCGGCGTGGTTGTAGAGTACCTAAAGCTTTTCTTTTTGAAGTTTTACGGCAAGTTAATACATATTTCCTTTCCGTTTTTATTTTCATTCACTTGTTTCAACAAATATCCATAAAAGGGCTTTTTCAACGCACCTGATCGAATGGATTCTTCGACCGCTTCAGTACACCCTTTATTTCGGTATTTCGCCTTTGTCTGGACGAAGATTTTAGCTTTCCATGAAGACCGGCTAGGTAAGATAGTCTAAATATTATCAGTACCGGTTGAAAAAAGGTATTAACTCACCTGAATTTATTATTATTACAAATAGCGACCACCGGGAAGTTTACTGTCTTTGGATAATCAACATCTAAAGGCTAAAATTATATATTAAACCTAAAAATTCCTTACCTATATTTGTCGAAATCGGATTTTTACGATAAAGCTGCACTTGCTCAAGGATTTGGTAGATTGCTATGCATAAAAATGTGATCATCACCGACATCCACCAGATTCTAAGAAGAAAAAAATGGAATTCGGAAAACCAGAAAAGGTTCATGCCTGGTGCTTCTGCTTTGAGAACCCAAATATTTAATGCCATCCCAGGCTGTGTCTTTAATGACTTCAATAACATCTTCATCTTCAACCTGAAGAAGTTACGGTAGATTCAATAGTTTTAAACTTACCACAGGTTCGTGAGAGATTGCTGGAACACTTTTTGAGCGTTTATAGCGGCGATTCGGGTTAACTGGTTGTTGTGGTGGTTCGCTTTGTTTGCTAAAAAGGTTTGAGTATTTATTAAGGGGGGTCGACAAACCGTAGATTATTTAAAAAGATCGCGGCTGTTTTTTCGGCGCGTTGCCGCATCGGGTGGTGTTGGTGACTGATTCGATTAGTAGTGGCGAGGTGGGTGGCGCGCCGATTACTGTAGTATTGTTGCGAAAAGGTGGTGAGAAAGTTTAAAAAAAAACAATGAAAACAGAAAATACAACTTTTTAAAGCGGCCAAAATCCCAAACAAGTTTTTTGAACCATTCCGGCCATAAATCTCGATTTGAAATGAAGCGATACGCCCGGTAGCTGGAGGGTGTGCGTGCTGAAGTTCGGCGAATCCCGCGAAAATCAGCGCCACATTTCTCGGGACCCCTTTTTTGACAAAGAGACGATCAGCCGATCAATGGAAAAAGGAGCTGCAGCATCACTGGGTGAAGGTGAAGGATAGAAAGGGGAAAGGTCTTGCTCGATCATGGTACGCACGAAATTGGCACTTTTGAGGGCGTGCCGAATGGCATTAGGTTACTTACTGTGCTTTGTATTTTTCGAAAAAGCTCCTGTTTTTATGAAGGTTGTTTAGACCTACAGTAACCATTTGTGTACACAAGCGTTTTAGTATATTAGGTAGAGTTATTCAAATAATTTTACCTGAATAATCTGCGCGTTAAATTTACCTTAATTTAGCGCAACAGCCCATTTTGGTACTGAACTGTTAGGGGGGAGGGTTTAGCAAAGGACAAGCTAATGTTTTCCGGTGATCCTGTGGGCACCATAACAAAATAAAAAGCCATTTTCATAGCATTTTACGCAGTATTTAGATACATAAAACCCATAAAAATTTGCGAAAATGTCTGCTTCAAAGGCTACGAAACACATTATAAAATACAGCATGGTTTATTAACAGTTAAATATAGACGCAACAATAAGAACTAGTTTCCGTCCGCGGGAAACCTGGGATCAATCCGATGCGATGTGATATAGAAATCTCCAAAAGACAGGATCATGTGGATCAAAGCAGAACCCGACCACTCCCGGAAATCCTAGCGTCCATTTTTCAGTTACAGTACGAATCGCCGGCGATACCGAAAAGTGACACCAAAGAAAGGCGCCCATTGGAGCCCATAACTTCCTGATTGCTGCGACTGTAATGTCAAGTTTTTTCGACACCTCGACTCAAGCGCGACGAGCAGCATCCAACCGATGCCGAGAACCCGTTCTTGTGCTCTCAAATGAACGTGAATGAATGAACATTCTCTTTACAATTTCTACACTTGATAAGGCAAGATTCACACTCTAGTTCCGCTGGTTCTTTTTTGACGGAAAGGGGGATTGGTTGCCGATTTTGAGAGATGGGGGAATTTCGTGGAGGTGGCGTTTGATCGGGAGTGTGGAGGGAAAGACGTCGCGATCTTCGTGTTCGTGAGACGGACGGGGGAAGATATCTCTGGAATTAAGTACGCGATCTGAAAGCGGGAATATCTTTAAAACATTATATAGAGTGGTAGACACCTTCTTTATTGTTTTTCGGGTTAAAATCGAGCATCAAAAATGTAGATACCCCATTGAGGCCTTGCGAATGTTGCTAAACTCGAAGCAATCGTGGACGTCAGGATTTAAATTTGACGATAATTTAGAGATTATGTTTAATTTTTTATGCCTTTGCACAGAACTGGTTGAGTACAAAGGCCAAGTATGCAGACTGTTAACGAAATATTATCATTACATTCGACTGGAGGGCGGATGGGAGTGAGCAAGCTACTACGTGTTGAAATAAAATCCGGATCGACACATTATTAATTTCTTAATTTTTCAGTTTCTGATTTCGTACTCTAATTTTTTATATGGTTGTTGATGTTACCTTGTAGAGATGCATTGTTTTAGCACTTATTTTATATATTTTTTAAGATAAAAACGGCAACTATTTGTCCTAGGGAAAATCAACTAGACAAGAAAGACTTTAAAGGAGCGCCGAAGTTCCAAAAATTGAGTTACGGTCCAAAAAAAGATGCCCTGTACGTCGGAGACTTCTTTAAATGGCAACCCGTGAATTTGAAATTTGCTGTGGTCGCCTCCAGAATCACGTTCACAGCTGTTTTCGGACCAAATTCGGGTTTTAAACGCTAAAGCTTCTTAAAATCGAGCGAGGCGTCCAAAAATGAGCCCAGAATCCGCGAATTATAGTGCTTTGACATAGACAACGGGCAAAAATAATTCTGCGCAAAATTCGAAAGAGCGATGGAGCTCGTCCCGGAGCGGCCGCTGGCAATTTTCCAGAAACTAGAGCGCCCTTCAATAGGGGTTTCGACTTGGCACATCGATGCTCCTTTAGGCTTCTGAATGCCAGAAATTGTTTTTTCTCCAGATGAATTTTTTTGTTTGACGTTGAAGTCTAACCCTTCCACTACCAAATCATCTCCCATTTCATACCAAAACCGTACTTTATGGGGGTATTTTTGTTAGACATGGCCGATTATTGGGTTGTTTTTTGGGTGCGGTTGCTGGTTGCGCTGTGGGGCTAGGCAGTGCCGGTGTTGTCCTCTATGGGTCCTCTATACTCCCCCTTCCTTCCTTCTTCTGCCCCCTCTTTTTCAGGGCTTGTTGATCGCATGGGGGCCATTCCGTGAGACTCCTCTTTACTACCCCTACTATTTCTATCTCTCAAAAAGGCAAGAAAAATCTGTCGGGGATTGGGGTGGTGTTAAAGCGCCAGCGGGACTCGGCGGCGTGTCAGTTTTAAAGTTGGGTTTTAAGATAAGATAATTTTTCAAGGGCTTATCTAGGCTAAACTGTGGATTTTACTCGTTATGGATGTGCATAGAATTTTCCAGCGCTGGCGAAGGAGAGGAAGAGTTTAGAGGGAAATAGAGAGAGAGAGAGAGAGAGAGAGAACGAGAGAGAGATAGTGAGGAAGAGAGAGAGCGAGAGAGATAAAAGAAAAAGCGAGAGAGAGAACGTGAGAGAGAGAGAGAGAGAGAGAGTGAGTAAGGAAGAGAGAGCGCGTTAGATATAAAAGAAAAAGCTAGAGAGAGAAGCAGGGAGAGCAAGAGAACGAGAGAGATAGCGAGAGAGACAGAGCGAATTTTTCCCATTTTTGACTTGCTTAAAAATGTAAAGGTAGAAAAAATTCTCGAAGATCCTGATTAGTTTTTAAACCTATGAGCTGCTCAGAGTTTCAGGCTCTATCTAATGAGCTATGCTACACTTGAAGCGTTCCTTCGTAAACCAAGACGCTCTTCTTTCTAGTGAATAGACAAATTGCTGAAGCTAGCGTGTGCGTCTGTGTGTCTGTGTGTCTGTGTGTATGTGTATGTGTGTGTATTGGTTGTGTTGTCTCCTCTCCTTCTGGATCAATGTGTCTGCTTGTCTCTACTCTCTCTTTCTATCGCTGTCTCTCTCTTTCTCTAGTTGAGGCGAACTCTCTCGAAATAGCGTGACACTCGTCTATCCCGTGCCCTCCCTTTCCCCCCACGCGCTATCCTTCCCCTTTACCCCCTCGCGATGTGTGGGTGCATTTGTGCACACCAATATGCACATAGATTTTGGGAGCGTTTTCGCGCCTAGTTTTTGTAGTATTGATAAGGTGGAGGGGTACTAATAAGGAGAATCTTGGGTTTTAGACTCAGGTCACAAAAAATTTGGCATTTACTAATTTTTTTTGAGGCTGGGTGGCCAAAAATTAACAAAAATGATATTAAAAGAACTAAACAGTCTATAAACACTGGTTTTTGGTTGAATTTTGACTTGGATGCTGGGGGGTGAATGGGCGCACCACGTAATACGCAAAAGTATTTTCTATGTTAAAGAAAGTTTTATAGGTAAGGAACAATATATAGTAAAAAATTAAATCTAACCCAAATTTTTGATTTGACGCCAAATTTTATAGCATTGATAAAACGAGATGGATGCGCTATATATATTTTTAAATAAACTACGAATCAACGTGGATTTAATTTTTCATAATTCTCCACGACATTAACTTGAATAAATTCTCTTTGACTACATACTTAAAAAGCTATCTTATTTGTAGACAACTAGTCTTTAAATATAAAAATAGATTTTCAGCACAATTTCCCTTTGTCCCCCTCATTTTCCCGCTACTTTTACTCCCTAATTCTCTAGAAAAATCCTCTAAATGTGGCGATATTTTAAAAAGTTTCGTGACGTTACGCTCTGTAAAAGTTAGGTAAGCTTTTAAAGCCCCTAGAAGCTTCTCCGGGTAAAAATTAGCCAACGGCGGGTGTTGAGTAGGGAGGGGAAAGTCCAAGCGGATCCCGTTGGCCCAAGAACACTTGCACTTTACCACGATTAGCTGTATTTTGACGTAACCCTAGACAGACTCGTGTCTGGGTAAGTCGTTACTGGCCTAAAAGATGGGCTTTCAAGGATCTTTGCTGAATTTTATTGAACTAGAAACTAGATAGCTAAAAAAGTTCAAACCTGGAGTTTTTTAGAGGGTCATAGAACAGGGCCTACTTAACTCGGGCCACCTAATCCTATTATGTTTGGCCTACTCCTCGCCACGTCATCCCCATTTTCTCACTGCGAGCCGCCCCGGGGCCCGTTACTTCAAAAAAGCAACGCAAAAAAGAATGCGGGCACACGGGCAAGGGGGGGGAGGGAGAGGGTTTGCTGGCCCTGGGGCGGCAGTCGATTCCATTTTCCTTGCTGTCCTCACGGCAAAAGCCCGTCGAGTCCAGTCGAAAACGGCAAATCAAGGGTTTTTACAAACAAAGTTAAGGATATTCCTAATTTGAAAATATTATTGCTATCTTTATTCGAAAATTTTGAAGCCAAAAATTTTAATTTTGTTTTTTTTTTTGCGATGGCAGATGCCCGCTAAGCGCAGTTGAAAAAGGCAAATCAGTTCGTTTTACGATCAGAACTAAGATTTGAAAAAACTATTTACAGCTTTTAAATGTATGAATCATATCGTTTATAAGCAAAATTAATGAAATTTTGTCATTGGGCTTGTAACTGAACTTTTTAGTGCTGTCACCACGATAACTTTAGAAGTACGCTGTATCTCAATTTGTATTGTTTACGACCGTTCTCTTTCGCGTTCACTCGCTCGCTCTCAATCTCTCTCTCTCTCTCTCTCTCTCTCGCTCTCTCTCTCACTCTCTCCCTCTCTCCCTACCTCTTCCCTTATCTCCCTCTACCTCTTTTTTTCAGTGACCAGTGAGCGAGCCGGAGTATCCGTCTTTTTTCGGCTTTCCCTTCTTCACGCTATATACGGGTATCCATGTAAGTTTTCAAGAATTAAAAAGCTTACGCTTAAGTCAATTATTTCATTTTAATCTAATTACTTTGCAGCGCCTTTCGGTGGCGGTGGGGGTGATTCCGAGGGAAATGACTGGAGCTAATCGATCAGCATCGCACGCCGGCTCTTGGTGAGTTTTAAGGGGGTTATTGAAGGCAAGTCAATTTCTCACTAACAAATTAAGGAAAATTTTGATAGGTAAATCTATAAAAAATGCAATTTAAGGTACTCGGACAACACCCGAGAGCTGGATCGTCAGCTTACCGAATGGCTGTCCTCACCACAGCGGGTCGGCGTCGCCAGGGCGATTATTGCACCGTAAGTTGGTTGTAGTTTGAAGTGCAGCGTTGTTTGTTGACTTTCTTCTCCATTTAAAGGTATATCATAGCTACCGTATGATTATTACCGTACTATCGTGGATTCTAGCTTCATTTTTTCAGACATGCCGGCTATTCCTATTGCGGCGAGACGGCTGCCTACGCTTTCAAGCAAATTGTTCCGGATAACATGTAAGTAACACCTTTTTTATTTATAGTTTTTATTTGCTCAAAACAGTATTCCGCAATTTACGTAAACTTTAATATCCTGTAGTCGCTGAGGTATGCCATTTTCTCGGGTTAAGCGGGATTTTTGGGATTTCGGGCATTTATAGCGGGTGCCATGGATCGATAATTTCAATGCTCCTTTAAAAGCCCTTTTTAGCCACCGTATCTTCATCCTTGGCCCCTCCCACGTTGCTGCTCTTGATCGATGTGCTTTGACAACTTGCAAAAAGTATAAGACGCCGCTCGGAGATTTGAATGTAGATACCCAAGGTAGACATTTGACAAACTTTTTAAACATTTTATTTTATCACTAATTTTACCAAAATTTTGTCTAGGTTCGATTTTTATTTTGATTTTTAGTTGTCAACGATCTTTTCGCCGAGTTTGGTGCGGATTTTGAGAAAATGGATCGCCGCGATGAAGAGTCAGAGCACTCCCTAGAGATGCAACTTCCATTTTTGGCAAAGGTTATGCAGAGGTAATTTTTCTAACCTTAAATAAACATCTTAAAAAATTTTAGCCGCGGCTTGGACTCATTTTCAATCGTTCCGATCCTCGTCGGCTCCCTCGACATCCGATGGCAGAAAAAGTACGGCCGGATTTTGGCTCGCTACCTCGAAGACCCGAAAAATCTGTTCGTCATCTCATCGGATTTCTGCCATTGGGGTGAGTGGATTTTTTGGCTTCGCAATCCCTTTAAACCGAGTGTAAACGTGGAATTTCTAGGCAACCGTTTCCGCTACACTCCTCAGGACGGCTCCGATCAGCCGATTTTCCGGCAAATCGAGCGTCTCGACCGCCAGGGGATGGAGGCGATCGAGTCGTTGAATCCGGATGTTTTTAATACCTACCTCTCCAAAACGCATAACACGATATGCGGGCGGAACCCGATATGTGTCATGTTGCAGGTAAGATAGAAATAATAATAGTAAAACTTTCCTCTATAGTAAAAAATATATAATCCTTTACGAAAACACGATTATTATTCGCATTTAAATGATATTTATGTTAAAATCGAATTAGTTCAGCTCAGTAATAAAATTAATAAATCTATATAAATTTAACCACATATTTTCTTAGGCAGCCGAGCACTTCCGACTCGCCAACAACCACACGCATGAATTTAAATTCTTGCGTTATTCGCAGTCGAATCAGGTTGGTCTTAAAAATACACATGTTTAATTGCTTATAAATTATATTAACCATTAATAAGTGAATTATTGTTATTATCTAATTTTATTTTAGGCTCGCCATGCCAGCGACTCATCAGTGTCTTACGCTGCCGGTGCGCTCTTCATTCACCCACGTGCCAACTAAAAAATATAATCAAATCAACTCCCCCCGAGCCGACCAATCAAAATTCCCCCTTCTTTCTATAGGCACTTATCTGCGTATATAATTTTTTAATTCATTGATTTTTTGATTCCCGAAGCCCCGACCTCTTTCCGTTGCGTCAATGTGATTTTCCTGTACCCTTCTATCACGTTTGTGATCATTTTTGTATTAAAATTTCCATTTTTGATTGCACGTTTCTTCCCGATGTACCTAGCTGCTTTTATGTACAGCCTTTTTTATATTGATAATAAAATTTGGCGGGCAAATTTGGGTTTTTATTACACCGAATCTACCAAAGCTTCAATCCGTCCATTTTTACAAAGTAATGCCAGGTTTTTGAACTCAGGATTACGGAACCAAATCGCAAGTTTCCGCAACCAAACACCACACCCCTCTGCACGGCTATAAACCCTAGCAAACACCCTAGCCCTCCAATTTTTAGTAGTCATAGAAGGAACCAGCCCGGAGGAGCCACTTCCCGATTAATGAACCCGATCCCTTCCCCTTCTCCTTCTCTCCAGACACCAACTACACGCTGCACCTATCCACATAAAAACACTGCGCTCCAACACCGATCCATCGCGTCCGGCATCTCCCGCACCAACCTGGAATCGATTTTAGTACGGTTTTTTTTAGAAAAGTTGTGAAATTTGAAGCCGGCAAGGTTTAAAATTACTCTGAAATTACTGTGAGACTCGTATCCTTCAAAACGTTCTTTATAAAAAAATTGAATTTCTAGACCGTATAATACGGCATTTAATAGTTTAAATTACATATAAGTCTCATAATAATTGTATAGTGATATTTAGAACGACAAACTACATTCAACCTTCAAAATGCCTTTCTAGAATATGAGCGGGGACATCGATGAAGATGACCTATTCCTCCTCTCACCGGAAATGCGAGCAAAATGCAAAGAAATCACGAATGCAGACCCACAAAGATGGAATAGTCCGCGTGAGTACTTTTTACGGAATCTCGAAGCTTCAACTAAACTTGACGCATAACCATACTAAATCGGCGTTTTCAGCGACCAGCTCAAGGCCCGATTTTGAACGGCAAGCCCGGCTTAGCCGAAAACTACAAAAATTCGTGGAAAAACAAAGTGGGTCCAATTTGTTTCGTGTGTTAGTTTTTCTTCATGACGTGTTGTCGAGAATTTTGGACCTATAGTGCAAATTTCAAAATATCTACCGATTTCCGCTTTCAACTCTTGACAACACGTCTCCCCCTCCTTTCTCCATCCTTTCCTCCCCAGTCCTGGTAGAAATGGCTATAAGTGTTGTGTTGTTTTAGCGAAAAAGAAGCGATCCTCATTGATATCGATGACATCAATAGATGAAGCTGAAGAAGTTGATCATCACCATGACGTTGATGATGATGCTGAAGTTCAGCAACATCTTGACATGGAGGAAAGCCCGGATGAAAATCTGGAATTGAGCTTTGAGGAGCTGGAGGCGAAGCTTGAGGCTGAGTCGTTGGAGTTGAGCCCTCAACCTTCCGAATCTTTAACTCCAAGAATGGAAATGAGCCAGAGCTCGCAGCAAGAAGCCGACGGAGAAGAACCTATTCGCTTCCGGAATGCCCCGAAACCAGTAGAATCGGAAGTTGAACATCCTGAAGAAGATGAGGAGCCACTGCCAGCCCCAATTCCAGAACCGAAGACTGACATGTTGCTCCAACAGATCTTCGATGATAATGATATGAATGATGTGTTATTTGAGGCGCTGGAATTGGAATTGGAACGGGAGATGGAGACTGATGAGAAGGCAGAAGCTGTAGAAGAGACATCGGAAGTCCCTCTGCATGCCAGTGAAGGTTGGGCTTTTTGTTTCCTTTTCGCCGCCTGTGGTTTGTCGCTTTTTTGTTTGACTTTATGGGTCTTTTTGTTATTTTAAAGGCATAACGAAAATTGTGTATTGAAGCAAAATTGAAATTTTTGGCATGATTTGTTGAAAAACCGTACCCATCAAAATAAGTGGCATTATTTTATTTTCAGCGATATTAAGTTTACAATTTAGTTAAGAAATCTAGAGTCCTTTGGTGATAACGCGATTCAGAGCACGACGCCAAGGAGGCACAGCTCAAGTTGAGTACGCTGAGTGAGGAAACGATCAGCTCGGGCTCACAGTCGTTTCATAGTCTGGGAGAGTCATTTGGCAGCGATCGGTATGTAGATTCGGGAAATTAAATGGTGGCCATTAAAGGTCTCCGGCGGCCAGCCCGCGTACGACTCAAAACGAGGATGAAACACCGAAAAAGCCGAGAAAGCATGTGACAATTAATGAGGTGCCACAAAACGAGGTTTTTAGCGATTTGAATTTGAATATAATTTTAATTTATTTAGATGACGCGTTCGGCTTATCCAACACTGGTGGCTACGCAATGCTCCTCCGGACAAAGCAGCCCGAATTCTAGCGCTGGGTTACGGAAACTGAGCGCGCAGATGGAAGAAATGGAGATGGCCACTGGTAGGCTTTCAAGCTCTCTCTCTCTCTCTCTCTCTCTCTCTCTCTCTCTCTCTCTCTATCTCTCCCTCTCTCTCTCACTCTCTCTCTCTCCGTCTCCCTCTCCGCCTCTCTCTCTCTCTCTCTGTCACCCACACCCCCCTCTCTCTCAGCTCTGTCTCTCTCTCTCTTTCTTTCGGTCTCTCTTTCACCCTGTCTCTCTCTCTCTCTCTCTATTTCCATACGCAACTATTTTTCAGGCCATACTGTTGCCCCTACCGTATCCCATACCACCAGCATGTTGGAAATCTCTGGAACACAAACGGAATCTGGTACAAGAAAATAACACAACTTTATATATTGTTTTAGGAGTACGCCGCTCCTCCTTAACGACAAGCGTTGGAGGACAAAGTCGAATTTCAGTATGTCGAAAGCCTTAAAACCTAAACAAACAAATTTTAGCGCCTTCCCAGACCCACAACCCGCATCCCACAACCGGCCCCTACCCCCAAGAGGTAGCTTAAAAAACCTTAAAAATATTTTAGATGTAGTAAAATGAATCTATCAATATTTGTCCACCATTTAGAACGTCTTAAAACTTACGAAACAGAAACGCCAGCACGCAAACAGGTTTGGACAGGGTTTCCAGGGCACTGCGAATTTCCCCCGGCGTGCACCGATTTACATACTAAGATTAAGAACGAGAATAGAATTTTGTTCCTAGAATACTTAGAATTTAATTAAATCTATTTTGATTTTATCATATTTAGAAAACTTCTAGTTTTTATGAAAAAAAGCAGAGCCGATTAAACCAACTACACAAATTTAATCCTACTCACCGTTTGTGTTGCTTCTCACCCCAGGTTTTTTTAGGTGGCGGGTATGATTTTAATAATTTAAAGGGATTGTGAAATGATATTTGGGTAACATGACTTTTGATATATGAAAGTTTTAAAGGGAGCGTGTCGTCTAAGTAATTAAAAAATGTGAAAACCCGATACATGCAATCACCCCAGGCCACTGACACGTTTCCTTTAAATCCTATGTATCAAAAACTATGATAAGCTCCCAATTTCACTTCCAATCCCATAAACTACCAACTCCAATCCTGACCTTCCAGACCGGCTAGTTCTCGTGCGACGAGCGCTTCTCGGTGGGCGGAGCCTGGAGCGAGTAGCGCCTCGACACCAAGGCGTTCGCCCCGGCTCCGTGCCCCCTCGCTACAGCCAACCCCACTACGAACAGCACCTCCGCACAGATGGAAGTCATAATGCATTAAATAGATCTGGTTACCATATCCCTTCAATGAATCCCCATCCGGGTCTATCCAGCTCATTTCACTTTGGGTAGTCATGTGGCGGTTGGGGGGATGTTAAAGGGAAGTTAGAGCTTTTTGAGAATGAGCTTGTATTGGCTTAGGCTCAGGCTTAGGCTTAGGCTTGGCTTGGCTTAGGCTTAGGCTTCGAAATTTTGTATGATTAAAACTAACTTAACCTTAAACTACACCCCTGACCGCCCTTCCCCCCAGCTTGACACCCTCCTTACGCTTTTCCAAGGCCTTTCTACCTTTACCAACTTTTTACATTCTCGTAACTTTCCCGTTTTTCTGGTGCTCAATTATCCTGAACTTTGTTGCCTTGCTGTGATCGGATTGCCTTCTCTAGTCGAAAGAAATCTGCCCCCGCTTTTCAGTTCCTTTCAGTTACCATCCCCCCCATTCCCTTTCATTCCTATGCACAAATAACCACATTCGACATAGGACTTTGTTGTTTTTCTTTTCTTTGCTAAGAGCTTAACTGGTCGATGCCTTCCATAATAAACGGATTTGCTTGCAATTTAAAAACTTGAGAGTGTCGTTTATTCGTTCACTTTGCATTCGGATGACGATGAAACGGGGCGGACCGCAGCGGAATTTCTTGAAACTGATGATTGAGTACGCTTTCGTCTGCTAAACAGATTCATTTTTGATTCGATGCCCACCCACCCTATAGCAGTCCAAAATTCCTTTCTGGTCTCGTCGCTTAGTAACAGCATTATAAACGGATTACCGAAGAGTAGTGGAAAATAGCAGACATCAAACTAAAAATTTTTGATTTGAAATTATCATTAAATGGGCCGGGAGAGCTTGAAGAAGACTCTCGATGGATTTGGATCCCGCGCGACTTGCCCTTCCCTTTAAAACCCACAAAATTCGTAACAATGGTTGCCATCGCATCCTGATTAGCAATTGTAGCCTCGAATTTGAGAACCTGATATGCCGTTAAAGGAACAGTGAATAGAACCGTCAACTGGAAACCCAAAAAATCAAATAAAAATCAAATTAAGGTTATACCACGGCATACAATAGCATTTTTCGCTGTCTCTTTCGCATTAATGGGTTTGCCTGCACCACAGGATTCTTGCGTAATCGGTGATAAGCAATGATTGTAACTATGAAGCATAATGAGGTGGGGCCGGCAAGTTCGGCAACAGTAATGGTGCGTACCACCTGAAAACTTAGAGTACTTGTTGGTGCAGAAAAAACCTACAAACATCAAGCTATCACTCGAAAAATTGTAATTGCTGTCCGGCCAGCCGCTGGTGAATACCAAAATGATACGGTAGCTGGAGCAGAAAATAGCGAGGGCAGCGATATAGGCGATGGCATGGTATTTTTGGGAGGCGTTGAGAAGACAAGGTTCCTGTTGATAGGGGAAATTATGTATATTTTAGAAGCCGCAATTTAGGATTTGGTTTAGGCCTAGGCTTAGGCTTGAATTTGCGCTTAGGCTTACGCTTATCAAGCTTAGCTATAGGCTTAGATTTTAGGATTAGGTTTCAATTTTAGTTAATGCGTAATTGCAAATTGTAATTGCAACAAAGCCCAGATACAAACCTCCATTTTCTTCGTAGCATTACTCAGAAGTCGAAGCCTGCATAAATTAATCCACATCATCACAACCTGATGGGCAAGAGTCAGTATTTTAGAGATGACGAATAAGGAATACAACCAGGGTATCGGCACGAAAGAATCGCGAAACAAACGAATCCCCACGATTGCCACAAAGCAGAGCACATCAAAAACACCTAAATCATCAGTTTTATTACTCTACAAAACGCCTTAAATCAACATACCCAAAATCCAAGACTGTACAACATAATCCGCTTTCATTGACGAATTCCTTGAATTAGCAATTATCCATAATAACGCCAAATAGAACATCAGTGAAATCAGCTCCACGCCAAGCAATCCAATGTCTTGCCAAGCCGTCATTCCCATTTTAGAACCAGAATAAGTCTAGTTTCGAAAAGAATGTGGGCTCAAAAATCCAGGGGGTGACCAAACTCGTTACTAAGCCGACTAAAAAAAGGGACCAGAATTTGTCAGGCGCGCGTAAATTTGATTAAGATCCGCATTGCCTCACGGAGTCACAATATGTTTTTATCGAGTTACGTTCTTTGCACCAAAGTTTTTGGGGTGATCTGGAGATTTGTACTAAGTGTACAGGGTTAATGATGGTTATATTGAGATTTACTGTTTGTCACGCTGTTCCAAAAACGAGACAAAGATCAGTCCGTTATCTCTCTCTCTCTCTCTTGCTCTCTCTCTCTGTCTCTCTCACTCTCTTTCACTTTCGCTCTCTCTAGCTCCCTCTCTCTCTCTCGCTCGCTCGCTCTCTCTCTCTATCTGTCTCTCTGTCTCTTTCTCTCTCGCTCTCTCCATCCCTCTCTCTCGCTCTCTTCCCTCTCTCACTCACTCCCTCTCTATCTCTCTCACTGTCTCTCTCTTTCTCCCTCCCCCTCTCTATCTCTCGCTCCCTCCATACGTTTCTCTCACTCCCCTCTCTCACTGCCTCTCTCTCTCTCCCTCTCTCTCTTTCTCTCTCTCTCGCTCTCTCTTTCGCTTTCAGGCTTATCCCAATTTATACAGAACTATGGTTAAATAGGCTTAAACAATTTATTCTTATCATCATTATCCTCAATTCTAACTGACAAACATGATAATTACCCGCATTTCATTAGCAAATCAAAACAAAAGTTGTCGAGATGGCAGACCAGTAGTGTTATTTACACGCGATACTATCAATTGAAACGATCAAATACACTCTCAATTACACTTTCATTCATGCGTGTCCTAGACGAGATGTGGCAGCGGTTTTTTAGGATGTGCTGCCTTGAAGACCATTGCGCAAACCGAGTCTTTATGAATCTAAAAGAGAGGGTGTATGATTTTGGAATAATTTCTTGGGTTGTTTTCATGGGGCGACGATAATACTAATAAAAATGAACTGCTTCCGGATGTCTAGGGGATTAAGGGGGCATTAGTGTCACTAGTTCTGGAGTGGACCCACCTTTCGCTCCTTTTTCCGGAAATTGGTCGGGAGCTCGTCTCGGGTAGGTTCGAGTTCTTCGCTTCGAGTTGGGGATTGAACGGAGCCGACTGGAAAACGGGGGAGATGTTTCATTAATGCGGCAGAGAAGACGGACCATTTTTGCTAGTTGTATTCTTGTATTCTTACTTTTTCTGTATTCTTAAAGCGACAAATAACTACTTACTGGAAATACTTGATTCACCCGATCTGCTTGAGGCTCCGCTGCCCTGCCTTCGTAGTGAGCCCTCTTTCGGCTGGTCCTCCTCACTTGGCATATCGTTGGAACTGCTAAACTTTTGGTTTCAAGGACTGAGAAGTCAAGAGGTTGTTAGAGCCTTAGAAAAATGTATTTTACTCGATAATTAGTTTTAAGACACATACCTATACACCCCCTCTTCGGCCTGGATTTCGTAGACTCGTTTTGGATGGGCGACCACGTTAGGAAAAGCTTTTGCTGAAAAAAATAGTTTATTTACGCATTACTACATGCTAATTCGAGACTAAGGCTAAAACTTACTAAAATCCATCGTCATCTTTCTTCGAACGCCATCGAGGGTTCGACTACAGAGCCTAAAAAAAGAATTAAGAAAGGTCTATCCAATTCCTCTCACTCTTCGCTCACTCTCTCTCTCTCCCTCTCTCTCTCGCTATCTCTCAGTCTCTCTCGCTCGCTCTCTCTCACTCTTTCTCGCTCTCGCTCTCACGCGCTCGCTCTTTCTCTCTCTCTCTCTCTCTCTCTCTTTCTCTCGCTCTCTCTGATTTTTAGCTAGATATCAAACTACAAAGGCTTTTTTACGAACCTGTACATTAGAAAACCTGCACAGAGAAGCATCAGAGCCGCAGCCACGATACAGCAGAGCACCAACACGCCAACGATGCTGAAAATTTAGCTTTAATTGGCTGTCACCATCCCTTTAAAATAAAATAGCTCTAGCCATATCGTTACTTCATGCCCAAAAATCTAATAATAATTACTCCAACTGTGGCATCAAACTGGCCACCCGATCGGCTTTTGTAAATTTGCGAAAGCCCATCGGCGTCGGCGGAGATTTGAGGGCAAAGAGGAGAACACGCTCCCGATCGACCTCCATTTGGAATGACGCTAACAGCATTTGATTAGGGGATACGGTAGCCGGGGCGTAGTTTAGAGCGCGGGGCGGGTAGCCGATGACCGGGGCACGGGGGTACGGTAGGAAAGGCAGTTTGTATGGCGGGGTTGGGGGTTTGTTTTGGAGGTAAAGGTGGTAGAAATGGCTACAGCTGGGGAGGCGGTGGGTGGGGCAAAATTTAGCGAGAATTAAATCAATTTTTAGAGTTTGGTGGATGGGTTTAGAGAATGGAAGTTGGTAGCTTAGGAATTTAAGAGAATTTTTGGGAATGTGGATAGCTGGAAATGTTGAATACGGTAGATAGGTCAACGTTAAGTTTTGGTCGTTTTTAGCCCAGTAGATGGGGTAAAATTTGGTAATTAATAATTAGATAATTTTTCTAATTTATAGGTTCTGATCGGGACGATTGTATGTAAAATATCTAGCTTAAGGTCTAGAATTTAGAAAATAATTAGTTGCAAAATTCCAGAATACCGTAGTCACGTCAAATTTTAATTTTTAGTCTCTGAACGCTGACTAAACAATACTCCAACCCAGAGAGGGCGAGGTGTCGTTTGGCGTTCTTTGTCGTCGTCGCCCGTCGTAGGCCGATTCTGATGAATATGGATGGTGGCAGAAAGGGGCCTAAGATGCCCCTGAGGGCATGAGACGGGCCCTCTTGGCCCCCAGATGAGGGGCCCAGGAAATGACCAATTTGTTACCAGGCACCGCCCTCTGCTCTAACGGGGCCCGGCGCCGCCGCTTTGCAAAATATCGCGCGGGGGCCACCAGGTGGCATTAACACCATATATATGGACGTTCATTTCCTGGGTGTTGGGCTGGGCAGGAAATTTATGATTTGAGGTACGGTAGGAAACGCAACTGAACCGTTGACGAGGCGAAACGGGATGTTCGAACATCAAAAATTCAAGTTTGCTTCAAAACAGAGTTTTGACCGCCAGAAACTTACAAAATAAACGATGTTTTTGCCTTGTCTGGCCTTTTAAAAGCTTTAAATTTTGGTTTAAAGGACCACCGAAGTGGTGGTGATCAAAAAAAAACAGCAAACTCCCACCTATTATTGGCCAGCTGCTGCCCATCAAAGAGAGAGTCGAGCAACGTGGGCGATGACGAGCCCCGGTGGTGCTCATTCAGCCGGTCCAAGTCCATTTGCACCTGCAATTAGAAAAATAGTAACAGGATAAAACAAAATATACTGTAGTTGCATCTAATTTAAGATAATTTATGGCTAAGATAAATGTCTCGCGCCTGCCACTCTACCTATGTTTTAATAGCAAAATTCTTAAATAGGATTATTTTTTCACTTTTGGGATAATTTAATTGTAGGAACGCTATCAGGCTTTTAAATTGGAATTTATACCGTAATCCATAACTATTTAAAAATCAGAGATGGCGCTCTTGCTTTAAAAAATATTCTAGGGGATAATTTAATCGTCGATGTGTAATTTGGAAAAACCGTAGCCCATCGTCATCTAAAATTCTTGCTGGCACGCTCCCTTTAGAACAATCACCATTTACGACTTAATTCTTAATAAGCTTTTTGAGAACTAGTTCATTACTGTCACACCCCCTTTAAACTCACACCCAACGTCCGGTCACCCAAAATTCGAGTCCTCATCGTTATAGAAAAATTGCTAAATTTGGCCCAGAAGCCCAGAAAGTACGCCAAAGCCGGGTAGAAAGTTCGAGGGGAAGCGGTTGACTGCCAACTTTGAAGTGACTCCTCTTTCTGGGGGAGCCAATTTCCCGGGGTCCACCGCCATCCATTCCATTCTATGTGTGTGTGTGTGTGTGGGTGCCCTCGAAAAGAGGGCTAATTTCTAATTTTTTTTTCCGGAGGGCCAGAGGGTGGGCAAAAACATGGTGGCGGTGACTCGGTTTCTGTTGTATAGGTCTGGGCTCTGGAAAATTGGATCGTGGGTTTTGGGCTTTTTAATTGTTATTAGTTGCTTTTCGTAATTTTCGGGTTTTTTTCTGGATCTCTGGATAGAAAATTGCATTTAAAAGGCTTTAAAATTATTTTAAAGGTATTGGCAAGTGACAATTTGCATGCGGACTTATGGATTCTTCATGTCAAAATTCGAGATAAATGTCTTTTTTAAATAAATGTCAAAATGCCTTTTAAAACTATTATTAGTGCATATAATAATTTTGGAGTTGATTCTATATCTATTTATCTTATCTACCAGCGCCCAAAACCCGCTTCGCGGGCCTTGGGCGCTGGAATTGTGCCTTTGCATGAAAAATTTGACTTTCCGATAGCTCGGGCCCTTCGGACCCCTTTCCCCCGCAGGCCACACACGCGCGTGCAACTGGCAAGAATGAGGAAATTTGTATTTTTTCACTTTATGCAAATTAGCCCTCCCGGACCCCCAAAAATCAATAAAACCGGCTTTAACTTTGTAAACTTGTATTTTATCGAGATTCTGAAAACGCCATCGGAAAGAGGAGGGTCGATTCCCCTAAGTGACCGAAAATTAGAGCATTTTATGCAGGGGAAGGCCCTCAAATTGGGCCTCGAAAGTGACATCCACACACACACACACAGAGATACGCGATCAAATTATATAAGGTAGGATATCTTATATATGGAAAAAAATTGCGCTTAAAAAGCGTTAAATGAGTTTTAAAGGTTTTGGTAAGTCAAAATTCGCGAAGAGTTCCTATAGATTTATGAAAAGACGCTTTTACACTCTCCAATCAACAAAATCTTTATTTTCGATCATACCAAATGTCCATATTTGAACAATAGAGTTGGCATCCCTTAACCACAAAATCAACCGCAAAATAACCCCCCAACTCGCCCCTAGGGAAAAAGAGGTCGTTGCGACGAGTTATTACCCACCACATACCAGCAGGCTTTCCCCCCTAAAAACAGCAATAACTAGCAAACAAACGGCTCCTAAGGACAGCTGTGTGTGTCTAGGGATATAGACAACACAAAAAAAACTATTTTTGTCGTTCACCCCACTTATTTATGGGTATTTCTTGGAAGATTTCAAGACAAAGGGGGAGTGGTTTTAGTAAGGACAAGGTTATCATGTTTAAATGGTTTTTATAATAAGAAAACAACTTCTAAGGTCTAAAAAGAAGCTCTAAATGAAAATGTGTTCCTTGAGAGGCTCTTTAAAGAGAAGGAAAGTAATGAACACCCCCTTTAGGGTATTTCCGGTTTGGAAAGCTGGAAATTTGAAGCCTAATTTGCGAAGCAAAGCTGGACAAAGATCAAATATCAAATTGACCTTAGCGGGAGCAGATGTTCCGTTTACTCCAAATTACGGAAAAGTATTATATCATATGGATTACGGTAGTCGGTCACGGTTCAGACTTCACGCCACATGAAAATGAAATTGGACAGTTTGATCGTGGAAATTTTGCTGGGATTTTTGTTTTGCGGTTTCTAAGGAACGATTACACGTTGGTTTTGGCTTGGAAATGCTTCAATAATTAATATAAAATAATATATAAATCAATAAATAAATACTTAATACAAATAGAAAATAAAATTTTGGTTTTGAGCTGCTTTAAAAATGATATTTTTAGAAATAGACATTAGTAAAATGGCCCGACAAACCTTATGGACCCGAGGTGACGGGTGGAAAATCATTTTCAACGCCAGGATTACGGTAGGTTCAGTAGTACAATAATAGGTAGCTTTTTAGTCCCAAGAAAATTTTAGAATTTAGTAGTGACCACGTTAGCCGGAACCAGGCCTCAGGGTGCTTCGAATAAAATCTGAGGTCCTCGGCTCTAAGCCGGCCGGGGTGGGACCCCCGGGGGGCTTGTGCCCCCTATTTTTTGGCCATTTTCGCTGTGAAGCCGTGAGGGGCCCCGGGTTGGATAGAAGCAAATGGGTGGGAATTCCGGGTGCTTTCCGGGACTCGGTGGGGCCGTTTTGGCCAGGTGTTGCACCCCGTGGCGGTGATTAGATTTTTCGGGGGGAAGCTCGCCGGGAACTTTTTGAAAAGGAGCGGTAAAATTAGATTGTGATTTTGAAAGGGATGACTAAAAAGAGGAGGCTCAGGTGCGGACTGTGTTATTTATGGGACGTGGGGAAGGGTGACGATTGAAAGGAAATTTTTATGATTTTTAGGGGGAAACTGATTTTTTCCATTTTCTAAGGACCTATGACAAAATCAAAACTATTTTATGGTATTTTACACAATTTTTAGATACAGAACGTTCATAAAACGCTTATAAAAATTTTCCGGAGACTTTTGAATTTTTGGTCCAAAATCTATGAAAAAGAAGCAAAAAGGTCGAATTTTCGAATTTTCAAAGATATTAATATATGTTTTATTTATTAAATATTAACAGGTATAAGCGGAAAGCAAAAATTTGTTTTCCTGCTAATTCACCCCCCTCCCCCCTGCTAACAGACCAGTACCTCTTTTTTAACGACTTTGACCTGAGCTGCGCCCTGAAAAACTTTTCCAAATTCCCTAAATTCTAGCGAAATCAAACAGGAAGCACCAGCCCTAGCCCACCCTCACTTTTAATTAAATACTTGCAACAAAAGAAACGTGTGCAAACCTGTGCATCGTAGAAGGCAACAAACGGCATTAATTTTTAGCTTTCAACAGATCGAAATCGGTGTACAGACAATTTGAACCAATTTCCAGAATTAAACTCCGACAGCAAATTTCGAGCCAACTAACCGAAGAGCCGAATCTCGCGTGAATCCCCCTCTATAATTTATAGACTCGGAATTTCGGATGCGCTTTTTCTAGGGGAAGGCGAAGCTCGAAAGAAACTCAAAAGAGAAACTTCATCTACGGGTTTGGAAGTGTGCAGAAAAACGTGATTTTTGGAGCGGAGCCAAGGGGGGGGGGAATGCGAAAAATAATTTTCGGCATTCACGTAGGCGTTGAAATTGACTGTATTATTGATATATATATTATTAGCGGTATTTTTGGTCTTATTTATTTGTTTTGAAACAACATATTGGTTCTCAAGTTTTTTTGGGGGCGATTAAGCGCGCCGCTTGGCAGGTGTTTGCGCGCCAGGGACTATTTGGCGACTGCGCGACGGGACCACCCTATGGAAATTCAGGGTGGTCCGCCATGTAGGTATGGAAATGTGTATTGCCAAGCGGTATTTATACCCTAGATTCATGCCCATTTACTGAAATTTATAACAATTTAAATTATAAAATTAAATTTTTAATTTTTAATTTTGCGGTCTAAATTATCAAATGAAAGTTATCAACAAAACCTAAATTGAGAATATTTAGAATTTAGAATACTGTAAAAAAGTGAAGGGTATTAAAGTGTTACAAGCTAAATCTAAGTGTCCATTGGCGCACGGTGTAGTGATGTTTTGCTAGGTGTCACCTTCATTTAAAATAAAGTCCAGGTAATTTCCCACGATATTCCTTCCCTTAATTTAATATTGTCTTTAAGGAGATTATATATTAAACATCATTTCGGTAAATTTTAACCCTCTTTCCACCTACCGAAGATGGTGGCGGAAACAAATTCAAATATGCAGCCATCGCGACTCCCTAGCGAGCTTTAGAAAATACCAGAAAATCCGCCAAAAATCTTCAGAGCCACAATGCGCTCCTTGGGACCAAAGAGGCCCAAATTTTCAGTGGGTGGCGTCTAAAGGGGTCCAAATGGGGGGAATGAGAAGGGTGCTTGGGCTTCTCATTCCGGTGGGCCACACGCCGTCAACCCCCCTTTCATTTAGGGCCCTTTTTGGGTGATGGGGTTTGGGGGAGGTGAACGTGCCGAATTTGGGGGGTTGGCCACTCGATCATGGGGTTCTTTTATGAATTGCCTGGGGGGCACCGGTGAATAAAGCTGATGAAAAAGGCCAGCTTCCGGTGAATAAAACCGATGAAAAAATTCTAGCTGCGGCGAATAAGGCTCAGAAAAAAAATTAAATTTAACTAAAAAAGTAAATTTTGTGGCTAGTACTATCTTTTTTAAAACTGTATTTATTTAGACATTTTCGTGCACTAATAAATAAAAGACTAATGGAGCACGATGTTCCAAAATGATTAGAATTTCCTGAACTCTAGTAAAGAGCTCTAAAAGATTTATCTATTTGGGACAATCCGTTGAAAAATTGACGATTTAGACTATTTAAATAATTTTTTGCCTATTTAGACAACTAATGTATAATTAATTAAAGTAACCTGGTGA